ATTCAATTACACTACATAAGGCACCTCTGTGCAAATTTTCATATTCCTTCAACAGAATTGTTTCAGAACGTTCACCCCTCATTTCAGACCCTTAGAGGGCGAATTTCCAAAAAGTGCTACTTAGTGCTAAATTACGTTACATAAGGAACGTCTGTGCAGAATTTCATACTTCTAAAACCGATTGTAACAAACTTTTGTACAAAGTTTCATCCCTTATTTCTAGGGGATGAATGTCAAAAATTAGCTTTTAGGTACTCACTTTCGTCACTTAAGGAAACTCTGTACAAAATTTCATACTCCTAGAACTAACATTTTTTGTACAAAATTTCACCCCCCAGTTTCACTACCCTTAGGCTATACATTTCCAAAAATCGCTTATCAATGTTCAAATGTGCCACATCTGTGCAAAAGTTCATACTCCTAGTAGGTACAGATATTTTTGTATAATTACACCCCTTTATCTAATTACACCCCCTTATGGGTCGAATTTTAAAAAATTACTTAGTAGTACTCATCTTAGAGAACGAATTAATATTCTCCGTATTTACTCCAGTTTCCTAATACTAGCACAGATAACACATAATCATACTAGTTAATTTTTTATTGGAATAGAAGTAATTTTTATTAGAAGGTACAAAAAATTAAAAATCTAAAATTTTATTTTCATAGCTACGTTTTTATAGCCTTAGGATGCCTCATGTACTAACGAATACGAAATATATAATATAATCAATACATATTTCTTTAAATATCGAGAAACAAAATATGTTTTGGCAACACCGTACGAAATATCGCCGCGCGTAGTCCTCAAAATTTAAAATATTAGCATTTTCAGGCTTCGATTATGTTCAAAAGCGCCACCGTGTGACAAATCACTAAAGCTTCCACACGAGAGTTCTTAAAACTATAATATTCTTTGCCCATATCTTTAATACAATTACGCTATAACATCATAGTTACCATGAAAAAAATAATAATTATCAAAATTTCATATGTCTGTTAAGCAATTTAAGAACAAAATGTGAATTTTAGTTTAATTTGTTGTATTAAGTATAAATGGTAGAGGTAGAGAAAATAGTTACAGATTTTTCTGAAAATTAATTGGTCAATGTGACTGATATACACGACCAAGCCAAGATATAAAACATATTTTTTAGTTCTGTGCTATATATTATATAGTACTTTGCTAAGTACTATAAGAATAGATGTAGATTATCTGAAAAACATTTTCATATTATATTATATTATTTTCAGTGTGTAATGGGACGGTTTCGCGGTAGTAGTAATATTGGCTTTACGAAATGAATTATAAACCAGAATTACTACGAGAAAAAAAACTTTACTGTATGTCGAAGAAAATTCCTATATCAGTAGTCGTCAACAATTAGGTAATTTAGTTAGTATTACACTAATCTGTGGCTATTCGCTCCCACTGAAAATCTAAGTGTCATCTTTCATAATATTCACGAGTTCCAGAAATTCACGACTAAGATTTTAGTTTATTTGTGTAAAGTTAGTTAATTTTAACTAATAATAACAATTGTGTAACTAATTATAAACTACTTGTTAAAGATAAGTAATAAATATTTTTGTTTTGTCACGGTAACTATGATGTTACAGCGTAATTGTATTAAAAATATGGGTAAAAAATAGAAAAAATTGGAATAAATCGCAAACTATTAAAAATAGGTATATGACGTACTTAATAAAAGTTGAAGAGCTTTGCAAAATCTATCAGAAAAAATAAAAATATATAGCGTGCGCCGTTTAAAAAAATTGAGATTTTTTAATTTTAAGTAGTTGAAATTCATAAAAATATTTTGAACACCCTGTAGCATTTAACTAAAATACCTTTACATATATCTTTTTTTTTCATCCCTATAAAACTCATACAAATTTTGATAGTCCAACTTCAGAAACAATGGTACCACTGACAATTTTTTACCATACTGCAATTTAACATTTGATTAACCAAATTTAAATATTACAAAAACTATTAATTTTAGGTATATAACATTATATATAAAAAATTTATGGAATTTTACGCAGAATCTAAAAATAAAATAAAAAATAGGGTGTTGCATTTAAGAAAACATACGTTATATTCGCCACACTTTTTTGAAGCATCCTGTATACTTTATAATAATTTTAAAATGTGTATCTTAATCTTCCCTATAACTTTTATATTTAACCTTTTTTCGTAAACCTAGAAACAAATGAGATAATGGACTTTACTCTATCGTTGACTCACCCTGTACATGTTTTATTTATACAATATTTATTTTAAGTGAACTTTATGAAAAATTCATTAACATGGAGAATTGATTTGAGGTTTATAATTATCTATATTTGGTCATTTAAAAAAAATAATTCTGTAAACAGAAATAAATAAATATATAAATTATTATGTTTTCAAGTATAAAAATCTGTTTTTATTGTCATGAATGTAAATATAAGTAAAAAATTCTAAAGTATCACAATGTCTCTCTGTTCTCATATAGCCGTTTCTCTGTGCGGCATCGACACGTATTCGGCGTCCAGCGCAATTCGCAGTCTCGACTAAATCGCAAAATCACATTATTATTTTTTCCTGTCGATACTTTTCAGAAAATCAAAAAACTAATTGCACATTCTCATAGCCACTTTATTAGGGCTATCTGACAGTATTTTTATATCTTCAAGTTAGTTGATAATTTGTGAGATGTTCGTATCTATTACGGTTATCGAGATACCAATGCTCGTACCTCGAATTTGTAGCACCCTGTATATAATTTATTAGTTTAAGTTTTGATAATTATGTATTATTTTTTATATAATAATATTTTAATATAGTTTTAGATATATAATAGGTATATTATATGGATTGAAAATATTAAAAAATTCTTCTTTACAGTTATGACTAATTTTAGTTGCTCTCAGGTATAATTCAGATTGTTTCGATTTAAATTATACGATTGTTGACAGAGTCTTATTATTTACTATTTATTATATTATTTATGATGATTTATTATTTTTAGAGTTTTTTATAATTTATTTTGTATAAAGTGTTATACAGGATGTCCCAGGCTGAGCGTGCATTAGGAGTTTCTAGAGAACCACAATATCTAGATCGGAGATTTTTTGCACATTATTGTTTCACAGCGAGATCTATCAATTAAAAATATTTTCAATATGGCGGCGCTTCCGGAAATACCGGAAGTTGACAGCAACTTTCTTATTTTAAATGAGTACTGCCATTTTTATTACATACTTAGATTCTCTGTAAAAAATTATGAATTTTGATATTAAACACTCTATTCCTAACGTTAACCGTTTTTGGAAAAAAAAATTATTTAAAATTTTTGGACGAAAAAAACCGCTTGTCAAAAATATGTGTATAGCCTAAACGTCAAATTTAGTGATTACCCCAGCCACTGTGCCATAAAGAGAAGACATATGACTCTCTGTTTCAGAAACTAAATTGTTGAAATGTCATATAATAATAGCGGTAGCTGTCATGGAATTGAGCGATTAAAAAATTATCATAAATCTTTTTTTTTCAAATGCAAACCAACTTTTTTTATTTCACTAGTAAAAAGGTTTTTCAGTTCGTTGCGTTTTAACTATACATGTACCTATACCTAAAATAAATCGTTTTTAAGTTATTTAAGATTTAGTTTGAAAACGTATATTTTTTGACTTTATCTAGCTTCCCTTGACATTAAATAAGTGTCAAACAGTAAGACAATTTATTTCAGACAGATTATTTGAATTTTCTATATTATAAGACCACTGCTAAGAGTTTAAAAAGTGTATTTATAAAAATATATCTCGTATTTTCTCTCTTTAGTGATATCTAATAGTTGATATTATTAATAATATAACGTATGATCGAAAAAAAAACAGCGCAAAGTTGGCTTGTAAATAATGATCGATAACATACTGCTTTTTGAATAAGTGTCATAATATGACATATATATTGTTTAAATCACTTGACGTTTAAAGTCATAGGCTACTGGTTAAAATAAAGAAAAATATACGTTAAAACTAGATCTTAAATAACTTAAAAACGATTTATTTTATGTATAGGAACATGTATAGTCAAAAATTTCCATTTGAAAAAAACGATTTATGATAAATTTTTAATAGCTCAATTCCATGAAAGCTGCGGCCATTATTATATGACATTCGAACAATTTAATTGAAATAGATAGCCACATGTCTTCTCTTTATGGCACAGTGGCTGTGGTAATCACTAAATTTGACCTTTAGGCTATACACATATTTTTGACAGGCAGTTTTTTTCGTCCAAAAATTTTAAATATTTTTTTCTCAAAAACGGTTAATGTTAGGTACAGAGAGTTTAATATTAAAATTCATAAAATTTTACAAAGAATTTAAATATGAAATAAAAAATGGGGGCACCCATTTAAAATAAGAAAGTTGCTGTCAACTTCCGGTATTTCCGGAAGTGCCGCCATATTGACAATATTTTTAATCGATAGATCTCGCTGGGAAACTATGATGAGCAAAAAATCTCCGATCTAGATATTGTAGTTCTCTAGAAACTTCTAATGCACGCTCAGCCTGGGATACCCTGTATATCTATATTATTTCGTCTATTATAGAGTAGATGAATCAATAGCAACATTTGAATTTAATTAAAAACATATTCATAAGCACAGTTTTTAGATTCAAATTATAAAAATTCGTTATTAATTCTTTACCGTTCTTTAAACTATAAAATTATATACCTTGTGGTGCATCGGAACACGAGACAGGAAATCTCATGTTAATTTTGAAAAAGTCCAATACTATCTCCCCGGATGATTTTATGCAAAAGTTGTATTAGAGTTTCTAGGAATATTTGATTTAATCAAAGAGACTTATTTTATTCACTACTCTAAATTTTTTCAAAAGAGGTTTATCAGTGCGTGTGTGATTATTGCGGTATATATTTGCCGGAATCTGTTTTATCGAGTTACACAAAAGACTGTAATATTTAAAAACTATTTTACTAGGGCGAAAGAATTGAGGGAATCGCAGAAACAAGTCCATAAATGTGCCATATGTGGCTTTCAAACAAGACATAGATCAAATCTTTGGAAACACAAGAAAATTCACTTGGCACCGGAAGAACGATATATATTTGCTTGTGCGCAGTGTGACCGGAAATATAAGTTAAAGCGGAGTTTACAAAATCACATCAAATTTCATCATATTGATTCCAGGTAAATTAATTGTTAATATTCCGGAGGAATCTGGTTTTATACAGTATGTCCCCGGATTATCTTTACAAGAGGAAAAACTTTTTTGTTATTGACATTAGAAAAAAACATTCTTCATAAAAAAATTTGCTTGTTCTAGTTGCCGGTTAATCCCGTAAAATATAGTTGAATTTTTGTCCTGAGAATCAAAACGCGTTTCTATGGTAATATAATTTCGTTTTCATTCTTTGATAGAGTGTTATTAATATAATTTTAATTAAGGTCATATTTTTTGCTGTTTTAAAATGTCAAAGAAGCACAAAATTTATTTAATGGGCATGTTCCAAAAAATATAAATTCGCAAATAAATCATTGTATTGCATAAATTAAGTCTTCATTACTTACAATACATAGGAAATTAGAAAAAATTCCATGATATCATTTTAGAAATTAAATTATAATTTCAAACTTGAACATTCCCGTTTGAGTTGTGACGTACATAGCCTTCACCAATCACGTTTCAGATCGTAGAAAGGGAAGTTTCATATCATGTGTTGGTATGACTGATTGCCTGGCTCATGCGTATCGGGCGCAGATGGGGTGCAGCCATTTTGGATTTTGTTATTATTTTTCTTGCTTTTCAGTTCAGCGGTAAATTTTCTTGGTTATAACTTTTAATTTTATCTAAATGGGCTCAAAACTATGAAAAAACTTTTTCGGATCATTTTGAAAGGTGACGGAGTATATGGTGGACAGTTTTTATATAGACAATTTAAAATACTTAAGTGCTGATATAAAGAAGTTAAAATATCAAAGTGAGATTTTTTTTCTTGAAGTTATTTAAAAGTAATAAAACCATTGTTTATAGAGCATAGAGTGAATCATAATGATAACAGTTTGATTGTATACGTTCAATAAAAAGAGGCTTCTGTACAATCAAACAAAAAGTATACCTGAACATTATGTGACTTTTTAAATGATAAATAAATATGTAGGTTTTTTTTATTTATATATTTATATTTTAATTTTAGGCGGCATGTAAACATTATGTCATACATAACAAATAAAATCAAGAAAGATACCACGCTATGATTTATGTAGAATGAAGGAAGATAACATCTTACTTTCTAGCAACTTTTATTGTCTTGTCTTCTCATAATATATATATATATATATATATATATATATATATATATATATATATATATATATATATATATATATATATATATATATATATATATATATATATATATATATATATATATATATATATATATATATATATATATGTATCTATAGCGGGTTAATTGTAAATTGACTGCCCTGATATTCAGTAAGTCTTATCACCATCAAAATGTAAATTATTACAATAAAACATTAATAAAGTAAAAGTAAAGTAATTAAAACACTTTATATTTACTTGCCTTTTAATTTAATAAATTTAAAAAATAATAAAATATGTATATGTAATAGCAAAATAAAAACACTAAATCACCACAATACACCAAAACACTTTTGCTTTTACACTGGACGCGCGTTTCGCTAACCATGTTAGCATCATCAGCAGATGATTATAAACTAAAGTACAATCTACAAGTTGAGCGGTTATATACTCGCCCAATACACACCGAGTAGGCGTGGCAAAATCTAGCCAACCGAGTCAGAGCCCACTGAGCGTAACAGTTATTTCCGCCACTAGAGTAGTAGGAACAAAGAACTTGAAGGAATTGGACCGTTGTCTCTGTTCATACTATCTTTACATTTATTAATTCTGATGCTTTCATATGCATCTAATTGCCTGTAATTTGAGACTTGTTTAATTAATTTTAAATTATTAAGATCTATACAATGCTCTTAATCAACAATATGTTCGGCAGCGCAAGATTTATCCGGCCTACCATATCTTATCTGAGCTAAATGTTCTTTAAATCTAGTTAATATTGATCTTCTAGTTTGCCCAACATATTTCTGATTACAATCTTTACAAGAAATCTCATAAATACCCGACCTTTCCAGTGGAGGTGTTTTATCCTTTGGATTACCTCATAATTGTTGTAATTTATTATTAGCACTATACACAAGTTTATAATTGACATTCTTAAAAATTCCTTTTAGACCACGGGATAGCTCTCTATCAAACGGTATTGAAAAATATTTAGACGTATCTTTCTCCACTTGAAAAGTCGAATTTTCAGAAATCATTAACCTATACCTACGTTCTCTAATTAATTTATCAGCTAGTGAAGGAGAATATCCATTACACTCAGCTACATTCCTAATGTAATCTCTTTCTATTTCATATCGTTCGTTGGAAAGTGGGAAACTAAGTAATCTATGAATTAAGAAATTTAAACTAGCCATTTTATGTTCAACACTATGATGTGATTCATTAGGAATATATCTGCGTGTGGTGGCATTTTTCCTATAGATATCAAATTCCAGGCAATTATTAGTATTTCTAATAACTAATACATCTAGAAAAGGTAATCTGTCGTTGTTCTCAATTTCATGCGTAAATTTAATGGAAGGAGAACGATTATTTAACTTAGAAATAAAATTATCTATGGTGTCTGAATGTGTGTCAAAAACAGCAAAAATATCATCCACATACCTCAACCATACTCTTGGAAAATACTCAAACTGATTCCTAGCCTCCACTTCAAACCTGCTCATGAATAAATTAGTAATAATGGAGTTTATAATCATCTGCTGATGATGCTAACATGGTTAGCGAAACGCGCGTCCAGTGTAAAAGTAAAAGTGTTTTGGTATATTCTGGTGATTTAGTGTTTTTATTTTGCTGTGTAACACCAAAGGTTCCAGCCCTTAACTGTAATATATGTAATACACAATGTATGTTCCCTTCGAATCTTCCTGATATATATAACACTCTTAAAATATAATATTTTATGCTTATATAATAAACATTATTGATCAAATTTTAATACATTTAATAACAAAACTTTAAAATAAAATATTTACTTGATTTTATGTAAAAAGGCACAGCATTAGAGCCTTATTTTATCTATATAATGTATTTTATTAATGGTCTTCTGAAATAACTTAACCATGAACGTATTTATTAACATTCTTGGTGCCCACAGAATTTGTCACACTTCTCTAACTTTTCTTGGTCAGATAGTAGACGTACTTTTCATGATCAGATTGTAGCGTACCTGTTTTATACCATAACTGTGAATGCTGTGATTTTCCGGAAATACTATTAATCTTAGTTATCAGGAATTACATTTTTTTTCAAATTAATTTTCCCCCACCTTCTTCCACATGTAAAAAACAGGCCATTAATGATTTAACAAATCAAACATAATATAAACTCACTTTGAAATGTTTTGAAATCACATTCATAGCTTAAGAGAAGTTTTCTGAAAAAAAAACAGCATTTACGATTTTCCATGGCTCGTATAAAAACATTTTATTATAGTTACTGGTAAATGTTATCCAACAATGGAACAATTAATTTTTTAGCATTATTGGAAATAGTTTAAATGCAAATTTAATTTAAAATCAAAAATAAAATAAAACAATAACAACAATAACATAATAAGTAAACAATGTCATTTTGACATTGAATAAACAGCAATGCTGCAAACATCATAAAATTCACCAAGTTTATTTCGAGACGAAAACCAGCCAATCATATTGGCGAGGGCTACATACGTCATCGCAGCGGGCGTAAGTGTGAAATTCAAACTTTTACCCCATTTTTTGGCATAATATTAAGTTTTATATAAAAAAGGCTACGTAGCAAGCACTAGTTAGGTTGAAATCTGCATAATTACGTGGAAATTGAAAAACATGAAACATGCCCATTGAATGCTACGGAAAGAGTGATAATAGTTTTAGAAAAAATCGAAATTATATTACCATAGAAATGCCTTTTGATTTCTAGGACTTAAGTCAACTATAACTTGACTAAGTCAACCATATTTTCATGTTTTTTTTAAAATTTTCTCTAAAATGGTATGGAAATTTAGAAAAGACAAACGGGATTAACCATTTTAGAACAAGCAAAAATTGTTATGAAGAATGCATTTTTCTTAAAATGTCAATAATAACAAAGTTTTTCCTCTGGTAAAGACAATCCGTGTACATACTGTAGAGTTATGAGTTATAACTCTAGATCATATATACTTACGTGGATAAGTAAATCACTATGGAAACTGTCGCAAACATATCAACTCCTTCCATTTATCTTCTTTTTTTTGCCCACGCGGTGCTTCTACTCTATCCTTGTCGAGGACGTAGCATCCACGCGCCAAATTTGAACATTAATTTTAAAAATTTAATTTGTAAAATGCATATATTTGAACAATAAATTGAATGTTTACTGTCACAAAAATTAAATTATATAAAAAATACATTTAGCCACTCCATACGAATATCAATATTAGAAAATCTAACCAGAAAGTATCCATGTGGTTTAATATAAATAAAAGGACAACTGAATACTTTACTTGTTTTTGAAAAAATAATTCGGGGACCTTTATATTAGAACCACACACCAAACATTTTCTAGTAATTTTTACGAGTATTTAGGAAGTCCAACGAAAAAAAAAATAGAAATATAATTGCACAAACTTAAAATAAATTCTCACTAAACACACTTGCATTCTTGGCTATATAAAAGCGGTCGATAAAAGAGTAATTAATACAATTTTTAAAATAAAAAACGCAAAAAATAAGTGTCGTTACACAATGGAAATAAGATTCATAGATAAAAGAAACAAGTTTAGATTGGAAAGTGCCAATAAGGACAATGTAAATACTATTTGGCGCTATTCTTGCAACGGTCGCGACCCAAAGCTTTTAATAATTTCGGAGCGGTTCGGCTTTTTTCGGAATTATATCGCCAAATATTGTTTATTCAAATTTATTATTATTTTATTTTAATTTTATAAATAAAATACAGTGTGTTGCATACAAGAAACTTTATTTTATATAAGGACATGTATGAAATACCTATGAAACATTGAAAACCGACGTTATGCCACGATCCACGATGGTTTTTGCAGTTCACAGCACAGATTTTTAAGTTTTTAATGCCACTTTTACACAATTATTACGGATTTGAGTAAATAAGACAATACAAGAGATATGGACAAAAGAAAATTATTTCTGTTTTTGTTTGCGGTTGTTCTTAGCAACCGCTATAGCAGCGCCAGATCGCGACCCAAAACAATTTCGCGACTCGCGATCCAAAATATTGACAGGCATTCCGATCTAAATTTATTTCCTTTATCTATGATAAGATTATGACCAATTATGACATATGATTATGACAATATACTGACAATGAAAAGTTGGTTTCCACAATGTAAAATTTGTACTATCTAAATCGTATAAAATTGTTATTATTTTGGAAATGCATATTTTTTTTTACTTTTAATGCGCACGCGCAAAGTAAGGTCCTCGGAAAAGATAAACCTATTGAACGTTTCATAAGACTTATGAATATAAACGCACTAAGTGCAATAAAGAAGGTTTGAAAATGGCATGTCATGATGTTGGAGACATATTTTTTAATGCTAAACTTATGGCGTTGATTTATCCACGTAAATATATAATATGATCTAGGGTTATAACCCGCTATAACTGAAGAAAGGGAACACACAATAGATCTGTATGGTCGCAGTGATTAAGCCCCCTCCTAAACATTCTACATTCTAGTGCAGAGTTGCAAGGCTGTGATATTAAAAAAAATATATTTGATTAGGTCGGAGCAGAAAAAGGTCTATAGATGTGCCATATGTGGCTTTCAAACTTTACACATGAGAAGTCTACACTTCCACAAAAAATATAAAGTGTGGCATATCATTGTACTCAGGAGACCGAGTTTTTAAAACTTTTAGTGGCATAAGGCTCAACTTTGCCCCTATTTAACCATCTTCGTATCTATTACGGTTTCCGAGATACCTATGCTCGTACCTCGAATTTGTAGCACCCTGTATATTATGAAATTTAAAATGCTATTTTTTATTGAAATTGTCAGCCTTGTCAGCCTTATGACATCGCTACTTCAAAACTACAACTAGATATCTCTAAAATCATAGTTTTGACAACTTGAATAGGCAGCTCAGTTGTTGTAATATCCTGCAAATTTATTTGGAAAATATCTACTTTTGACGCTTCAAATATATAGGGGATGGCGTCACTTTTAAGTTATCTAGTTGTTGCAAATAGAAAGATAATCCAAAATAACGAAGGTTGGTAGAGTTAACTACAAACAGCCAATTTTTATCTAGTTGTTAGCCTAAGAGTTATCTAGTTGTAGTTTTGAGATGGCGATATACAGGGTGAGTCTTAAATAAGTGCAAATATTTTCAGGGCTGGTAGAGCTCGATAAAAGAAATTTTATTTAAGTTTGAATATTAAAAAAAATTGATTTTTTTTTGAAAAAATTTTGAGAGCCACCGGATTTTTTCTGTATTTGCATCCCTTTTATTGCCGTAACCATAGAGTAAAGCCGTAACTATGGTAATATCTGAGATTAAGAAATTATACCGTGGGAAAATTTGCGGTGAACGGGCAGTTCTAAAAAGTTTTCGAAAAATATACAGGGAAATTTAAAAGAAAATGCACGATTTTTAACATCTTTTTTAGCAAAAAAACCTCATAGACGTGTTCCTGTGGTCGAAATATACCACCCCTGAAAATATTTGCACTTATTTAAGACTCACTCTTTATAATTCTATTCAGAATGCCATTTTCTATCAATTAAAGTAAAAAATACCAAGGGTACATTTAAAAATCAAAAGTTGTAGTCATTTCCGGTGAAACAGGAAGGAAACGGAACTAACTGAATACGTCAATGAATCCTCATTTATGCCATATACTAACATAACAAAAAAAACTATAGGGGCCAGCCACTTTTGAAAAACACCTGGTATTAGCATCACATTAAATACTCTAAATTTTTGGTCACCGTTTTAAAATTTGAAACTATTCAAAATAATTGCAACTATCAAAAAAGTTCTTTGAAATATTGCCATTGAAACGGAAATGTCCAGACAGATATTTTGCTAATTTAATTGTTTATTGTTTCCAGAAACGCTGAAACTCAAACCGATGAACTAATATTAGATTCTTTGAAAATGGAAATTGATGATTACACTCCACATTTGGATGACTTTAAGTAAGTTTCTTTAAATGTATATTTACTAATATAATGATAATAATGTAATTTATTAATTCCAGAAATGCTGAACGTGTAGCGGTGACTAATAAAGTAAAATCAGAAGATTTTTTAAAAATAGAAATTGATGATAATGACACCCCGATTTTAAATAAAGAAATCCACCATGACCTTAGGTATGTTTTTTTTCTGTATATATAAAAAAAATGTATTTTAACTAATTGATACACAGTGTTTTAAATATTTTTTTATTGTTTCCAGAAATACCGACTATTTACCTATAACTAAGAAGTTATATATTAACAAAGATATTTAAACTCAAGAGATACAATTGTTTACGTTTTTCCATTATCGGACATTATTTCATCCTTATTTTCCCGTCTTTCTTACCCCAAAAACGTTTGCCAGATTTACTTATATATCCAATTAATACTCGACTAACACCACAATCAATTATGAAGAAATAAATAATTTCGTTATATTTCTATATTTATATCAAGTACATTAATTTTCTAACGTCAACTTTTTGTATAATACTTAATTGCTTTATTATTTTTAATTTTTTAATGGAATAAAATATCAAAGTGGTCTTTCTTTAAAAAAAAACAGCAGTTTAGCAACGTCACTCTTAGGAATTTACGACGTAGTAAAACGGAAATCGAGTCAGAATGAATATTCGAAGCAGCTGCTAGTGCGATATTGCCATTCCGCCGGTAGGTGTTTTGTGTATTTTTACTGTTTAATTGTGGTTTTTAACATTTTTGTGATATTTTGTGGACTTGTGTAAACATTTTTTTGAAAATATGGTACATCCGTGTGTTGTGTGCAAGAGAGTGGATCATTTAAATCCACATTTAACTTTTCATCGGTAAGTAGGGTTATGATTCTTGTTTCTAAATACAGAGGCGGTACCTAAAATAATAAAGAGAATATTTCTAAATCTAAATATTATCTTTTATCTTTAAATATTTTTTATTTATATTATCTTTTCGATAAAAAATAATGTATTGATATTGAGACCAGGGTTCGGAAGTAGGTAGTTAATTAGGACCTAATTTACCTGATTATCTACGTGTAGTTTTTCTGTAAAAACTACGTCTTTTCTCGTTCATTAACTACATGAAAACTATACTCTAATAAACTACATATTGTTATTACATCTACATATATACAATGCTAATGTTTATCTGTGTCGCGTCGTCTCTGCAGAAGTAACGACTTGCTCTAGAAAGTTGCTTTTTTTACTAAAAGATAGTTAATTGGCTCTTCTAAAAACTGTCGTCGCCGGCTTTTTTGTTTTTCATGTAATTAAAAAAAAATAAAAAGTTTTTTTTCCTGATGTCGCATGTCGTGGCGGATGCGCCAGGCATCAACTAGTATTTATATAAACTTTTATGTATATTTTTCGGTTCTGAATACGTACTTGAAGTATTCACATTTCTTCAAGAATCAACCTGTATAAAAAAAGAAAATATAAGTTTAGAGTCTGATCTTTATATTTAGTACTTATTTTATTTTTTTAAAGGAATAATTCATTATTGTAATTATTTCTTACTAAAAGTATTAGGGTACGTTTATGTTGGAGCTGCGATAAACGATAAAAGCAGTGAATTAGCGCTGCTCTTATCGTTGCTCAACTGCTAAGCGTATCTCGACGCGTTGCTCCAATATAAACACCTACATATAAATTAATATAATAATATTCTTTGCTTCGCTACTATCGCTGCTCTTATCGTTTATCGCTGCTCCAACATAAACGCACCCTTAGTCATTTCATAAGACACCTAACATGTTGCTTTTTTCTAATAAAATGAAATAAAAACATATTGATTTTTTTTATTCGTAATATTTCATAATAAAAATGTATGTTAGTTTTTGTTTATTTCAATATCCTTCATAGTTTTATTTTAGTATCCTCCCTCAACTTAATTTTTATTACAAGCCAACAAATGAGGCGTCAATTTGCAAAACCCGCCTTATCCATTTAAAAAAAATGGCCTATGACATATATTAATAGTGGACCCCGAATACTACATAATCCCAAACTGCAGTAAAAGTCGCCAGTCCTATATAAAAGTCACTACAATTTACGTTACTGTAGCAAAATCCGTCTTATCCACTTATATTTTCTTTTTATGGTCATTATTGTTATAAATTCCGCATTTTTTCATAAGCTTTTTATACGAGTATATTACTACTGACGTCTTCAAATCCTTACTTAATTTTAATAAAATAGTATATTTAATAAATCAAGTTAGGATGCAAGTAACGTATGATCGAAAAAAAATAGCTAGGAAATGATGGTCGATGGATGACATTTCCCATATAAAAGGACAGCGTTCTTCATTTCATAGCCATCGCTGATGCCGTTTTTTCTTGATCATATTGTATCAACACCCGTAGATGCATCATACAGCAACAAAACCCGCCTTATCCGAATTATTTTTGTGTTTTTTCTGTATAAAAATTAAATATTCATTTTTATTTCTAGAAAAACGAGATACAAAACAATGATTCCCCTCAGTGGACAGGTTTTTTGTAAATTAACGCTTCAAACATTTGCTAAAACAGTTTTTGCTTATTATCTCGAAACAACGTGTTTGGGGCGGGTTTTGCAACTTATCATATTAACACACTCAAATATTGATGTTTTATTTTTTTAATTTTCTTAAAATACTATCGGTCAATCTGCACGCCACTGGAAATTAATGACCTCAACCGTCTAATCTTTGTAAACAACTACATTGTTGCCGTTGCGCCGATACCCTATTCCCTTCTTTGCCCATTCTCTCTCGCACTCGTTGATTTTCGCAAACCAATGTGTGATGAAGGTTTAGAGCGTTTGTGAATGGATCGTTGTATCTACTGAGTTTAAATATCTTTGTATATTAAGCTGGTAAATTTTATAAAAATAGAAATTGATGTCAAAATGTCAAATTCAACGAGTGTAACCATAATTTCTCGATATATAACTGCTTCCAGATTATTACTTTTAAATATTTTTATATTATTTGCAACGTTGAAAATTGTTTAAAAATTATTATTTGTGAATGTTTGAAAAAAAAATAGCATGTTCTATTCAGAGTAACAATTACTTTTTGTGCAAAATTACTTTGCAAAAAGGTGGCAATCCTAATTTAGAAAAGAGTATTTTTTATGAATAATTTGATACCACATACTCGGTATTTCGAGTCAAATTGTCATTGCCCTTGCCATTTAGGGCCATGGCAATATACATATTATGAAATTTAAAATGCTATTTTTTTATTGAAATTGTGAGAAGTTGACATACATGTGATATCGCTACCTCAAAACTACAACTAGATATCTCTAAAATCATAGTTTCGACAGCTTGAGTAGACAGCTCAGTTGTTGTAATATCCTGCAAATTTATTTAGAAAATATCTACTTTTGACGCTTCAAATATAAAGGGGATGGCGTCACTTTTAAGTTATCTAGTTTGTTGCAAATAGAAAGATAATCCAAAATAACAAGGTAACAAAGGTTGGTAGAGCTCAAGGACTGTTCGATCGCGTCAAATCGCCGCTGTCGTGGTCGCCGTGGAATGCTACGTCACGCGCTGACCAGCGCTCCACAGTGCGGCGGATGGTTATTCTAGCGGGACAAAATCTCAAGAGCAATGTTTGGGACTTAAAATCTAAGAACGTAGCAAATGGTCTAATATTTAGCAACTATATGGTTAAATTTATTTATTTATTAACAACTTAATTTATTAATAAATAAATACAAGATAATAAAACTATGATATTATTCGTACATCACACACAAACCGTATTGTAAACTACTGCCAAATACATAAAATTATGATATCAGGTGAAATACTTACAAATAACTCTTTAGCACCCTCTGTATTTTATTTTAAAAAATTATACTTTATTTTAAAAATATTAATTAAGATAGATATTTTAATTTTAACACTCGGTAATTGTAAATTCATATATAGTAAGTATCTAAGACAATTTTATAAACTCAGTGCCTTTTGATGGAGTTGTTTTGTTTTTATACTATACGATTGAAATGAAACTTTTTGGGCATTCACCTGTTAAGCTTGAACTCCCTGTGACTATGACTACCTGTGTTGGTAACTATTGGTAACTAAAAGATCCACATCATTCAATATATCGATATTTGAAAAAAAGTGAAAGTTTGATATCTGCAGAACAAAGGCACGAAGGATTTTAACAAATAATATACATACAGTAGAAAAGTACATACCTTTGGCAATCTTCAACATAATTTGGCTTTGGAATAAAATGTATAAGCACTTGTAAATATTTTGTTTTCGTATGATCTCTGCCTTGCTGAGCAGAAAACGACCAAATTTGGTTGATAAAAATGTATCGAAATACAAAGAATATTCATGCATTTTTATATCTTTTATATCAATTGGAATGTCTACTATTTATTCTTAGAGTACACATTTTTTGGCATATTTCTAACCAAACGCTTTTGTCCCGCTAAATTTATCTTCCAACGCACTGTGCGCTCGTCCGTCAAATGCAAAAATAACTGTCACTGTCTAAAATCTTTAGCGCCAACTTCAACTCGGTCCCCAGATGACGTAAAAAAACTGACAGTGCAGGAAGATAGGAATCGAACTATCCTTATCTCTATAGTATCCTTGGGTAGAGCTAACTACAAACAGCCAATTTTTATCTAGTTGTTAGTTTAAGAGTTATCTATATATATAGTTGTAGTTTTGAGGTGGCGATATACAGAGTGAGTCTTAAATAAGTGCAAATATTTTCAAGGCTCGTAGATCTCGATAAAAGAAACACATTTTCTCTTTACCATTTTTCAGATAAGTCCAAAATAATCGAGTTATTTAAGTTTGAAAATTAAAAAAAAAGAATTTTTTTTTAAAATTTTCAAACTTAAATATTTTTTTGTTTCTGTATTTGCATTCCTTTTATTGCCGTAACCATAGAGTAAAGCCAATATCTGAGATTAAGATATTATACCGTGGGAAAGTTTGCGGTGAACAGGCAGTTCTAAAAAGTTTTCGAAAAATATACAGGAAAATTTAAAAGAAAATGCACGATTTTCAACATCTTTTAGCGAAACTAGCTCAAAACTTTTAGCGAACTTTTTTTAGCAAAAAAAAACCTCATAGACGTGTTCCTGGGGTCGAAATATACCACCCCGACAATATTTGTACTTTGCCATTTTCTACCAAATAAAGTAAAAAAATACCAAGGGTATAATTTAAAAATCAAAAGTTGTGGTCATTTCCGGTGAAACAGGAAGCAAACGGAACTAATTGAATACGTCAATGAATCCTCATTTATGTCATATACTAACATAACAAAAAAAAGCTATAGGGGTGAGCCCCTTTTGAAAAACACCCGCTATCACATTAAATACTCTAAATTTTTGGTCACCGTTTTAAAATTTGAAACTATTCAAAATAATTGCAACTATCAAAAAAGTTCTTTGAAATATTGCCATTGAAACGGAAATGTCCAGACAAATATTTTGCCATTTTAATTGTTTATGGTTTCCAGAAACGCTGAATCTCAAACGAATGAAGTAATATTAGATTCTTTAAAAATGGAAATTGATGATTACACTCCACTTTTGGATGACTTTAAGTAAGTTTCTTTAAATGTATATTTACTAATATAATGATAGTAATGTAATTTATTAATTCCAGAAATGCTGAACATATAGCGGTGACTAATAAAGTAAAATCAGATGATTTTTTAAAAATAGAAATTGATGATGATGAGACCCCGATTTTATATACAGAAATGCACCATGACCTTAGGTATGCTTTTTTTCTATATATATAAATGTATTTTAACTAATTGATACACAGTGTTTTAAATATTTTTTATTGTTTCCAGAAATACCGAAAATTTACCTATAACTAAGAAGTTATATATAAAGCAGGTAGATTTTATTAAAGTAGAAATGATGATGACACCCCGATTTTAAATAAAGAAATGCAGGATGACTAGGTATGTTTTTTTTCTGTACAGGGTGAGTCAACGATAGAGTAAAGTCAATTATCTCATTTGTTTCGAGGTTTACAAAAAAATGTTAAATATAAAAGTTATAGGGAAGGTTAGGATACACATTTTAAAATTATTATAGAGTATACAGGGTGCTTCAAAAAAGTGTGGTGGATATAACATATGTTTTTTTAAATGCAACACCCTATTTTTTATTTTATTTTAAGATTCTGTCTAAAATTTCATAACTTTTTTGTATATAATGTTATATACTTAAAATTGATAGTTTTTGTAATATTTAAATTTGTTTAAACAAATGTCAAATCGCAGTGTGATAAAAAATTGTCAGTGGTACCATTGTTTCTGAAGTTGGAATACCAAAATTTGGTATGAGAGTTTTATAAAGATGAGAAAAAAAATATATGTAAAGATATTTTAGTTAAATGCTACAGGGTGTTCAAAATATACTTATAAATTTCAACTACTTAAAATTAAAAAATCTCTGATTTTTTAAATGGTACACCCTATATATTTTCATTTTGTCTGATAGATTTTGCAAAGCTCTTCAACTTTTATTAAATATGTCATATACCTATTTTTAATAGTTTGCGATTTATTCCAATTATTTCTATTTTTACCATATCTTTAATAAAATTAGGTACGCTATAACATCATAGTTGCCATGACAAAAAATAATAATGATCAAAATTTCATATGTCTGTTAAGCAAGTTAAGAACAAAACGTGAATTTTAGTTTACTTTGTTGTAATAAGTATAAATGGTAGAAGTAGAGATAATAGTTTTACAGATTTTCCGGAAAATGAATTAGTCAATGTGACTGATATACACGAACAAGCCAAGATAAACATATTTTTTTGGCTCAGTACTATATATTACATAGTACTTTGCTAAGTACTATAAGAATAGATGTAGATTATCTAGAAAACATTTTCATATTATATTATATTATTTTCAGTGTGTAATGGGACGGTTTCGCAGCTGTAATATTGGCTTTATGAAATGAATTATAAACCAGAAACAAAACTGTATGACTGTATGTCGAAAAAAATTCCTATATCGGTAGTCGTCAACAATTAGATAATCTAGTTAGTATTACCCTAATCTGTGGTTATTAGCCCCGACGGAAAATCCAAGTGTTATCTTTCATAATATAGAAATACACCAAGAAATTCACGATTGCGATTTTAGTTGATTTGAGTAAATTTAATTAATTTTAACTAATAATAACACTTATTGCAATTAATTATTAAACTACTTGTTAAAGATAAGTAGTAAATACTTTCGTTTTGTCACGGCAACTATGATGTTATAGAAAAAATTGGAATAAATCGCAAACTATTAAAAATAGGTATATGACATACTTAATAAAAGTTGAAGAGCTTTGCAAAATCTATCAGAAAAAATGAAAATATATAGGGTGTACCATTTGAAAAATTTGAGATTTTTTAATTTTAAGTAGTTGAAATTCATAAATATATTTTGAACACCCTGTAGCATTTAACTAAAATATCTTTACATATATCCTTTTTTTCATCTTTATAAAACTCTCATACCAAATTTTGGTATTGCAACTTCAGAAACAATGGTACCACTGACAATTTTTTATCACACTGCAATTTACCATTTGTTGGAATTTGGAATTTATGGAATTTTACGCAGAATCTAAAAATAAAATAAAAAATAGGGTGTTGCATTTAAAAAAATATATGTTATATCCGCCACACTTTTTTGAAGCACCCTGTATACTCTACAATAATTTTAAAATATGTATCTTAACCTTCCCTATAACTTTTATATTAAACATTTTTTTGTAAACCTCGAAACAAATGAGATAATAGACTTTACTCTATCGTTGACTCACCCTGTACAGGGTGTTTTAAAAAACATGTGGCCGTCTCTCGTGGGGAGATTCCTCACGTAAAAATAAGATTTATTTTTCATATCAACATAGGTCCGATTCTGCTTTATTTCGTAGCTACAGGGTTATAAAGTCTTAATATTTTTTCGATTTATTATAATTTTCTTCTAAGTACTTTTAGTGATTCGAATGACTTGTTTAGGGTAAAAGTTACTATAAGTGGTACATGTTTTAGTGCTAAAAAAGTGTCGATAAATTCATCAGGGACGTGCATAAGTGTTATCACTGGAATATTTTTCAAGAAAAATAATTTGCGCCACTGACTTTTTCTCTTTTGATATTGTAGTCCGCTTAATACCAATTAAAAGTTATCTCTTGATATTTTGTCGAATTCGGCATCCTTGATGAGATAAAAGCAATTTTATTAATCAAAATAAATAAAATTAAAATAAAATTAATAAATTTTATTTTACCTTACTTATTATTAAATATTATTACTATTAGTTATTATTACTATTAGTTATTATTACTATTAGTCCAACCTACAGCAATTTCAAATAAAAAAATAATGGTATTTAAGATAATTACAAAAAAACTAATTGTAAAAAGTTTTAACATCCTGTAACTCTAAAACTATGCATTTCCATACCCACGTTTATAGGAACTTTTTTACATATTTTTTGATAAGGAACGAATGAGTACTTATTTAAAGTTTTTGAAAGGTAATGATATTACATTTTTTAAAGGTTGCTATTAGACTTGGATCAAGGCAAATTAATAAAATTGCGTTTATCTCATCAAGTAGGCCGAAATCGACAAAATATCAAGAGACACCTTTTAATCGGCATTAAACTTCTTAAACTAGGTATTTCGCTAACAAGAGAAAAAGTCAGTGGCGTACATGCTGTTTTAGAAAAAACATTCCAGTGATAACCCATATGCACGTCCCTGGTGTGTCGACACTTTTTTAGCTTTAAAATATGTCGCATTTATAGTAACTTTTACCCTCAAAATTTCATTCGAAACGCTAAAGATAATGCTTGGAAGAAAATTATAATAAATCGAAAAAATATTAAGACTTTAACACCCTGTAGCTACGGAACAAAGCAAAATCGGACTTATGTTGATATGAAAAATAAATCTTATTTTTACGTGAGGAATCTCCCCACGAGAGATGGCACATGTTTTTTGAAACACCCTGTATAAATCTATTTTAAGTAATTATTGATACACAGTGTTTTAAATATTTTTTATTGTTTCCAGAAATACCGAAAATTGATCTATAACTAAGAAGTTATATATTAGGCTGGAAGATTTTATAAAAATGGAACCTGATGAGGAGGATGAAAACGCGCGTTTTTATATGAAGAAAATATTCATAATGTAATCCTAAAATATTTTAAAAATTAACAAACCTGTTAAATTTTTATATGTAAACATTTTTAAGCTATACAGATTTATAACTGTGTATTATTTCAGCGTATTACAAAGTCCGTAACATAATTAATAGTCATAAAAAAATTATCGCATATTAAAAAAGTCATTTAGTTTACGTTTAAGACGGTCTGCGAGCCCCCATACATAACAGTAGACGAGAGTTATTACTATTACTACCGTATGATCGAAAAAACCGCGTCCAGTTGCCTTGGAAATGATGATCGACAACATTCCCCATATAATTTTACATATAAAATGACGATCTTCATTTCATAGCCATCGTATTGTCCTTATTGTCCTTAATTCTTGTCTTAGAGTCACGTCGTAGTAGGCTGTGGTGCTGTGGTTCAGTCAAAGAGGAGATAAGTTTTAACTCCTTTGGTTCGGTGGTAATTCATAAACTCTAAATCATTACTGTTTGTATTTTAAAAATGATATAGTTTACATGAAATATACATAATATCCAGTTAATACACATACAATATATATACCTATTTATAGTAATAAATACTTTGGCAAATAAACTATGAACCATAGAAATGCAGCATATGTTTTATAATATACAAATAATGAATGAAGATTATGGGTAAGATATATTATTTTGTATCAATCAAGTATCAATGTTCAAAAAATTATAACTGCAAATAATACAATATCATCGAAAAAAAGGCATCAGCGATGGCTGTGAAATGAAGATCGCTGTCATTTTATATATGTAAAATTATTTAGGGAATGTCATCGATGTTCATTTCCAAGCCAACTAGACACCGTTTTTTTTCGATGATACGGTATAATTCTTACAACATTTGTAAATAACATTAGACAAATTAAAACAAAGAAATATGAATTTCGTATTATTTTTAGTAAAGACCTTTAACCTAAGAACTTAATTTTGTATTGCAAATATGCCAATTTTATTAACTACATAGGTTACATAAACTACACCCTCTACATAAACTACATTACATGTAGCTAATGTAGTTTATGTAGAGGGTGTGGTTTATGTAGAGGGTGTAGTTTATGTAACCTATGTATGTAACCTTCAATCTTTCAAATATCAAGGTTTGAGGTGAGGTTATAATCTTTGGTTATAATAAGTTGAAGCTTTAAAAACACATAATGTATTTAAGAAAACAGAAGAAATCTGGCTTTAAATATAATATTCACACATCATATTATTTAGACCACTCATACAAAGCAATCAATAAACGTAGTTTTCATGTAGTTATTAGAGAACAACGGCATACGGTCGAGTCGGCCGCTGCTGGCACGTAGACGTAAAGAATCTTTTACGCAATGACTAAAGAATATAAGGACATGTAACGCCCCTATAGGCAATTCAAATTAAGATCGCAGCGCCATAGCGGCGACAACTCGTACTAATCTATGGGCCATTCCGCCATTTATTTAATTGTTTTCTTGTGGTTTGCGTTGTGTGTTTGGTGCCTGTTTTCGAGTTTTTATAGTTGGTTTTAGACAGTTCTGTGATTTGTGAACATTTTTTATTTGTTAAAAGACTTCGGTTTTCATCATGCGATTGAGCATTTTGGAATATATGCGGTATTTGGACGGATCCACGCATTCCAAATGTGTGGTTGAAGGGCAAAATGTCCCTAATGCAGGGCATTTAATTTTGGTTGGAAAAACCGAATTCACAAGCGACTGGATTAATGTTTATGGCGTGTGTTTACAATCCAGTGCCATTAATTCGGATCCACATGCAATTAAGGGAACTTTAACCACTGAGGAAGCCACTGTAAAGATTAAAGAAATGCATTGTTCTTGTAAAGCCGGTAACAATATTGGCCGTTCTTGTAAAATGTGTTAGGTAAAATCAACATTTTTAGTTATATTTTTGAGTTTGATTGCTATTTATTTGTATTTTGTTTAGAGAGGATATTTAGAGTTTAGAAGAAATATCTCCAACTGACATAAAATGTGTTTGGTCAACACAAAAGGTAGTTACCAGAGAATAGGTACGTAGTTACCAAAGAGCGATATAAGCCTGTTCCTGTAGATGAAATGCCCTGTTTTATAGACAAGGTAAAACGTTCCAATATTGAAACGGATGACGATGGAATTAGGACCTTTTTTTTCCAAAACTTGCCAAACTCTGTTATGTACATGCACAGTGTAGTAACTAGTTAGTTAAATAAAAGATGTGTGTCTATATAATGGTAGTTATTTTATGTAAATAGGTATAAAGTAAAAATATATTGAATGACTAAAAATAACATGCAAAAAAATACATGTATACTATTAAAAAAAAAAAGTACCAAACAGGTCAAAATATCACTGCCCAATAAATCGTTAATAATAATGTAATAAGTTGTTATAAGTTCACATAATGTCAACATTTTTCAATGCCTTAATCCAAATTTTTCTTCGATCCACCAGCTCTTTATTTCCAAGTTTGGTTTCCACAATACTTTCGACAATCCTTCCTTTGGAAACGAATCTCGGGGGTTTTCTTTGCCCAAGAATTACACTTTGGCACACAGCAATAATGATTCATATTTATTTAATTTCAAACGAAAAGCACAACATAAAACACAAAGAATAAACGGGAAATAAGAGTCGTCAGCTTCGATTTCCAAACCTAAACAATGCAAATCAACAAAAGGAATGGCCCATACGATAGTTCGAAAATCCGGGCACAGAGGGCGTATCGCTTAGCATGAATAGCGTATATGGGCTGCAGCAGAATTTGTGACCTTTTTTTTTTGTTTTGGTGGCAAACAATGAGTCATCATTTGGTCACCAGCGACAATTTTAGCGATTTTTAATAGTTTGTGTGTAGTAAACTTTGTATAAACTTTATTATAATGGTGATTAGTTGTTCAGCTTTCAAGTGTAAAAGCAGCAGCAATAAGAAAGAGCCAGGAGTTACGTTTCATATGTAAATAAACAGTCCACTCCAACTTTTTAGCGTTTTCTTATTGAATTCGATAATTATTCTTCAATTTCAATTAATATCTATATATACTTGATATGTGCTATACGTCGATACTAGTTTTGTACTTTTTGTTAACATTTTAAATTTTAATACGTTTTTTTCGTAATTAATTAGGATGATACACCATAGGCGTAGTCAAAACAATTATCAAAAAATATAAATATTGCTTCAAACAATGTTCAAACAGCTAGGTTAAGAAAAATATGTGCCACGGCACTGTTTGATGGCATCGTCACAATTTGCTCTCGGGTGTTATTTGTCCTTGGATTCTTTAGTCATTGCTTTTACGTGTATAAAAAATATAAGAAATCCGCATGCGTACGTAAACGTTTACGTGTTTGTAGGCCGACTCGACCATATACGTATTACTTTTTACAAATATACTCAGGGTTCCCTATTTAACCCCGTGTGCAATTTCTGTGCCGTAAGAAAAAGACAACATAACCCAGCTCCATATTAAAACTGCATAAGTCTATTTCACCCGGATATGGATTGAACTGCGATTGCGCCAAACTCCGATTGATTGTTGTTTTAGTTCTGTTTGGATTACTTTTTATTTGTGCGCGTAAAAGAGTGATTTTGTTTAGTTTATTGTTTCCAACTATTTTTTGATATTTTTCCAACTCCATGATAATGTGTTATAAATAATAAAAATATAAATAAAATTGAAGGTTAGGGGAAATGTCAGTCAACCACTTCCCTTTAAAAACATCGACCAATGAAAACTTCTTCATGTGAGGCATGCTCAGTTAAATGAATATCCGGGTGAAATAGACTTATGCAGAATTCCATATTGTTCTTTCACTGTTAAATTCTTCTTGTGCATAATTTGAGTGGCGTGTGCGATTTGGCGCGCGGGATAACAAAATAAAATAATTATTATAAGTAGTAAGTAAAGTTTATTATTGTAAAATTTTATATAATTATTAAATCATTTATTTTTACAGATATCAATAAATTACTTATTTTGTGTGCCATGGGAGATAGTAATATAGTATATTGATAGTGGGGGGGGGGTCTGCGGTTGAGCCTATGGCTTTTGTTTTTTTAAAAATAAAATATAATTTTAAAAAACACATTTTTTGAATAAAACGTTTACATGAATTTCTCTATTAATAAATTTCATAGACTTGGTTATCAAACCGTATTCCCGTAGATTACTTAAATACCTACAAATTAAAAAAAAAATTAACACATTTTTTGAATACAACAAAATAATATTAACTAAACAAAACTAAAAAACATCATTTGGTAATGGTGTGGATAGGTGTGGATCCGGTGGCTGACCTTGAAACGAGTTTTTGCTGCATATAGTCACAGACACTACGCATGCGGACATCTTTGATGTTGCCAGTTTGCAAGTTATTTTGGAATTATTTTCAGTAGAAAACAAATATATGCTTTTCAATGTTTTTTTGTCAATATATACCGTATAATCGAAAAAACGGCGTCCAGTTGGCTGGGAAATGACGATTGAAGACATTTCCCATATAAAATGACAGCGATCTTCATTTCATAGTCATCGCTGATGGTATTTTTTTTTCAATCATAGTACACGGTATATTATTTATATTATTATTTTAATATTTCGCACAACACGTGAACGCTTATTATCTATTTTCATAGGCAATAAAATTAAATAGAAATAAAACTCTAGATTCCTATAATTAATTTAATTGCTCTAGATTATTATGCTACGTTTAAAAAGTGCTTTATTAAAAATTCGGGAAATTAAAAGGGACGTGTCCAAGTTTTTTCTTTTTTTTTTAATTTTTAAATGCTGTAGCTCCATGTCATGTTCATAATAGTTTTTTTTAACATTCCATCAAAACTACGGAACCATGGAGGCCTTAAAAGGCCTTTTAGCCTCCGTAATTAAAATTGTAGAATCAGCTGCAGCAACATTAACAGTTACCTTGTTTAATTCTGCTTATACATATATTGCATTAATTTTTCTGCTACCTTCAGATTTCCTACCTCTATTCTTACACATAATTTATGTGATTTTCTTAGCATAATATGATTTATAAACCATATTTTTCCTAATGGAAGGATCCCCAGTAGCACACCAACATTGGTAAAATAATATATTTATATAAATAAATAATAAATAAATAAATCTTTATTTAGCTAAAAGCTATTACAAAAAAACTTATAACTTATAATTATTACAATATTATGTGATTCTTAAGGTAAAGTCTTATATTATATTTAAATTCTTTTACATTAGCGGAACGTTTTACATTAGTTGGTAAGCAATTGTATGACATCACACCACTGATAAACATATATTTTTCCATTTTGTTTCGCAAATCTTGGACCAATATTTAGTCTGTACATTGAATCTATGTACATACCACATAATCAAGATTCGGAATAGGAAACTCCCTGGAAACTTTTTATTGTCACTTGATATCAAAATATCAAGATAGTTCGAAAAGTCAATGCATTTTATGCAAGTTATTGTATGTTTTATATATACAGTGGAACATTATTTTCGAATGAGAATGATATATATATTATATAATATGTTTTAAAAATAAAAGAAATATAAAAAAAATCTGCACTTCTTTGTAACCAGTATGTTGTATAGATTCGGGAAGTAAATATTAGGGAAAGATTCAATAAAACGTTACATCAATAAAAACAATATATTGCTATATAAAATAAAATAATGAAAAATAAGCTGTTATCCTGATAATAAATAAAAAACGAAAAATATTTTCTGTTTCAAAATAACTGTATATATTGGGCATTTCTGTTTTTACGTCTTCCTTCCCTTGCTGCTGCTCCTGTCAAATACAAAGATATGGATTTGTTAATACCTGCATCCGTGGCGCCTGGAAAACGAACAGCTTCTATGAAACACAAAGCAAAATTTTGTTAATTGCAATTTATTACCAAAACAATTTAAAATTTATACTTATAATAGCCTTAACATGACAACTTCTGAAATGATAATTTTCCCTTCTTTCCTGATCCAGAATAGAGCATTGCTACATCTCTGGCAAACAGTTTTTCATTAATAAAAAAACAGATTTGTGGGTATTGTCCCCTCCATAAAGGTATAATCGTTGAGCCTAAAATAAACAATTTGATAAGCTTTACATTTTGTTTCTCATACGAGTATAATCTGCAAATAATTATTATTACCAAAAGTTCAATATTTTTTTCATCTTCTAAATGCTGCTCTATAGATTCTAGTAAAGCGTGGTTCTCAATTGGTAGTTGAAAAGGTTCTTCACTAGAACTTAATATTAATCATGCTAATTGTGAGCAACAGGTCCTGAATCTTGTTTACTGTTTTTTTCATATCCTGTATTTCCCAATTCAACTTTTTTATTTCTTTTAAGATCAATCTCTCAGAAGCTAAAAATATACATCAAACGCCCAAGTTATCTTGGTTCAAGTAGGTATTTCTACAAAATATAAGTGATCTTCATCAATATATGTTACCTGTTAAAGCTACTGACGGCTCAAAGGGACTTGCGTCTAATTCCCTTTGACCATTGTTCAAAACCGATGGTGATTCAGCCATACAACGTACTTTTGTTTTGATACTTAAATTTTCTTTAAATAAAGATTTCCTGTTGCTTGGAGTAAAATCTCTTTTTTGTAGTTCAGTGATAATGTATTAAATATGTTTAGGTTAGGACGTTTCAAATTATATAAATAATTATTTACATCTAATATGGTCTAAATATTAAATGATCAAATGTAAAAACGTGAAATATCTAGGAAACCAATAGGTTCACCATACTTGGAACCGCGCGGTTTTAAAATGCTCCAGAACTTTGCTAACTCGATTCTATATTTAGCCAATATTGGCCCAACGTTTCCATTTACCTATGTAAAAATATGAAAAATATTGACATTAATTAAACATCAGGTTTATTTCAACAGTTTTCACAATTCAAGTGAGAATTAATAGGATACGGCTATTATTTTAGGTTTTTATTTACTTCTAAATTGTCTGGTAGTTGAGTAAATGTTTAGGTTAGGATGCCTCTTACAGGAAATATCTACTAGTCTACATTTAAAAGTTGTTGAAATAAACTACTTACCAGTTCACCTTTACTTAAAATGATCCAAATTACACTGCACACAAATAGATAAATCACAAATTATTTACTTGATATTAATTTTAAGGCATGTATCATGATTTTGAGATGCAAAGAACACAACAAATTATAAAATAAGTCGGGCGGGCGCACGCGCGGCGTCATCAATGAATGCGTCATAGGGAAGAAGAGTGGGGATGCAACAGGAACCCGTTTTATGACGTTGTGGCTATCCAGACCAGATTTCTTTATTGCTTTTCGTTTATTTGGCACTGTGTTTGGCACTCACCACTGGCGTTACAGAATTTCTGCAGGGTATACTGATTAGTTAGCACTCAATTGCAAGTCAAAAATATTACACAAATTATGAATTATTGGCATGACAATAGTAAATTGAAATTATATTAAAAAAACAATGAATTATTAAACTATAAAAGAATAATGTCGTAAACTAACATGACTGTAATAATATGAATGATTTTTTTTGAAAAATTAAAATAATTATGCATTATTTAAATATTGGTACGTTATTGTGAAAATATAGAATTATAATAAAGGAAAAAGTTTTATTGCCAATCAACTACCAATATTGGCTAAAAATCGGCAATATTGGGCCAGCTTACAATTTTTACCCAACATATCCTAAATATTGGGCCAATATCTTGTGCTATTGGGGATGGAATAGGATATGCAAAATTAAGATATTTTAACATTTATTTTCCAGACAAAGCATAATATAGTATTAAGATTAAGACATAACAAATATTATAAGAAAGATCTTAATATAAATCACAAACTAAGTCTTAATTTCGTCTTGTATAAACACAGGTATAAAACTAATAAGATCAAAACTCAACCTTCACCATATTGTCAAGATTTGGCATTATAGGAAACAAGAAATTACAGTAAATTAAGAAAAGAATATCAAAGTACACGATATTAAATACTGTAATGTATTCTACGACACAAACCATCTCCCTTCTAAAGAGAAAAAGATAAAACATAAAGCTTACTTTAGTCTTATCAACACACTTTTCGATAAAATATGTCTAAAACTGTTCTATTTAATTCTATTAATCCACTAACTTGATATTTTTAAGAAATTATGATACAAACATTATAATCAAAGTAATAAATAATATTAGTAACATTATAGGTAAAATGTTACCTCTATCTCCCATTGACGTGCATTGTTCTATAAGACTCGTCATGGTAGTACCGTGGTAGTACTTCAATACATCAATACATATAATAAAAACAATTGTTGCCTGTAAATAACTAGAAATTAAATAACTTGAAAGAAATAAAATAATTCTAATAAGTTTAAAACCATTAAGAAAAAATCCGTAACTGATAATTTTTAATTCTAATGTAAATATATAAATAAATATTATTATTACAATTTTATATATTCATAATACTTTCATTTCACAATCTTCATTGTCCTTCTTACCTTAATTTTCACACAATAGATCTTTAAGGTCGCGGTGACTAACTCCCCTCCTAAACATTCTAAAACATTCTACCTTAATTTTGGATATCAAGATAAATTTGAAATTATATAATTAATTATAGAATTTGTATTATTATTGATTAACACTCAAAAAAAATTTTCAACTACAAATAATTCGAAAATGAACTGCAATTAAGCTGCAAATAAATGGCAATTTATTTTAGAATTAATTACAGTAGAAAACAAGTGATTTTTTGAGTGTTAATCAGTAATAATACAAATTCTATAATTCATTTTATAATTTCAGATTTATCTTGATCAAAACTTAAGGTAAGAAGGATAATGGAGATTGTGAAGTTAACGTATTATGATTGTAATCGGAGTTGTAAGTAATATACTATTGTAATAATATTTATTTATTTGAAGTGTTTTGAAGCAGTAACTTAAATTATTTAGCAAATGAAATCAATAAAATTCATAAAAATATTATGACTGGTAGGCAACCAGTAATGATTTGGAGTTTATGACTTACAACTCAACCAAAGAGGAGTTAAAACGGTTAAAACTATGGAGGGCTTTAGAACCACAGCCTATTACTAAGAATTAAGGACAAATACCGTATGATACAGAAAAAAATGGCGTCAGCGATGGCTATTAAATGAAGATCGCTGTCATTTTATATGCAAAATTATAGGGAAGTTGTCGAAGGGAATGTTGTCGATCGTCATTTCCAACTGGACGCCGTTTTTTTCCATCATACGGTAGTAATAGTAATAACTCCTGTCTACTGTTATGTATGGGGGCTCGCAGACCGTCTTAAACGTAAACTAAATGTTTTTTTTAACATGCGATAATTTTTTTATGATTATTATGTTAGACTTTGTAATAAGCTAAAATAAAACTATAATATAACTTATAAAACTTACTTTTTTTGAAAATATCACAGTTATAAATCTGTATTGCTTAAAAATATTTACATATGAAAATTAAACAAATCAGTTAATTTTTAAAATATTTTAGGATTACAGTACATCTGCTGGATCTGTGTCTATGAAAGGAATGCGGACAAAAAACATTTAAATAAACAGCAATATATTTTATACGTCGATTTGACGAGTGCGTCACCGCAAATCGCTCCGCCCACTCATTTTATTGGCTACTTGCAAATTTGTTGAATTTTTATTGATATTAACGCATCGTCTATTTTTTTACGAAAAACACCAAGAGAATATCGTTTCCCCTCTCACGGATACCCCGTAGCTACAGAACGGACAGACGTACTCTACATATGAATATTTTCTTCATATAAAAACGCGCGTCTTCATCGTCCTCATCAGGTTCCATTTTTATAAAATCTTCCAGCCTAATATAGAACTTCTTTAGTTATAGATCAATTTTCGGTATTTCTGGAAACAATAAAAAATAATTGAAACACTGTGTATCAATAATTACTTAAAATAGATTTATACAGGGTGTTTCAAAAAACATGTGCCATCTCTCGTGGGGAGATTCCTCACGTAAAAATAAAATTTATTTTTCATATCAACATAAGTCCGATTTTGCTTTGTTCCGTAGCTACAGGGTGTTAAAGTCTTAATATTTTTTCGATTTATTATAATTTTCTTCCAAGCATTATCTTTAGCGTTTCGAATGAAATTTTGAGGGTAAAAATTATTATAAATGTGACACATTTTAAAGCTAAAAAAGTGTCGACATATTCACCAGAGACGTGCATATGGGTTATCACTGGAATATTTTTCTAAAAAAAGCATGTACGCCACTGACTTTTATTCTCTTGTTAGCGAAATACCATAGATAAAAGACTTATACTATTAAATAGATAGGCAACTTATAATACATTTCAATTTTATTATACAAGGGCGCCTCTGGTAGATGGAGGAAGAAATACTAATGGAAGAGAGTGGTGCGGGGAAGGGGGGTTGTTTTAGTTAATTTAAAATAAATTTAGACATACATGTAAGAACACTTTGTGTGCTTTTAATTAGGTCGAACATATTATAAACGATAAATCAACTGAATTAAAAGCATACAAAGTGTTCCTATATGTCGGATATTAATTAAAAAATATATTAAAAATACTAGGATGTTAAAACTTTTTAAAATTAGTTTTTCGGTAATTATCTTAAATACCATTATTTTTTTATTTGAAATTGCTGTAGGTTTGACTATACTCTGTTTTTTTTCTCAGGTAAGATTTCGACAGACGATGACAGAAGAAAAGCAGATGACGTCCCAAACCAATCTATTTATTTTACTAAAAAAAGTTTCTAATAATTTTTAAGTTAACTATGGATGGGTTTAAATATAAATTCGTCATGCGTCGTCACTTGTTGTTTTTAACCAGTTTTATTGGTTTATTTCAAAAATGACAGATCGTATTTCAATTTTATTGGTTTGACGGAACGATGAACGACAAACGGACGCCGATGCGTATGAACTCGCCTTTAGATTTTTGACGTTTGTCAAAGTTTTGCCAAATTATAGGTTATAATTTTGTGACAACTTTTGTCAAATACTCTGCGGTTTGGAAGATGATGCATTTTGATTCGTGTTATTACGTGTGTTTTGTGTCTTTTGAAGTTAAGTGGATGAAAAATCGAGTGAAAATTAACTGTAGAACCCGGAGCACAGTTTATGGTTAATACTCGCTGCCCAGGCAGAAAGTCTTATACTGTGGTCTTATACAGACACAGCAATAAAGTTACTATCAATAAAGTTCGTATACCATCTCGTCGTAGATAAGTGCATCTCGAATATGGTAGAAGGACCATACTAAACACATACTAGAAACTGGAGTAGCTGTAAAATATCGACATCACACGATAGGTAAATAATGGATTTTAGTACTGCAGAAAAATAATGTCAAAAGGTACTGGTTTAAAAAAAATTAACATTAAAGTTAATTAATCAACCTGTGAGGTATAAAATTTGGTAAGTGTTATTATTAATAAAATAGTTTTTTTTATTCCTGCGGAATATTACAAATTTGTATTTGTACATAAGTTATATTGATAAATATAATCATGCGGGAAGTTTCATAAAGCTTGAAAGTAAGAAATAGTTCTTTTTTTATATTTTTGGTATGTGGTGTCTTGTTTTTGTTTGTTTTGTATTAACACATACCGTTTTTTATTAAATAAAATAACTCGATTACATTTTTTCAGTTTTATACAGTTTTTCTCACAATATTTTGAAGTTACTTGTCAGTCAAATTTTAAATACATATATTAATTTCCTGCTATGCGTTCCAGTTGTACCAACTTATTTCTTTGTAAAATAAAATAAACTACTTTGAAATTAAAATGACAGACACATCTATCACTGTCAAGGATCTTCTCGTTGGACAGACTATAATAGTAATAATATTATTAATTAATAAATTAGGTAAAATATGTATATGAGTTATTAATTTTATTTTTATTTTAATTTTATTAATTGTGATTAATAAAATTGCTTTTATCTCATCAAGGAGGCTGAATTCGACAAAATATCAAAAGATAACTTTTAATTGGCATTAAGCGGCCTACACAATTTTGATATTAAAAGAAAAAAGTCAATTTATCGACACTTTCTTAGCATTAAAATATATAGCACTTATAGTAACTTTTACCCTCAATGTTTCATAAATCGAAAGATTATTAACACTTTCATAAATCGAAAGATTATTAACACTTCCTTGTTATTATTTTGTAGCAGGGTTGGCATGATTTAAATCAAATGATTTAAATCTAGTGATTTTTATAATTTTAATCATGTGATTTAAATCAAAAAAAATATTTTTATTGAAACTTTATTATAAATCAAAAAATAACTGTAAAAGTTATAAAAATGTGTCCTAGAAAACTGTAAAACATTTCTATAACAGGTATAACAGATAATAAATCGAAAAATAATTGTAAATGTTATAAAACTATATAAAATTATCTATTCATGAATTTACTTGTTGGACCGATTTTTGAACTTATTTCGTCTGAATCCATTAGACCGCTAAACGCAGGGATTTATTTTAACATTTATGTAAAACTGACAAAAATTCCAATACATATCATTCGCAAAGTCTAGTGCAGAACTAGGTACTTCTAATATAGAGACTATCTTCGTCCCCGAGAATCTATAATCGTTCTCACACAGAAAATATGTTTTTATATTTTTTTTGAAACGGTTGTACGTTTCCAAGTTCCTACCGACATTTTGATCTGCAGTTAAGTTAGTAAATACCTTACACTTTGGCATTAGATAATACATACTAATTTCATTCTCGACTTAAGACTATTTCCGAACAATAGTGTATTGTTTTATTAAGAGTAAAAATTATACTTTTTTTGACGATTCTGTACCTTTGAAGGACCATCGTAAAGCTATTCCGACGTTACAGGGAAGCACAAAAAGTACATTTTTTCTCCGAATAGAACATACTATTTTTTTTAGCATTACAAATAATTTTTTAATCAATTTCAAACATTGCAAATAATATAAACAGTAATCGAGCAACAATTTGGACACTCGTTGAATTTGACACTTAATATCAGTTTAATAATATATTTTTGTACTTTTGTGCTTAGGCGTAACAGTGCTTTACTTTTCTGCTTAGGCGTTAAAATGACCAAAATTAATAATTTTGAGACGTTTGAAAAAAACGACGACTTTTTGGCGGAATATATTGGTGACCGATGAGGAAAAATAACACGCCACCTAGAATAATTGTTAATGTTATCGGTATCGGGGTATAGATTTAGCCATTTAGAACAGAACTTTAACTGGAAATAAGTCCTAGTCATTTGGAAATCTGATTTAAATATTGTTTTGAATTAAAATAAAAAAAAATGATTTAAATCAAAAAAATCTGATTTTTTTAATTTTTTTAAAAAAATCATGATTTTTTCCAACCCTGTTTTGTAGCTACGAAACAAAGCAGAATCGAACTCATGTTGATATGAAAAATAAATCTTATTTTTACATGAGGAATCTCCCCACGAGAGATGGCGCATATTTTTTGAAACACCCTGTATATACAGAAAAAACCATACCTAATGTCATCCTGCATTTCTTTATTTAAAATCGGGGTGTCATTATCATCAATTTCTATTTTTAAAAAATCTACCAGCTTAATATATAACTTCTTAGTTATAGATAAATTTTCGGTATTTCTGGAAACAATAAAAAATATTTAAAACACTGTGTATCAATTAGTTAAAGTTCAAATACATTTATATATACAGAAAAAAAGATACCTAAGGTCATGGTGCATTTCTGTATTTACAATCGGAGTGTCATCATCAAGTTCTATTTTTAAAAAATCTTCTGTTTTTACTTTATTAGTCACCGCTATACGTTCAGCATTTCTGAAATTAATAAATTACATTATTATTAGTAGTGGGAACTATCGAATGAATACTATCGAAACATTCGATAGTTGCAATTCATTCGAATAATTCGATAGTTAGTAAGAAAACATTCGTTGAAAACTTTTCGAATAAAAATTATCGAATAGATCCGTCATCTGCCTTGAAATATTGTATTCTAGTAATTCGGCAGCAAAAACCATTCATTTATAAAATTCATTCATTTATAAATTCATTTATTCGTCAGGATCGATTATAATAAAATATTAACTGAATTTTAATTGTCGCCCGGCGACGTAGGTTTCTTTCCGAGAAGCCCGACAGCGGTCGGTGGCAATGCTATGAAAGAAGGCGACATCTTTGATTTTTTGCGGAGTCAGATATAGATAAGGACACATTATTTTTTTTATTGAGGTGCTAGTATTTACACAGAAAATACATTATGAAGGGCGCTGTTGCCATATTTAGATATTAGTTGATATTAGCAAAGAATATTATTGTTTGGCTTTAGTTAGTTAGGGTTAGTATGTCTATATATTCTGCATTTTTTTAATTAATATTCTGTTGTTACACTGCAATAATACTTGTTATTTTGGATGTAGGAAAAGTTAGTAATGTTTTTAAGCAAAGACTGGTTTAATAAATAATAATAACAGTAATAATTTGTTATACCTATTAACAACAAAATTTAAAATAATTTAATATAAATATTTTTTTTAAGTAGTAGCAAAATATAAACAACAAATTAGATGTCAGAATTATTTGTATTAGATCCTATTTAAAAATAATATAGTCTCTAAATTTTTTGTGTGTGGCAACGTTGGTTTATTAAATAATAATAATTACAGAACTAATTTGTTATATTAACAACAAATTTTAAAATCATGAAATATAAACATTTATTAATTTTCTAAGCATGCAGTGTAATGGAAGGAAAATAGAAATAAAAAATTAGAAATCAAAATTATTTATATTAGGTGCTTTATATTACTATTTAAAAATTATATTTACTTTTACTGGCATTTACTTTAAAAAATAAATGAAATATTTCTTCGCAAAAAACTACATGTAAGAGAATTAGCATAAACAAAATACAAACATCGTTAACTTTTTTTTTTTAATTGGCACGTGTAAAACTTTCATTTTAATTTTCTCACCCCATAGTTTGAGTTCGATAACCATTTACTTAATCACATTACTTAAATATGATTAAGTTCAACTAATTCATATTATTAAAACATCTAAAATACAAATATGTATTTTTAAAATTAATTGGAAGTTCATCTCATCTCCCTTAAAAATTGCTACTTCTCAAAATTTTCCATTAAAAAATAGACCATATACCATATAAAATTAAATAATTGAAAGATCGGACTACGGGAAACCACACAAATTTTCGGAAAAATTTTGACCACCTGCACATGCACAAAATCGTCAATAAATAAAATTAAAAAATAACTACTATTTTAGTATTTTAACTATTTTAATAAACGCAAAAATAGTACAGTATTTATACGGCGAAGTTATAAAAATTTGGAAGAACTAATAATGCACTGACGCATACAAAAATCAAACGAATACTAAATTTCATTTATCAAAAGCATTCGATAGTCGTGGCTCAACGATAACCATTTAGTCGCACGGCGAGGTTGTCACATATGCTTTAGTATACAAATGAATGAATTATTTTATTCGAATAAAACCATTCGATAGTTGAAATCATTCATTCGTTAACCATTCGATAGTTCCCATCGCTAATTATTATCATTATATTGGCAAATATACATTTAAAGAAACCTACTTAAAGTCATCCAAATGTGGAGTGTAATCATCAATTTCCATTTTCAAAGAATCTAATATTACTTCATCGGTTGGAGATTCAGCAGTTCTGGAAACAATAAAAAATTAAAATGCCAAAATATGTGTCTGAACATTTCCGTTTCAAGGGCAATATTTCAAATAACTTTTTTGATAGCTGCAATTATTTTGAATAGTTTCAAACTTAGTCACCAAAGCCACTTCGTGATATTAAAAAACAACATCATAAAGTAATAATAGTTTTATTTCGCTCTCAAAAATTAACTAAGGCATATTATCATGTTGGCATGAGTCCAAAAAGAAAATGCTCAGGAGACATGGTTCTGATTGAAAAATAATGTTTTTGGAAAAGTTACTCACGAAATTATTGCACAGGGTGTTTTAAAGGTAAGGTAAAAAACAACCCTTCAATTAACCCTGTATAATAAGCCAAATACTGAAGTTTATAAAAAACTGAGTTTATGAAATTATACAGTTTGTTAAAAAATTCATGACAATCGGGCTAAAAGTAAAAAAAATATATCACTTTAAACTTGACGAAAAAATTCTGTGTTGCGTTTTTTTTGCATCTGAGTGTATATTTTACTATGAATTTAATATTATTTTACAGGGTGCTCCTTAATGACATGCTAATATTTAAGGGCGCGATTCCTGGACCTATTCTAAGAGAAAAACTTAGTATGAACATGTATGTTTGTATGTCCTAAACATCTTAATTTCTGAGATACAGAGTGGTAAGTTTTTCTAATTTTTTTTTTCATAATAACTCTGATTTTATTACAGATATCTTTATGACACTTGATATACATACGTCTTCTATGCATCAAAAGGTGGGTTCGAGTAGACGATCGGAGTAAACGGAGTATACTTATGCGCTTTTTTTTTGACAATCGGGCAGTACACTGCTGCGTTTTATTTGAAACTCTACGAGCGTTTGGAGTGTACTCGATCTGCACCATGTTAAGAAGAGGAGCACGGCGATTTTTTTTAATTTCCCGCCATATTTTAGTTTGTTTTTGAGTACTTACAATCTTGTGTATGTGTTTTGTGACTTACAAGTTCAATATGAGTTCAATCTTTGAAACAGTTATGCTATGTAGACTATGTAGAAAATGAAGTATAGAGAAAACCTAAAACCCACTTTCTACCGTTTAGTCAATATTATTTGTTGTGTGAGTTTATACATACTTATAAGGCAAATTGTGATCTGTGACAAAACAAACTTTGAAATGTTTCAAAATAAGTTGTCTGGTGTAGAGGAGGAATTTGCCACATGTGGTGAATGTGGTGTAGAAGGTCCCCTTGGGGAAATACAAACACATTTTCTCCAACACTTCGATATTGTAGAAAATGAAACAGAGAATCATAGTCAGTATTATTTACATATTAGCAAGTAGTAGATAATTCATAATTATTTTTAATTTGTAACCTTTCTTTAGATATTAATGCAACACAAGAGCAAAGACAAGAGTCTAAAAATAAGGATGATGGCCACCGAGCACTGTTTTATTATTAGTAAGATTAATTGAAAACAGTTATGGCTCGTTTGACAATACAATGAAACAAATTGTGTGGCAGAAAATTGCCTTACAATTGTCTAACCATACGAAGAAGAGTTTCACGGCCGAACAACTAGACACGAAGTGGAAGGGTTTAAAAAGTACATATAAAAAAATTAAATATCATAACAACCAAACAGGGGCAAGTAGAAAGACATGGCAGTTTTTTAATGTTATGGATTCTTTTTTGAGTACGAAACCTGAATATAAGGCACCTGCTACATGTAGCTCGACAGCAGGTTTAACAGTCAGTAAAGAAATTGAAGATACCAGCAATACCAGTTATACCACAGATAACGTATTATCTGTGATTATACTTTACCACTTTCAGCTTTAAGTTTATTGTAGGTCCATCAACTTCAAATTCTGATGCTGTCACGAAAAGGAGAAGAACTGAAAATTCAGTTGAAAATCGTCACAAGGACAAAATGCGTTGACTAGATAGATTTCTCGACTTGTAACAGGCGGCTGTAGAGCACCAGATAGGTAAAAAAAATACATGACAGTAGTGAAGAATCTAATTAGAAATTTAAGAATTCAAAATGTTCAGTTAGAATTAGTGTTGTTTAAGTAAAATTGTTACTTCCTAATTATTTTATAATAGAAAATGTTTAGTAATTAAAACTATATATATATATATATATATATATATATATATATATATATATATATATATATATATATATATATATATATATATATATATATATATATATATATATATATATATATATATATATATATATATATATATATATATATATAACAATTAAATATTTTATTATCGACTGAAATCACCTTCTCATATACAAATAATTAGCTATATTATTACGTTTCTCAATTGCTCTTCTTTCTTGTCTCTCTTCCATTACCATATTTCCTGGTTGAAGTATCATTTCTTCTTGAACTATTCTTCTTAAGCTAATGTCCAACATGTCTTTTGAATCAATACATGTATTATGAACTAAGTATTATTTGTGGTATAATTTCAGGTTTTCGAGCCTCCATTAATTTTAATCGTCTAAATCTTCCTTTAAGTAGTGCAAAAGCATGCTCAATTGTAACTCTAGCTTTTGCAAAAACTTTATTATAATTTTTCTGAATGTCAGTTAAATAACCATTGTCCTTAAATGGAACTAATAAATTATGCCTTAAAGGATAAGCTGAATCTCCAGCAAAATGTTCATCCTCTAATATTTGTAAACTGCTTAATGCAGTTGCAAAGTCAGATCTACGTAAAACTCTGGCATCATGCATTGAACCCACTTCACCTGCATAGCAATCCAAAAACTTTTTTCTGTAGTCACATACACCTTGTAGGACAACTGAATAGTAACTTTTTCTATTCATGTATGATGCCGGATACCTTCCTGGAGCCTTCAGTGGAATGTGACTCCATCAATAATTCATATTATTCCTGAAGTTAAAAATGCATTGTTAATTTAGTCATTTTATATGTAATAAACATCTATAAATCATTTGGAAAACTAATATTGGAATAATTCTGTTTAAATAAAATAGTCAACCTTATGATAAATAATTGAAAAAATAACTTAGATAACTTAGCCTACCTGGAAAACCTGTCTTTTCTCTAAAAAGGTTGGCATTATTTCTAAGTTGCTCAATATTGATGCATATTATTTTCTTCGTTTGATTTAGGGCGAGCAGATCCTTGCAGTTTTGTTCACACAATTCCATGCAGTGGATTTGCTCACCCCAAATCTTTCTGAGACACCTCTAAAAATTAACCAATATATGTTAGATGTCCATTATATAACATCATTAAACCTTTATTATTTACCAACCTAAAACTCTCAATATTTGCTAAATACCATAAGGAAATATACAGTTGTTTTTCTAATGGGAGTTCAGGATTTCCTGATATTCTGTCTCTTTGAACGACGCTATTCAATTCTTGCATTAATACTTTAAATGTTGAACGGGTCATTCGAAAATGTTCTTGAAACTGTTTATCCTTTACTTTTGAAAGAGTTATTTCAGCATAATTCTCAATTTTTGGTATTTTTTTCCCTATCATTTTCCTCATCACTGTCAAAAATAAACAGTTCGGCCACTATCCTTATCTCCATATTATTCATTTTGATGCCTATATGAAAATGGTGTTTTGTATTGTCAGTATTTACAGCATATAGTATACAGTTGATTTAGAAAGCTGAGACATTTATTTACAAGCCAAAAAAAAACGCGGTTATTGAGGTTATGTCTACATGTTCATGGCAGATCACGTGACTACGCTCCTCCTGTGCGTTCGTTTTGAAGACGTTTTCCGTGATGATCCTTTCATACTCTATTCTTACTCTACTTGCTCCACCGATCGTCTACTCGAACGCACCTAAAATACCTTTTTTGGTGCCACAAAGAATTTTATTTATTTCAACAAGTGCCGTCCATTATTTCATAAAATTAGAAAATTTTACCAACTTGTATCTAAAAAGTTAAGATGTTTAGAACATATGTATATTCATATAAAGTTTTTTTTTTCTTAGAATAGGTCCAAGAATCCCCTCCTTAAATATTACCATGTCATTAAGGAGCACCCTGTATATTGAACTTTCATATATAAAAAAATAAAATTGTTTTATTTATTGGGTTTTCACCTATCGGACAATAAAAGCATTATTATTATTATGTGAAAGATGCAGTGCGCACTAGCGAACATCTGTCGCTCTTTCTGTGCCAAGTAAACTTACATATGTGGTGTGTGTGTGTTTAAACTTTAATATTATATTTATTTATAAGATATTAATTCATTAATATCAATATTTCTTATATTAATAATTAATTTACCTGGAATCAACGTGCCCATGTTTGAGGTGAAGTAGTAAGCCGCGTTTTGTCTTATATTTGTTGTTACACTGCGCACAGATAAACATCTCTCGTTCTTCCGGTGCCATGTGAACTCTCTTGTGGTAGTGCAGACTTACCCTGTGTCCAGTTTGAAAGCTACATATGGCACATCTATAGACCTTTTTCTGCTTCGACCTAATCAAATATATTTTTTTTTTAATATCACAGCTTTGTAACTCTACAGTAGAATGTAGAATGTTTAGGAGGGGGCTTAATCACCGCTACCTTACAGATCTATTGTGCGTTCCCCTTTCTTTAGTGATAGCGGGTTATAACCCTAGATCATGTTATATATTTACGTGGATAAATCAACGCCATAAGTTTAGCACTTGAATAAAAAGATTAAGGAAGGAGCATATCAAAGATCTTAGATCCACCGCGAAGGGACTCAAATATGGCCGACTTAAATTCCGGTTTATCAGTATTTAAAAAGTGTAAAACTATGATGTAGGGTAGACGTGGGGTAGACTCAATAATTTTGTTGTTTTATTTTAAGTTGTGAATAAATGTTGGTTGTTATTAAAATTGTTATAAAAATATAAAATTCTATTCTTAATTCAATTTTCATTGCTTTCAAACTATAATATTAGACTTTGTTGTACTTTGTGAATTTATAAATGTTTTTTTAGAATAAAAGTGCATTATATTAATTCAAATTATATTACATATACACCAAAGAATATACCTAGCTTGAAAAAGAATGGACTCTGCCATAATGAAAAATGGTCCTACAGAAGTACGGGCTTTTTAAATGAGCGTATCATAGATAAATGAAACACGTTTAGATTGGAAAGTGCCCATAAGGACAATGTAAACACTATTTGGCGCTATTCTTGCAACGGTCGCGACCCAAAACTTTTGAAAATTTCGGAGCGGTTCGGCTGTTTCCGGAATTATATCGCCAAATATTGTTTATTCAAATTTATAATTATTTTCGTTTAATTTTATAAATAAAATACAGTGTGTTGCATACAAGAAACTTTATTTTATATAAGAACACATGTATGAAATACCTATGAAACATTGGAAACCGACGTTATGCCATGATCCACGAAGGTTTTTGCAGTTCACAGTTCACAGCACAGCTTTTTAAGTTTTTAATGCCAATTTTTCACAATTATTACCGGTTGGAGTAAATAAAACTTAAAATAAACTCACAAGATAGCAATAATTACTTTGAAAATGGACGCTATAAACACTTTTCGGAATTTCTCTAATGAGAGCGGTTTAGATTTTGAAAGATTATTATGATCATATTATGATTTTTGAAGATTCTGACTTTGACAAGAGAAAATTATTTCTGTTTTTGTTTGCCGTTGTTCTTAGCGACCTAAACAGCGACTGCTATAGCAGCGCCAGATCGCGTATAACGGTCGCGACCCAAAATAATTTCGCGACCTAAAATTTTTACGGGCTTTCCAATCTAAACTTGTTGCATTTATCTATGGAGCGTATTTATTGAATTTTACTCTAAAATATATAATTAAATTGGATTATTAAATCTTATTTTTTACACAAATTCAACAATACTAATAACAAGTATCGTTGTGATGTGTAAAAAATAAGATTTAACAGTATAATTTATACAATAATTATTAAATAAAATTAAAGCCAAACATGTGAAATATTATTTATTATTTAAAGTTTTTATTTATAAGTCAAATATTTAAACATCGTTTATTATAATAAAACAAGACCAACGTAAAACGCCCAAAGTTTTGTAAATGGAGTAACTATAAATAGGTACTTAAATGATGGCAAAAATAGAAGACTTACATTACATTTTTAGGGCCACAAACAAAAGGAATTGTCTAATTAAAACACATATATAACAAATTATAGTTTGAAAAACGTTTTGATAATCATTTGATAATATTATGATTGGCGCTATGACAACGATAATATTTTTTGAGAATTTGACAATAGTATGACAATGGCCGTTGGAAACTATGGAAACTACAAAAAATTCTGATTTAACGCCATCTGGCAATAACGAGTAGCAACTTCTTAACCTAAAAATTAATTGCACTACCACCTAGCGCCTGAGGCTGTAACTATTTTATTTGAAATTTCCATGGAAACGGTGGAACCGCTTTTGCTATTTCACTTTCCCGCCCCTGATATACACATTTAAAATTAAAATATTATGACATATATGTCAGTTGCCGTTTAAAATGTCATCTTGATAACAAAAAGTTAGTTATTGTCAGTTAAAATCATGTTAAAACATTAAAATTCACAAGTTATAATTAGATATTTTATATTATTTCAAAAACAAAAACATAATGGTACCTACAGCTTAATGTTGATATGCAGGTCCAAAACAAAAAGTTCTGTTATATTTTTCAGTTTTCGTTGTCAGCCGCGGAGGTTTCAGTGATTTTAGTGTTGTCGGATATTTTTAGTTGTGAAATAGAAATATTGCGTTTGGATTGCAAAGCTAAAAGTGGAAGTTTTATTGAAATGTAAGTAAGCGTTTGTCCATTTTATATTTTACTTTTTTCATACCATAGACAAACAAATAAAAAGAGACTGGCAAATTAAATGGCAAAGAGAGGGACAACGTTCCCGTAGCGCAACTCAGAACGCAAAATTTCGTTCTATTTATGTTGATCTGCGCATTGCGTCTATTGGTTTGGTTGGTCATACCATAGACAAACAAATAAAAAGAGACTGGCAAATTAAATGGCAAAGAGAGGGACAACGTTCCCGTAGCGCAACTCAGAACGCAAAATTTCGTTCTATTTATGTTGATCTGCGCATTGCGTCTATTGGGCCCACTATCGTATTCTAATATAACAAGAGAGAAAGAAGCAGCCATATAAAACATAATTTCTAAATAGAAATTAGAACATTCGCCTTTCGTTTTCGTCATCATGACAACCAAGATGACAACATCATGACAATTCGTCATGTTTGTTAATTTTTCTTTTGGTGATTTACCTTTTTTTCTAAACTCTCCATTTTATTGACTTATGAATATGGATAGGGAGCAAATCCCTTATAATTTTAGGTTATACTATTTGTTATTTTATTTGCTGCAGGAGCCAGTATCATCTATTTTTTATATGTATTGGTGTCCCCTTTCTCTGATAGATATGTTAAAGACACCAGGTAAAATAAAAGTAAGTAGTTATATTTATCATCTTATTAAGAAAAAAGTAGAAGTAGTAGTGTCAAAAATATTTCGAACCTCTCTTAACATAACAAATTAATACAATTAATTTTTTTCATTTTTTGGGTAGGTAGTTTATAGCTGGTTTATAGTAACCAGAAACTTTATTAATATAGCTATTTTACTTTTGTTTTAGGATTAAAACTGAACTTGAAAATGGTTCAGGATCATGATTCTTATAAAGTCTTCTTTGCTTGGATATTCACTTTGTTATTGCAATTAGGCAGTTTTTTCGAAAATGAGATTTTTAATGCCCTTTAAAAAAATTGGCCGATCGTTTCCTGCAACAGTCAGTTCTTCTTCATTTAAAATTGGTAGGTGGTTGGAATAAACACTGTTATTTTTTGTTATTATATTATAAAAAGTTTATTTATTTTTATGTATAAATAAATATGTTAATAAAACAGTACAATTTTTGCTTTTTTATAATTTCCCTTATAGTAGTATTCTTTCGTTCTGAAAGAAACTGCAAATTTTCACTTACACTGATTTATTCCCTACACCACTTCCCTTTACGTGGTATAGTGAATAAATCAGTTTAAGTGAAAATTTTCAGTTTCAGAATGAAAGAATACTACTAATAATGGCTAATTTAAATTTTCCGCCAGCCAGAATGTGCGATAATGTCTTACGATACGTTTTATACGTATCTCTTTCTTTTTCATATAAAGCACACATAATAAAGAAAGATAGCAATAAAGACGTACGTCCTGCCATGGTCCTGCTAATTGGTTTCAAAATTGTTATTCTGAGTTGCGCTACGGGAACGTGGTCCCACTCTTTACCATGGGATTTGTCAGTCTCTTTTTATTTGTTTGTCTATGTTTCATACCTACGACAAATATGCATATATTGAAATTTTATAATTCGTTTTATTTAAAAAATGTTAGAAAAGAAAACAAGCCTGTAATCCTGTAATTGACAATTGTTATGTAATGTATTCCATTTAAATGCAATATATTACTTTACAATTAAAAAAATGTATATTTAAAAAATATATTAAAAATATATACAGGCAAATAATTGAAATTTTTAGTATGCGGACAAACACGAGAGGCCCTTTATTATTTACTTTCATTTCTTAACATGACAGATGAAGTTCTAAAGGGGGATGTTTTGTGCATAGAATTTTTTTTAAAGACCGCTTTTATATAGCCAAGGATGCAAGTGTGTTTAGCGAGAATTTATTTTAAGTTTGTGCAATTATATTTCTATTTTTTTTCGTTGGACTTCCTAAATACTAGTAAAAATTACTAGAAAGTGTTGGGTGTGTGGAAGTTATAATATACAGGTCCCCGAATTATCTTTTCATAGGCAAGTAAAGTATTCAGTTGTTCTTTTATTTATATTAAACCACATGGATACTTTCTGGTTAGATTTCCTAAGAATATTGATATTCGTATGAAGTGGCTAAATGTATTTTTTATATAATTTAATTTTTGTGACAGTAAACATTCAATTTATTGTTCAAATATATGCATTTTAGAAATTAAATTTTCAAAATTAATGTTCAAATTTGCGCGTGGATGCTACGTTCTCGACAAGGATAGATAGAGTAGAAGCACCACGTGGGCAAGAAAAAAGAAGATAAATAAAAGTAGTTGATAGGTTTGCGACAGTTTCCACAGTGATTTACTTATCCACGTAAGTATAGGCAAAGAGTAGATAAGACAAGAGACGACAGTGAACAAAGAAGTCGAATTTCGCGAGAGAGACGCAGATATATTAAAATTTAAAGGTCCCATCAAGTCCCATTTTGTCTGTTGCCAAGTATATTTCTTTGAAAAATAAATAAGATTTTCTGAAAATAAATTAATATTATAAGCAGGATATAAGTAACGTATGTTAATACTGAAATGTAAATTTTAGTTTAGGTTGGTTTAGGTTCTTTTTCGCAATATACTGATAATATCAAAGAAACAAAATGACTAATTAGTTGACCGATTTCAAAGATAAACAGATAAAATCTCAAAATCTGACAACGGCGTATTTTATCTAATCTAACAAGAATCTAACCTATGATTTTAGGACGCTAATCAGCTGTGCTAATCAGGCTTAAACATAAACAAATCTGATTAGTTGTTTTCTTGCATTTTTGCCTTTTTAAAGTGTGTTTTCAGAGTTTTTCGATATATTATCGTTTTGAGAGTTTTTAAGGTTTAATTTTAGTATCGTTTTTGTTGCGTACTAATTTGGAAATATTGTTAAATATGAATACTGAACAGGACACGAGTAGCAGGAAAAGACGAGATGGTGGCAATGTGTTTGCTTATAAAGACTGCAAAAATAGGTTTTACTCTTCGACAAACATAATATTTCACTCTTTTCCAAAGGATCCTGAAAAGTATTTTTATAGAAATATACTATATAATTATGTTATTAAACTAAATGTAATCCATAGATCGAAGACATGGTTAGAAGCTTGCAATACATTTAAAAAAACTCTATTTTTTTGTACATAAACTCCACACTGTGATTTTACACTTGTTCAAGTCCATATGTAAAAAAAAAATACACGTAAATAAAACATTTCTTACAAATCGACTTGGTCACTTTATCTTGTTTACCAACGATATACAAAATATTGCTTTTATTATCTTTATTCCCCGACAAATATGTTTCTAATTATAATTTATTTTATATAATATTTAGAAAATTCATTTTTTTTTCGTTTCTATTTATTTCTTTACCCATACAGTAACTATTTATAATCTATACAGGCAAGTTTTAATAATAGTCTATTTCAAATTTCCCGCGAAAAAATTACGAAAATTTAAAGGGACAAGCGAGACGAGGTCACTCTCCCCACCACTCAAACATGAAAGGTACCGCGCGAACTGTCGTCTCTTGTCTTATCTACTCTTTGGTATAGGTATATGATCTAGAGTTATCACTCATAACTCTACAGTATGTCCCCGGATTGTCTTTACCAGAGGAAAAACTTTGTTATTATTGACATGTTAACAATAATGCATGCTTCATAACAATTTTTGCTTGGTCTAAAATGGTTAATCCCGTTTGTTTTTACTTTTCTAAATTTCCATACCATTTTAGAGAAAATTAAAAGAAAACATGAAAATATGGTTGACCTAAGTCCTAGAAATCAAAAGGCTTTTCTATGGTAATATAATTTCGATTTTTTTCCAAAACTATTATCACTCTTTCCGTAGCATTCAATTAAATAAATTTTGTGCTTTAAAACAGCAAAAAATATGACGTTAATTAAAATTGTATTAATAACACTCTACCAAAGAATGAAAACGAAATTATATTACCATAGAAACGCGTTTTGATTCTCAGGACAAAAATTCGACTATATTTTCATGTTTTTTTTTAATTTTCTGTAAAACGGTATGGAAATTTGGAAAAGTATAAACGGGATTAACCATTTTACAACAAGCAAATTTTTTTATAAAGAATGCTTTTTTCTAATGTCAATAACAAAAAAGTTTTTCCTCTTGTAAAGATAATTCGGGGACATACTGTATAAAACCGGATTCCTCCGGAATATTAACAATTAATTTACTTGGAATCAATATGGCAAATATTGATGTGATCTTCTAAACTCCCCTGTAACATATATTTCCGGTCACACTGCGCACAAGCAAACACACGTCGTTCTTCCGGTGCCAAGTGAATTTTCTGGTGTTTCCTAAGACTTGATTTATGTCTTGTTTGAAAGCCACACATGGCACATTTATGGACTTCTTTCTGCGATTCCCTCAATTCTTTCGCCCTAGTAAAATAGTTTTTAAATATTACAGTCTTTTTTGTCACTCGATAAAACAGGGTCCGGCAAATATACCGTATGATCGAATAAAAACGGCGTCAACGATGGCTATGCAATGAAGATCGCTGTCATTTTATATGTAAAATTATATGGGAAATGTCATCGATCGTCATTTCCAAGCCAACTGGACGCCGTTTTTTTCGATCATACGGTATAACCGCAATAATCACAGACGCACTGATAAACCTCTTTTGAAAATTTAAAGTAGTGAATAAAAATATATGTGGATAAACGCAATTTTATTAATTTGCCTTTATCGAAATCTAATAACAACCTTTAAAAAAATTTAATATCATTCACTTGCGAAAGTTTTAAATAAGTATTATACTCATTGATTCCTCTTCAAAATATACGAAAAAAGTCCCTATAAACATGGGTATGGAAATGCATAGTTTTAGAGTTACAGGATGTTAAAACTTTTTAAAATTAGATTTTTTGTAATCATCTTAAATACCATTATTTTTTTATTTGAAATTGTTGTAGGTTGGACTATTAGTAATAATAACTAATAGTAATAATATTTAATAATAAATTAGGTAAAATATATAATTTATTAATTTTATTTTTATTTTAATTTTATTAATTGTGATTAATAAGATTGCGTTTATCTCATCAAGGAGGCCGAATTCAATAAAATACCAACAAATAACTATTAATTGACAATAAACGGCCTACACAATTTTTTATATCAAAAAGAAGTCAGTGGCGCACGTTTTTTTTTGAAAAATATTCCAGTGATAACCCATATACACGTCCCTGATGAATTTATCGACACTTTTTTAGCATTAAAATATGTAGCACTTATAGTAACTTTGACCCTTAAAATTTCATTTGAATCATTAAAAGTACTTGGAAGAAAATTATAATAAATCGAAAGATTATTGAGACCCTGTAGCTACGAAACAAAGCAGAATTGGACCTATGTTGATATGAAAAATAAATCTTATTTTTACGTGAGGAATCTCCCCACGAGAGATGGCACATGTTTTTTGAAACCCTGTATACAGGACGGTCCGAACTGTATTCAGGAAACTTCGGTAGCATATTCTGTGGCAGCAGTATGTCCAAAAATACTTAGTTTCAGAGATACAGGGTGTAGGAGTTTCATTTTTATTTCGATTTTTTCTAAATAATTTCTGAAGTAATGTCAAAATTTGGATGAAAATTGATGTCTGGGAGTTTTTTGACATGAGAAATTTGATTTTGATGTCCATATCTGTAAAAAACTGCTGAGTGAAAAAAATATACATTTCCGTGACTTTTTAAGTAAAAAATGTCTCTTGGTAAAAATCGCTGCGAGCAACCGTTCTCAAGATATTTAGAACGGAAATAGTCAAAACATGTCATTATTGACAAAAAATAAACACGCGTTGAATAGATAGTTATTTAACTGAAATAATTAATTTGGGAAATTTCTATTTTTTTTAAATTAATCAAAAATTTTCTGTGAAAAAATGATGATCAAATAGTTTCTGGCGAACTTTTGGCACAAAAAGATTTCAAATTTATGATTTCAGTCTAATAACTATTTAGTCAACATGTTTAATTTATGTCAATGATGACAGGTATTGATAATTTCGATTCCAAATATCTCGAGAACCATGACGCGTAGCAATTTTTACAAAGAGACCTTTTTTACGTAAAAGACATCGTGAATGTATATTTTTTTACTCAGTAGTTTTATACAGGTGCGGACGAAAAGTTATTGCTCTTCAAACCGGTTAAGATGTAGGTGGCGCCCTCTACAAATAGGAGCCATATTGACATCAAAATCAAATTTATCGTGTCAAAAAACTTCCAAACACCAATTTTCATCCAAATATTGACGTTACTTCATAAATTATTTGGAAAAAAAACGAAATAAAAATGAAACTTTTACACCCTGTATCTTCGAAACTAAACATTTTAGAACATATATTTATACGAACTTTTTTACTTCTTTTTATCTGCAGAATATGTTGTCGAAGTTTCCGAAATACAGTTCGGACCACCCTGTATATACATATACAGGGTGATTCCTGTAAGTCGGTCATGCTTTCGAGGAATGATAGGGGTCGACGAAATACGAATTTTGATATAGCACACTATGGGTCGGAAATGCCTCTTATGCAAGATACAGGGTGTTAAAGTTTTTGAAAAATTAAAGATATTCTTTAATAGTTTTTTAACAGTTGAAGGTATCGTTATAAAATTTCATTATGGGAATCTACCTAACAGAGACACTTCAAATGTAAAAAGAAGAGGTTTCAGTTTCAACCAGTGGTGTAGATGTGATACGTATCGGGTAATTTTTTCAAAAAAAGAAAAATAGTACGCCACTGATGAAAATAAAAATTTCGGGGTTTTTTCTTTTTTTTTATTTACTCGGTTTATTTCCAAGAAAAAATGTCTCGCAACTTTCTTCTATCTAACACCATTTTGTCACAATTTGAAAATAAATATTTGTTTAATGAGAACCTTAAATATGCGAATTATTATAACTAACTTAAAACTACGAATTTTAATATTAACAATAAAAAAAAATTCTAGTTTAAATTAAGTTACCCAAGATGAAGGGTGCTAACGATGCACATGTGTTTGTTTCTGCCCTCTAGTTATAATAATTCGCTGTATTTAAGATTCTCATTAAAAAAATTATTTATTTTTAAATTGTGACAAAATGGTGTTAGATAGGAGAAAGTTGCAAGAGACATTTTTTCTTGGAAATAAACCGAGTAAATAAAAAAACTCCGAAATTTTTATTTTTATCAGTGGCGTACTATTTTTTTTTGAAAAAATTACCCTACGCGTATCACATCTACGCCACTGGTTAAAACTAAAACCTCTTTTTTTACATTTAAAGTGTCTCTGTTAGGTAGATTCCTATAATGAAATTTTATAACGATACCTTCAACTGTTAAAAAACTATTAAAGAATATCTTTAATTTTTCAAAAGCAATAAAACCCTGTATCTTCCGTAAGAGGCATTTCCGACCCATAGTGTGCTATATCAAAATTAATAATTCGACGTCCCCTATCATTCCTCGAAAGCATGAGCGACTTACAGGAATCACCCTGTATATACGTTAGGTAACTTAAATCACTTTAAACATTATTAGGTAATGTACCTTTAATTTTTTGTTTTACTATTACTATTTATATTTTCTATTTTATGATATAAACATGACATATACACAAAAAAAAGACAAACGATTGGTCAGTCAGTGTAAAAGACAAAGATAATCAGATAGTCGAATGTCGCTGACGTGTCTTCAACAAAAATAAAGCGAATTTACTTATCCACGAAGTTTATAAGAAGTATTTGACTAATAAAAAAAAATTGCCTCACTGACAAAAAAACGCTTAAAGTTTTAGAAGGCATATGCCCTCTCGTTGTTTGAAGGAAAAAACTCAAAGAACAAAGAAAAACCATTTAAAATATCTGAATACAACTACAAATCAAGACAACTTTACTTTTTTAAGCAGATACATATCTATTTAGGTATAATTATTGCGCTAACAATAATAAATTTACCTGGCATCCCGGTTATGGTTATCCCGAAGATGATCTATTAAGCTCTCTTTCCTTGTATATTTCTTATCACAGTGTGCACAAGCAAACAACTGTCTTTCTTCCGGTGCCAAGTGAACTTTCTCGTGTCGGTTAAGTCTTGGCTTTTCTTGTGTTTGGAAGCTACATGTGGAACATCTATAGACATTTTTCTGCATTCTAATAAAAGAATTGCTTAATATTAAGTCTGTCTCGAAAAAGTCCCATATAATGATTTCTGATAGAGATTTTTCCTACAACCTTTTTCACAAAATATGCGAGCAAAGAGGGCGCTCATGTGAAAAATACTAATAGATATACAGGGCGTTTCTAGTTTTTTTTTTAAATAAATTGCTAAAATCCCTATTCCAAAAATACCAGAATGCCATAATCGATATTGAGTGGTTTTTGAAATACGAGCATTCAAAGACTAAATTTTCTGTACACTTAAAGCTCCGTCATAATTATAAAGTAGTAGATTGTTTAAATTTTTTAATCAGATATTTAAAAAAAACAGTCTTGAAAAAAGTATATCTAAAGTATGTTTCAGAGTATATACCAGGCGAGTTAAAACTAAATGTAGTTTTTACTGCTCTATTTTAAATAAATCACACATGTATATTAGGATCAAAATAATTTACCCCTATACGAAAGTACTTCGATTATCCATGTGACGCTATGACGTTAAAAAAAATTAAGACACCTTTTTAAGAACGGATATTCCCATTTGAATGAGAAATGTTATGTCAGTAAGCCAGTGATAAGCTGGTTTCCGTCTGACTTACAGGCCCCAGTGTTTACAAAAAATAGATTTCTATTCTAGTGTTATTTAAAATTTAGTGTTTTTATTTTTTTGTTTTTTAACCAGTAGCATATGACTTTAAAGGTACGCGATATAAAACTATAACTGGCCATGTCATATTGCCATTAGGTATCACTAAAATACGAGATATATTTTTATAAACACGTATTTTATATACATAATACATCACATATTTTTATAAACACACTTTATAAAGTTTTACCAGCAATATCTATACTAATATATAAAATCCTTAAGTGACTGACATGCTGATTAATCACGATCCTGCTCAAACCACTCAACATAAGAAGCTCAATTTTGGCATACAGGTTGATTCTAGGGTGTAGAGGTTCCATAAGAAGGGATTTTTCGAAATTCCAGTTCCAAGAGGGTGAAACCACCCCTCAAATATTACAATATTTGTTATTTAAAAAACGGTTAGTCTTTCGGGAAAACGCTTGGACAAGCATAATTTATTAGGTTTTTTACATATTTTGAAATTTTTTAAAAAATCACACAGGGTGTTCCAAAAAGTTGGGTCATTTTTAACCACGATTCTGCTTAAACTGCTTGACGTAAAAAGCTTATTTTTGGCAAACGGATTTTTTGAAAGTCAAATTCCAACGAGATGAAACTACCCCTCAAATATTACCAAGTTATATAATAATATCGCCATATTGTTTTTTCTCATGCTGACATAAATGTGAGAAAATTTTATCCAGTTTGTATGTTAATGGAAAATTTTGCTTTGCTTTATCATCACCATTACAAATGATTAATTCGACGCGAACGAAGTCGCTGGTACACGCTAGTTTATAATAAACGAAAAATAATCATTAGTGTTTTGACAGAAGGAAATAAATTGTCTGATGGTTTGACACTTAATGTCAAAGGAAACTAGATAAAATCAAGAAAAAATACGCTTTAAAACTAAATCTTAAATATCTTAAACACGATTCAATTTAGGTATAGGAACATGTAGTTTAAATGTAGTATAATCAAAAAGTAATGAATTGAAAAACCTTTTCACTAGTGAAATAAAAAAAAATGAGTTTTTTGAAATAGATAGCCACATGTCTTCTCTTTATGCCACAGTGGCTGCGGTAATCACAAATCTGTCGTTTAGGCTATACGGATTTTTTTTGAAATGCACTTTTTTCCCTCCGAAAATTTTAAATATTTTTTTCATCAACAACGATTAATGTTAGGTATAGAATGTTTGATATCAAAATTCATAAAATTTTACAGAGAATTTAAGTATGTAATAAAAAATAGGGATACCCATTTAAAATAAGAAAGTTGCTGTCAAATTCTGGTATTTGCAGAAGTGCCGCCATATTGAAAATAATTGTAATCAACAGATCTCGTTGTGAAGCAGCGATGTGCAAAAAATCTCCGATCCAGATATTGTAGTTTTCTAGAAACTTCTAATGCACTTCTTCTAGCGCTTGAGACACCCTGTATAATTTAGATATAATTCTTATGCTAACAATATATTTACCTGGAATCAATATGAGTATTCCTAAGGTGGTATTTTAAGCCTGTCTTTGTTCTATATGTGTTATCACACTGCGCACAACTGAATAACTGTCGTTGTTCCGGCGCCAAGTGAATTTTCTTGTGATATCTAAGATTTATCCTATATCGTGTTTGAAAGCCACATATTGTACATATATAGACCTTTTTCTGCGATTCCTTCAATTCCCTCGTTCTAATAGAATAATTTTTAAATATTAGTCTTTTAACTCTATAAAACAGGGTTTCTTTGTTATAATTCACAGATGACTTTAATTAACAAGACTTTTGTTAAACAAATAAGACAGAATCACCTATACAGGGTGTTTCAAAAAACATGTGCCATCTCTCGTGGGGATATTCCTCACGTAAAAATAAGATTTATTTTTCATATCAACATAGGTCCGATTCTGCTTTGTTTCATAGCTAGAGGGTGTTAAAGTCTTTTTTTTTTCGAATTATTATAATTTTTCTCCAAGTACTTTTAGCGTTTCGAGTGAAATTTTCAGGGTAAAAGTTACTATAAGTGCTACATATTTTGATGCTAAAAGTGTCGATAGACTCATCAGGGACGTGCATATGGGTTATCAATGGAATATTTTTCAAAAAAAAAGAATGTACGCTACTGATTTTTTTTCTTTTGACATCAAAATTGTGTAGGCCGTTTAGTGCCAATTAAAAGTTATCTCTTGATATTTTGTCGAATTCGGCCTCCTTGATGAGATAAACGCAATTTTATTAATCACAATTAATAAAATTAAAGTAAAAATCAAATTAATAAATTATATATTTTACCTAATTTATTATTAAATATTATTACTGTTAGTTTTTATTACTATTAGTCCAACCTACAGCATTTTCAAATAAAAAAATAATGGTATTAAAGACATTTAAAAAAAATAATTTTAAAAAGTTTTAACATCCTGTAACTCTAAAACTACTCGTATGCTTTTCCATACCCATGTTTATAGGAAATTTGTTTCATATTTTTTGATAAGGAATCAGTGAGTACGTATTTCAAACTTTCTCAAGTTAATGATATTACATTTTTTTAAAGGTTCCTATTAGACTTGGATCAAGGCAAATTAATAAAATTGCATTTATCGACAAAATATTAAGAGACAACTTTTCAGTGGCGTAACTATCGATGTGCCGTGTGTGCGAAGCACACGGTCCCGGGCCCCCAGGGAGCTCGGGCGCATCCGGGCCGCATTTCCATATCTATCACATGCTATCGCGAATCAAGCAGAATCGGGCGATCCCGAACTAAGTTCTTATCTTTCACATGTCTTCTTAACTACTTAACTAGCACACGCTATCGCGAAAATAACTTATTACTTTACACTTGTTCTTGTGCAATTTTGTAGCTGTGTTTTCCTTTTTATTTTGCAAAATAAAAATAACTGGAAATATGTGATTTTTCATTAGAGCATTAAATTTGACAAAAAGGAAATTTGCTGTATTGTCACTGGATTTCTGTACCATCGAATAGAAATAGAACTAAGCAAGTTGGTTAGGTTAGGTTAAAATTATACTGGTCACACTAGTTAACTCAAAATCACAAAAACTCTAGTTTCCTAATGGTTGTATTAAGGGGACGATAAGGCAGCTGAGTTACGAGAGGTGCCCGAAACTGCCACTTTTTTTGGCAATTATTTCAATAGAAAATGAAGTTGCTCGTACAATAGACATTGGTAATATTGTGTCAACTTTCGCCCATGCTAAAGCAAGGAAAAAACAATTTTAACATGTTCATGTTCCTATTTACATTGTTTATTTTAATGTAGTTAGTTTTGTTGTTGTTTTTATTTAATTTTTTTATTTGATATTTTATATGTTTTATGGTTACATATTCTGTGTTGCAGTAATAAATAATACTATATAAAAAATAATTTGATAATGTTATTTCTAACCTAAAATATGAGTGCATGTTATTCAGATTAGTATATATAAGTATTGAAATATGTAGGTGTAATAGGGGGCCCGGTAAAATTTTTGCACACAGGCCCGTGAGTCTGTTGTTACGCCACTGCAACTTTTAATCAACATTAAGTAGCTTACACTATTTCGCTATCAAAAGAAAAAAAAAGTCAGTGGCGGACATGCTTTTTTTAGAAAAATATTCAAAAGATAACCCAGACAACCCATATGTACGTCCCTGGTGAATATGTCGACACTTTTTTAGCTTTAAAACACGTCGCATTTATAGTAACTTTTACCCTCAAAATTTTATTCCAAACGCTAAAAGTACTTGGAAGAAAATTATAATAAATCGAAAAAATATTAAGATTTTAACACCCTGTAACCAGAGAAGAACAAACGTAGAGAAGCGACAAAACGAATCCCGCCAAAAAATTTGGAGTGGGAGGTAAACATGCTAACTGTCATCTCAACGTGTTTTCGGAATACGGCCAGCGTTGCCATTGTTAATGATAAGTCCTGAAATCTTACTATTTTTTTATTTGTGTAAATAATCTTTTTTTGAATTAATTAATCTATATTTTATCCTTACCTTATAATAGTACTTAAAGAAAGAAACTAACTTTAAGGACTAAATATTATTAAAACTTAAAATAGATGCAGGTTTTTAGCGTTTAATTATTAAAAACTGCCTTTTGCAAAATTAATAAATTGCCCCCTTGTGAAAAGGGGGTTTAAATTAAAAGCCTTGTTATATAAATGAATAAATGAATTAGAAAAAATATTTACTTAATTCTAATTTTGAGAATATTAGTACTGGGCCATCAATTTCACAAAAACTGTATAGTCTAATAAACAAAGAACATTTGGAACACCCATGTCCTCAATTTCCAAAAGACTATGCTCTAAAACTCTTTATCAGGCTGAAAATATTCTATACTATAAAATATACGAATAGGGACCTCAAAATAAAACAAAAAGATAAGAAAACTATTAGAAAATTAAATATTTTATCGCATATAATATAATTTAATAGCGGCGCTAATTTGAGTTGTGTTATCTTTAAATGTAATATGGTTTTTTTATGTAAAATATGATGTTTTAATATATAGAGTGAGTCTTAAATAAGTGCAAATATTTTCAGGGCTGGTAGACCTCGATAAATGAAGCATATTTTGTCTTTACCGTTTTTCAAATAAGTCCAGAATAACCGAGATACTTTGAAAATTAAAAAAAAAACAATTTTGGTTACATTTTTAGAACCGCTGAATCTTTTCTGGGTTTTCTTCTTTGTAAATTTAATCTACCACCTCTGTTCTCATATTATAAAGATATTATGTTTTTAAATCATCTGCTGATGCACTGATGTAAAGTGTTTTAGTGTATTGTGGTGAATTAGTGTTTTATTTTGCTGTTTTAATACTCCAGTTCCTACCCTTAACTGTAATCCTGTTATTTACTTTTTTTATTTATTTTATTTCTTTTTATTTATTTATTTCATTTTAGTTTGGTTTAACGCTTGTGATAACAGCTGATAAATATTCGAATTTTTCTTAAAATTGTTTTACTTAAACGGTAAACACACTTTCAAATATTAATTTCGAAACGAACAATATTATCAGATACGATTTGAAAATGTCTCTCTAAAAGGAATATGTTAGAAAATGGTTAGAACGCGGTAAAGCCACAAATCGCGGAAAACCGTTAAATCTTAAAAATAGTTACTATTCAATATGATTCCTAAATATTTCTAATATACCTTTTACTGAACATATGTTTTTTCAGTGTACAACTTTTCTTATTTCTTTTGCCTTCATTGAATTTCTCTCAGTGTAGCTATAAACATAAACTACTATAAACATGATATCTGTCACGTACGCCAATTTGAAGGTCACAAAACTTGGTCCCCCCTACTTCAATAGTGCCGACGGGTTTGGTCGCTTCTCTGCGTTTGTTCTTCTCTGCTGTAACTACGCAAAAAAGCAGAATCGGACCTATGTTGATATGAAAAATAAATCTTATTTTTACGTGAGGAATCTCCCCACGAGAGATGGCACATGTTTTTCACACATGTTTGGCACATGATGGCACAGGGTGTTTCAAACCCTGTATGTTAACGCTATAGTTGGAAGGTTATTATAACTTTACATCTCTCCACGAAAGTATATGTTATGATCTATGTATAATAGTGATGTAAAAATTCTAAGTAATCGTTACAAAGTAACAGTTACTTTACGAGGACTCGAAGTAACGCTTACTATTTGAATTTAGGACTCGTTACTCGTTACTAAGCTAATTCGTTACTTTTGCGCCAGCAGTAATCGTAATCCGTGGAAATGCACGAACCGAGGACTCGAAACTCGATACTGAAATATTCCTTACTTCGACGTAGGTCTAGTTGTTATCAATATGTTTATGTTTAAAGTAGTGACTTGATGCCGGCGGTGATTTATGGCAAATGTGTGATATTTTTATTACAATTATTATGATTGGCTCATGCCGACCCTGTGGTGCTCTGTCCCTTTGCCGTTTGTTGTCGTTTTTTATTTATAGAATAGAATTGTTTATTTAGATTAACATGTCTTAGATATTAATTAAAAATGGATTCACGTTAGCCACAAAAAATGTTAACATCTGAAAAAGCAGAGCAAATATTTTTCTTCTTCAAAAGAGAATAGATATTTCGCCACTTAAACTGTAAGAAAATCTACAAAATAAAAATAGTAATTTTTAGTAAACACTGCTGGCGTTAATCCAAAGGACTTTTTTGAAGAGATGAATCCGCCACAGAGGAATATACATTTTTTTAATATTTTTACATTTTAACAAAAATATATACATTTTTTTAATTTTTACTCTTTAATGTTTGCCTATTTATTAATGTAATACAAAGAGAGAGAGAGAGAGAGAGAGAGAGAGAGAGAGAGAGAGAGAGAGTATAAAAAAATACTTTATATTTATCATACACATATTTTCTTTGTTTGATTTGTTTTCTTTTATTTTTAATTTTATTAATAGTACATAGTTTTATTTAACATATCATTATAAAAATATTATACATATTATTAAAAACATATTATTCAGTATTTGAATACCGAGTATTAAAATTATCCTATTAAGCCCTTACGCTAGAAGAAAGTAGAAACCCCTTATAGGTTAAACAGAGCATGCAACGAAGACCGCCGCGCACAATAAGTAACGAAGTTCCACGTCAAGCCCAAGTCTTCCAACCTGTACACAAAACAACGATTATAAAGGAGCGATACTAAGTACCAAAGTAACGAGTAACTAAAGTAATTAAAGTAACGAGTCCAAAGTAACGAGTCCTATTACCAAAAGTAACTAGTAGGTACCATAAAAGTAACTAAAGTTTACATCACTAATGTATAATTCTTAAACAAAAATATATTTACCTGGAATCAATATGATTATTCTCAAGGTGGTATCCTAAGCCGCTTTTCGTTGTGTAATCATTGTCGCAATGTTCACAAGCAAATATCTGTCGTTCTTCTCGTGTCAAGTGACTTTTCTTGTGCTTTTCAATATATGACTTATCTATCGTATAGTAGCTACATGTGGAACATCTATAGACCTTTTTCTGCGGTACATGCGCCCTAATAAAATGTTTAAATATTACATACATACAGTCTTGTAACTTTATAATTTCCCCAATGACTAAAGAATCCAAGGACAAATAACATCCGAGACCAAAAACCCGAGAGTAAATTGTGACGATGTCACCAAACAGTGCCGTGGCACATTTTTATCTTAACCTAGCTGTTTGACTACGCCTATGATGTATACGATGGTATCATACTAATTAATTACGAAAAAAACGTATTAAAATGTTAACAAAAGGTACAAAACTAGTATCGACGTATAGCACACATCAAGTACATATAATATCAGAAAAATAATTATCGAATTCATTAGAACTATCATCATCGAACTAAGAAAACGCTAAAAAGGTGGAGCGGTCTATTTATTTATCTATGAAAAACGTAACCCCTGGCTCTTTCTTATCGCTGCTGCTTTTACACTTGAAAGCTGAACAACTCATCACCACTGTAATAAAGTTTATACATAGTGCACTACACACAAACTATCAAAAATCGCTAAAATTGTCGCTGGTGACCAAATGATGACTCATTGTTTGCCATCAAAAGAATGGCGTCAAAGGTCACAAATTCTGCTGCAGCCCGTATAATAGGGACGTTGCATGTCCTTATATTCTTTAGTCATTGAGTTTCCCTAAATTTTAACCTCACATATCTACCCCTATTATGATCTAAGATTACGGTTAAAGTGACCAGATTTTGAGTCAACCAATGACGGACGCAGGAGCGCCGGCAACAGAACTAACGGAGCAGTTTCATGAATAGTACTACACTACTGACGCATATTTATACAGGGTGTTTCAAAAAACATGTGCCATCTCTCGTGTGGAGATTCCTCACGTAAAAATAAGATTTATTTTTCATATCAATATAGATCCGACTCTGCTTTGTTTCGTAGCTAGAGGGTGTTAAAGTCTTAGTAATTTTTCGATTTATTAACCCCTTCGCGACCAGGCTATATTTGTTAAACCTAGTATTATTTCAGATTTGCAAAAAAATAAAAAAAATATTTTTTAAATTTATTTCGTATTGGTGAGTTTCAGATGGGTCCCTAGAATTTTTTTTAAGATTAAAAAGTAAGAAAAATTTTAAGGGGAACCGGGGGGAGGGGGGTTAGTCACACAAATAAAAATTTGCTCAAAAACGTTTCTTTATGGCTACATATACGTTAATTTTTGGAAATATATTTGAAAAAATCACCCCCTCCCCACCCATCCCCCCTTCCCCTGAGGAAACTATTCCTCAAAAAGGTAGGGGAGGGAGGGGGTGAGTGCAGATGGAGAATAAGAAAAAGAACTGCGCAAAAAAACTAGTTACACCAACTTCATTATTTGAATAAAATTAAAATCACTTTCCCCCAAAACAACCCCTAAAATGTGGGGAGGTGAGGGGGTGGTGAAACGTAAGAAGAGGAGACACAAAAATACTGGTCTAGATTCTATTTGCTTTGTAATAAAATTTAAATAGTCAACCACCCCCCTAAACCCCCAACCCAATCGAACATCCCCTAGCCCCCCCCCCAATTGCGTGGTCTAAAATTCAAATTTCTCCCCCTTCTCCAAATAACGGAGTAAGTGCGGGTGGAGAGTAAAAAAAGAACTGTAGAAAGAAAGCTTTATAAACACTGTATTTGTTAATTTATATAAAATTTAAATCACAAAATGGGCGGTCTGAGGGAAGGTAAAAAGTAAGAAAAAGAAACTAAAAACACTAGTCTAGATATCTAGATAGTAAGAAAATAGACTAAGTTAAAAAATACTGGCTTGTATAGGTACCTTTTCCCTCGCGATTGTTTCGATACGCGGCGGCAGGAGTTTAACCTTGAAAAATCGACATACACAATACGAAACAAAACAGAATCGGACCTATGTTGATATGAACAATAAATCTTATTTTTACGTGAGGAATCTCCCCACGAGAGATGGCACATGTTTTTTGTTAACACCCTGTATAATTTTTAAGAAAACATGAAATATAATAGAAAATATAGGTTAATCTTAAAAATATATAGCAAAATGTATTAGTTAATAAACAAAAATAATAACAAAAAAAAATTATAGATATATAATATAGGTACCATCCTGCCGAAAAATTAATATTTTCGCAAGAATGGCTCTTTTTAGGGTTCCGTACCTCAAAAAGAAAAAAACGGAACCCTTATAGGCAGGGCCGTATCTAGACCAAAATTTCGGGGGTTTTGGCTTGGGGGGGTACAAAAGCTGTTAGGAAAAAAGCATAATAAAAAAATCGCTTTGGGCTACACTCAAATCTTAATTGAAAATAAAATGTTAAAAAAGTAACAGGTAAAAATTATTAATCTTAAAGGATAAACTGGGTCTTTTCCCTGGAAAAACGATTGACTACCTCTTCGATATCGATATTTATTTCTCTATGTACGTTTAATAGAGCAAGTCCTGTCAATCACTCCTGACCTGTAGAGTTACGTAGGGAGTCCTTCAATCGTCTTATGCCGCAACCGCACATGCGGCATTTAGCGAACTCCGAGCGCTCGTCAACTACCGAACGCTCGTCAACTACCGAACGCTCGTGATCGGACTTCGCCTTTTCATCCACACATGCGGGCTCTGATAGCAACAACATAGAGACGAGCGCTCGTTCTCGTCGCCGATTGGGTCGCCGAACTCCGACTTCCTCATCCACACACATAGGAAATCGGCGAAGCCCCGATCGGAGATCGCCGAATACCACATAATTGCAGCATTAGAGTTGAAAAAGACCTTTCTGGTGTAGCTGTTGACACTTGTAGAGTTGCTAGGATCATTAATAAAATGTATATATTTGGAAATATACACTGGTTACACTCCGATTATCGTTTCGATGGCATTTTAGGTCGGTCGACTGCAGGTAGCTGCTTCCATTTTTGCCGCCACAAGTCTAGTTCTGCCGCTAAAGTGTCATAGTCCAAAAATTCTTTGTCTAATAGCAGAACAATAACAAACGTTAATCACGTTAATGACCAGCAAAACACACAACATTCAAAAGTTTGTCCTTGTCAAACTTTTGCTGTTTTAAACACTTGAATGTTGAAAGTCGAAAATCGAAAATGACATTTGCTTTCAAAGTGGAAAAGTGAGGTTAGGGTGTATAATGTATATTTATCAATGACATTATGGTCGGTTCATACAGCCAAATAAAATAAAATAAGAATAAAATAAAATAAGAAAGTTGGTTATATGGGATACCGTACATGCGTTCATACAGCCAAATAAAATAACAAATAAAATAAAAAGTCTTTATCTTTTAACTTCTTGTTTTATTTTATGTGAAAACGGCTTTGCGCACGCTTAATTCTAACCTACAAATATTTTCAGTTTGGATTTAATTTATTTTTAATTTCGCATAAGTAAAATGTATAATATAGTAGGCAACGAATAAATAAATATACTATAAATAGTAAAATTACTATAAACAATCGTAAAAGTTAACTTTTATCCAGCCTCATCCTACTGCGCATGAGCAAATATATATTTCTTATTTTATTTTATTTGCCTGTATGAACGCACACAAATAAGAATTCCTTATTTCTTATTTTATTTTATTCTTATTTTATTTTATTTGGCTGTATGAACCCACCATAAAGAATACAAGGACAAATAGCACCCGAGACCAAACTGTGACCATCCTTCCAAACAGTGCCGTGGCACATATTTTACTTAACATTGCCGCTTGAAGGGATATTTATATTTTTGATATTATATGTTTTCACAACGCCTATGGTGTATCGGGTGGTATCATACTGATTAATTACGAAAAAAACGTATTAAAATGTTAACAAAAGGTACATAACTAGTATCGACGTATAGTACATATCAAGTACATATAATATCAGAAAAATAATTATCGAATTCAATAAAAAAACGCTAAAAAGGTGTAGGGGACTGTTAATTTCCCTATAAAACGTAACTTCTGGCTCTTTCTTATCATTGTGCCTTTTACACTTGAAAGCTGAACAAATTACCATTGTAATAAAGTTTATACAAAGTTCACTACACACAACCAACTATTAAAAATCGCTAAAATTGTCGTTGATGGCCCGTATGGGCGTTACATGTCCTTGTATTCTTTAGTCATTGATATTCATCCATCTTCTTCTTCTTCTTTTTTGTTTCGTTCTTACTTACTTAATGATCATTACTTTTTAAAAATTTTCGGCCATAATTTCGGGGGGGATTTGAACCCCCAAAACACCCCCCCAGATACGGCCCTGCTTATAGGATCACTTTGTTGTCCGTCTGTCTGTATATACCCTTTATTATCTCGGGAACGCGTGGAGATATCGAGTTGAATTTAATACCATATACTCAGGTCTACAGTCCCTTCCCAAGTAGCATTTTTAGACACAAAATTGAAACAAAATCTCTGCTGACAAACATTGCGAAACAGTTTCGTCACTTTTTTGATACATATGTTTTGTAACATAAATCGCTTTTTGTTTCGAAACATTTTAACAAAATATGGTTTCGCTATGTAAGCTATGACAATAAAGATCTTAGTGTCACAAACTTTTAAGAAACAGATGTGGCTCACATTTACAGATCTTGTACCCGTTTTGGGCCTGAAAAGTTTCCATAATTTATTTGATATTCTGTAAAATATGAGAACGTAACCTTACTTTATCGTTTAGATTTTGTTCTGCAGTTTTTGCATTTAAGCATTCTTCTAGTTTTTATAGTACTATAATTAAAAAAGCAGAAGGAAGGACATATGGTGAGTACAAAAACAGATATTTTTCTTATGCGATTTTATAATAATTTATTATACGAATTACAGAGATGATTTGGAACAGGAGACCGAAGAAAAATATTACCAGCAAACGTTTTTTTCTCTTTTTCCCGCAATAGAATACATCTTTTGTTTTAATAACTATTGTATTTTAATAAGTAAGTAAAAATGTTTTAATTATTTTGAACAGAAGTTTTGACAGGACTAGTTCGTCATTTCTACACAGATAGCGCTAAATCGAAACATTTTGGAAACAAGGTTTCCATTTATTGTCAATTCATTTTCGAAACACGAGATTCTCTCTTAAACAGTTTCTCTCGACACAAATATGATATAATGTAGATGATTTGTGTCCGACTCCAAGACAAATTTATAAAATAATGAATTAAAATTCCGCCATGTTGGCTAGTGATAGCGCTAAATCGAAACATTTTGGAAACAAGATTTCCATTTATTATCAATTCATTTTCGAAACACGAGATTATCTCTTAAACAGTTTTTCTCGACACAAATATGATATAATGTAGATGATTTGTGTCCGACCCCGTGTCAATTTTATAAAATAATGAATTAAAATTCCGCCATGTTGGCTAGTGATGCTTTTTTAACTAAAAATATATGTTTTTGTCGGCTGTTGAGCTTTTAAATGTTGATTTATATACATATTTTTATTTTCAGGACCATGATATAAAAATAAAAATCTATATTTCAAACAAAAATATTTTGTAGCAAGAAATAATTATTATAGAAGGGGCATTAAAACTATTAAAGAATAAATATACATTATTAAATTAAACGATGAATTTGCTTTTGCCAGACATTGTTTGTGCGACAAAAAAACTTGAAAACAAAGATTTTAAGACAAAAAATTATGGCGGTGGTCGACATTGTTGATGGTTTTCATTTTGAAATCCACACACAGACATAGACTATTTTAGTTTGGTATTTTGTTTCTTCACATTTAAAAACAGTGGCTGCTGAAAACGGGGACATCTTAGACACAAATTGGAGAAAATGTTTCGAAACATTTCCTCTAAAAGTTTCGATTCCGCATCGAAACATTTCAGGAAGCCGCTAGTACCACCACATGTGATAACATGTAATAAAGCCATATAAAATATATAGGTTTCGATAATGTTCCCTATTTCCAGACACAATTATCAGAAACATTACCTAAAATATGTCCAAAAATGCTACTTGGGTTGAAGCTGTGAAAAAATCAAACTTCTAAGTTAAAGTAAAAAAAAGATACGGCCGTTTATGCTGCAAAAAACGTATATTTCGACTTTCTCAAAGGAATCAAAATTTATAGGGTATTTGCCAATACAAAATATAGTCTTGATTAAAAGTATGTAATCGATCATCGAGGTTAAGCAACGGTATGCGCAGTCGTAATTGTATGGGTGACCAAATCTTTTTGTAGATTTTTTAAACGTTTACTAATGCTAGAACTAAAAAAATACATCTAAATGAATAACTTTAAAATTAACAAATTAAAATTTATAGAATTTTATGCATTATTTCTTTCATACATTATTACCAAAATAAAATATCTTAAATATAAATACTACATAATATACTAAGTGTATATGTACAATTTTTAATTAAGAAATAACTTTTTTTTGGATGGTTAAAATTAATATACAGTACGTCCCCGGATTGTCTTTACAAGAGGAAAAACTTTTTTATTATTGACATTTTGCGAAAAATGCATTCTTCATAAAAATGTTTGCTTGTTTTAAAATGGTTAATCCCGTTTATACTTCTCCAATTTTCCACATCGTTTTAGAGAAAATTAAGAAAAACATGAAAATATAGTTGAATTTTTTTAAGTCATTCTTTATTAGATTGTTATTCATATAATTTTAATTACCATAATATTTTTTATAATATACAATAATACAAATAATATACATAAGGTTGAATTTAAAATAACAAGGATCTAAGCAATTTTAAAACAAAAGGCAATAAATAATATTTTTGCTCTCCCTGTGTAATATCCAATGGGTTTATTTAGACAGATCGAATATTATCGACTTCCGTAAATTTATAATCCAAATTTCAACTTTGAAAATGTTTAATTCATGGTTTTACCAATGCTTATTCATGATCATGTTTTTGTCAATTTTACACATGTTTTATTTTTATCTCAAAAACTAATAGAGATAGGTATAGGTTAGTATAATAGAAAAATTATGGGATATGAAAGTAGTTTTTAAACGGGTAATAATATACTGAGTGTTCTATTTAAAATAAGAAAAATGCTGCCAATTTTCAAATGATGCGACAACACTGTAACGCTGAAAATATTTTAGAAAGATGGAGAAGGTGCCTTTATGTAGAAATTCAAATTTTTCATAAAAAGTCACCAGTTCTCCATAAACGTCTAACGTGCCATCGCCGTGAATCACACTACCGGGTGCGTCTCAAAAGGGGCTCACCCCTATAACTTTTTTATTTTTTCAGATAAAACAACGAGATTTGGTATGTTAGTACATGACATAAATTATGATTGATTGGTATATTCAATTACTTTTGGTCACTTCCGGCCTCACCGGAATTGACTACACTTTTGATTTTTAAATGGCACCCTCGGTATTTTTTACTTTATTCGATAGAAAATGACACTCTGAATAGAATGACATATCATATGTCAAATTTTGACATTTTCGCATATGGCTTATTTGTAATTATTATTATTATTATTAACAAGTCAGGCAGTAGACGGCAAAGCCAGTAAGACTGCACATTTCTCTAGTATATACACTATTTACACATGCTTTAATTTCTATTGCACTCTCATAGTTAGCGTTTTAGGAAACTGTCTAGTGTGTTTTTAAAACTATTCACACTGGGTGCAGTCACAATGTCCTCTGGTAAGATATTCCATTGGGCCACCACACGGTTTGTAATAAACTGTTTTCTCGAAAGTCTATGATACCTCTCTGCACACAGTTTTAGGGGATGTCCCCTCAAATTGGCATTGTTATTTCGGTGGAAAAGAACTCTCACACGAGTAGTGGCTATGTAGTATCTTATAGTATTCTATGAGATCTCCCCGGCTCCGTCTCTCCTCCAATGTTGTAAAACCAAGACGTTTTAACCTCTCTTATTTTTTAGGGTTGGTGGGATCTTAGTTGCACGTCTTTGCACTCGCTCCAAGAGGTCCATATCCTTGCGGAAGTATGGGGACCATGTCACCACAGCATGTTCTAAAATTGGCCTGATGTAGGTCTTATATGCTTTAAGCAGGGTTTCCTGGGACATCTCCCGGAATGCACGGCGAATCATGTATACCAGCGTGTTCGCGCGTTTTACCACCTTTGCCACCTGACTCTCCCACTTCAAGTTTTCTGATAAGGTTACGTCCAGGTCATTCTGTTCACCAACGGATATTAAAGTAGTGCCTTTTATGCTGTACTCCAGTCTTGGGTTATATAGCCTACATGCAGTGTGGTACATTTGTCAGTGTTAAGACGTAGCAATTGTAACATGCGGTTCATAACGAAAATTTGACTCGAAATACCCAGTGTGTGGTATCAAATTATTCCTAAAAAAATTCTTTTTCCAAATATGCTAATGAGCCACCCTCGTTCCATTTGAAAAAATTGAGATATGATTAGAAATACTAATTGGGTATCGGCCAGGACAAGACACTAAAAACATTAGACGATCCCAAGAATACTATCACAGATTAGGTATCCTATAAGTATACAGATAAAAATCTTGTCCCTAATTCGTGGTACGAAAATTGTTTTTTATGACGATGTGCAAACGAGTCAAATTTCCTGTGCACAAAAATAAACTCGCGTAAAATAACAATAAACAGCGTAATAGAGAGATATCGCTAAACCGAATAGCCTGCATGGACGTTAATAAGGCCAGGTGTTATTTTCTTTACGTGAGGTGGCATTAATTCTCTTCATTTATAGTTATCGGATCGGAAAGAATTTTGCTCGCGTCGCGTCCGCTATTTAAACTTAACCTAACTTTGAATTTAAAACTTTGAAATTGTTCTGTTTACTAGGTATTTTAAAACTAAAGGGCTAAAGTGCTTATTTCCAGTGCTTTATTGTTCAACGTCTGCCAATGGGTTTAGGACAACAAGCAACAAATTCTCTCTAGATTGAAATTTAAAATACAATTTGTTTTTGAGCGAATATGTCAAAAGTTGATATATTATGATATTATGTCATTCGATTCAGAGTGTCATTTTCTATAGAATAAAATTAAAAAATACTGAAGGTGCTATTTAAAAATAAAAAGTTGTAGTCACTTCCGGTGAAACAAGAAGTGACAACTATTTTATACAGCATTGTGGATTATAAAGTCTGTCCAAAGAGTCAGAACTAGCAAAATACTGTATGGTAAATAAAAAAAAACAGACAATAAATCATTTTATCAAAGTACAACTGCCATTCTGTGTCATGGAACGTATAAAGTGCATGACTTATGGAATACATAATCTTCCAAAGGTTAATACCTACATATGTTGAACAGTAGCGCGTGGAAGCGCTGGTCTGCCGGTATACCAGGTGTTTTTCAAAAATGGCTCAGCCCTATAAGGTTTTAATTTTTTCTGATAAAAAACGAAATTTGGTATGTATTCAATTAGTTTGAGTCACTTCCCGTTCGGCGGAAATGACTACAATTTTTGATAATATATAATATTATATGGATATAATAGAATATAATATAGTCATGTTTTAGTCATGTCTCATGGCTAATCTTACTGTAGGCTTGCCCAATAAATTCTTTCTTCTTTTTTACATGAATTTACATGAATTACGTGACTAAAAGTTTATTTGATATAAACTACTTAGATGAACTATATACTATATATGATTTAGGTACCATTCTTATGCTTACAATAAATTTACCTGGATTCACTATGGTTATTATAAAGGTGGTTTTTTAAGCCTGGTTTTGAAATATATTTGTTGTCACAATACGAACAAGCAAACAGCTCTCGTTCTTCCTGTGTCAAGTGAACTTTCTTGTGTCGGCGAATACTTGATGCATATTGTGCTTGGAAATTGCATATTGAACATTTATGGATCCTTTTCTTTTTTTCCTTCGCCCTAATAAAATAATTTTAAAAATTACAATGTGAAACTTGGAGTTTTGAGATATTTAATAAAATTTATATATGCATGCTATAATAAAAAAGATTGTCAATATCCTGTACATTACTTTTCAGAATTAATTCTTGTACCGAGTTTAAAAGTAGAGAAATAAACTTTACTGAAAAATTTGATTGCTTCGTTAAATGTATACAGGGGTATCAAAAATTGCTGGTTTTTTTTAAATAGGTATTTATTTTACATAAAAACTTGTAATTTCAAATGCAACACGAAGAGATCGCCAAGAAAAGTTCAGATTCGTGATCTATTTACATCAAAATACGCTGCATACAATTTTTTTTATGAAAAAAGGAAGACTTCCAAATCTTTCCAATATTTTCCGAGCTTTCTACTGAATGACAATATATAGGTAATTACATATCAGAAAATATCAAGTAACAATTATTTGTAAAATATGAGAAATTTTGAAATTTTAACAATAGATTCTTTGCTAGTACAAGTTAGTTTGTGCTAGTACCCTTCTAGTACAATTATATTTATTTTATGAATATCATATGCAACCAATGATTCACTAATCTGAATAAAAGCAATATATTTTTATATTTGATAGTATTAATTATATTATAACTTAGTTAATTAAGTAAACGATTGAATATAACAACTACTGTGTTAGTAATTGTTTATTTAAAAATGGTATTTTGATAATTTCTAGAGTTCAAATAAAATAAAAATCTTAAAGGAAAATGAAAACATATCGGCAACATGGCACGAAAATTTGTAAATTAGATTTAGATGGCCGATTTACCGATTTGCTTAATATCAAGGCTTATATTTTTTAAGTATTATCGATAATTTATGTAACAAAGTATTGTTTTTCGTTGACCCAAATGATTTATATACACTAATATTGAAAGCTAGGTATGTATTTATTAATAAAATAGGTGAATTTAGAGTTCCACCGCAGAGCCAAAATGTTACCGATCAATCTTCTGAAAACAATACCTCAAGGCATGAATCAAAATTTCTACATAATACAAGGATTTAATACTTACGGCTTCAAATCTATTTCTTCATCTATCTTATTCATAGTTTTTAATAAAAAAGATCAGTACCTGAAAGAGAAAAAATAAAGAGTTCAGTTCACAGATATGGTTCACAGCCATACAATAGGGGTTTTCGGAAATAAAATCCTAGATTAGGTAGTTTACTAATCAGCTGTTCCAAGATCAGTGCTGAGAGTAATCAGAGCTGGTAGTTTAATTACGAACGGTTGGATCATTAGATTAACCGGGTTAACAATCACATTTAAATATTTCGTAAAAAGAGATAAATTAAACAAATAATCCTAATATCCCTCTTTAACGATTGTATAAGATCTATTTTTATCTTATTTGTTTTGCTTTAAGTATACTTTTTAGTTTCTGTAAGACTATTTTTTATAAAAACAAAATGTGTTTTATTTTAGGCTTTTTTAAAATTATGCCATTTAAAACAAAAACACTATAAACTTTATTTTAATCATTTATTTACTGCCAACATATATTCAACATTCCATCATATTAATAATAAAAAAATATATCAATTTTTATCTACCATTGTGATGAAAATTTTCAGAATTGTCTATCAAGTTCCATTCTTTCATTATGCCTGGCTATTTTAATCTAAATGTTTTAAACCACTTTTCTGTAGTTCAGTTTTCATTTTTTTCCTATTGGGTGTCTCCGATAGTGCTTTTTCGCAGTCAGTATCTTTAGAATTACTTGTTGGTTTTTTATTTATTTAAAATCTAGAGTTACTTGATGCTATGCTGATTGGCTCATTTTTACGGTCACTAACAAAATATCATGTATTTGATCAACATTAGATAAAGTGATTTCGGACAAAACGGTTATTAAAAAACTTTATACTTCTATGCGGACCGTTACGTTTAAAATTACCCTAGAAATGATCAGCTGATTAATTCTACCCACCTCGTTAGGAGGGTTAGTAGGATCACAACATATGGCAAAAATCGAGTTATTCGGATCACTTTCCGAACGCATTGACTCGTTTTGAGATCACTTTTCGAACGTCTGGATTAGTAATCCTATCAATCCGATCAATCAGATCACAGTTTCCGAAAACCCCTAATGAATATAAAAATAATTCGTTTTGTTCACACATATATCTTTGCACACATATTCAGATATGTATTGTCATTTATATTTTATATACACCTAAATAATAAGCAATATAGGAAGTAAGTATTTATAAACGCAAAATCTTTCTCCAACAACTTTTACAACAAAATATCCGTAAAAACACAAAAACATCTGCTAACATGCCACGTATGCCACAGGCTAAAGTCCACAGCAGTCCACAATCCACAGGCATGCACAGGCATTGCACAGGCATCCACAGGCAGGGTTCGGAAAACTACATGTTAGTTACTTTTAAAAACTACATAAACTACATTACATGTAGTTTATGTAGAGGGTGTAGTTGATGTAACCTATGTATGTAACTTTCAAATATCAAAGGTTTGAGGTGAGATTATAATAAGTTGAAACTTTAGAAAACACAATGTATTTAAGAAAACAGAAGAAATATGGCTTTAAATATAATATTCAAACATCATATTATTTAAAACCCTCATATAAAGCAAAATAATTCATAATATTAATACATAGTTTATTAACGTAGTTTTCATGTAGTTATGAACGGAAAAAGACGTAGTTTTTGAAGAAAAACTACACGTAGTTAATCAGGTAAATTACGTCTTAATTAACTACTTCCGAACCCTGTCCACAGGCCACAGCCACAGCCCAATGCTTGCCAATGCCATCAAGCCATCTATTTTTTAAAGAACGGCAGCAGTGGGATTCTGTAAGCTCCCTAGCAAGAAATTTCCTGTCTAGCCTATGCTCTGCTATTTGTATACGATTGATGAGTCACTAGACAAGAGAAGTGTTTACAGAATCGGATCGGGCCTCAGTGCGCTGTTCTTTTTTCTTGTTACTCTGAGTCAGGGTTCGGAAAACTACATGTTACTTTTAAAAACTACATAAACTATATTACATGTAGTTAATGTAGTTTATGTAGAGGGTGTAGTTTATGTAACTTATGTATGTAACTTTCAAATGTCAAAGGTTTGAGGGGAGGTTATAATAAGTTGAAGCTTTAAAAACACATAATGTATTTAAGAAAACAGAAGAAATATGGCTTTAAATATAATATTAACATCATATTATCTCTATTACACCTCATACAAATGAAAATTATTCATAATATCAATACATAGTTTATTAACGTAGTTTTCATGTAGTTAATAAACGAGAAAAGACGTAGTTTTTGCAGAGAAACTACACGTAGTTAATCAGGTAAATTACGTCTTAATTAACTACTTCCGAACCCTGCTGAGTACTCTGAGTCAATTGTCAAGACTGTCAAACATATGATATTGGAAAAAATCAAAAATTGTTAAATTGGAAAATGCTCTGCAAAATTGTAAATATTTTAGATTGTGAAGGTTTTGTGATGGTTTGCAAATACTAAATAGTTCCTATAATATTACAGTACATGGTGTTGGAATATATGTTAATGAATTAAGTTTAATAGGTGAAATATATACTTGCTCTGTATTTGGTTCTCTCCAAGATAACTCCTTATAAACTAAATTCTACTGGATTTTTTAGCTGAACTGAACTCGCTTTATTTTTCCTCTCATCATTATAATCTTTATTTTCAAGCTATCCCTGACGCCGTTTTTTTCGATCGTATCGTATTATTCTATCGTGAATATAAGTTTATAATAACTTCCCAACCTCTGTTCCCAACTAAATAACGTTAACATATGGGTGATTCTGTCCTAATTTTTGTTAACAGAAATCTTTTGTTAGTTTTACAGACGTCTGTTAATTATAATAGAGGAACCCGTTTCTATGCAATTACAAGACTGTAAAGTTTAAAAATATTAGGGCAATGGAATTGAATGAATCCCAGGCAAAGGTTTATAGATGTGCCACATGTCCCTACCAAGCACGATATAGATCTAAACTTAGACAACATGAGCAAATTCACTTGGCACCGGAGGAGCGACAGATGTTTGCTTGTACATACTGTGCCACAAAATTTACGGCAAAAAACAGCCTACAACGCCACCTTGAGAATAAGCATATGGATTCTAGGTAAATTTATTTTTATTGTTATGTAATAATTTTACGTATCATTAATTTTGGGCCCCTATGTGATATTTCCCTATATGATATAAGGCTAATAGCCTTTGTACCATGGCTAATAGCCATAATGGCTAACAAATTGTGATGTCAACATAATATGTTGATCACCCTTATTATGCGTATGTATTTCTTTTGACAAAGCTCTGGTTAGTTTAACAAGGGTTTAACCACCATCTGTGAATTATGACAGGGGTAGATACTTCAGGTTATATGGTTGAAGAACCCTGTTTTATACAGTAACAACACTTTTAAAATTTGAATTATTTTATTAGGGCGGGGGAATTGAATAATTCGCAGAAAGAGGTCTACGGATGTGGTACATGTGGCTTACAAACACTATATAGGTCAAATCTTAGACGACACAAGAAAGTTCACTTGACACCGGAAGAACCACAGATGTTTGCGTGTACACACTGTGACCAAAAATATATAACAAAACACGACTTAGAAAATCACCTTGAGGATAATCATATGGATTCCAGGTAAATTTATTGTCATTATAAAAATTATATTATACTTAAATCAATGACTAAAGAATATAAGGACATGTGACGCCCATATACGGGCTGCAGCAGAATTTGTGACCTTTAAGGCCATTCTTTTGATGGCAAACAATGAGTCATCATTTGGTCACCAGCGACAATTTTAGCGATTTTTAATAGTTTGTGTGTAGTAAACTTTGTATAAACTTTATTACAATGGTGATTAGTTGTTCAGCTTTCAAGTGTAAAAGCAGCAGCGATAAGAAAGAGCCAGGAGTTACGTTTCATAGGTAAATAAACAATCCACACCAACTTTTTAGCGTTTTCTTATTGAATTCGATAATTATTCTTCAATTTCAATTAACATCTATATGTACTTGATATGTGCTATACGTCAATACTAGTTTTATACCTTTTGTTAACATTTTAATACGTTTTTTCGTAATTAATTAGTATGATACACCATAGGCGTAGTCAAAACAATTATCAAAAAATATAAATATTGCTTCAAACAGCTAGGTTAAGAAAAATATGTGCCACGGCACTGTTTGGTGACATTGGCACAATTTGCTCTCGGGTGTTATCTGTCCTTGGATTCTTTAGTCATTGACTTAAATCATATATACAGGGTGGGTCTTAAATAAGTGCAAATATTTTTAGGGCTGGTAGATCTTGATTTATCAAGTCCAAAATAACTAGTCATTTAAATTTCAATTTAAAAAAAAATTGCATTTTTTTTTGAAAAAATTATGAGAGCCACCGAATTTTTTTTGCAGCAGTTTGTTCCTATAATTTTAATCTACTACCGATGTTGTCACGTCTTAAGATATTAAATTTTTTAACTGAAAATTCCAAATTTCACCTAAATGGTAGATATTTATTACACGCCACCCAAAGGGTATTGCAAGGGCGCGTTTCTTGTTTAATGGTATTTGCTAGTAGCACTGTTATCTCACACAATAAATAGAAAAAAACTTACCTGTGATATTTAAATAGGATATTATGCTATTATTATGTTATTATTTATTAGATTCTTAACGTGCAAGTCCTGCCTTATCTGTACATAACACAGAACATAGAAAACCAATATCTTCCGATTTTCTTAAGCACTCACTAAACGTACGCATTTACTAACAAAATGTATCTTGGTAAAATTGCCTTCTTTAAGATTATTGCACCTTTTTTATGTCAGTATATGATATGGGTAAAAGTTTGCTTTTGTTGGCTTATTGTTTTAGAGACTTGAGTCTTGACTGATATATTTACTAGGAATCTTCGTTAAAGCAATTTTTTTCTTTAAATTATAAATAAAAATGAATAGTATCAACTTAAAAACGCTTTGAAACTAGTAAACATATTATTTCACTAGCTTCTGTGTCCACTAGTCAACTCGGATACCGAACAATGTTGCCGTTTGTTCTCCCTTAATTTCGCAGTTCTGTACGCGCATAAACGATAAATGGTCGGGTATTTCGCGTGCAATGTAAACAAAAAAAAAACTTATATAATAAATTGCAATAAATACAAGTTAATATTTGTAGAAAGTATATAGTGTGAAATTTAATCTTACAGCCCAACAGATACTGCTCTTAATAATGAATCAATAAGTGTGGAACATGTTAAACAAGAAAATAATATTTTAGAAGAAGATATAAATGGATCATCAGATAACAAGCTTGAACTGTAAGTATATTTTTCTAAATGTTTATGTTTTGATTAATTACTATATTACTAACTCTGTGTGGCATGCTTTGTATACAATGCAAGTCAGCTATCTTTATCTTGTTAAAATACTGCTACAAATTTAGATTTGTTTTACGCTAATTGCAAGACTTATGTTTAAAAATGATTTTAGTTCAAAGGATGCACAGAAAAATATCCGTAAGTGTACCATTTGTGGCTACCAAACACGAAAAATATCACACTTTGAACGACACCAGGAAGTTCACATGGCACCTGAAGAACGACAGATGTTTCCTTGCGCGCAGTGTGGCAAAAAGTATGCGTCAAAAGAAGCCCTCAAACGTCACCTTTTGTGTACTCATATGGATTTCAGGTAAATTTATTGTTAACATAAGAATTACTACTAAATAATATGTGTATACTCTACTTCCTCTATAAGTACTCTAACTCTGTTATACCGGGTGCGTCTCAAAAGTGGCCTACCTCTATAACTTTTTTATTTTTTTAGATAAAAAATCGAGATTTGGTATGTTAGTATATATATGACATAAATTAGGATTGATTGACGTATTCGATTCTTTTCGATCATTTCCTGTTTCACCAGAAATAACTACAACTTTTGATTTTTAAATGGTACACTCGGTATTTTTTTGCTTTATTCAATAGAAAATGACCACCTTCCCATTTTCACTGACCAAACCGCCGACCTGACGCGACGCGGCGACTATTGGGCGCGCGCTCGCGAAGTGGAAGTTGCCAGTGCACGGTGAGGGAGAAAGGACGTGATGTACAACCAATTTTGCCGCGGTTAGAACATGTGTACTATTTCTATAACATTTTTGACAGCAAAGTACAATCATAAATGGACTTAATTCTAGTCGGTTTTAGTAATACAAACAAAACACTACAAAAGTTAACCTTTCACCCACTCCCCACCCACGGCTCACCCCCCACCGTCGGGGACTTTTAGTATCTTTATCAGTACACCTTAAAGAATAACTATATCGCTTTTCAAGACTACACGAATTATTTCGACTGATTTCATTAATTTCCCTAGACTAATGTGTTTCTTCATTTTTTTTAAATTACTTATACGCGCATTCAAAATTTCAGCTATATCGGAAAAAAAGTTTATAATAATATAGTATCTAATGTTGTATAGATAATGAATGGTACGGAACCCTTCGTGCGCGAGTCCGACTTCCACTTGACCAATTTTTGTATTATCTTATGTTGTATTATACCGTATAATCGAAAAAAATGGCATCCAGTAGAGTAATAAATGACCATCGGTGAAATTTTTCATATAGTTTTACAGATAAAATTACAGCGATCGTAATTTCCAAACCTATTTTCTATTACCTATTTACAATGCAAGTGAGCTACATTTATCTTTGTTTTGTTAAAACACAGCTACCAATTTAGAATTATTGTTTGACGCCAATTGCAAGACTGATGTTTAAAAATAATTTTAGGTCAGAGGATGCGCAGAAAAATATCCATCAATGTACCATTTGTGGCTACCAAACACTAGAAATATCACACTTGGGACGACACCAGAAAATCCATTTGACACCAGAAGAACGACAGATGTTTGCCTGTGCGCATTGTGGCAAGAAATATACAACAAAATATATATTAAAATGTCACCTTGCGGTTAATCATCTTGATTCTAGGTAAAGTTATTGTTAGCATAAAAATTACTCTTAAATCAGGCTTAAATCATATATGTACTTCTATGTACAGGGTGTCCTGCTAAGTATAGCTCTCGACTGTACCTCGGAAATTATTCCTACGGCTAATATAGTCTGTCCAACGACAAGATCCTTGACAGTGATAGGTGTGTCTGTCATTTTATTTTCAAATTAGTTTATTTTATGTTACAAAGAATTAAGTTGGTACAACTGGAACGCATAGCAGAAAATTTATTTAAAATTTGAGTGACAAGTGATTACTTCAAAATATTGTGAAAAAAACTGTTTAAAATTGAGAAAATCTAATCGAGTTAGTTTATTAAAAACATTTACAGTATGTGTTAATACAAAACAAGCAAGGGTTTATTAAAAAAAAACACCACATACCAAAAAATATATAAAAAAGATTTCCGGCTTTCAAGCTCAAGCAACTTCCTGCATTTATTGTTACATTTATCAATATAATTATTCAATATGATTATATTTACCTATCGTGTGCTGCTATTTTACAGACACTCCAGTTTTTGGTATCATATACAAGATAGTATACAAACTTTATTTGTGGCTAATACATCTCTCTGGTATGGCTCTCTGGTCATAATATCTGGCAAACTGTCTCTGGAGGTCTCTGGTCACCGAATATTAACTGTAAACTATGGTCTGGGTCAACACTTAATTTTCCCACGAGTTTTCCTCCACTTAATTTTAAAAAACACGAAACACGTAATAACACAGTCCAAAATACAAAATATTTATCATTTCTATTTAACATAATTTGACACAAAATTATAACCTATAAATTGGCAAGAGTTCGACAACTCTCAAAAATCTTAAGACAAGTTCACACGCATCGGCGTTTGTTTGTCGTTTATCTTTCCGTCATACCAATAATATTGAAATATGACCTGTCATTTTTGAAATAAACCAATAAAACTGGTTAAAAACAATGAGAGATGATGCATGACGGATTTATATATAAACCCATCCATAGCAAACTTAAAAAATATTAGAAACTTTTTTTAGTAAAATAAATAGATTGGTATGGGACGTCATCTGCTTTTTTTCTATCATCGTCTGTCGAAATCTTACCTGAGAAAAAAACAGAGTATACTTTCCGAGATAATGCTTTACGAAGCTAATACAACAGCCACCTCAGAATTATTACAAGACTAATATTTCTCTTCGATTCTTTTATTAGGCCAAAGGGATTGCAGAAAAAGGTTTATAGATGTGCATTATGTGACTATGAAACACTACGTAGCGCATGTCTTAGACAACACAAGAAAGTTCACTTGGCACCGGGAGAACGACAGATGTTTGCCTGTGAGCTGTGTGACAAGAAATATACATCAAATAGGAATTTACAAGACCACATCAGGCGTAGGCATATTAATTCCAGGTAAATTAATAGTTAATATAAGAAATATTGATGTTGATGAATCCCCAATATATTTGATTTTATTTTATTTGAAACAATGACCTGTAATCAAATTCAAGACTATACATTCTTTTGAGAAATACATTTAGTAAAGGGCCCCATAGATTTTCACCTGTAATTAAATCAGTTGCAAAACTAGCAGAAAAAATGCCAAACCGTGAAAAAATCCTTTTCTAAAATGGTCTTAAAAACTAATATTTTTTTTATTCTGTTCGCTAATCTGGGACCTTTTTCGTTTGAAAATTTTAAAAGTAAATTAAAGGGAACACTTGATACAAATAAACTGTTATTATTATCAGATCGCATATGATTGAAAAAAAAAATACATGAGAGTTATGTAGATCGCGGACTTTTTTTAAATAAAAGAAATATTTGTTGAGAGCCAAACTAAAACCATAATTTTAAATATGAAGAGAATGCCAATAATTTAATATCACTGTTTCAGACTTCAAACTATTCAAAAGAATCGTTATTGTCAAATTACTTATTGAAATATTGCTATTAGAACAGAAATGTACAGGTACACCGGGTGCGTCTCGAAAGTGGCTCACCCCTATAACTTTATTTTTTCAGATAAAAAACGAGATTTGATATGTTAGTATATGACTTACGTTAGTATATATCACTTCCTGTTTCACCGGAAATGACTGCAACTTTTGATTTTTATATGGCACCTCCGGTATATTTTTACTTTATTCAATAGAAAATGACACTCTGAATAGAATGGTTTTCCGATGAAACAGGAAGTGACCAAAAACAATTAAATACGTCAGCCAATCCTAATTTATGTCATATACTAACATATCTATATTAGTTATGTGAAAAAAATAAAAAAGTTATAGGGGTGGGCCACTTTTGGGACGCACCCGGTATTTTGTCATTTTAATTTTTTATTGTTTCTAGAAATGCTGGTTGTACGTCGCCAAATTATGAAGTGGTATTAGATTCTTTAAAAATTGAAATGGATGAACTTGATTCCCTTTTGGATGAGACTAAGTATGTTTTTAAGAGTATTTTTACTAATATAATGATAATAATGTAATTCATTAATTCCAGAAGTTCTGAATGCATATCTGCGACAAATGAAATAAAATCAGAAGATTTTATAAAAACAGAACCTGATGTCACCCCAATTATGAAAAGAGACATGCACGATGACTTTAAGTATGTTTTTTAAATGTATTTTTATTAATGGATATATAATATTGTGTTCTAAATATATTTTTTTATTATTTCCAGAAATATTGAAAATGTATCTGCAACTGAAAAAGTAAAGTTGGAAAAAGTAAAAATGGAACCTGACGCGTTATGATTCTGGATAAAAATATGCATTTTTAGATGAAGAAAATATTAATAACATTGAAAATTTTGAAAAATTCAACTGATTTGTTTATTTTTCATATGTAAACCTTCACATTTTTAGGATCTATTGAATATATTTATTTGTGATATCTGCAATAAAAGTTTTATAAAATTTTTGTTTAATTTTTACTATTACGTTCATAATATAATCAATAATCATAAAATGTGATCACACGACGAAAGTTGATTTTCCCAATACCTTCGCTAAACGATTTAAATTGTTGTTCTGAAATATATAATATAATATATAGTCTGTCCAACGGGAGAATCCCCGGCAGTGACAGTTATATCTGTCATTTTAATTCACAGGCAAATTATATTCTCTGCAATGACTAAGGGCCTATTTCACAATCATTCACTTAAAGTGACCTTAGTTAAATGGAACTATAGGATAAAAGTGGCTTTAAAATTTGTTCTGTTTCGCAAGCTCTAGTAAAAACGATTTTAGCTAAAGGCGACTTTAACCATACTTTAATACATTCTGTCATTGTTTTTCTGTTATTTTTGGATGTCGTCTGTGGAAATGTTCTCTAAATTCTTGGACAGACTATACAGCAAATAGCAATGCAAATAGTAAAATATTTATGCAACTAGTAATATCTTTATTTTTAAACCATCTCTATTGATCTAATTAATGCTGAGGGATCGTTGGAAAACATCGATACTAGTTTGTCCCAAATTTCAAAGCTTTTAGACGGTCTACTTACGAATAATACAAGTCTTTTCGATTGCAAAATTACTCTATTCTATAGCGGATGTTCTCTTTATCCTTTCAACTAAAAAATGATAGATGTAAAGTTAAAAACCGAAGTTCGGATAAGTATTAACAGTCCGAAGTGCTAAGAGCCGCTATTTTCTGTTACTCTGAGGCAATTGTGAAGGATGTGTCAAATATGACATTGGACGTCACGTATGTACCATCAGTGCCTTCTATTAAAAGATCAGCCTGGGGGCGAGATTTATGACGTCACGCTAGTTAGATATAACGGATTAATAAATATGTTGTAGAATACATGGAAAATATAATTATTCCTCAGATTTTTGGTTTGTATTTTAAAAATGATATAGTTTCAATGAAATATACATAATATACAGCTAATAACTACAACATATATACCTATTTATAGTAATAAATACTTTGGCAAATAAACTATGAACCATACAAATGCAGCAAATGTTTTACAATGTACAAATAATGTATAGGTACATAAATAAAACGAATTAAGTTTAATAGATGATACCTGAATACCTGCTCTGTATTTGGTCCTCTCCAAGATAAATTTATAAATCTTATATGCCTGCTGCATGCTGGATTTTGGCGGATATTCTAGCTGAACTGAATTCTGTGTATTTTTTCTCTTGGCTTGGCACTGACCTTTTTTTATTAGAAACTATGGATAACATTGATAAAGTAACATATTTAAAACCGTAAGTATTATTTAGAAATTTTTATTTGTGGTTTAAGGTTTGTTTTGAGAGGAGAATATTTTCTGTCTATACTAGGTTTTGTCAATAATTATTTGTTAAAAGTGGAAAAGGTGCTTGTCAGATATAACACCCTTCGAATTTTGTACTTTCTTTTATATCACTAAAAAATAAACAGAATCATAAAAAATAGTTTGAAATTAAAGCAATCAAAAAATGAATTTTCTTTCGACTTTATAGTGACTATCCTATCTATTTTAAATACTTCCACATGCTGGATTTAATTTATAGCTGAACTGGCAGCCTTATACTTAACTTTTTGAAATCCATGTATCTGTGTGGGTTCCGAGAAGATTTAACATTTACATCCAAGATATATCGGGCACACGGCACCAAACGAATACATATAGGTACTACAATGGATGATATGGTCAATATCACAATATTTTGATTTTGCCTTTTTGAAAAACCTGTTTGCACTAAAAATCGATGTGTCAATAAAATATTCTAATTTTTTGAGCCACCATATACAACCAAATAACTACATACAGGGTAAATATTAGGCAGTATAATCTCCCAGCTATAATGTCAACATATGATGGTGATTGATGATATATATGTATTTTTTTACAAAAATGTTGTATTAGTAGTATACAGGTTGTTAATTTGTTTATTACTCGCGGCAAGAGCTTTATGGTTGAAATATGGCAACCTCGGCCCGCTTGTCGAGAGACGACGCGACGCGACGCGACGGGACGAGTCGACAGCTTAGCTTAGTACTCATTTGGAATGTAGGCAGTGTTGCCATTCTGTTCCCCAATAAGTAACCGTCCAGTTAACAATCTGTATAGTTATTTATAATAAGGGTAGACATGTGAGGTTAAATGTTTGAGGAACCCTGTTTTATAGAGTTACAATACTACTAATATTTAAATATTTTTTTTATTAGATCGGAAAAAGCTGAGAAAAAAATATGTAGATGTTCCATTTGTGGCTATCAAACACAAAACGTGTCACATTTTAAACGACACCAAAAAATTCACCTGGAACCAGAAGAACGGCAGTTGTTTTCTTGTGCGTACTGTAACAACAAATATAAGACAAAACCGAGCTTACAATATCACCTTGAGAATAATCATACTAATCCAAGGTAAATTTATTTAGCGTAATACCTACAGTGATCATACAGGGTCCGGCAATAGTGCGTCGGGCATCTGTAGCTCCTAGAATAAAAAACTTGGGAATTTTGTTTAAGTGCAAACCTAAAGTATGTACTAGGATGTATTTTAGGAAAATATTTTAACTGCTATAGGGTGGATCAAAAAAGTGTGAATGGATCGGGATGATTTTTTTTAAACGGAACACCCTATACAGGTTAATTTGTTTATTACTCGCTGCAAGAGCTTTATGGTTGAAATATGGCAACCTCGGCCCGCTCGTCGATAGACGACGCGACGGGACGAGTCGGCAGAAAACCCTAAAGTGCATGCGTTCTCAATAGGCAGTGTTGCCATTCTGTTCCCCTATAAGTAACTGTCCTAGTGATGGGCAAAACTGTTATTTTTAGATAACAGTTGAAACTGTTATAGTTATTTATAAAAAACAGCTTAAAATAACAGCTAAAAATAACAGGTTTCTTTATTTTACTGCTAAATATCTGAAAGAGTTTGAGACGGTCATCGCCAGGCGTATTAACGCCGTTGCAAGTTGCAACAATGACGTGCTCGGTGGTAGTATTTCCAGGGTGTCAAAACATTTCTAAATATCGATTGTTATCTAAAATACCTCTCTAAAAACGGTGGTTATTTACAAATAAGCGCTGTTTACAAATTGCTATATAAAAAAAAGCCAAAATTCGGCCACTCGTCTATAGTATATACTTACGCCCTGCCCCTCGATTCGCGTAGATCCTGAATTGCGTAGCAGTGTACAGGGTGCATCTCACTCGACGGGCGAGAAGCTCTTAGTTATGATTTTACCATTTGCGGTCAAAAAATAGCAATATAAGAAAATGTGTAGTATATTCTTCATAAGTAAACCAACTACACACTAGAGTTCGAATTAATTTTACACTTAAACTAGCGTGTAGCCGCGACTTCGTTCGCGTCGAATTAATAATTTCTAATGGTGATGATAAAGCAAAACAAGAATTTCCATTAACATACAAACTGGATAAAATTTTCTCACATTTGCCAAAAATAAGCTTTCTAACGTCGAGCAGTTTAAGCAGAATCGTGGTTAATCAATTACTCAACTTTTGGAACACCCTGTATGATTTTTTAAAAATTTCAAAATATGTAAAAAAAAACAAAATAAATTATGCGTGTCCAGGCGTTTTCCCGAAAGACTAACCGTTTTTAAATAACAAATATTGTAATATTTGAGGGGCGTTTTCACCCTGTTGGAATTTGAGATTCGAGAAACCCCTCCTTATCGAACCTCAACCCCACAGTCAATCCGTTTGCAAAAATCAGCTTTAAACGTCCAGCAGTTTAAGCAGAATAGTGATTACTCAATGGTCATATTTTATGAAACACCCTGTATATATTTTTAAAAATCTTAAAATATGTAAAACAACATATTAAAATATACGTGTTTTAAGAGTTTTTCCGAAAAACTCACCGGTTTTTAAATAAAAATATTCTAATATTTCAGAGTAGTTTCACCCCTTAGAATTCGAGTTTCGAAAAATCCCTTCTTATCGAACCTCTACACACTAAAGTCAATCCGTTTTCCAAAAAATCAGCTTTTTTACGTCAAGGGCTTTAAGCAGGATCGTGATTAATCAATGACCAGATTTTTCAAAACACCCTGTATACATTTTTAAAAATCTTAAAATATTATTCTGAAAATTTTTCAGAATAAATATATACCTAAATATTGAAACTTAATAAGTAAGTACTGAACATACAGCGCCATAATATCTCGACCTCCGTCCGTTATGCTCGTAACAGGTTGAAACAGAATGTATCTAAAACAACTGATGCGTTATTCCCCAACCTGTTTCGAACCTCCATCGACAATCGACCGATGCAGCAGCGTTCCTTTCCCACACCTATTATCTCGTCCGCCGCCCTGTTATACTTGTAACAGGTTGAAAAACAACATATCTAAAATGACTGCTTCTCCAACCCGTTGCGAGCCTCCATCGACAATCGACCGATGCAGCAGCGTTCCTTTCCCACTCCTGTTATCTCCACCGCCAGGCGTTATGCCCTCAACTGTTTCAAAAAACCTGCTTCTTTTATATCCTATTATTTTTAAGCTGTTGTAAATACGACCATTGACGGTATCGACCGAAGCAGCTACGTTCGCCGTAGCGCTTTCCCCACTCCGTTGTCCGTTGTCTCGCCGCCTGTATCGATGGTTGACGAAATAACATGTTTTCCATCCATACTAGTTGTTTTTGGAATTGCTTCGAGCAGCATAGAATTTCGTGGTGATGCAGAGCGCCGACTTCGTTTTTCCTTTCACGAGCGGCCGATCTCTACGTGTCGTTATTTTATATCTGTTATTTTTTAAAAGTAGTAACGGTTGCGTTATGTTATTTATAAATAATTGTTATAAAATAACAGATAGTTAAATAACAACCCATCACTAAACTGTCCAGTTAACAACCTGTATATTATTGGATTTTTGGCTTCCTTTCAGATCACTTTACACTTTACATAACCCTTAAATATGGTTACATATATTTCGATAGTTTTAGAGATATTAATAAATAAATAAAAAAATATCTATTTTTCAACCTTTTAAAAAAAAATATTAAAAATACAAGAGTTGTCCTGAAATCAAAACTATATTAGGTATTTACTTTAGATTAGTCTGAACTTACTTTGCTATAAATATGGTAATCGTAAATCATACTGGATGTTCAAAATTTTACGCCAAACTTTCTAAAATACAAAATATTTTTCTTATTTTTTTTTAAACGGAACACCCTGTATATTATTTTTTTCGAAATTAAATTTTTTTAACGATTTAGCAGATATTTGCAGTTTCATATTTCATATGGTATTTTCCACAGTAAATATTTATCAAAGCCACCACAGTGTTTTCTCTCGTATTTTACCGTTGAAAGAGCCATAATATGAAATAATACTACATGTATCTGCAAAACCATAAAAATTTTGAAGTACTTTAATACAAAAGATGTTCATTTTTTAACTCTCCATATAATAAAAAAATAATATACAGGGTGTTAATTTATTCAGGGTGCTATTTAAAAAAACAAAGAAAAATTATTTTATATTTTACAAAGTCTGGCGGAGAATTTTGAACACCCTGTAAGATTTAAGTAAATACCTAGTATAGTTTTGATTTCAGGACAGCTCATTATTTGTACTATTTTTTTTTAAGGAAGGCTGAAAAATATATTTATACTTTTTATTTATTCATTAATATCTCTGAAATCATCGAAATATATTCACTCATATCTTAGGATTACGTAAAGTGATCAGAAAGGAAGCCAAAAATGCAATAATATACAGGGTGTTAAAAAAATCATCCCGGCCCACTCACGGTTGCAGTTAAATATTTTTTTATTAGAGATCGCAAAAGATCGCAAAAAGTCGAGAAAGTCTGTAGATGTTCCATTTGTGGCTATCAAACACAAAATATGTCATATTTTAAACGACACAAGAAAATTCACCTGGCACCAGAAGAACGACAGTTGTTTGCTTGTACACACTGTGGCCAAAAATATATAACAAAACCTGGCTTAAAACGTCACCTTGTGGATAATCATATTGATTTCAGGTAAATCTATTATTATTGACATAAAAATTATACACTTAGGCATGGTACAAAGAAAACAAGGTATGATATTGTGCAGGTTGGTCACTACGTCACAGATAGTAAACGGCACTAATGGTCGGCAATCTCCGCGCGCCAATTTCAAATTGTCAAACAGATGACACGGATGACACATAATAAATGTGTAATAACTTTTCAAATGTCAAGCTCGATGATTTGACATAACTTTTGGGGTTATGTTCTAATTCTTCCCTATTTTAGGTCTTTTTTATTAGTGGCAATTGGGGCAACGGCCCAGCTACGTCAAAACACCGGTTCCCATTAGAGCACCGAAGTTAAGCGACGTAAGGCGATACTAGCGGTTGGACGGGTGACCGGTTCGAAATTCTGTATCGTGCTGTTGTCCAAAAAAAGGCAGAAGTGTAAAATCTATTGACACACTGCCCATTCACGCCGGTTCGAGGCCGGATGAGATCGGATATCTCGTGAGTAAGAGCCGATTTAGACACTTGCCAAGTGGGTAGGCCATTGACCATGATATGGCCGAGGACCGCGGTTCGGATTCCGCGTAAACAAAGTCGGCCCCGTCCAGATTAGCCCTGGCAGTAAAAAGGAGACGTTAACTGAAAAAAAATAGTGGCAATTGAACAATATGGATATTATTTTGTATGGCGTATGACGTCACAGTTGGTATGCGCGAACTGAACCAAATTGGAGTCGCTATCGATCATACCTTGTTTCCTTTGTACCGTGACACTTAGGTATAATCTGGTATAATTACAGATATAAACTACTCAAAACAGTTTGTCACATATTTTTTAAAGAAAAATATTAATTTGAATAACAAGACACCTTGAATTATGTAGGCTGTACTTAAACTGCCGTTAAACGGTAGCTTACTAAAATGCCGTTAATAGGTATGACGTCGTTGATGTGACGCACTTGACGACTTTATGAAATAGAGGAATTTTATAAGGACTAACCAACGCTATCCACCCCACCAAATAACCAACTTAACCAACGCAACTAACCTCGACACTGATAAAAAATATAAAAAACAAATATAAATTAGTAAAAATCAACAAACCCCACCAAATAACCAACTAACCAATGAATTAACACCCTCCAAATAACCACGCTAACCAACCGCCAAATAACTAAACCAATCCAACCAAAAAGAGTGAAACCAATGCAATAAGATCACGCTATAAGCAAAAAATATATAAAAAAGTCTTGGTCGGCGTGAGATTTGAACCACGGACCATTCGCTTACGAAGCGATAGCTTCAGCCACTGACCCACAGGTGCTCTTGCAAAATGCTTAAGGCTAGGCATTACTTTCTGCCTATATGAACGACGTCACAATATCTATTAACGGCATTTTAGTAGGCTACCGTTTAACGGCTGTTTAAGTACATCGAATTATGTATTTAAATAGTTTGGATACAGTAAAGGGGGAAATATTGGAAAAAATAAGCTTACGCGCTGACATGCAATTCTTAGTCGGCCGACGATTTAGTTGGTTTTAAACTTTAGCAAAAGTGAAAACAATATATTCTTATGAAGCCGGTTGGCCGCCTTTTTGATTGCATGTGAGCGCGGCTTCATAAGAATATATAGTACGAGAGTTAGCAACGTCGGGAAAACAATAATTATAAGAAAGCTGGCTCTTTGATATATCTTTTACTATGCTCTCTGGAACAGAGTGCGAGTCATCTGGCTGCTGATAGACGTTGCGTTCACTACTGCGCATTGAAAGAAGATCCTATATTTTTTTATTAGTCCTTTAAATTCTAGTATTGAATATAAACCGAGCGAGTCTCCATAGCGCGGCGCGAAAAGGTTCCGCCTATGAAGGGCAGGTCTGAGCAGGTCAGAGTTCGAAACCGGCTCGGGGTAAATTTTTATTTTATTATCATTTACAGGGTGTTTCAAAAAATGTGCCATCTCTCGTCAAATATCAAGAAATAACTTTTAATTGGCAATAAACGGCCTAAACAATTTTGATATCAAAAGAAAAAAGTCAGTGGCAAACATTTTTTTTGAAAAATATTCCAGTGATAACCCCTGATGAATTTATCGAAACTTTTAGCATTAAAATATGTAGCACTTATAGTAACTTTTACCCTTAAAATTTCATTCAAATTACTAAAAGTACTTGGAAGAAAATTATAATAAATCGAAAGATTATTAAGACTTTAGCACCTTGCAGCTAGGAAACAAAGCAGAGTCGGACATATTGTTAAATGAAAAAATGTTATTTTTTTGAATGTTTAATTTGAATTCCCCCCGAGATATGGCACATGTTTTTTGAAAAACCCTGTACATACAAAAATAGATTGTTTACTTCAACAAAGAAGCAAACCCATTATATTTACTTGCAAGTTGTTATTGTGTTTTATATTATTTATATTTTCCATGAATATTTCATTTAATTAAAGGGTCTTATTTTATTCTCTACTTTAAATTTTTAAAAGAGGTTGTCGTCTGTGAATTAGAGGGTAGATACGTGAGGATATATGTTGTTGAGGAACTCTTGTTTTATAGAGTTACAAGATAGTAATATTTAAAAATTATTTTATTAGGGCGAAGAAATTAAAGAAATCGCAGAAAAAGGTTTATAGATGTGCCGCATGTGGCTACCAAACACCACATAGGTCAGATTTTCGCAAACACCAGATAATTCACTTGGCACCGGAAGAACGACAGATGTTTGCCTGTATGTGCTGTGACAAGAAATATACATCAAATCAGGCATTACGAAATCACATCATTCGTGATCATATTGATTCTAGGTAAATTAATATGATTGCGATATACCTACTTATACAGGGTGTCCGGAAATTAATGCAACAAAATTTGGTCATAGATTCTTAAAAAAAAATAGGTACCCCGTATTTTTTTATTTTTGGCCAGTGGCCCTCCTTTTCGGATTTACAACCTCCTGAATTTCGCCCCTAAAAAGAGTTTTTTTTTAATATCTCAAGGCCCTGTTGGACGAAAATCACTAAATTTGGTACATGTTGTATTACCATAAAATTACATTTTTTGATGCTATTAACTTTTTTTTATTTTCATCAGTTATTCACCGAAAATCTACATTAAATTTGGAACAAATTTGATCTCTTGACTTTTTTTGGTACGACGCACCGTTTTCGCGTAAAAAAATAGAAACCACTTTCGTACAAGACCAAATCGCTAAAATTTTAATGTAAATTTTCATAGCAAAATTTAAAAAACGGCAATTTAGGTTTTTGGACATTTTGGCTCACACTTAGGTAATAAAAACAAGATTTTGGAAAATAAAAAATTATTTTAAACTTAAGTTTGCCGTTTTAAAAATGTTCCCATTGAAATTTACGGTAAAATTTTAAATCGCTAAAATTTTAGTCACGTATGAAAATGGTTTTTATTTTTTTACGCGAAAACGGTGCGTCGTACCAAAAAAAGTCAAGAGATCAAATTTGTTCCAAAATTAATGTAGATTTTAAAAATAATTTTTATTTAAAAAAAAAAACAGTGGCGTACCATTTTTTTCTTCAATAATATTTAGTTTAAATACCGTAGGGACGCCACTGATGAAAATAAAAAAAAGTTAATAGCATGAAAAAATGTCATTTTATGGTAAAACAACGTGTACCAAATTTAGCGATTTTCGTCCAACAGGGCCCTGAGATATAAAAAAAACTCTTTATAGGGGCGAAATTCAGGGGGCTGTAAAACCGAAAAGGGGGACCACTTGCCAATTATAAAAAATACAGGTCACTTATTTTTTTTCAAGAATCTATGAGCAAGTGTTGTTGCATTAATTTCCGGACACCCTGTATAAGACTAATATCGAAAAATATTTCTTGCAGTTTTTAGGTACCCATATAATAAAATTATATAAGAATTTCTTGCCTTGAACTGCTAGTATAGAAATTATTTTTATTCCTCACTGTGTTTGTCATAATGGGGAACAGCCAGCTCTCACTATCGGTTTCGGAGCCCTACTCCATCATCAGATGAGTTTTGGCTGATTCCACAAAATGACAAACACAGCGCAGAGTATCTAAATACGACTTGTCGTAAAGTAGCGGTAAGAGAGTAAGTCCCGCATGGCGAGGTAGCGGCCTACGTGCAATGGTAGTACTTGCGTACCACTGCGGCACAACTATCGATAGAAAAAAAATAAAGGTTTTTTTCGGCTAGCCCAAAATATCCCCTATCTCTCATGCGGGACTTAATATCTTACCGCTACTTTACGACAAGTTGTATTTACGGTAATCGCAAAACATTTTCCCATCCACGTTATCACTCATATGGAAATTGACACTAAAGTCTATAAACCTGACTAAATGAAATTTTGGCAAAAATGTTTAAATTTGTTGTATAATTTAAGATACCCAGCAGCTCTTCATTATACTTAGATATTTAGATTAAAGCTGCAAAAATTTGTTTACACCAAATTTTATTATCGCTATGTTGTCACATTGAGCCGTATTCAGCAACGTTGTCATTTATTGTTTGACAATTATCATAATGTCAGTCATTGTGCCTGTTCAGGGAACACAGCGGCTGACTGACCGCTGAGTATTTTGCTCAGCGGCTTACTGTTTTTGGTGTAAAAAGAAACCGTTTAAGGAAACCGCTTACTCAGCCACTCAGCCGCTCACGGTCCCTGAACGCGCCCATTATTTTGTATAGGCCTGGTGATGGGCCTGGTGCACTTCAGTTGATTTCTCATAATATTTAAGTATTTTTGCTAGTGCAGTTATTGAGACTATAAAACATAAAACACTCAGGTACGAGGTTTGTGTGATGTAACCACAGATGTAACGCTGTTTCGGGTAGTAAAAAATAAGTGAAAAAGAATTCGAACTAGGCGTCGTGTTGTGTTGTGAGAATTTCAAATGTTAATAAAATTGCCGAAAAAATGCTAACGCGTAAAGGAGAGCGTAATTATGCATTGTTGGGTGCAAAAACATTCAATAACTCAACTTTCCCGGATATTCAACTCTTCCGAAACAACATTTTATACGTTCATAGTTTCTCATACCGATTTGATTAAAAGCAAAAATAAATCCAAGATTCAAGCAGTTCGACGAAACAAGCGAGTAAACAAAGTGCTCGTTACATAATCAAAAAATTAAATAGACATACTATGAGAGGATAAAATATAATTTGCAATATTAATGGTATACTTTTTTTAATCAACTAGTGATTAAATGTTTTACGAACATCTTCTAAAATTATAATTATGTACCTTTAAAAAATTTCGTTATAGCCAAAATAGCCCCAATTATACCTCACCAGCAAAACCGGCAAATAAAACTATGGTCGCTACCGTAATTGAACTAATCTAAAAAGTGTTTTTAACTGGAATAATAAATTATAATACAAGTTAGACCTTCTGAAGATATCAAAATATTTACTTTTTTGTTTTTAAATTTAGAATTTTTACAAATTACACTTCCTAACACTTTTAGAATAATTAAATAATAAATTTTTCGTATCCTCCCTATTTAAACCCGTGTATTTGTATAGATCGATTGTTCATGATATTCTCGCATGGTGGCAGCACCGGCGGAGAATGCACCAAGCCTATAATATCGTGTTGTTGTTAAATCTTTGTGAGTAATTCTCAGTTTTTGCCTATTTTCATAGTCTTCTTTTAAAAATTGCACTTTTAAGCACAAACAGTTCTTTTAAGAACTAAATTTTCGAGTTTTTGTATTGCATGTCTTGAAATTGTGTGTTGAAAATATGCCGAAGCGTTTAAACAGTCGAAGCAAAGAGCTTGTAGCTTTCCTGATAAACTATTTTGAACAAGAACGTGACAATAAAGGTCCTTTATTACCCTTGACTGCAGTCAGAGAAGTATAACTCTGTTTTTTTTTCAGGTAAGATTTCAAGAGAAGATGACAGCATAAAATAATAAATACAAGAAGAAGTGTCAAGTCATTGTTAAATTATGGAAACAGCGTGGCTGCCTGGGTAACTAATTTTCAGATATGGCGGCTGGGACATTTGACATGACATAGACATGACAAATTCAATTTTATGAAATTTATTTCCATTTCCGGTTTTTAATGGCGGGCTGTTCAGGAGGTTTAAATGAGGGTTAATATACTTTTTACTCTTTCTAGTAGTAAATAATACAACAAAATTACTCAAAAATATTTATTTGGAATTTAGAACAATGTAAATATGCAAATCAACACAATTAAAGAGCTATAAACCAATAAACTACTGTATCAATATTAAATATTTAAATAATATCAGAGATGCTGTGTTAAAGCGAATTAGTAAAGTAACAGTGCATTGACTTACAGAAACTTGAAGATAAATAAATGTTTTCACAGCTTCACGGATAAATAACTGGAAGCAGGAAAAAGGCAACCGGAACCCACACAAAACCTGGAATCAAAAAAAATATGTAAAAAATATAAATATAGGTACCTACATAAGACTTTTGTGAATTAAATCAAACAGGACTTGAATGAAAATAAAATGAATAAAAAATATGATACATATACATCTAATACCTCATTTGTATTTTAAAAATAATCTACATACATAGATTTATAGCATTATTGCTATGAAAATACATAATAGGTACCTATGTGATATGTAATTACGCATTTCTGTTCATCTTGTAGAAATTTAACGTAGGCTAATAATAGTTCAATAATCATAATTTACCTTGTATAACTTGCTTTCAATTGCTCAAAATCACCGATCAGTCTTTAAAGTAGAGATACGGAAAAATCCTTGAAAGAATATCCCAAGATCCTTGGGTTTAAAGCTAAAAAAATATAAAAACAGTTAATATATTACCTATTTTTACCTATAATATGGCCCATACCTGCTACACGCCGAAACGTCGATTTCATCATTTTCTTCATGTAATTAATATCATATATACTTTATTAAAGTGTTAACAAGGAACTTTATATCAAAAAACATCTTTGTACTTATAAATTTCAGCCGAAATATCAGAAACAAACTTCCAATCAAATCTAAACGGCAAAAATTAAAATGGCGCCCGACCTTGCCAGAGGCCTCGGGAGCTGACGCTGACACACAGACAAAAGACAAAAGAACAGGACGCCGACGTGCATAAAAATGTTCCGTAGCAGAAATTGACAGAAATATTCAGATTTTTGTCTAGGACAGTCTAGAAGGCCATGCTTTCTGCCTGGGTAGAACCGCGCCACAACTGTTTCCAATTTTCCGGTTTACTGTCACCCCCCTGGATGACAGAAGAAAAGCAGATGACGTCTCATACCAATCTATTTATTTTACTAAAAAAAGTTTCTAATAATTTTTAAGTTAACTATGGATGGGTTTAAATAAAAATCCGTCATGCGTCGTCTCTTGTTGTTTTAACCAGTTTTATTGGTTTATTTTAAAAATGACAGATCGTATTTCAATTTTATTGGTTTGACGGAACGATGAACGACAAACGGACGCCGATGCGTATGAACCCGCCTTTAGATTTTTGACGCTTGTCAAAGTCTTTGCCAAATTATAGGTTATAATTTTGTGTCAACTTTTGTCAAATACCCTGCGTTTTGGAAGATGATGCATTTTGATTCGTGCTATTACGTGTGTTTTGTGTCTTTTTAAGTCAAGTGGAGGAAAAATCGAGTGAAAATTAACTGTAGACCCGGAGCACAGTTTATGGTTAATACTCACTGCCCAATACTGCTGATACCAATAAAGTTACCATCAATAAAGTTCGTATACCATCTCGTCGTAGATAAGTGCATCTCGAATATGGTAGAAGAACCATACTAAACACATACTAAAAACCGGAGTAGCTGTAAAATATCGACATCACACGATAGGTAAATAATGGATTTTAGTACTGCAAAAAAAAATAAAAATTAATTAAAAAATAATGTTAAAAGGTACTGGTTTAAAAAAATTAAGATTAAAGTTAATTAATCAACCTTTAAGGTATAAAATTTGGTGTGTTATTAGTGTTATTATTAATAAAATAGTTTGTTTTATTTATGTTGTTTTATTTATTCCTGTGGTATATTACAAATTTGTATTTGTACATAAGTTATATTAATAAATATATATTAAGTTATATTAATATAATATATAAATGCGGAAAGTTTAATAAAGCTTGAAAGTAAGAAATAGTTCTTTTTTATATTTTTTTTGGTATGTGTTGTCTTGTTCTTGTTTGTTTTGTATTAACACATACCGTTTTTTATTAAATAAAATAACTCGGTTACATTTTTTCAGTTTTATACAGTTTCTTTCACAATATTTTGAAGTAATCACTTGTCAGTCAAATTTTAAATATATTAATTTCCTGCTATGCGTTCCAGTTGTACCAACTTATTTCTTTGTAAAATAAAATAAACTACTTTGAAATTAAAATGACAGACACATCTATCACTGTCAAGGATCTTCTCGTTGAACGGACTATAGGTTTGATTGGTAAGCACATTATACCACTTTCAAAGACATTTCTACGTTAGTTATTAGTAAATTCTGTGATTAATAGTTCGTGCATTAATGGCACTTTTTTACTTGTTATTACCACTTGTGGTGTTGCAAGATTGTACATTAATAAATAAATAAATAACCCATAATATCGCTTAGAATAATCTTCATCATGACCTAACCTACTTAACCTACTAAAATATTAATTAATAAAATAAAAATAAAACGTAAATATCTTTAAAAAATGATATAATAAATATATTGTTTCCCAATTTTACATTAAGATTCATCTCATAAATCCATAACAATCTGGCAGCGCTGTCGGCTGTCGCCATTGCTTGTCAGTCAAAGTTGATCACGTGCATCAGAAATTGTTTCGCGATTACCGTAGATACCCTGGGCTGTGTTTGTCATTTTGTGGAATCAACCCAAACTCACCTGATGATGGAATAGGGCTCCATTATGACAAACACAGTGTGGAATTAATTTCTATATTAACAATTCAAGGCAAGAAACTCTTATATAATTTTCTTATATAAGACTTATACCGGGTGGTGCATTGGACTTTATTTAGCTATCCGTTGGGTACTTAACCACCGCCCATTACTGATCCAGAAACATATTTGGCATTTTTTTTTATTATTTCCAGAAATACTGATTGTATATCTCTAACTGATGAAGTGATAGTAGATTCTTTAAAAATGGAAATTGATGATCACGCTCCGTTTTTCAGTGAGTTTGGGTATGTTTTTTTTGTTTCATGTTTAAATGTGTTTTAGTAATATAATCTTAATAGAGTAATTTATTAATTTTAGAAATGCTGGATGTCTATCTGCTACTAATGACGTAAAATTAGAAGATTTTTTAAAAAGAGAGCCTGATGTCGCTCCGATTCTAAATAAAGACTTGCACGATGACTTTAAGTATGTTTTTTAAATGTATTTTTACCAATAGCCTCTAATAGATTAAATACATTTGTGTTTTAAATATTTTTATTGTTTCCAGAAATACCGAAGATTTGTCTGTAAATAAGGAAGTGAAGTTAGAGGATTTTATAAAAATGGAACCAGACGATGGCGCTGCCTTTCTGGATGAAGAGTCGCGTTTTTAGGGGAAGAAAATATGTGTAACTAAAACAAAACCACGTGTTTTTTTGTTTAATTTTCATATGTAAACATAACTTTTATATTTTCAAGTTGTATAGATTTATAGCTGTTATATTTTTAATAAAAGTTATACTGTAGCCACGGCATATAAATTTATGTGCCGTACTGTACTGTAGCTTTTTTTGATTTATTTCAAATCCTTAATATGTATAATAACTACTATATACTTAATAATTTATTTTATTATATTATTTCTCAGTTGGAGGCAATCGAATAGCTATGTTTAAAAAGACAAGTATGATTATGTATGAGTTATTTTTTTAAAATATTTTTTTAATTTTTGTTTTATCTAAAACTTGCATTTAACCGAAATCTAATTAGAGCTGGGAGATCATTAGAAAACTTCGATATTTACTTTTAAGTCGTTCAGTATGCGCTCATTATTACTGTTGTAAATGGACCGACTCTTTATCATACCAACCACTTCCAACTTACGTTGGCAATGTTGGCATTCGAGTGAGATCTAAGAGTAATTACAATCTGTAGGCATAAAAGGTCCCAGAAGCGTTTTACCCCTTATATCTATTATTTTATGGTTTGAACGTGATTTTTTGTTACTCTGAGTCAAGGATCAAGGCTGTCAAACATATATTGAAAAAAATGTTTTGTATTTTGTATAATGTAATGGTGCAAGTTTAGATTGTGAACCGTAATTGAAGGTTTGGGACTGTTTGCAAATACTAAATAGTTCCTATATTATATTACATGGTGTTTGAATATGTGAAAAACACGAATTAAATTTAATAGGTGATAACTTCTCATGGACTTCAATTCTACTTGCTAGATTTTATAGCTGAACTGAACTCGGTTTATTGTTCCTCCTCGCTTTGCACTGATCTTTTTTATTAGAAACTATGGATAACGTAGATGAGGTTATAGATTTAAAACCGTAAGTATTAATCTTTGTGTTATTTAGAAATCTTGATTCATGTTTTGAGGTATTCGTTTGAGAGGAGGCTATGATATTGAGTTATATTTTCTGTCCCTATCAGATTTTGTCAATAAATATTTGTTGAAAATTGAAAAGGTGCATATCAGAAATAAAACCCTTTGAATTTTGTAGGTACTATGTACATATAGTTTATTTGTATGTCACTCGATAGCAAACATTGAAATAATTATTTCAAGCAAAAAAAGAGTTTGGATCATCCACAATTTAACGACAAAGACAAAATAAACAAATAATTTTTGCTAAAATAGGTTATATTCTATGATAAACAAATCTCATTGATTTATTCATTGTTTCTTTGGGGAGGCAAAACTGTACTTACCTATAAGAAAATAAAAATTTGATACGCAATTTAAGATGTTAATTGAAATATAAATAAATAAATAAATAAATTTATTCAGTAGAAATAATCAACAAATTTTTACAATGTTATGTAAATTACTAACAATAGCAGGTTAGTCGTGACTGACTAAGTTAAGAAAAAAACTCAAAATTTAAGTGAGGATGCAACAATCACCACACAGGCCAACAAAACCACTCTTTCAAATTTGTCAAGCTTTCAAGAACCCCACTTCCATCATCAGGACAGTTTGACTGAGTCAATCAGCAAAAAAAAAACATCTTTTGTACAAAAAGGCCCATATGTGACTACCTATATTGATATTAGCAATCTTTAATTCCCATGGTGTTTTACTAACGTCTAGCCTTTGCAGGCTGCAAAATTAAAAAAAAGAGAGAATCAGGAATAAATAGCTTAACTAAAAAAATAAAGTATTCAAAAAATTACTTTTGTTTCAACTGGATCGTAAATCGTGACTATCCTATTTTAAATATTTACAATTCCACATTCTGAATTTAAATTATAGCTGAAGCTGAATTGGCGGTATATTTTCCCCTTTAGATTACTGTTATTCTTTATTAGAACTTAGGGCTAATATAAATGAAGAAATATATTTAAAACAGTAATTATTAACCCTATATTATGTAAAAATCTTGATTCATGCATTATTGTCTTCAGAAAAGACAATACTAGATTTTGTCGAGAGTACACAGATATGTATAGTATGATAGATAGTATGGTTGAAGAAAAAAACGGCATCCAGTTGGCTTTGAAATGAGGATCATCATTTCCAAGCTATCTCCGACGTTGTTTTTTTCTTCAATCGTATGATACTTTCGTTGATATAAGGCTATAATGAAATCGCAAGTGTGCGTAATTTTGTTCTAATATATTTTATCAAAAATCTTTTGTTAGTATAACAGACGTCTGTTAATCATAACAAAGGAACCCGTTTCTATGCAATTACAAAACTGTAATATTTAAAAATTATTTTAGTAGGTTGAAGGAATCGCGGAAAAATGTCTATGGATGTGCCATATGTGGCTTTCAAACACTATATAGGTCAAATCTTAGAAAGCACAACATGGTTCACTTGGCGCCGGAAGAACGACATTTGTATGTTTGTGCAAATTCGATATTAGTGATTTTTTGTTATTTGATATTTTCTATTTTGTTATTCCATTCTTTTTTTTGCACATTTCAGATATGTTTTCATACATATACAAAGTGATTTAAATGTATTTTAACTCTCAAGTTGTATTGGTTTACAGGAAAAAATGGATTTGCCATAAAATCCGTTTTTCTTAAATAATACATTATGTCATAATAAAACCAATAAATAACCAAGCGGTGTTTGATATATTTATGTACACTGAGATTCAAAAATTATTGCACAGGGTGTTTTAAAATTAGGGTAAAGGTACATTCAGGCTGAGGGCGTCGAGCGTCGCGCCGCGTTTGCGTCGCGTCCGCGTGTCGAAATGGAATCAATTCACTTAACTTAAATTAGACCGTTCAGGCAGATACCGTCGCGTTTCGCGTTGCGCTAGCGGCTGCTGAGCGTTGGGCTTCGAGTTCAATGGGGCGGACGCGACGCGACGCTCGACGCTCTCAGCCTGAATGTACCTTAAAAAACAACCCTTCGATGAATCCTGTATAATAAGCCATACAAAAGTTTACTAATTAAAGTAAATATATTTATATACAGATTACTAAAAAGTTCATAAAAATAGGACTAAAAATAAAAAAAATATAATACTTTAATTTGACGAAATTTTTTTCTGTTGCGTTTTTTGCATCTGAGTGTATTTAGTCTTGGAGAATTCTATTTAATTTTAGAAAGTTATGTGTCAATTTTAGTTATGTGTCAGTACTTACGCATTTTTACATTTCTTTCAGTCAAAAAATTACTGCTTACAGATGCTAAACTTCATATTTCAAAAATTATGCAGAATAGACTATAAAATTATGGTGTGTTTGAAGATTTTAGAATTCAATTTTAAGAACGCTATAAACACATTGTATATCTATGACATAATATGAGCGCCCTCTTTGTGCGTTTATTAATAAGATTATAGAAAAAATCTCTAACAGAAATCATGATATGGAGCTTTTTCTTCACCCACTGTAATATTAAGCCATTCTTTTATTAGACTGAAGAAATCGCAGAAAAAGGTCAAGTGTTCCATATGTGACTATCGAACACGAGATATGACAAACCTTAGACAACACGAGGCAGTTCACTTGGCACCTGAAGAACGGGAGTTGTTTGGTTGTACGCACTGTGAAAAAAAATATATGTCAGAAAAGGGCCTAAAAGCGCATCTTAAGGATCATAGTGATTCCAGGTAAATATGTTGTTCGCATAAGAATTATACGGTAATCGCAAAACATTTTCCGATGCACGTCATTAATCATATCGAAATTGACACTAAAGCCTATAAACCTGACTATAATAATAATAATAAACTCTTTATTTATAGAACCTGGCTAGTACAAATTAATAACACAATTATAACAAATATTCTTATCACATAAGCCATATTAAAATAATTAAAGTCCATACCTATCACAGCGCAATTGTTATTTTAACATATTCAATACATTTACTTTTAAATTGAGACAATGTTCCACATGTTTTGCTATAATTGGTGTTTGACATATTTAAATAAAAATTGTTCCTAGACCTTGTATTATGATTGTGGATGTCCCTAACAAACGTACAATTATTAAGAAGATGTTTGGGTAATAAATTATTTAACATTTTGTATAAACACCATTGTATTACGTGTTACCGTTTGTCTTACACTTAACAAATTTGTACTTTTTAACATATCCAGTCTACTTGTAAATTTATTACATCCTAGGATTGTTCGAAGGGCTTTGTTTTGCTTTTTTTGCAGTACATCAATTTCAGAGTTATTCATTAAAAACAAAAGTGTTGAACAAAAATAGAGATGTGGTACTATGATGGTTTTATATGCTGTCAGCCTTGTCCACATACTGAGCTCTTTTGAGACCCTAGCCAGTACATTTGTTTTTTTAGCTATGTTATTTGTTATTTATTTATTTATTTATTTACGGGAAACCCCATTACATTACAAAATTCACAAAACAATATTAAAAAAAAGAAAAAAAATGTCTTTCTTTTTTTTCACATCGTATAAAGATACTTAAAAACATTAAAAAATAATACAAAAAAAAACAATAAACACTTATAAGAGAAGAACGGTACAGTAAAAAGAAGAATTAACACACCCATCAATCACCACTCCCATTTCTAATCTTCCTCCTAAATACCCCAACATCATGAAACTTGTTCACAGAATTAAGTGCCCTTGGAATTGGAGAGTGTTTTCCATAATTAGTGTCATGCAAAGGAATAAAGAACAAATCATTAATTCTCAATGGCCTAAATGGTACTTTGAAATAAATTTGTCTAAGTATCTCAGGACAGTCATATACGCCATTAACAATCTTATAAAAAAAAGAAAGATCATAGATTAATCTCCTTTTGTCCAGAGTCTCTAAATTTAATTGGTCAAGAGTTGATAATGTAACTATATTCTTGATTGTGTCTGAAAGCGCAATACCTTACAAACTTCTTTTGAACCCTTTCTATTGTTTTCTTAGATATATCGTATTGAGGATTCCATATAACAGATGCATATTCTAAAATTGATCTTACCAATGAGCAATATACTATCTGCAAACCCATACCTACAAGTCTTTACAGTTTCTCAACACAAAACCCAGTGTTTTTAAAGCTTTATTAGCAATTATATTAATGTGCTCATTAAAAGAAAGAGCCTATACCCAAGTCCTCAAGCCTATACCCAAGTCCCTGATCAAATCCACCCGTGTCAAATGAACATGATTCAAATCATAATCAAAGAGAATCCTTGGTGATCTTTTTTTGGAAAAACTTATAACTGAACATTTACTAGCGTTTAGGGAAAGGCCGTTCACCTTACACCAGTCATCCATTCTATCTAAATCTCTCTGTAAAAGTTGGCAATCATTAACATTAGAAACAGTTCTATAAATTTTCGTATCGTCGGCAAACAACAAGCAGGAGGAATTACTAACACTCGACACAATATCATTGATAAATAGCTTAAACAGTAAAGGGGAACAATGGGCGCCCTGTGGAACACCAGACGTCACTGAGATCTCTCTAGAAGTAAAGTTATTAATCTTAACTACCTGCCTTCTTTCGGTCAGGTAGCTATGGAACCAACCAACCAAATCATCACAAAAGCCAACAGCTCTCAGCTTCTCCAGAAGGACAACATGATTAACTCTGTCAAACGCCTTAGAGAAATCCGTATAGACTGCGTCCACCTGGTTTCCATTCTCCAAGGCGTGTGACAGAACCGTCTGATATGAGACCAAGTTTGTAACAGTCGACTTACCATGGGAAAATCCATGCTGGCAGTCTGTTAATATGCCCTTACATTGCCATAGCAAATCCTCGTAAACTAGCTTATCTAGAAGTTTTGGATATGCCTCTATAGTTTTTAATATAAGACTTATTGCCACTCTTAAAAATCGGGATCAAAAAACTAGACTTCCAGAGCCTAGGAAAAGCCGAGAGTCTTAAAGACATATTAAATATTATGTGCAATGGGTTAGTTAAACACATTCGGTATGCCGTCAGGGCCCGGATTAACTATAGCTGGAAGGCCCGACAGTACAGAAAATATTGCACTCTTGGATATCTGTTTTACATTAATGGTTTTCATAAAGTCGGACATGCAAGAGGGTACAACTAAATTACTTTCGCAGTACACAGATGAGAAGGAATCCGCAAATAAATTTGAAATATCCTTACCATTATCAGCATTATTGTCATTGAAAAACATTGTACTAGGCAAATCATATGCTTTTCTGTTATTATTCACAAAGCTCCAAAACTTTTTGGGGTCCTGTGCTATATTAGATTCCGTTTCTCTGATGTACCTAGAGTAGCAATCCCGCCTCAATGCCCTGCACCTCAAGCAGACAAATTCCAGATAAGCATCCCTGCTCCCCGTTCGCCGATACAGCCTATGTTTAACCTTCTTCTCAGAAGTTTTCAAGAAATAGCCATCTTATCTGATAGTCAAGCAGCGTTAAAGGCGATCAACTCAGTATCAATCAATTCGAAATTGGTCAAAGAATGCATAGAGAAGCTGAATAAATTAGGCAAAGAAAACAAAGTCCTCCTACATTGGGTGCCTGCTCACCAAGGGATAGAAGGCAATGAAAAAGCAAATAATCTAGCTAGGAAAGGAGCGAACACTCCACTAACTGAACCAGAACCGTTCTGCTTTCCAAGTGGTAACCAACTCAAGGCGGAACTCAAGAACTTGGAAGATTCCATCCGCAACCTGGAATGGAAATTTTCCAATGGTCTAAGACACTCGAAGAAGTTTCTGAGGGCTTATGATCAAGAAAAATCACAGATCTTCCTGGGTCTGAGTAAGAACAATCTTCGGATTGTCACGGGGTTTTAACAGGACACTGTCTCCTCAATGAACACCTCAGTAGATTGAAACTAAGAAGAAACGGCGAATGCAGATTCTGTGGGGAAGATGGTGAAACACCAGTACACCTCATCACTGAGTGCGCCGAGACGACAACCATTCGTGCCATGAATTTTGGTACGACTGATATTGGAGATGGAGAACTACCCTCTATAAAACCGTCCCAGATACTGGCTTTTGTCAAAGCCCTGGGACTGTATGATGAGTTATGATTCAAGAAAGGGGGACACAATGGATCTGTAAGGTCGAAGTGATTAACCTCCCTCCCACTCATTCTAAATTCTAAAAAATTCTAAACCTTCTTCTCTCTAATACATTTTTTCAGATCATGGCTAAACAATTTCGGAAAGTTTGAATTCACTGAGCATTTAAGAGGAACAAACAAAGATATTGCTTTAAATAGAATTTCATAAAACTGTGAAACTGCCCCATCAACATCCCCCTGATCAAGAAACACATCCCAGTTAATAGGCGCCAAAAAATTGTTAAGACCGGCATAATCAGCGTGCGAAAAATTGTAATAGAATTCTTTATATTGTAAGACACTTGAGTTTAGTTCCAAAGGAATTTCAAAATAATACGCCTGATGATGCTGGCTAGTGGGCAATAGACAATCAGTTCCTCCATCACAATTAAATTTGACATATGACTAAATACCAAATCTAAGTATACATTTCAAAGGTTTGGAACAAAATTAATTTGAAATATATTCATAAAAGTAAAACTTTCACAAACCAGTTGAGCTTTGGCACCGTTAGGGCACTGCACTGACACTCCACGATCGTCGTTTGACCACCTGGCCTCTGGAAGATTGTAATCCCCACATAAAATGATTGAGACATTGGCATCTGAGCACAACTCTTCCACCGATCTACAGTGTGCTTCGAAAATGGCCTGGTCTTCAACAGAGGGAATATAAACACCACCTATGATAAGCTTAAATCCTATATTTTCAATAGTAACAAACAATTGTTCAACTGTCACTTCCGAAACATCTGTAGACACGGTATCCTTTAAAATGCGATTCAGATGCAGAAATATCGTCAGAAAACCACGTTTCTGTCAAAACTATAACATCGTAATTCGTAGCGCAAATCTGCTGTCTAAGTTCTTCCAGTTTGCTCCTCGCACCTCCCACATTTTGATAATATACTCGTAATGAGGTTTCAATTAGTTTTTTACAGAAAACTTTAGTAAATATTTTGGGACGTCCATCGACATATCTTATAAATAAGTTGGTCTCACCACCATCTCTCCTCTCCTTCAATTCATCCTGAACAGCCTTCATTTGATTCCTCTGCATAATGGTCAGATCAGGGCTTATTTTAATTGTTGTACCTTGTAATTTCTTCTTGTTTTTTAAACAGTTCGACACTATATCATGTCGATTTACAATTATGTTAATCAATGTTATATATTTATAATGTTCTGAGAAAGTCAAATTATTATCTATTATACAGTCCAGGTATTTGATTTGTGATAGAGTATCAATGTTAACATTATCTATTTGTAAAGCCCTACTGCCCAATAGTGGGCTTTTATTATTCTTATGCCTAATAATCATTGCTTTCGTTTTATCTATGTTAAGTTTAAGCGAATTGTTTTTTAGCCATTCAGATAAATTATTTAATTCATCATTCAATGTCCTTATTATATTGTCTAAATCAAAACCTGCAAAATAAATTACTGTATCATCGGCAAACATTTGAACATTACATTTTTTTATAATATTTACAATATCATTAATATACAGTATAAACAATGTAGGGCCTAACACGGTTCCCTGTGGCATACCATGTTCAGTTTTTTCTGGAGATGATGTACTACCATATTTAGTCACTTGAGTTCGATTGATTAGATACTCATTGAACCACTTTATTATTATTGTACCGAAACCAAATTTACTTAGTTTAAGCAGAAGTAGTTGTCTATTAATGGTCTCGAAAGCACGCCAAAAGTCCAAAAAAACGAAATGAAATTTTGGCAAAATTGTTTAAAGTTGTTGTATAATTTAAGATACCGAGAAGCTTTTCATTTTACTTTATAGAGCAAATGATTGTAACAGATATTTTATTCAGATTAAATCTGCAAAAATTAGTTTAATGATGTACGCATACTGGTGCGATCACGGCCGCGATCACGATTTCCACGCGGCCGCGGCCAAAAGAATTCTTGCTGAAGAATACATATGAGCCGTTTCACATTAGCGCGATCGAGTCTTGGAGACGAAGCAGCCTGGCGGCGTTCTATTCTGCGGTGGTGATCAGGTTCAACTTGTCGAGTTTGATCGCGTGATCGCGACCCAGTTGATAGGTTTTTTTCGTTATTTTGTGTGTTTTTTCTTGTTGCTATTTAGAAATGGAGTTAACAGAGCAGCTAATTAAGGCTGTAAAAAGACTATATGATTTATCCGATCCAAGTAACAAAAATAATAGAATTAAAAATAAAAAGTTTGAGACAAAATTGGAGTTGCAATTGGATTGGATAGTACATATGTATACATTTTTATTGTTTAAGTTTAAATACTGTAGGTAAATATTTAAGAATATTTATTTCGGTATACATAATTCACATTTTTAATTTGTACCTGTGTATACCTTCAGGATGGCGCTCTACATATAGGTACGGCGGTGAACGTGAACGCGTTGGTGTGTGCTAGAATGATCGCTCATGTTATCGCTGCCCTGATCGTGATCGTGATCGCGGCCGTGATCGCACCAGTGTGCGTGTAGCTTTAACTTAAAGTACACAATGTGATCGCGCCAGTGTGATCGTGATCGCGGCCGTGATCGCGCCAGTGTGCGTACAGCTAAATTCGATCGCGCCAATGTGAAACGGCTCATATGTATTCTACAGCAACTTTTGGCCGCGGCCGCGTGGTGATCGTGATCGCGGCCGCGATCGCACCAGTGTGCGTGTAGCTTTAACTTAAAGTACACAATGTGATCGCGCCAGTGTGATCGTGATCGCACCAGTGTGCCTACAGCTTAAAGTGTTTCTACACTTAAATCCCTGATCGTCTTAAGCAGTACGGATTTAAGCGATTTTTATTATCGCCATGATGGTCACATTGCGCCGCGATCAGCAATGTTGTTTATTATTTGACACATATCATAATGTCAGTCATTATTTTGTATATCTTGTCGTTGTTATATCTTTGGGAGTAATTCTCTTTTTTTGCTGATTTTCATAATTTTTTTTTTTAAATTGTACTTTTTCAAAGAAACGGTTCTTAAGAACTAAATTTTCGAGTTTTTGTAATGCATTTCTTGAAATTATGTGTTGAAAATATGCCGAAGCATTTAAACTGTCGAAGCGAAGAGCTTGTAGCTTTCCTGATAAACTATTTTGAACGAGAACGTGACAATAAAGATCCTTTATTATTAGTCATAGAAGTAAGTTTGATTGGTAAGCACATTATACCACTTTCAAAGTTATTTCTACTTATTTCGATTTGTAGCGAGTAGCTGCTGCCTTGAATTAAAATATTTCGAGTGTGAGTGCTGGTGACTACTGTGAATAAATAAATTAATTACTAAAATAATAATTATTAAATTAAAAATAAAACGTAAAAATCGTTAAAAAATTATATAATAAATATAATGTTATCCAATTTTACATTAATTCATCTCATAAATCCATCACAATCTGGCAGCACTGTCACTCAAAGCTGTCCATCGCTTGTCACTCAAAGTTGATCACGTGCATCGGAAATTGTTTTGCGATTACTGTACATAAATCAGATATAAGAATGTTCAGCTACCGTTCAAAGTCACGTCATATATTGTCGAACTCTCTCAATCGCTTGCCAACCAGATGAAAGAGATTGGTGGCGTCATTACGGCAAAGTTGGTATATTTATATACGGCTTGATAAAAAATCATGAAAATAGGGTTAAAAATAAAAAATATAACACTTTAAAATCTCGATTTATAAACTCGGCAGTTGAAGTTCAGTTGAGGTTCACAATGTTAGTCCAGCTTAAAGCTGGATTTATAAACTCGGGAGTTGAGGTTCAGTTGAGGTTCAGTTGCCGTTCAAAATGTTCAACGCTATGAAATGAACGCGCGCATTTATAAAGTCAGTTGGTCGAAAAGTTGGCAGTTCGTTTTACGTTCAGCGGAGTTCAAAGATGGTCAATGTTTATGTCGGCAGTTGCGGGCAGTTGGCGACCGCTGGCGACGTTCGGCGACAGCCAATGAATAAGCGCCTGCCGATCACGTGAAGCACAGTACGCCGATGCATTGGAAAATGACCCTTATTGTTGTTTCATTATTTCTGTTAATGTGATGTTTATATTTTGCGTAATCGTGGATTACTGTGTTTGAACTTTGACAAATACCAGAAGTATTTTTAAATCGAAAGAAAAGCGTTCGAAATTTTCACAATTCCAAACCTAACCTACAACCGAAACTGACAGTTTATAAATGCAAAAATATTGAACCTCAGCTGCCGCGAACATCCAACTGCAACTGAACCTCGACTGAACGCCAACTTCCGAGTTTATAAATCCAGCTTTAAACACTATGAAATGAACGCGTTCAGTCAGTTGGGCGAAAAGTTGGCAGTTCGTTTTACGTTCAACGGAGTTCAAAGATGGTCAATGTTTATGTCGGCAGTTGGCGACCGTTCGCGACGTTCGGTGGCAGCCAATGAACAAGCACCTGTCGATCACGTGAAGCACAGTAAAGAGAGGCGACGCCGATGCATTGGAAAATGACCCTTATTGTTGTTTCATTATTTCTGTTAATGTAATGTTTATATTTTGCGTAATCTTGGATTACTGGGTTTGAACTTTGAGAAATATCAAAAGTATTTTTAAATCGAAAGAAAACCGTTTGAAATGTTCACAATTCGAAATCTAACCTACAACCGAAACTGACAGTTTATAAATGCAAAAATATTGAACCTCAACTGCCGCGAACATCCAACTGCAACTGAACCTCAACTGAACGCCAACTCCCGAGTTTATAAATCCAGCTTATACATTTTTGACTAAAAATGTTTCCATTACGTTTTTTCTCCATCTGAGTGTATCTGTATACAGGGTGGTCCGAACTGTATTCCGGATACTTCGGCAGCATATTCTGCAGATAGAAATAAGTAAAAAAGTTCGTATAAATGTATGTTTAAATTGTTTAGTTTCGGAGATACAGGGTGTTGAAGTTTCATTTTTATTTCGATTTTATTCAAATAATTTCTGAAGTAGCGTCAATATCTGGATGAAAATTGGTATCTGGGTATTTTTTGACATGAGAAATTTGGATTTTGATGTCGTTATGACTCCTATTTGTAGAGGGCGCCACCTACATATTTTTTAACTGGTTTGAAGAGTAATAACTTTTCGTCCGTACCTGTATAAAACTACTGAGTAAAAAAATATTTATTTACGACGTTTTTTTACGTAAAAAAAGTCTCTTGGTAAAAATCGCTACGAGTGATGGTTTTCCAGATATTAGGAATCGAAATTATCAATACCTGTCATCATTGACATAAATTAAACATGTTGACTAAATAGTTATTAGACTGAAATCATAAATTTTAAATGTAAGTTACAGAAACTGTTTTATCATCATTTTTTCGAAGAAACATTTATTATTAATTTAAAAAAATAAAAAGTTCCCAAATTTATCATTTTAGTCAAATAACTATCTCTACTCAACATATTTATTTTTTGTCAATAATGACCGGTATTGACTGTTCCCATTCTAAATATCTTGAGAACGGTTGCTCATAGTGATGTTTAACAAGAGACATTTTTTACGTAAAAAATCATGGAAATGTATATTTTTTCACTATGTCGTTTTATACAGGTACGGACGAAAAGTTATTACTTCTCAAAACAGTTAAAATGCATGTAGGTGGCGCCCCCTACAAAGAGGTGTCATATTGACATCAAAATCAAATTTCTCATGTCAAAAAACTCCCAGACACCAATTTTCGTCCAAATATTGACGTTACTAAATTATTTAGAAAAAATCAAAATAAAAATGAAACTTCTACACCCTGTACCTCCGAAACTAAGCATTTTAGGACATACATTTATACGAACTCTTTTACATATTTTTATTTGCAGAATATGTTGCCGAAGTTTCCAGAATACAGTTCGGACCACCCTGTATAGATATTTTTTTTACGAATAAATAGATTAGTTTTTTTATGAAAAAAAACTTTATTTATGCCAGTGCCTACTATTTATTACTGGCAAGAAAAAAAATTGTGGCTCTTTAAAAACTTTGAAATTTTGATAATTTTTCACTCTTCCGACTCAAAAGGTTGCCGATGCCTGAACTGAAGGAATCGCAGAAAAAGATGAGATGTTCCAACTGTGACTACCATACATCACGTATATCAGACCTTAGACGACACGAAGCAGTTCATTTGGCACTGGAAGAACGACAATTGTTTGGTTGTACGCACTGTGAAAAAAAATATACAACAAAACACGGCCTAAAAGAACATCTTAGGGATATTCATCTTGAGGATATTCATAGTAATTTCAAGTAAGTATATTGTTAGTAGAAGAATTATACCTAAATCAGAGACAACTTTTGACATTTTCAAAAAAAAAATAATATTTTAAATTTCAATCTAGAAAATGAAGCTTTTTTTTTTGAAAAATTTGATTTGAGAAGAGATTGATTGTCTAAAGGTACATTCAGGCTGAGAGCGTCGAGCGTCACATCGCTTTTGCGTCGCGTCCGCGTGTCGAAATGGAATCAATTCACTTAACTTAAATTAGACCGTTCAGGCAGACAGCGTCGCGTTTGGCGTTGCGCTAGCGTCCGCTGAGCATCGGGGTTCGAGTTCAATGGGGCGGACGCGACGCAAATGCGAGGCGACGCTCGACGCTCTCCTCGACGCTCTCAGCCTGAACGTACCTTAATGTTTTTCGTGTCTTTTTCTGACTAGTTAACAGATGACCAAATCGTATTTTTAATAATAACTCAATATTTTCAAATGGAACGAGGGAGGCTCATTACTATATGGAGAAACTTGCGTCTAGCCGTACCGTGCAACTCTTCAACTTCAACCCAAGTCCAAAATTGACATATTTGAGATATATTATACGTCAAGTTACTTAACTTTTTATGTCCTACCCTTTGCTCTTTCTCGTTTTACGCTATCTGTACCAATCTGTAATTTATTTAAAAAACTGTTCTACATTTTATTTAAGTTCAAAGTAAGTTGTTCATATACAAAATATTACAATCATAGGTTTAAAAATAACCAAGTAATTAGGAAATGTTAATATGATAAAGAGATAATAATATTTCGTTAAAATTTTTACGTAAAAATTATGTATTAAATGTATTATTTACTTAAAATCAAAAATAATGGAGTTAGCAGGTTATCACATTTCACTGACGATTTTATAGCTTTATAGTTTCTCACACCTATTTGATAAAAAAAAATGAATTCAAGCAGTTCCACGAGACAAGTGAGTAAACAAAGTGTTCGTTACATAATCAAAAAATTAAATAGACATATATACTATGAGAGGATAATATATAATTTGCAATATTAACGGTATACTTTTTTTAATTATCTAGTGATTAAATGTTTTATGAACATTTTCTAAAATTATAATTATGTACCTTTTAAAAAATTTCGTTATAGCCGAAATAGCCCCAATTATGCCTCACTAGCAAAACCGGTGATCAAAACTATGCTCGCTACCGTAGCTGAACTCATCTAAAAAGTATTTTTAACTGGAATAATAAATTATAATACAAGTTTGACATTCTGAGGATTTCAAAATATTTACTTTTTTATTTTTATTTCTAGAATTTTCACAAATTATACTTCCTAACACTTTTAGAATAATTAAATAATAAATTTTTCGTATACTCACTATTTAAACCCGTGTATTTGTATATGCTAGTTTTTTACAATATTCCCCGATGGTAGCAGCACCGGCGGAGAATGTACCAAGCCTCTAAGGTTGCACACTTGCCGGAACCGGATAGACGTTCTGAGACCGTCCACCTGGCGATGAGATACATAGAAACTTATGGGAGCTTTCACACGTGCCGTCTATCCGGTTCCGGCGTGTGTGCAACGGCTCTAACAGGGGTAGACATGTGAGGTTATATGTTTGAGGAACCATGATTTATAGAGTTACAATACTGTAATATTTAAATTGTCTCTTATTAGATCGCAAAAAGTTGAGAAAAAAGACTATAGATGTGCCATATGTGGCTACCAAACGCTAGAGAGGTCAAATTTTTACAGACACAAGAAAATTCACTTGGCACCGAAAGAACGACAGCTGTTTTGTTGTACGCATTGTGATAAGAAATATGCATCAAAATGTAGCTTACAATACCATTTTGGGTATGTTCATACTGATCCCAGGTAAATTTATTTTGTGTAATACGTTGATCATATACAGTGTCACAGATAAAGTTTGCATTATATTATTTTTTTATTCATTGATTTTCATCAAATTTGACATTGGCGTTAGTTTTTGCTCTAAAATAGATAACAAATGACATAATAAAAATATGTGGCTAATAAGAGGGTTTATTGGGAGAATTTTGAAACCTTTTATTTGAAAAAGTTGTTTCTTATTTAATTTTACACAAGTATACCAATAGGCATGTTTCATGTTTTTCAATTTCCACGTAATTATGCAGATTTCAACCCAATTAGTGCTTGCTACTTAAGCCTTTTTTATATAAAACTTAATATTGGGCCAAAAAATGGGGTAAAAGTTTGGATCGCCAACATGATTGGCTGGTTTTCGTCTCGAAATAAACTTGTTATAAATAATGGTTTTATTACTTTTAAATAACTTCTTCAAGAAAAAATCTCACCTTGGTATTTTAACTTCTTTATTTCAGCAATTAAGTATATTAAATTGTCTATATAAAAACTGTCCTAAAATTCATGTAGGCCGCGGTCCATATATTCTGTCACCATTCGAAAGTTATCCGAAAAGGCTTTTTCATAGTTTTGAGTCGTTTAGATAAAGTTAAAAGTTATAGCCAAGAAAATTTACCGCTGAACTGAAAAGCACGAAGAAAAATAATAACAAAATCGAAAATGGCTGCGCCCGATACGCATAAGCCAGGCAATCAGTCATGGCAACCTATGATATGAAACTTCCCTTTCTACGATCTGAAACGTGATTGGTGAAGGCTATGTACGTCACAACTCAACCGGGAATGTTCAAGTTTGAAATTATAATTTAATTTCTAAAAAAATAGGTATCATAGAGTTTTTCCTAATTTCCTATGTATTGTAAGTAATGAAGACTTAATCCATGCAATACAATGATTTATTTGCGAATTTATAGTTTTTGGGAAAATGCCTATTTTCAGCCATCTAGATGAAAACAAAAGTTTCGTAATTTTTAACTATTAGCAGCCGATTGTCGTGGCAAAAGCAAAAATAACTGATGGTAGTTGCTACTCAAATATTTATCTAGTTTTTGTATATTCAGTTAAAGTTATTGAGTCAATTAATAGTTTTTACAGAAAAATAAATGGAAATGTAAAATATTTGTTCAAGGTGTGATACAAAATCTAACTTCCTCATTTATCGAAATTAGCGTCATGAAATTCGCATTTGTACATGCTGGGAACTTATCTGCACAATAATAAATAATACTAAATGTCAAAATATATTTTTCACAGCCAACTTATAAAATTGATTTATTTAAACATTGCCCCTATATGATCTCTGATCAAATAAAAATTAAAGTACTTTTAATTTTTTTTTAACTAACTTACTACTAGAACGGGCCCGATTATTTTTAAAAATGATTTTAGGTCAGAGGATGCGCAGAAAAATATCCATAAATGTTCGAATTGTGACTACCAAACGATAATTATGTCAAACTTTAAACAACACCAGAAAATTCACTTGGCACCAGAAGAACGGCAGATGTTTGCTTGTACACACTGTGACAAGAAATATAGAAATAAAGATAACTTAAAACATCACATTGAGAAGAAGCATAATGTTTCCAGGTAAATTTATTGTTAGCTTATGCATTGAATTTAAAAAACGGAAAGACTTGATTGAAGGCAGCTTTTCGTTATCTGCAGGCACTAACGGAGATTTTGTTGATTGGTTGTAGTGATGGGCAAAACTGTTATTTTTAGATAACAGTTGAAACTGTTATAGTTATTTATAAAAAACAGCTTAAAATAACAGCTTAAAAATAACAGGTTTCTTTATTTTATTGCTAAATATCTGAAAGAATATGAGGCGGTCACCGCCAGGCGTATTAACGCAGTTGCAACAATGACGTGCTCGGTGGTAGCATTTCAGGGTGTCATAACATTTCTAAATATCGATTGTTATCTAAAATACCTCTCTAAAAACGGGGGTTGTTTACAAATAAGCGCTGTTTACAAATTGCGATATAAAAAAGCCAAAATGCCGCCACTCGTCTATATCTATAAATTCCGATCTACCTACGCCCTACCCCTCGATCCGCGTAGATTCTGAATTGCGTAGCAGTGTACAGGGTGCATCTCACTCGACGGGCGAGAAGCTCTTCGTTATGATTTTACCATTTGCGGTCAAAAAATAGCAATATAAGAAAATGTGTAGTATATTCTTCATAAGTAAACCAACTACACACTAGAGTTCGAATTAATTTTACACTTAAACTAGCATGTACAGTTTGACAAATATAGGAAGAGACTTGGGGATAGCACCGGTCGCGCACACGATAGAGAGAGAACGCATTCGGCGGAAGAGAGATGCAGTTACGCTACGAAAAATCTGATTGAAGCAAATTTGTGGGATGTCCACTGCGCATCGGGGGGCGTCTCTTATTTTATATTTCTCACGTCTCTAGCTATACTTGTTAAGTTGTACCCGCGACTTCGTTCGCATCGAATTATTAATTTGTAATGGTGATGATAAAGCAAAGCAAGAATTTCCATTAACATACAAACTGGATAAAATTTTCTCACATTTGCCAAAAATATGCTTTAAACGTCGAGCAGTTTAAGCAGAATCGTGGTTAATCAATTACTCAACTTTTTGGAACACCCTGTATTATTTTTTAAAAAATTTCAAAATATGTAAAAAAACAAAATAAATTATGCGTGTCCAATCGTTTTCCCGAAAGACTAACCGTTTTTTAAATAATAAATATTGTAATATTTGAGGGGCGTTTTCACCCTCTTGGAATTTGAGATTCGAGAAACCCCTCCTTATCGCACCTCTACACCCCACAGTCAATCCGTTTACCAAAAATCAGCTTTAAACGTCAAGCAGTTTAAGCAGAATAGTGATTACTCAGTGGTCATATTTTATGAAACACCCTGTATATATTTTGTAAAAATCTCAAAATATGTAAAACAACAAAATAAAATATACGTGTTTAAGAGTTTTTTCGAAAAACTCACCAGTTTTTAAATAAAAAATATTCTAATATTTGAGGGTGGTTTCACCCCCTTAGAATTTGAGTTTCGAAAAATCCCTTCTTATCGCACCTCTACACCCTAAAGTCAATCCGTTTTCCAAAAATCAGCTTTTTACGTCAAGGGCTTTAAGCAGGATCGTGATTAATCAATGACCAGATTTTTCAAAACACCCTGTATACATTTTTAAAAAATCTTAAAATATTATTCTGAAAATTTTTCAGAATAAATAAATACTTAAATATTGAAACTTAATAACAAAGTATTGAAACATACAGCGCCATAATATCTCGACCTCCGCCCGTTATGCTCGTAACAGGTTGAAAAACAATATGTATCTAAAACAACTGATGCGTTATTCTCCAACCTGTTTCAAACCTCCGATTATCTCGAACGCCGTTCTGTTATGCTCGTAACAGGTAAAAAAACAACATAGCTAAAACAACTGATGCGTTATTCTCCAACCCGTTGCGAGCCTCCATCGACAATCGACCGATGCAGCAGCGCTCCTTTCCCACTCCTGTTATCTCGACAGCCAGGCGTTATGCCCGCAACTGTTTCAAAAAAGCTGCTTCTTTTATATCCTATTATTTTTAAGCTGTTGTCAGCCCAACATCTCGCCGCCGTTGTATCTCGCCGCCTGTATCGATAGTTGTCGAAATAATAGGTTTTCCATCCATACTAGTTGTTTTTTGGAATTGCTTCGAGCAGCATCGAATTTCGTGGCGGTGCAGAGCGCCGACTTCGTTTCACGAACACTCGATCTCTGCGTGTCGTTATTTTATATCTGTTATTTTTTAAAAGCAGTAACGGTTGCGTTATGTTATTTCTAAATAATTGTTATAAAATAACAGATAGTTAAATAACAACCCATCACTAATTGGTTGATTTCTGTTAGAAACTTAGGAGTATATTTCGTCGAGACCATTTTTAATTCTTAGAACACGTAGATCATATATATGTTACAGCCTTGTTTATATATTCTTAATGTTGCTCAACCTCTCGAAAAAATGTGCTGCCTCTGGTGAACAAATCGTGAAGCTTTAAAGGAATGAAATATGTCATTAGGGGCGGAGTCAAAAATATCGATTATTTGCGGTATTTCCCTCAGAGTAATGTAATAATATAGCTCGGATTTTTGCGAACTATAATAGGGCTCAGCTGATTAAGAAAATGAAACAAAACTATTATTTCATTGTTGATTATTTTTGCTGTTATTTTAAGGATTCTAAACCGTATTAACAAAGAAATTATTATTTCAATATGTTGGTACATTAATGCTAATTACTGGTAATTATTAATATTTAAAAAAAGTTACATACACTTACTTTATTTCGATTTGACACAGGGCTATAAATTTTTTTTTCATTCTTAGATCATTTTATTCTAAATTGAAGTTTTACGAATTTACGATAAATTTTTTTTTGAAAACAAAACTTTTATACATTCTTGATTAAATTTTTTCTTAATTAAAAATAAAACTTGGCACTTGCTTCAATAATATTATTTGACATTTAAATAAATATTATGTAGGTACTTAATACACCATTTAAATCTTTATTACACGAAATAAATCTTTCTTAACATGATCAGAGTCAAGTTTGCTTTCACTTTATACCATATGAAAAAAAAACGGCGTCCAGTTGGCTAGGAAATGACGATCGACAACATTTCCGATATAAATTTACATATAAAATGACAGCGATTTTCATTTCATAGCCATCGCTGACGCCGTTTATTTTCGATCAAGAATTATAGAAACTGAAAATATCATTATGTTTTAACTCACAAAGCCCGTTAAACCATAAAACTTTCTAGTAAAAATGACACTTTTTGTGGCGAGACTGTACATTTGACATACAGCCGAAGCAGAAAAAGTCATTTTTACTCCGAATAGAGCATGCTATTTTTTCAAACGCCACATATAATTTTTTAAACAATTTCAAACGTTCCAAATAATATAAAAATATTTAAAACTCATACCTTGTAAGTAATTATCATGATACAAAGAAAACAAGGTATGATATTGCGCAGGTTGGTCACCACGTCACAGGTGATAAACGGCACTATTGGTCGGCAAGCTCCACGCGCCAATTTCAAATTTTCAAACCAGATGACATATAATAAATGTGTATAATGTGTCACAACTTTTCAACTTTATTTTGCTGTGTAACACCAAAGGTTCCAACCCTCAACTGTAATAAAGTTTCAATGTTTATGTTAAAAACACTATACCCACTTAAATACCAAACCTCATCAGAGTTAAAGTTGATACTCGTCAAAACATTAATTTTTCCTCCATGGAATACTGTTGCGCACTGTATTATAACTATCTTCCACAATAACAGCCAAACTGTAAAGAATTCGAAACAGCCTATTTAAGATTTGTAGACCATATACTATACAGGTTGTTAATTTGTTTATTACTCGCGGCAAGAGCTTTATAGTTGAAATATGGCAACCTTGGCTCGCTCGTCGATAGACGACGCGATGGGACGAGTCGGCAGAAAACCCTATAAGTGCATGCGTTCTCAATAGGCAGTGTTGCCATTCTGTTCCCCTATAAGTAACTGTCCAGTTAACAACCTGTATAGCCCAAGTATCATTTTTAGAAACAAAATCTCTGCTGAGAAACATTGCGAAATAGTTTCGAAACGGTATCAAATGGTATTTGTGTCAAGATACAAAAGTTCTGAAATTAATTCGACACAGTTTTGATACATATGTTTCGTAAACATAAATCGCTTCTTGTTTAGAGTTACAGGGCTGTAATAATTAATATTTTTATTAGGCCGAATGGAGGGCAGAAGCAGGTCTATAGCTGTACTATATGTGGCTACGAAACACCACGTCAGTTCAATTTTAACACCCACAAGCAAATTCACTTGGCACCGGAAGAACGACAGTTGTTTGCCTGTAGGCAGTGTGACAAGAAATATACGTCGAATCAGACATTACAACGTCACATCAAGTGTAGTCATGTTGATTCAAGGTAAATTAATCGTAAGAAATATTGATAGTGATGACATCAATAGTTTTTTTTATAAACATTCCTCATATTATTCAATCTCATATTAGTAATACTAGAAATTCTTTAAACTTAGAAACCAAGAATTAAGTTCTGACATCTAATATCATATTTAATTCTGAAATAGTGAAATTCTAGACAATAAACTCTTTGAAAAATTGGAATAGTAAAGCAATATGGATGGATTTAATGAGCCTGTAATTAAATAATTTGCTAAACCTAATTGAAAGAATATCATAATTTGAAAAAACACACAACTAAAACTTATATGGAATCACTCTTTATTTCTGACTAGACTTTTTTGCAGAGAAAAAAAAATGATATACTACTGTAAGATAAGGCTTTTTGTTGTAAATAAATATGATAGTAAAGAATAAACGACTGCTGCGATTTATTTTCTTGTGAATTTTGTGTTCAGTAGTAAAATCACGATTGTCCGGTAATTTTCATTAGATCCAAAAAACACGCCTTTTGTTGGATTAAAAGTTGTACAGAGGGGAAGAATTGTTGCTCTTATAGAGACGTAGCAGAGATAGTAGGCGTTACCCAGGATGTTGTATCGAAAACATAAGCAAGGAACTAGGAACTCTCAGGAATAGGTCTAGACAAAGTCGTCAAAGAGCCACACTGAACAACAAGACCGCTTTGTGTGCCAATTTGCTAGAAGAAATCCCAATGTTTCTCATCCAGAGCTACAAAGACAACTTTTGGCAGCTACAGGTGTGAACGTTTCAGTTGAAACCATAAGAAAATGGCTTCGTGATCGAGGGTCGTACAGTAGGAGGGAATTACCAGAGGAAGTCTCACAGTGGTCTCGGCAAAATAAAATTGACCGGCTAAATTGATGCCCTCAACATCAAAACCGGACAATTGAGAATTGGCAAAAGGTTCTTTTTTCGGATGAGACCAGAATTGGCCTAAGATCAGATGACCATCGAATTCGGGTTCTCAGAGCTCCAGGAAGATGAGAGAGGCTCCAGGCTGCCAAATCTGTACCAAAATATAAAGGAGGAACTGTAATGTTCTGGGGAGGTATTATGCCGGGAGCAAAAACTCCATTGTTACCACTTCAACGAACTTTAACGGGTCGGAGGTATGTTGATTTAATGCTAGAACCAATCGTTAGGCTTCGGAGAGCTGCAATTGGGGATAATTTTAACTTCATGTACGATAATGGACCTCCCAAAAATTCCATTGTGTTTATTTTGGGAACTGATTATTTTTTTTCTATTGCTATATGGATTATTTTTCATTAAAAGTTTGGTAAGAACTGAGTTTTATTCTTAAACACAACATTTTTATATGTCTCAAAAATTATGAAAAATAATAGATGATTCCATATAAGTTTGGTTGTGTATATATCAGATTAAGAGCTTAAACTCGCAGGTCACAGCGACCAGCCAACGGCCAGGACGCTAATGCGCGTTGTATCATTTGATTTAATGGTATTACATGTCGAAGCGACCAAGCTGCGGCCGCTTGGGCGTGGACGTTAGTGCGCGTTGTATCATTTGATTGGTGGGCGATCAAGAACGGTAAACTAATAGGATTGCTCATCCTCATAAGACGTACGTTCGCCTCTTCCCGCGCTTCAGCTGACAGTTGTGACGTCATTGTAGCCCTTGTCAAAGCCTTCGTGGCCTTGTCATGATAGTGTATATTATTAGTTGCCTATGGTAAACTTATAAAAATAACAGCTGAGAAATTTTGAGTTAATTATTTTGTCAATTTTAAATGTGAAAAAGGTGTCTTTAAAGTTTTTAGAGCTATAGAGTGTATAAATACGTTCATTTTGTGTTGTGGATTGTGACAAAGTGCATACTAAGTGCCCACGATTTTGTTTATTAATTATTTTAAAGCAAAATATGGAAGTACTCTAAAAAGAATGCTTGCAAAAGGTGATGCTGGGACCTGCTGTTCTTAAAAATGCATTATCCAAGTATTTAATACGATTTATACAGTTAATTTTCTATACTGCATACATATAAGGTGTTTAAATAAATAAACTAAATAATGGACGTTTTGCATTCGGTAACCAATAATGCACGTGTGTGTATTATTGGTTGCCGGATAAGGACTAATAACCATGACAAGGGCTACAATGACGTCACAAAGCGAGTAGTTTTCGCATGCACCTGGCGGACACTTTTGGCTGAATGAGCAGTCCTATTAGGTTAACTGTTCTTGGTGGGCGATGGCTGGCCGCTGCGACTTGGCCGTCAGTGCGTTCGAGCTGGTTAGTAATAATAATTCGCCGTTTTATTTTTTGTTTACAGAAATGCTGATTGTATATCTCCAAATAATAAAGTGATATTAGATTCTTTAAAAATTGAAGTTAATAATGACGTTCCGCTTTTAGAAAACCATAAGTAAGTTCTTTTAAATGTATTTTACTAATGGATAATATTTTAACTATTTTTTTTGTTTCCAGAAATGCTGCATGTCTATCTGTGACATCTGTGCCTAGCAAAATAAAATCAGAAATTTTTTTTAAAACAGAAATTGAAGATGACTCTCCGGTTTTGAATAATAACATACATGCTGACTTGGAGTATGTTTGTTTAAATGTATTTTTATTATACATATTGTATTTTAATTATTTTCATTGTTTTCAGGAATACCGATTGTCTATCTGTGACTAATGAAGTAAAATCAGAGGATTTTTTAAAAATAAAAATTGATGATGTTCCGTTTTTTAATAAAGACATGCCCGATTACTTTAAGTATGTTTGTTTAAATGTATTTTTATTATACATATTTGTTTTTTAAATATTTCCTTGTTGTTTCTAGAAATAGCGAAGATTTTTCTGTATCTAAGAAAATCAAGTTAGAAGATTTCATAAAAATGGAACCTGATGACGCTCCGCTTTTGGATGAAGACCGCGCATTTTAATATATAATATTAAAACATAATTATATATTATTATATAATTATTAACTTATTAAGAATTTAACTGATTTGTTTAATTTTCGATAAAAGATTTACAAGTTACATTATGCATAGTTTTTTTTGACATACCGATTCGACATCGACACTGCGCGGTCTGGATTTTAGCGTCTAGGACAGTGATGTAGACAGCTTAATGGAAAATCAAATGTAATAAAAAGAGATAAAAATTGGATCGATACATTTTTTCTATGCGGTATGGTCGGATTTTGCATCAAAATGTCAAACCGCACAAGTAGGCGTTTACGAAAAATCTTGCATCTAAGGTTGGAACTTTAATTTTTCACTATTAGTTACCCATTTCACTACAGCTGTTATAAATTATACTAAGGGCTGGCAAAGGTTAGTTTTGGGTCGAGATTTCCGTATGTAAGAAGAGTACAATGCGTTTATAATGTACTGAACAAAGAGAGGGCAGTAAACACGTTGCCAAACGTATGAAATAAACCGAGAAACTGTGCACATCGCTAAGAGACGTGGAAGGGGATATAGCAGATTTGTCGCAGTTGATCGGTCGACCCAATCAATACCTCTGTCAGTACTTAAAGTTCTAGGGAAAGGTGTACGTCATGCGTTCAGCTTCACGATTTAATTACGTCTCGTGATGCTTGATTTGTTTATTCATTAACGAGACGTTGTAATTTTCCCTATAGCTTGAATTTTTTTAAGTGCAAGCTAGAAACACTTGCATTTTTGGTAAAAATAAGTGGAATTGAGTGGGTGTTCGATAGTGGTCGCGCTATTAGAACTCTGAATTCAAAAATCGATATCTCGAAATCTATTAGAAATAATAGATTGCAGTTTTTTCAAGAACCTTGTTAATATTTCTGCTCTATTTTCTTTGTAGACAGTATGTGAAAATCTTTATCAATAAAAAAATTACACGATAGTTGAAAATTGCTCTGCTCTAAAAGTAAATGGATGGATTGTTTACAATTTTTGAATGGAAAAAACAACCTTATCGAATTTTTCTTATGTAAACATATTGTAAAATATCCGATCTTGAAAATAAAAAAAAGTTTCATTTCTAAAGTGGTTCTTGAGTTATGGCCTGTTATGTGTTAAAAAGTTGAGTTTTTAAATTATCGCGATTATTGACGTTTTCTCGTTATAAAAAAATGACACCCTAACGATATCCTTATAATTCCATTTCAGATTATAAGAATAAAGAGTACAAAGAATAAACATAATTGAATTTAATGTACGCATTAAAGAATGCGTACATTGAGTTGATTACTTAAAAATTCCATAAAATGTCTGACATCATAGGTCCCCATCCTTGACAGTTCTGTATGACATTTTAATTAAAACATTTGAATTGATTTGAAATTTTATGGATTTGTTGGTCTTTACTGAGATTATTTTATGCTATTTATTATTTAGTCTACAATAATTCATTTTATTATTACTTATATTTTTTCATGTTTAGAGGTAGTACATCTAGAGCAAAGAATAAACGTCTTGGAGTTGTGGGTATATCGACGACTGCTGCGAATACCATGGACGTCTCAACGAACAAACAGTTCCATTATTGAAGAACTAAAAATTGAGACACGTCTAATTACCAACATAAAACAGTCAATCCTCCGATATTTTGGACATATTGCCAGGAGTAGACGAACAACTTGGTCCAAGGAAGTGAGGGGAATATGTCACACCATACTCTCACGGAGGTTGAAGGACACATCTAGAAGGAAATTGTGTCAGAACTTATTAACAGTGACGCTATTGCGATTCATGGAAAAGACAGAAAATACCTACGGTATCCAGAACTTTTTTAGGTTAAGTATCTTACTGCCTATTTTTTAAATGCTCTATAAATTTTAATTTAAAAGTCCTCAGGGAATTGCCAGTCTTTAAATTTTCAGGAACACTATTGAATATTTTAACACCTTTTTAAGAAAAAACAGTTTGAAATTATGACTTCGAGTGTCTGGGTATCTTACTTAAATAATCTTTTTAAAATAATCAACATTGAAAAATTATATAGTGAGGGAGATCAAAAAATTTTATTACTGAACATCAACAACACTGGGAAAAACATGATAAGCGCCATTTTACTAATTTTACAGGAAAGCACTAGACGGTTAGTGGTTATCAGGTTCTTTCCGTGTATTCTACATTTTTACTAGGCATATATCATAGGATTTAACAACTTATTTTCCTGGAGAGTTTATACATTTTGTAGGGACCAGTTAGACCTCCTATAATATTGTAAAATCCTGAAATTAAGAAATTGGCGCTTATCCTTCTCTATTATCTTATCCTTATAAGTTTTCCCCTGGGCTCTTCATATAACTAATAAATCAAAAGAAAACTAGAATATAATTTGTAAAACCTTTTATTGAAAATATCACCTACAAATCTATACAGCTTAAAAATATTACATATGTATATGAAAATTAAATAAATCAATTAAATTTTAGAAAATTTTTAAGATTATGTTATTTTACTATATATAGTTTTGATCCTCTATATATATATATATATATATATATATGACTTTTGTTGCTCTAAAAACCAAGAAACAACCTGACTTATCTCCATCAAAGGGAGACTTATCTCCATCGAGGGAGCGAGAACCTCCCACCTCTTGCCAGTATGGAAAGCCGTCCAACACCGGGAGGCAAGCAGGGACGTATCACCAGCTTTGCCGCTATTGCTGGACAAGTGAAAATGGCGGTGCTGCCAAAGGATTTCCCAGAGGTTGCTCTGACCACCGACCAGCAAATCTCTCTAGAAGAGGCTATACTAGACGAAGTAGTGGCGATCGGATCGCAACACGATAATCTACAAAATGTGGGCCAGCAGCGTTTTGCGGGGATACACTTTCGGGTGGGCATTATCCTCATAGATTGTGTATCTCAAGAATCGGCGAATTGGTTGGTGGAAATCGCACCTCAGCTTAAAAATTGGCAAGGGCCGGAACTGGTTGTAGTGAAGGGAGAAAATATCTCTAAAGGGGCGGCCATCGCGGTCTTTTTGCCGAGGAGCAAGGGGAAAGACACCACCTACCTGCTGAGCCTTATCCAGGGTCAGAACATCAATGTAAGGACATCGAGTTGGCGAGTCATCAACTCGAGGGAGGAGGGTCATTGTCAGGTCCTCACAATAGGAATTGACCTCAAATCCAAGGAGGCAATAGAGGAAGAGGGACATATCCTCTATTATAGATATGGGACAATACCAGTATCAGGTCTAAGGAGAGACCAAGTTAAAGAGGTGGAGAAAATGGAGACAGATCCTCCAGCCTACACCTCACGGATATCTCAGCCGGAGGCAAGCTCCTCGACTGTGAAGGGCACGGAGGGCCAAACTCCAACCGTGGAAGGGTGTGTACCCTCGGAGGAACAACATCTGTTGTCAGAGGAGGATGGGAAATACCCTGTCCCCTCTACAACAGAGGTATGATGGGTTATAGACTGTGTGATAACTCAAGGCACAATAGATCTTTAAGGTCGCAGTGATTAACCCCCCCTCTCACTCATTCTACATTCCTCTAAAAACGGGAATCTTCATCCAGAAACAGAACGTCTTCGTTTAGGTTCCATTTTTATAAAATCTTCTAACTTAATATATAACTCCCGAGTTACAGAAATATTTTCAGTATTTCTGGAAACAATAAATAATATTTAAAACACTATGTAAAGATTAATAAAAATACCGTATGATCGAAAAGAAAAACGGCGTCCAGTTGGCTTGGAAATCGTGATTGATGATATTCCCCAAATAATTTTACATATGAAATGACAGCGATCTTCATTTCATAGCCGTCGCTGACGCGGTTTTTTTTTTCGATCATACGGTATATTTATATATGTATACAGTAAAAACATACCTAATGTCATCTTGCATTTCTTTATTTAAAATCGGGGTGTCATCATCATCAATTTCTATTTTTAAAAAATCTTCCGATTTTACTTTATTAGTCACCGGTAAACGTTCAGCATGTCTGGAATTAATTAGTTACATTATTTTATCAATATATTAGTAAAAATACACTTAAAACATACCGTATGATCGAAAAAAAATGGCGTCCAGTTGGTTTGGAAATGACGATCGATGACATTTCCCATATAATTTTACATATAAAATGACAGCGATCTTCATTTCACAGCCATCGCTGACGCCGTTTTTATTCGATCATACGGTACTTAGTGTCATTCAAAAGGGAAGTAAGTTCATCCATTTCAATTTTTAAAGAATCTATTATCACTTCATCAGTTGGAGATGCACAATCAACATTTCTGGAAACAATAAAAAATTAAAATGGCGAAATATGTATCCAGGGGTGGATGGGCCATATGGCAAAACGGGAAAATTCCCGGTGGGCCGGTAGGAAGATGGGCCGGTGGGCCGGTCCCGATCAGAGCTCAAAAAAAGATTGATTTAGCAAAAATTAAATGGTTAATCTTTTAACTAAAGTTACGTAAAATTCTTTGTGCCTTCCTAACTAACTAATCAATTTGTAACAATATAATTGTTAGTTGCTTTTAAACATAAACACCGATTTGTAAAATAACTATTGTTAGATGTCTTCCTGAGACACTTATAATTTTAATAAACATATGTTGTTTGTTGTTCCATTTGAAATGTTTTATTATCCAAGGTGAGTCTATAAGTGCACCTTATTTGTGCTGCCTTGTGCAAATATTTTCAGGGCTGGTAGATATGAATAAAAGAAACATAATATATTCTCTTTACCGTGTTTCAAATAAGTCCAAAATAACCGAGTTATTAAAGTTTGAATTTAAAAAAAACTGATTTATTTTTAAAAAAATTTGCCACCTAAATCTTTCTGTATTTGCATCTCTTTTTGTGCCGCAATATCAAAGTTTAAGAAACTATACCGTGGGAAAATTTGCGGTGAACAGGAAGTTCTAAAAATTTTTCTAAAATATACAGGAAAATTTAAAAGAAAAAGCACGATTCTCAACATCTTTTTTTAGAAAAACAAATCATAGACGTGTTCCTGGGGTCGAAATATACCATCCCTGAAAATATTTGCACTTATTTAAAACTCATTCTGTATAGTTTTACCACTATTCTTTTACTAAAACACATTTATATCCACTGTTTAGGTATTGCCTAGGTTTTTTTCGTTTGAGTCATGGCATTATCATACAAGATGCCAAATGTAAAAACTAGGAAAGTTACGTGATGAGAATTATACCAAAATTAAAACACGTATACATGACGAGGCTGCTGCTGTACCAGAAAAGAGAGAATTTCTTTCTACAATCTGTAAGAAAGTATATACCTGAAAATCTAAAAATAATGTATTTGTATTTCACAGAGGATTGGGTCAGCTGAACTGAATGAATCAGAAAGTCTTAAAGTTTCTCAAAACCGTGATTCAAAATCGTAGCATATTCAAGATCAAATAACCGTTATCGATAATGGAAATAAAACAGTAGAACACTGTGAAATTGAGCTATTTTCTAGTAAAAATTCAGATGTCCGACCCGATATTGATCTTTATAAAAATTTTGATCAAGACAATTTCAATATTTTTAAAAAATCGGAGGCAAAAGAGGTTTGTTCGCCCGAGCGAAAATCACCCCTACTTGGGGTGGTTTGACCCTTACCCAGGGTGTCCCAGAAATAAGTGCAAGTATTTTAAGGGGGGTAGATTTGGTCAAAAGAAACATTTTTGGAAGAAACAAACACTAGATCTTTTCTGTATTTTCTTTCATGTAAATTTAATCTACTACCTATGTTGCCAGATTATCAAGAAATTATGTTTTCTTAACTTAAAACTAAAAAAATTTCCAAAAATTTTTTCAAAAAATTCCAGATTTTCGCAAAAAAACTGATAGTCGTGTTTCTGAGGCCGAAATATACTACCAGTTAAAATACTTGCATTTATTTCTGGGACACCTTGTATATTAATAAATAAAATATGTTTCTTCGTTATGGTCATTTTGTTTTTGTGGATTCGGGCCGGTTGCCTGTTATTCCCGGGCCGGTTTCCACTTCCCCATCCACCCCTGTATGTATCTGGACATTTTTGTTCCAATGGCAATGTTTAAAGACATTTTTTGACAATTGCCATTATTTTAAATTATATTAGTAAAAATACATTTAAAGAAACGTACCTAAAGTCATCCAAATGTGGAGTGTATTCATCAATTACGAATTTTTCATCAGCTGGAGATATACAATCAGCATTTCTGGAAACAATAAACAATTAAAATGACAAAATATGTATCTGGACATTTCTGTTCCAATAGCAATATTTCAAAATTTTGAGTAGTTTGAAGTTTTAAAACAGTGACCTTATATTTTGAGTATTAGGGAAATAAGCATCAGAGCTATTACAAAATTCTGGTTCATTTTGGCTCTCAACAAATATTTTTTTTACTTAAAAAAAAGTCAGCGATCTTCATTTTCAGACCAACTCTCACGTATTTTTTCAATCATGAGATCTGATAATAACAGTTTATTTGTATCAAGTGTTTCCTTTAATTTACTTTTAAATTTTTCAAATAAAAGAGGTCCCAGATGTGCGGACAAAATAAAAAAAATATTAGTAGTTCAGACCATTTTAGATAAGGATTCTTTCAAGGTTTGACATTTTTTCTGTTAGGTTTGCAATTGATTTAATTACAGGTAACACTAAATCTATCGGGCTCTTTACATTTGTATTTCTCAAAAGAATGCAGAGTCTTGAATTTCATTACAGGTCATTGAAATAAAATAAAATCTAATATAATATTGGATTCATCAACATCAATATTTTTTATAGGCTTGGTGCATTTCAGATGATTTTAACAAATTCCGACCGCAGCGCTTCAACGGAAAAAATCTTAAATTATCATTATATAGTTCACGCCGCCGCGCCGCGCCGCACAGTGCTTCGTCCCATGGACAAAAATCGAAAAAAAAAGTTAAAACTTACTAATATCTGAATATGTAATTTTATACTTATAGCAATGTTCAGCCATCCTGTATATTATTTTTCATAAACAGCATTTTTTGTTAGCAAATATTTTGACTAAAAATAAATTTTGCGATCATTATCTTATCAGTGAAAAGAATAACATTCATAGTAGTTCTGTATATTATGGAGTTAAACGGTACGTACTTAATTGAAAGCCATTATGGATATTGTTAAACAAGGTATGTACTTTAAATTTATTTCTAAACAAGTTCGTGATTGTTTAGTTTTCTTCTCAAATTCTTAAATGCGTACAAAAATTTTACGTTTTCAAACTTCAAAAAGGCAATTAAAAAAAACATATCGTATTTATTGAATATTTTTGTTGTCATATTCATACACTTTTAATTTTTGTATAGTGCACCTGCGTCTGCTTGCGACGAACTTTATTTTATAATACTTTTCAGATCGAGTAAAAATGATAAGCAATGCCGATCTGGTTAATACTTGGCTTGATCATAAGGACAAGAACTCAACATTATTTGTATTTCAAAAAATGTGTTCTTTATTCGATATTGATGAACCTTCCAGTCAAATGAGACACCACTTGTGCCTGAAAAAGCCCACTATGTTGGAGCGAAACGTCGCATAAAAAAAGTTTCCATCTTTCAATTTATTATGAAACCTCATACCCAAGAAAAGGAAAAAATAATATATGGATTGGTCTTTAAAAGGTCTATTAAAGAGGTAACTATTAACATCCGAACCCCTCATACCAACAAAAAGAACAGTAACAACGCGAAAAAGTAACATATTAGAAAATGATGTATAGAAATATCTTATTATGTGAGGATACTTCATCTCCCTGTGATTTGGATACTATAAATTTGGAAGATTCTGTCAGCAGTGATTCTTCTGAATCAGAGTAGTTACGATCTATGCATTTTGTTGTCCTAAAGTAAATTTATAGTATCTTATTTTTTTTTAATTAAATATAACATTAATATCTCTTTTTCATTAAAGAAAAATATTTTTATCTTATATTAGGCTTATATTGTAGGAATCATGTTCTAATGTTATTTCAATTCTTTTTTATCACAGGGATTTATTTAATACTTCCACCGTTTTCGTACTATAAATTATTATTTCCTTAGATGGAACACAGCTCCAACATTTTTATTATTTATAATTTTTTTTTCATAAACGTGGGACTAAGAACATCATCATTTAGTACAATGAGAGCACTCATCATTTGTGTCAAATAAACCTAGTTTGAATAAATTGCCTACAATAAAAGAGAAGTTTTGCATTTTTGTCCTCTAGAGCCATATGTTCGAAGCACTGTGCGCCGTCATGTTGATCGCATTAAAATAATACTGAAATCGTACTTTTGTCATAATATTTAAGTATTTTGTTTTTTTGCTAGTGCAGTTATTGAAACTATAAAACACTCAGGTACCAGATTTGTGTGATGTAACGCTGTTTCGGGTAGCAAAAAATAAGTGAAAAAGAATTCGAACCAGGCGTCGCGTCGTGTTGTGACAATTTTTAATGTTAATAAAATTGCCGAACGTTGTTAACGCGTAAAGGAGAGCGTAATTAGGGCGTTGTTGGGTGCAATAACATTCAATAACTCGACTTTCCCGGATATTCAACTCTCCCGAAACATTTTATAGCTTCATAGTTTCTGACACCGATTTGATCAAAGGCAAAAATGAATTCGAGCAGTTCGACGAAACAAGTGAGTAAATAAAGTGCTTGTTACATAATCAAAAAATTAAATAGACATATACTGTGAGAGGATAAAATATAATTTGCAATATTAATGGTATACTTTTTTAATCGACTAGTTATTAAATGTTTTATGAACATCTTCTAAAATTATAATTATGTACCTTTAAAAAATTTCGTTATAGCCAAAATAGCCCCAATTATGCCTCACTAGCAAAACCGGTGATTAAAAAAAGTTTTTTTAACTGGAATAATAAATTATAATACAAGTTAGACCTTCTGAAGATATCAAAATATTTTACTTTTTTATTTTTATTTTTAGAATTTTCACAAATTATACTTCCTAACACTTTTAGAATAATTAAATAATACATTTTTCGTATACTCGCTACTTAAACCTGTGTATTTGTATATATCGATTGTTTACGATATTCTCCGACGGTGGCAGCACCGGCGGAGAATGCACCAAGCCTATATTAACTATTAATTTACCCGGAATCAATATGAGCGCGCTTGAGGTGATCTTGTAAACCCTTTTTTGATCTATATTTCCTGCCACAATGCGCACAACCAAACATCTGTCGTTCTTCCAGTGTCAAGTGAATTACCTCGTGTCGTCTAATGTTTGCCATATCTCGTGATTTGTGGCTGCATATGGAACATCTGAACTTTTTTTGCGATTCTTTCAGTCTAATAAAAAAAAATAGATTAATATAACAGTATGTTCTGGAAATGCTCCACATCATGATTTCTGTTAGAGATTTTTGTTCCAATCTTTTTCGTAAACGCACAAAAACTCTATTAAAAATATTTGATAGGTACACAGGGTATTTTTAGTATTCTTAAATGAATTGTCGAAAACCCTATTCCAAACATACCATAATGTTATAACTAGGGGCTAAAAGGAGGAGGTTAATCGAATACAAAAATTTTGGGCCCAGATTTCATGATCTAAATGAAGTTCGAAAATCGCGCGAAAAAGGTCCCAGATCTGCGGACAGAATAAAAAAATATTAGTAGTTGAGACCATTTTAGATAAGGATTCTTTCAAGGTTTGACATTTTTTTTATTAGATATGCAACTGATTTAATTACTGGTAACACCAAATCTATCAGGCTTTTTAGTATTTGTATTATGAATAAATAAAGAAGAAAATATGATTGAAAAAAAAACGGAAACTTATAAAGCCACTCTCGATTGATTAAAAATAAAATCCTAATTAGAGTAATATAATCTAACAAGAAAGAGAATTACATTTTACTAATATATACGGGAATAACGCAAGATTACCTGACATGAACATTAACATTTTATTTCTAAATTTTCCCACGAGTAAGAAATATATGTAGATAAAAACATACATCTAGATAAAAATTTTAGCATATGTATTTATATATGATGGAATAATGATTCTAATTATGCCATTTTTTATTGTTTAAGTTTTTAAAGCAAACATATTTTAAGAACAAAAGATAGAAAAATGTAATTATCTCACAAATGTGTTGTTTTTCTTTAAATTGCAACGGTTATAACGGTTATATAAAAATTCTTCACTCTGAATAGATGGCGAATAAAAAGTATTGAATAGGTACCAATAAATGCATGTACATATTTTAAGTCAATCTATTCGTGCTTAAATAATAAGAACAACGTCAGTTTAGGGAATAGGGCATATTATTTTATTTTATTTAATAGTTTAATTTCTAAAATTGAAACCTAACGTATTGCCACTGTCATAAATTCTTCTAGTCATCCTGTATTGTTTACAAATTTGTCTACGAAATTGTTTATGAATTTACACGAGCACAGAGATAACGGCATAACGGCAAGGTTGGGAGTAGTTGCAGTTTGTGAAAAAAGGTGGTGGAAAAGTCAATAAATCTCAGCAAAATGTATTTTGAGGTGGTAGAATGTAGAAATGAGTGGGAGGGGGGTTAATCACTGCGACTTTACAGATGTATTGTCTCCCCCTTTCTTGAGTTATAACTCATCATACAGTCCCAGGACTTTGACAAAAACCAGTAGCTGGAACGGTTTTATAGAGTCCAATATCAGTTGTACCTAAGTTCATGGCACGAATGGTTGTAACAGCTGGTACAATTTTAAGAACCTGACAACACTGGTTGTGAGTAGGTAACTAATGCAAGAAATACTGCATAAGCGAGGACCGCAACACTGTGAAAGTCGGTTTGGTTTGGTTTGGTTTTGGAACCTCGATTACAAAATAGCGTTATTTTGTCGCGTTATTTTTCTGGAACGGTCGCTACTGTAACGCGGCTCATGTGGAACCGGTATTCCCATCACTACTCCATAAGTATGTATTGTTTTCACTTTCAATATTTCCTTTTACAGTATCCAAACTATTTAAAAACGTAAGTCAGAGAATTCAAGTTTTCTTGTTTTTCAAATTAATATTTTTTTTAGAAAATAACCCCTGAAGTATGGTGTACCTCAGGGATCTGTATTAGGCCCCATCTTGTTCCTTATTTATATAAACGACCTAGCATACTGCCAGGGAGGGGGAGTCAACACTGTTTTGTTTGCCGATGACACAACCTTTTACATAAGTTACCACCCCTTAGAGATTGACAATCTTGATTATCACACTTCACTAGAAAACCTAAACAATGGTTTCTAGCTAACCGTCTATCTTTAAATCACTCTAAATCGCAAAGTATGAACTTTACTCTAAGAAACAATATTAATTTTGATCACCCTGTACTTCATCATTGTGCAACAGAAGCCAAGTTTCTTGGGGTGCACTTAGACACAGGACTGACCTGGGAGAACCACCTTGTCAACCTGTCAAAAAAATTATCAAAAGAACTTTTCCTGTTTAGAAATCTTGTGCAGATAACCTCAAGAGAAACTCTTCTCACAGTATATCATGGCAACTTTCATTCCCATCTGACTTATGCTATTCTTTGCTGGGGTCATTCTTGTCATGTCAATAAGGTTTTTGCGCAGCAGAGGAAGTGCGTGCGTATTATTGCAGGGGTGGGTTACAGGGAGGATTGTCGTAATTTATTTAAAAAATTTAAGATTTTAACTTTGCCCTGTGTGTACATTATGCAGTGTTTGTTGTTCGTCAAGCAAAATCTTGATCTATACAGGTCACATGAATATTTTCACAGCTACCCAACAAGAAATAATAGCAATCTTGTACCGGACTTTTGCCGGCTTGAGAGATCCAAGAATGGTTCAAGATATTTGAGCATAAAGTTTTATAACCTGGTACCAGCTAGAATTAAGGCTCTTAATTTTAATCAGTACAAAACAGAAATCAAAAACTACCTTGTGGTTAATGCATTTTTTTCTTTTGAGGAGTACTTCAATTCCAGCTTTAGTCTGTGATTTCATTTGTTTTGTCTATGTTAGTGTTTGTGTGTTGTATCTGTTCATTTATAACATATATTTGACATACATATTTGTTTTAATTTTAAGGTTTTAATGATTTTCTATTGGTTAATTGTATACATTTTATTATATAAAATTTGTGTATTAATGATGCAATGTAAAAACAACAAAAAAAAAAACTGTAGAAACTAAATTTTTATCAATTTTTAGAATTTTATATATATATATTTTTTTTGACTTGTAAAAATACTTCTCTTGTATGTTATTACTAATAAATAAACTAACTAACTAACTAACTAACTAACTAAAATATGGGATAATTGTTTTGAGTAGTTTATATGAAAAAATGACAGATCATACTTCAATATTACTAGAGTGGCGGAACGAAGGACGACACACGAACGCAGATGGTATGAACCAGATATATGGAATTAGGAGAATGAGCTTCCACGAGTGCACATTCAAATTTTTGTTGATGGTAGGATGACCGCCATATCTTCCCGATCTTATGTCACTGCCCCTCTTTTTTTGACGTCTGTTATTTTTTCACGCTTTTTTTTATCTAAATATAGTTAGTTATTCTAAAGACTGTTTCAAAATATGCTGTAATATATTATCATATTCAGTCTAATTCTAATGCTTCAAACTTTTTGAGTTGCTTCAAGAGACTAAGAAAAACTGTTAAAAAATCTTGACAAATTAAGCTATTATAAAGTAAAAATCTGAAATTCTTTGGGCTAAGGAATGTTTGTTCGGTTTTTTATTACCGCCAGACTTTTTTCGTGTCCTTATTTACTGAAAAAAAAAACACTTGGGACAGAATAATAGAAGACATTTTTTTTAAGAAAAGCGGATTTTATATGGCAAATCCGTTTTTTTCCGGCTTAAACCAATCCATTTTTAGAGTTAAAAAATATTTAAATTACTACTTGTATGAAAGTATTTTTGAAATGTGTACTACTATTGCCCACATACTTTACAAAAGAAAGAATGGAATGAAAATATCAAATAACAAAAAACCCTGATATGGAATATGCACAAGCATACAACTGTCGTTCTTCCGGCATCAAGTGAAGTTTCCCGTGTCGCCTAAGACGTGACCTATATGTATGACATTTTGAGTAATTTGAAGTTTTAAAACAGTGACCTTGAATTTAGAGTATTAGGGAAATAAAGCATCATGGCACTCTCTTACATATTTAGAATTCTGATTTAGTTTGGCTCTCAATAAATATTTTTATTACTTAAAAAAAGTCCGCGATCTTCATTTTCAGACCAACTTTCGCGTTTTTTTTTCAATCATATGAGACCTGATAATAATAACAGTGTATTTGTATCAAGTGTTCCCTTTAATTTACTTTTAAATTTTTCAAATGAAAAAGGTCCCAGATCTGTGGACAGAATAATAAAAAAAATATTATAGTCTAAGAGCTAGCAACGTTTTCGAGAAAGTATTTTAAGACGTCTGGCTCTTTGATATATCATTTACTATGCTCTCTGGAACCAAGGATACTATAGAGATAAGGATAGTTCGATTCCTATCTTCCTGCACTGTCAGTTTTTTTACGTCATCTAGGGACCGAGTTGAAGTTGGCGCTAAAGATTTTAGACAGTGACAGTTATTTTTACGTTTAACGAACGAGCGCACAATGCGGTGGAAGATAAATTTAGCGGGCTAAAACCGTTCGTTAGAAATAAGCCAAAAAAACTGATAAGAATACTGATAAGAGTAAATAGTAGGCATTTCAATTGATATAAAAATGCATGAATATTCTTTGTATTTCGATACATTTTTATCAACCAAATTTGGTCGTTTTCTGCTCAGTAAGGCAGAGATCATACGAAAACAAAATATTTACAAGTGCTTATACATTTTATTCCAAAGCCAAATAATGTTGAAGATTGCCAAAGGTATTTTTCTACTGTTCGTATATTATTTGTTAAAATTCTGCGTGCCTTTGCTCTGCAGATATCAAAATCTTGTATTTATGTATTTATTAATAAATTAAGTTGTTAATAAATAAATAAATTTAACTATATGGTTACTATGTATTAGAGCTACGTTCCATTTGCTACGTTCTTAGATTTTAAGTGTCAAATATCGTTTCTGAGATTTTGTCCCGCTAGATTAATCATCCGCCGCACTGTGGAGCGCTGGTCCCTGCGTGACGTAAGCATCCACGGCGACTACGACGGCGGCGTTTTGACGCGATCGAACAGTCCTTTAGAATATATACAGTCCTTGCTCTGGAACAGCATGCGGCCCGTCTGGCTGCCGATACCCGTTGCGTTCATGCACGGAATAAGATCGGACTGCGCATCGGAAGAAGATCCTATATTTTTTATTAATTTAGTCCTATAAATTCTAGTATTGAATATAAATCGAACATGTCTCCATAGCGCAGTGCGTAGAGTTTTCGACCACGAACCGATGATTCAGAGTTCGAATCCGGGTCAGGTTAAAGACTTTTTTATTTTATTTTCGTTTATATTCTGATAGTAAAGTATTAAATAATTCTGGTAATTAAATAAAAACAAATATTTAATACTTTAATACTTTACTATCAGAATATAAACGTAAATAAAATAAAAAAGTCTTTGCCCCGACCCGGATTCGAACTCTGAATCATCGGTTCGTGGTCGGAAACTCTACGCACTGCGCTATGGAGACATGTTCGATTTAAAGGACTAAAATTTAAAGGACTAATAAAAATATAGGATCTTCTTTCAATGCGCAGTAGGGAACGCAACGTTTACCGGCAGCCAGACGGGCCGCATGCTGTTCTAGAGAGCATAGTAAAAGATATATCAAAGAGCCAGACGTCTTAAAATACTTGTTTTCCGACGTTGCTAGCTCTCGTACTATTAGTAGTTGAGACCATTTTAGATAAGGATTCTTTCAAGGTTTGACATTTTTTTTATTAGATTTGCAATTGGTTTAATTACCGGTAACACTAAATAGGCTCTATTATTTGTATTTCTCAAAAGAATGTAGTCTTGAATTTCATTAGAGGTCAAAGTTTCAAATAAAATAAAATCAAATATGATACTGGATTCATCAACATCAATATTTCTTATATTAACTATTAATTTACCTGGATTCAGTATGATTACGCTTAACGTGATCTTGTAACCTACAATTTGACATATATTTCTTGTCGCACTGCTCACAGGCAAACATCTGTCGTTCTTCCGGTGCCAAGTGAACTTGCTCGTGTTTTGTAAAATATGATCTACGTAGTGTTTCATAGTGACATTTTCCACATTTATAGACCTTTTCCTGCACTTCCTTTGATCTAATAAAAGAATATTTAAATATTACTGACTCGTAACTCTAGATTAGATTAGATTTGTGAGGTGGCTGTCCAATTTTGTATTTTTCGAAAACAATTTTGATTTTTTTGTATTTTCAGTTAAAAAACTTAATATACCGGGTGCGTCTCAAAAGTTTCTCACCTCTATAACTTTTTTAGTTTTTCACATAAAAATAAATTAGGATTGATTGACGTATTCAATTATTTTTATCCCTTCCTGTTTCACCGGAAATGACTACAACTTTTGATTTTTAAATTACACCATCGGTATTTTTTTACTTTATTCGATAGAAAATGACACAATGAATAGAATGACATATCATATGTCAATTTTGGACATTTTCTCATATGGTTTATTTCAAATTGTAACATGCGGTTCATGTCGATAATTTGACTCGAAATACCAAGTATGTGGTACGAAATTATTCGTAAAAAAATTCTTTTTCCAAATATGCTAATGAGCCATCCTCATTCCGTTTGGAAAAATTGAGATATGATTAAAAATAACAATTTGTGCATCTTTTAACCGGCCAGGACAAGACACGAAAAACATTAGATAATCAAATCTATTTTCCCAAGGCTACTTGAATAAAAATTAGTGTTGTTAACACAACTATGGCACTCGCGATTGAAATTAAAAATACGATTTTTTTAAGACAGAGTCGGACTTTAAATTATCTTAACTAATAATTAAATAGTTTTGTTGTTGTTAAGGTACCCAAAACAAAAAAAAAAAGTAAAAAGTGATAAAAATGCAGGTCCGTATTAAAAAAAAATAAGTTGTCCTCTGTATCTCGCAAATTATCAGGCAATTTGAAAATCTAAAAATACTATCAGATAGCCCATATAAAGTGGCTATAAGAATGTGCAATTAGTTTTTTGATTTTCTAAAAAGCAACGACAGGAAAAAATAAAATTGGTTTTCAAAACAATACGTTTTCCCAAAAAACTCAGCAATCCTTGAAATTTTTAGAACTTTTTTGATGGAATCTTGGTGAATATCTCAAAGCGCAACTTTACCCTGATTTAACCATGTTCGTATCTATTATGGTTACCGAGATGCCAATGCTCGTACCTCGAATTTGTAGCACCCTGTATAGTACCTGCGATTAGTGTTCCCAAAATGCATGAATTTAAAACTTGGTAAAAGCCCTAAAATACACAAAATACAATTTGACATTCACAAAATCATAGGTTGACAACTTATGGTATATGGCATTTGCGTGGTTTTGCATTGTTACCTGTTCAGTTTAAAGTTATAAATAAAAACAGTTTTCCTTAAATTAGTTAATCAGCTTGTTCAAAATTGGCAAGTGTGTACTCAGCATATGCAAACCTTCAAAAACTATTTACGGTTTCGCTGTAAAATTAGGAGAGCCAATATTTGGATAGTTCAAAATTTGATTGTGACTCTCTATGTTTCCAATGCCGATGCACCACCCGTGTATGATTTGGGACTAATTCTTATGCTAACAATAAATTTACCTGGTATGTTTAGCCTCAAAGTGACGTCTTAAGTCACTTTTAGACATATATTTTTTGTCACAGTGCGCACAACCATACATCTGTCGTTCTTCCGGTGTCAAATGAACTGCCTGGTGTCGCCTAAGGGCTGACATATCTCCTGCTTGGTGGCTACATGTAGGACATCCATAGACCTTTTTTTTCGATTTATTCAATTCTTTCGTCCTAATAAAAAAAATATTACAGTCGTGTAACTCTAGAAATCAGGGTTCATAAAATATATAAGATCATGTATCTCCCCTTACCCTATTATAATTAACATACAAAAAGAAAAAGTTAAACAATTCGGATTCGGATTCCGCGTTAGCAAAGTAGGCCACGCCCAGATTAGCCTTGACAGCAAAAAGGAGACGTTAACTTAAAATTTATTTTTTTAACCTAACTTCGTCGGCCGCATAGCCCTGGCAGCTGTGGCCATTATACTACTACCACAGATTATACAGATTATAAACTTATCGTCAAAAGCAGTTTAGGTTAGGTTACTAGTTTACGCCTTTGAATAAGAAGACTAAGGAGCATAATGCTATCCATGTATTCATGCATGGTGGGCGGAAAAAGCGCCATAAAAGCACTCTAGGGTGGGGATCCTTGACAGTTCTGTTTGACGATTCATTTGACACATTTGAATTTGATTTGAAATTTTGTGGATTTGTCAGTCTGTACGGAGCTTATTTTATGTTATTTATTATTTGTTCTACTACTGATAGTTGTATAAAGGTAGTAAATCTAGATGGAAATTGTGGCAGAACTCAAATTAATAGTGACACTATCGCGATTTATCGAAAAAGACTCTAAAATAGTTGGTTGTGTAGCGTGAGGTAGATCTCGGCAAAAATCGAGTGAAATAATGGAACAACTTTTCGCTAGTAAGTGACTATATAATATACATACATGTAGAAAACCGATCATTTATGAAATTCACTTAAATTAACTAATTATGTATTTTTTCTTGCATTTTTGCTTTTATTTACTACTTGTCAAAGATTAGATGTCAAAGAATTTAGTAGTAGTAGTAGTAGTTTTGTTTTACGGCCACAGCTCCAGGACTATCCGGCCGGGTGATAGAATATCTATCCTTAGTTGAGTGGTCTGGAAGCAAACGAGGATTGCGTTAAGCAAGTCTGGGCGGGCCCATTCCTCGTTCGTTTTTTTGGGATGGTTAATGACTAATCAGGAAATATCGACTGTAAACAGAATGTTATCTGTTAGAGATCATTTCTTTATAACTTAACACCAGAATCTTCTAAAAACTTAGCAAAAGCAAACAAAATGGTTGGATGAACATGCATGACTGAAGAAATGTTATGAGGAGCAAAGCCAAAATGTATAGTAAGTGAGTCATACAATACTGAGGATTGTGCCATAAATCTATTGCATTCAAAGAAAATATGATTCAATGTACCAATCTCTCCGCATTCACAAAATTTGTCTTCTTTTACTCCTATCCTGTGAAGATGTACTGGGACCATACAGTGTCCGCTTCTTGATCTGATAAATGAACTTATTTTTCTCCTTGTAAGCTGTGGGAATTCCTTGAACCAATTTTTTTTGTATGGACAAGGCACGAGTTCTGAATACAGTCTTCCCTTGACCCTAGAAACCTCCTTCCATCTATCCTTCCATACATTCCAAAATTTTTCTTTCAACTCCGGGATGAAATCGCTGTGCCAGCATTTGAACTGAATAAATACTCTGACCGTTCGTTCTTCCTATATTTGCTAATGAATCAGCTCTGTCGTTACCGTATATACAGGTATGGCTTGGTAACCATACTAGTGAAATGGAAAAATCTAATCTTTCCAAATTCATCAACTTTTGCTTAACCAAGAAAGTAATATGTGTATCTTTGAAAGATGGTCGACTGTTTAAAGCCGTAAGAGCACTCTGACTATCACTGAATATGACTGAATTATGAGAATTGGTTGATTCTATAACTTTTAGTGCCTTCATGATAGCTAACATTTCACCTGTGTATATTGAGGCGTGATTAGAGATCATGAAGGTTGATTGCATTTTCAAATCTGCAGAAAACAAACCGATACCCACTCCCTTATTTACCTCCTTTGAGGCATCTGTGTAGATTTTAATTTTATTTCCATAATGTTGTGATATTATTTCATTAAATTTAGTTTTATTATTTACGTGTTTCTCAAGTTTCAACTTCACAAACTTTTTTTTGCTAAAGAACAGATCATTCTCATAGAAGCGATGAGTATTTTCCACATCAATCTCCTGAACTAGGGGAAATATTTGATCAATGGCTTCTATTAGAGGAGGTGTATGATATTTAGACCAGAAATGATAGGTCTGATTATAGGCCCCATATGCCCTTGAAACTTCATTTATTACTGGATTCTCGTGTGAAGAAAATGATTTTAATAAGAATTTTGTCGCCAAAAAATTGCGTCTTATGTCCAGAGGGCATTCTGCTGCCTCTGAGAGAATTATATTGGTGGGAGAGCTCCGCATTAAGCCTAAACAAACCCTTAAACCCTGAAATTGAACCCTATCTAGTTTAGCCAACGTGTTCTTTGTACATTTTAGTAAAATTAAGCTCCCGTAGTCCAAGTGAGATCTAACATAGGCCTTGTAAAAGTTTAGCATTGTGAGAGGGTGGCCTCCCCACCATGTTTTGCAGAAAAATTTCATTATGTTAATAGCTTTATTTGCTTTAACACACATTGCTTCTACCTGTGGAATCCATGAACACCGTTTATCTAGAATAATTCCTAAATATCTAATTTTCTCTACCCAGTTTATTATTTCATCTTGAAGTTTAATTACTGGGAGTTGTACCATTTTATTCCTCCTTTGAATCAATAAGCAAGAGGATTTTTGAGGCTGGAACGCTATGCCGTGCAAATAGGACCAATCTTCCAAACTCCTTAAGGTATCATTTAGACTTTCCACCATGTTATCTAGACTTTTTCCTTGAACTACGAGAGCAATGTCATCTGCATATTGAATTAATTTGACTTCTTTATGGATGTGATCCTTAATATCATTAACATAAATATTAAACAGAGTAGGAGCCAAAGGAGAACCCTGAGCCACCCCTTTCCCCACGAATCCTGGGCCTAACAGTTTGCTATTATTATGGTCAATAACAAAGATCTTTCTATTATAGGATATATCCCTAATATAGCAGCATAAGTCCCTCTCCAACCCCAAATTAGCCAATTTACTAACCAACAAATCTATGTTAACATTATCATATGCTCCTTTCATATCTAAACAGACAATAACTATTTTATTACCTTCCGACATTGCTGTCAGAATATTGGCTGACAAAATAGCTAGGGCGTCTGCGACTTCTTTTCCCTTACGAAAACCAAATTGGTAATCACTAATAATGCCTTTATTTTCCAGCAACCATTCCAATCTGTTTTTTACAAAGTCTTCCAATATTTTTCCCACACAAGAAGATAAAGCAATTGGACGGAAACTTGACACAAATTCAGGATGTTTATGGGGTTTAGGGATTAGACAAATCAAACTCGTTTTCCATTGCTCTGGAACCGCGATCGACTGATCTAGAACCCTGTTAAAAATATGAAGAATGCTGCTCTGATAGTTTAACGGGAGATTTCTCAACATATGATAGGTAATCTGATCAGTTCCCGGAGAAGATTCCCTCGACTTTCTTTCCAATGAAGTCATGAATTTTGAAAAGTTATTGGTTCGCTTTTTAATTTATGAAAATTTAATTGAGGAAGATCCACTGGAACAACCGGGGCTGTTAGAAGGTCAAACATTTCTTGGGCAATTGAACTATTTAAGGGTTTTCTTACTGAAATAGAACTCAAAGACTTAGCAAATCTCTTCACTTTGCACCAAACTTCATTTATCGGAGTAAGAGGATTCAGGCTGCTACAGAATTTTGAGAAATGGACCTTTCTCTTTTCCCTCAATATTTTGCGAAATTTAGCTCTTAATTTGCGAAAAATGATATAATTTTCTTGATTAAAATTTTTTTTGAAATTTCTAAAAGCCTCACATTTCATCCGCCTAGCATTTTCACAATCATTGTCCCACCAGGAATTTCCCCTGCATTTTCCTTTCTTAAAAAGAGGAATAGCCTTATTAGCTGCGTCTATGATATTCTTTTCTATCAGTTCATATGATCTTAGTTCGATGTCCGAATGAGTAGTAATCAAATTATCATAATATTTCACCCAATTTGCTTTTTTTGTGTTAAACTTTGTTCTAGTGATAAACTCCGGTTCATTATTGGATAACGAAGTACATAATACGGGAAAGTGATCACTCATTCCAATATAATTATGCATTATGTTAAATGAAAAGGTTCTGAGAAATCTACTAGTTCCAAATATAAGATCTGGTACACTTTTGTTTTGATTAGGGGGTGTGATTCTAGTTGCCTCTCCGTTGTTCAGAAAATACAAACCGTGATCCTCCAGAATGTCAGCCACCAAAAAACCATTCCTGTTATTAATTCCCGACCCCCAGATCTTGTTTTGCGCGTTGAAATCGCCCATTATTAAGAGGTTTTTACAACCTACGGAAGCTGTCAGATGAGTAAAATAATTTTTTGGGACTGACACATCTGGAGGATTATAAATTAAAGAGATGAAACAATTGTTCAGTTCAATTATTAGATTCTGAAATTTATCGGTAAATTGATATTACTAAGATTAATTATATTAAATGCTATTGAATTTTTAATCAATAAGGCTATTCCTCCCTTTCCATCATCCCTATCACCTCTAACCACACAATATCCCCCTATATTAAACTGAATTGATTCTTTGAGCCAAGTTTCATTTAACCCTATAACGTCAGGGCTGTGATCCCTAACTATATTCATTAAAGTGTCTCTATTAGATATGAGACTCCTTATGTTCCAAAACAAAATTATCATAGAAACACAAGAGATTTAGATTTATGTGGGTATCAAAGATACATTTTTTTTTGTGAAAATTGAAACTTGAGACAGATTAAAATAAAGTATTATACGAATTACTAAAAATGAAGATAAATAAAAAATTTTTTAGAAAAATAAAAAATAAAAATTTCAAATGATAGATAAATTGAAAAAATTAAGTGAAAAATGATTGAAATCAGTAATAATAATAAAATTATTAAAACCTGCAATACCTCCTATTCTTGGGAGGATATTTTTGGTTTCTTTTGCTTTGGAGTACCATCTGTTAAGTTTTGAGTGCCCTTACCATCCGCATAAGTCAGTCTTTGATTATTTTTTGTCCCTTATTTTGAGTATTGTCATGAGTATAATATATGTTGCTTTCTTGGCTAAAATTGAAGTTGTTTTCTAATTTTGTTGTTTCCATCCCGGAGGAACTGTTCTCGTCTTCATTTACTCTAATAATTGGACTGCTACTAATTCTTGTTAAGTCTGGAAAAAGTATATCTCTATAGCTTGTTTTTTGATATTGGTGGAGAATGAGATCTACTTTTTTTTGTAGTGGAAATGTACTCATGTTTTTTTATATACCTTGGGGTAGAAGTATCCAGTGCTGGGAAGTGCTGACTGTTAAGATTTGATTTGTCAAGTTGTCGGGGGAACAGCTTGTTGGCTTCGTAGAATGAGATATTATGTTTTGCCATTGCTTCGTTGATGTTCTTCTGTCTGCTAAATTCTTCGCACAATGGACTGGTTGGTGCATGTTTTCCCTTGCAATTGATGCAAAGAATTTCTCCCTCTTTGTTACACTGAGTCCCTTCATTGTGAGTTTCTCCGCAGGCTTGACATCTTGAGCTACTCCTACACTGATTGGCACAATGTCCAAACCTATAGCAATTTTTGCATAATATAACAGGATTCTTATATGGTGAGACATTGTTGATTGTATTATATAAAGCAAACTCTAACGGAATAGCATTACCTTTAAACGTAATAACAAAACCATTGGTTTTGACTTTGCTAGCATATCCTCCAGTATAAATTCTTTTATAAATTCTCCTAGCATTCAGAACTTTTAGTTGTTGGTTACCCCTGATTCCAATTCCATAATTTACGATATCTTCTTCCTCAATTTCATCCCCCATATTCCAGACAATGCCTCTACAGGTCGTCATTCTTAATGGAATTTGAACATTCCAATTTTTTTGTATTAAATTGTCAATTTCTAAGAATTTATTTGCATTTTCTGAGAAGTTAAAGTAGACCCCATTCTGTTCCTACCCTTACTTTCAATCTTCTGGATTCCATCCACCTTATTTTCAAATAATATCTTGCCTACGTTCATTGGATGTAAAGCCGACTGGCTGTGAATAATTGTTAAAAATGGCGGAAAGCTGGTTATTTCATATTTATTTGTATAGTTGTAAATTTTTCTGATATTAAAAAAGCATTGTGAGATTTGGGCTTGTACTTCAATATTGTCTTTAAATTGAATTCGTAATTTATATAATTCTGATTCCAATTTTTGAAGTTCTTCATTGGTGGGTTTTCTATCAGATAAATTTCTTTTAATGCTTTCGCACAAGTCGCCACTAGTGATTGATAACAGATCGGCTAATCTTACAGAGGATTGCAATACGGGAGAAGATGATGCAAAAGGAGAGCCCGAGGGCTCTCCTTCAGGGTCTAACATGCAGATGAAAAAGCTCTACCACGTGCTAATAGGTTATGAAAATTTTTGTGTATTAATTCTTTGGGGAGATAGTTTGGAATGAACTCACCAAAATGCGGTCCTGAAACTCGTCCAGAAAATGATGATTCTAATCGAATACCTCTCAGAATACGAAGGAAATTCGACCACTCAACCTTTCTCTCCGACCGGCGTCCCAGAAAAAAAAACATGTCAAAGAATTTAGATACGTCAATTTGATTTACCAGATTTACCTGCTTCAGTAGCGTATCGGATGTTTGTGTTAATAAATAATTATTATAACTTATCTATTTTTATTAGAATTATATATTTTTGTAACAATTTTAATAACTACCAACATTTATTCACAACGTCAAATAAAACAACATATTATTGAGTCTACCCCACGTCTACCCTACATCATAGTTTTACATTTTTTAAATAAAATTAGAACGGCACTGATAAACCGGAATTTAAGTCGGCCATATTTGAGGCCCATCGCGGTGTACCCTTTGAATAAGAAGACTAAGGAAGGAGCATATCAAAAATCTTAGGTACACCGCGATGGGCCTCAAATATGGCCGACTTAAATTCCGGTTTATCAGTGTCGTTCTAATTTTATTCAAACTATCAGTAGTAGAATAAATAATAAATAACATAAAATAAGCTCCGTAAAGACTGACAAATCCACAAAATTTCAAATCAAATTCAAATGTGTCAAATGCATCGTCAAACAGAACTGTCAAGGATCCCCACCCCAGAGTGCTTTTATGGCGCTTTTTCCACCCACCATGCATGAATACATGGATAGCATTATGCTCCTTCCTTAGTCTTCTTATTCAAAGGGTGTACCTAAGATTTTTGATATGCTCCTTCCTTAGTCTTCTTATTCAAAGGTTTGCGCACATAGCACGCCCATTTATGGCCTCTAAAATTGTGCACAGCGTCTGACCGGCCCAGTTATTACGCTGTTTATTTTTATTATGCGAGTTTATTTTTGCGCTCAGGAAATTTTACTCGTTTGCTCATCGTCATAAAAAACAATTTTCGTACCACGAATTAGGGACAAGATTTTTATCTGTATACTTATAGGATACCTAATCTGTGCTACTACTAACCTAACTTCGAATTTATAGTGGTTTACACCCCTGGTTTACAAGGGGTTTACAGTAATTTTGTTAAATTATACAAATATTCTCGTTGGTTATTGGTTTGAAATAAATATGACGATGTCCTCCATTGAAAATGCGAGTTGCTTAACTCTAATAATTCTAATTCTGAGCTAGCAAATGAGCTAATGCTTTACCTAGATAGTTACTCAGCTACAAATCTATCGATGAAAATATACACAACTAGAGCAGCACACAACCAGAGGGTATTGGTACTCAGGTACAGTATCAAAGTTTATTATAATTTCTTAGCTATAAATCAAATATTTTTTGGTGTTTGCGCGATGCTTACTTACAACCGAGAGTCGCAGATAGTCGTCGATAAAGGTTGCCAGTATAAAAATATCTCTTATCTCTATATGAAAGTGCCTATTGTAATCGCAAAACATTTTCCGATGCACGTCATCAATCATATCGACATTGACACTAAAGTCTATAAACCTGACTAAATGAAATTTTTGCAAAAATGTTTAAATTTGTTGTATAATTTAAAATACCGAGCAGCTCTTCATTTTACTATATAGAGTAAATGATTGTAACAGATATTTTATTTAGATTAAAGCTGCAAAAATTAGTTTAAACCGAATTTTATTATTGCTATGTTGGTCACATTGCGCCGTGTTCAGCAATGTTGTCCTTTATTATTTGACAATTATCCTAGTGTCAGTCATTATTTTGTATAATATCCTGTTGTTGTCGAATCTTTGTAATTCTCGTTTTTGCCTATTTTTTCATTATTTAAAAAATACACGTTTCAGTTCATAACACAAAGTTCAGTTCAGTTCAGTTCTTTGCACAAACAGTTCTTTTAAGAACTACATTTTCGAGTTTTTCGTCGTATTTCTTGAAAATGTGTGTTGAAAATATGCTGAAGCATTTAAACAGTTGAAGCAAAGATATTGTAGCTTCCCTGTTTTTTTTTAACTATTCTGAACGGGAACATTACAATAAAGGTCCTTTATTACCCTTAACTGCAGTCAGAAAAGTAAGTCTGATTGATAAGCACATTATACCACTTTCAAAGTTAGTTTTTATTAAATTCGGTAATTTATTAGTTTGTGCATTAATAGCACCCTCTTACTTGTTATTACCACTTCTTATGGTGTTGTAAGATGTACATCAATAAATAAATAAGCCATAATAACGCTTATAATAATCTTCATAATGGACTAGTTTTTGCCAATATGTAGTAAGTAAAATAAGCTATAAAACAAATAAATCAATTAATCACTAAAATATTAGTTATTAAATTAAAAATAAAACGTAAAACTCTTTAAAAAATGATATAATAAATGTTTGTCAAAAATGATATAATAAATGTTTGTCAATTTTAAATTAAGATTCATCTCATAAATCCATCACAATCTGGCAGCGCTGTCGCCATCGTTGTCACTCAAAGTTGATCACGTGCATCGGAAATTGTTTTGCGATTACCATAGGTATAATTCTTATGCTAACAATAATAAATTTACTTGGAATCAATATGATAATACTTAAGGTGGTCTTTTAAGCCTCCTTTTGTCAGGTATTTTTTGTCACAGAGCACACAAACAAACGACTCTCGTTCTCCCGGCGCCAAGTGAATTTTCTCGTGTTGCCAAAGACATGACTTATGTTCTGTTCGGTAGTGACATACAGCACATCTGTAGGTCTTTTCCGGTGGTTTCTTCAATTCCTTTGTCCTAATAAAATAATTTTTAAGTATTAGTCTTGTAACTCTATAAAACAAGGTTCCTCAAACATATAACCTCACGTATCTACCCCTATTATAATTCACAGATGACTGTTAAACTAACAAGATTTTGGTTAAAAAAATTTGGAACATCGCCTATAAATTTACATTATAGAAGGCAGGTTATTATAGCCTTATATACACGAAAGTACACTATCGGACAAAAGTAGAGAATTTTTTTAAAATTATGTCTTTTTTGTTAACGCAGAGACTAAGGTCATTTTATGCATTGTTAAAACTAAAGATACTTAAGTAGTTCTTATTTAAATGAAATAATCACATGTCTCACGAAAACGAGATTTTATTCAGTTAAATAAAAAACTATAGGGAGAAAAATAGAGAAACTAATAATAAAAATTACAAGTACATAGTTGTTGCTAACCTAATAAAATTAATAATGGGTAGAGTAACCGTCATTAGCTATAACTTCACGATATCGCTTTGGCATGGAATCCAATAGTTTTCTTATGGTATCTGGTTCAATGGAATTCCAGGCCTCTTTCAAAATTCTTTTCAAATCTTTCTTATTGCTAATGTGACTTCGTCTTACCCGGCGATCTAGTTCCTCCCACAGGTTTTCAATGGGGTTAAGGTTTGGACTTTAGGTAGGAGAGTTCATAACCCTAATTTGTTCAGACAAAAACTATTTTTGTAAGACTTTCGATTTATGCTTTGGATCATTATCTTGCTGAAATATCCAGGTTAAAGGCAAATTATCATCAGCAAACGGAATCATCACTTTTTTAAGATGCGGAAACACCTGAACACCTCATCACTGAGTGCGCCGAGACGACGACCATTCGTGCCATGAACTTTGGTACGGCTGATGTCAAGGATGGAGAGGCTAGCCTCTGTGGAGCCGTCTCAGATACTGGCTTTTGTTAAAGGCTTGAGACTGTATGATGTTGTAACTTGTTATAATTTTAAATAATAGTTGTAACTTGTTATAACTCAAGAAAGGGGAACACACAATAGATCTTTAAGGTCGCGGTGACTAACTCCCCTCCTAAACATTCTACATTCTACATTCTTAAGATGTCAAAATACATAAATCGATCCATTGTTCCTTCTATTACATGCAGTGGTCCCATGTCAGCCCGAGAATCATCCCCACACAAATGCAAGATCCACCACCATGGTTTATAGTGGCCTTGGTATACTTTGGATCAAATCTTTTCCCTTCTGGACGGTGTACCCACAATATGCCATCGGATCCAAATATATTTAATTTACTTTCCTCTGAAAGCAAGACCTTTTTCCAGTCATTCATCGACCAGGGCAAATATTTTTCTGTAAAGGTATACGGGCCTTCTGGTTCTTCTTACTGATGAGTGGTTTTTTAGCTGCTCATCTGCTAAATAATCCTGCTTCCCTTAGCCTTCTTTGGATGGTCTTAGAGCTTATATTGACACCAGGTAGTTCACTCAAAATTTGATTTGCCGATTTATGCGGATTAGTTAAGGCGATTTTTTTTATTTATCATATCAATTTTTTTCGTTGTTTTCCTTGGCCGACCACTTTGTTTAATAGTCTTTAAGGAATTGCGAGTTTTGAAATTGGAAATCGTTTTGCTAATGACAGACTTATGCAAATTAAACATTGTGCTTATGTCCATTTGCACACCATTCCGATGTGCGTTGATTATTTTTTTGGCGAAGAGGATCTTCGCGAAAACAAACAAATATGTTCCGCGTGGCATATTTAGTAAAAATGTAAATCAGAATATCAACATTTTTCACCTTAAGCAAATAACTCCTAAGTATGGTCAATTTTTATGTTGGTTTCTTTATTTATGTCCCTCCAAAACTATTTGTGTCCATATTAAGGTTCATTCTCACTATACCTTCCGTTTCCATTCCATATTCGTTCCGTATTTTTATTGTATTGACGCTATACGTAAGCTTCCGTTCCGTATCAGTTCCATACTTTTTATTGTATAATCATGCCCATTGTATGGCATATATAATATAAACATGTTTCATGTTTTTCAATTTCCACGTAATTATGCAGATTTCAACCTTAGTGCTTGCTACTTAGCCTTTTTTATATAAAACTTAATATTATGCCAAAAAATTAAACTAAGAAAAAAAATTATTAAATTAGGTGTTGCGTAAACGCATCACTGGGACAATATGGGTTAATATTATGCCAAAAAATGGGGTAAAAGTTTGAATTTCACACTTACGCGCGCTGCGATGACGTATGTAGCCATGTAGCCCTCGCCAATATGATTGGCTGGTTTTCGTCTCCAAATAAACTTGGTGAATTTTATTATGTTGGCAGCATTGCTGTTTATTCAATGGCAAAATGACATTGTTTACTTATTATGTTATTGTTTTATTTTATTTTTGATTTTAAATTAAATTTGCATTTAAACTATTTCCAATAATGCTAAAAAATTAATTGTTCCATTGTTGGATAACATTTACCAGTAACTATAATAAAATGTTTTTGTACGCGCCGAAAAAAGATGGAAAATCGTAAATGCTGTTTTTTCAGAAAACTTCTCTTAAGCTGATGAATGTGATTTCAAAACATTTCAAAGTGAGTTTATATTATGTTTGATTTGTTAAATCATTAATGGCTTGTTTTTTACATGTGGAAGAAGGTGGGGAAAAATTAATTTGAAAAAAATGTAATTCCTTATAACTAAGATTAATAGTATTTCCGGAAAATCACAGTATTCACAGTTATGGTATAAAACAGCTACAATCTGATCATGAAAAGTACGTCTACTATCTGACCAAGAAAAGTTAGAGAAGATGAACAAGGCAATTAGAAAAATTCTATTGGCACCAAGAATGTTAATAAATACGTTCATGGTTAAGTTATTTTAGAAGACTATTAAGACTTCCTATTTTTGAAATTGCTATTGTATAATCTCACTTGTTGAAGTTTTAGATATATTTATAAAAATTGTATTTAGGCCCCGGTGCCAGTTATTGTACTGTTTTGAGGTCATTAATAAATAAATTAGAAAAAAAAATACATTGTATAGATAAAATAAGGCTCTAATAAAGTGCCTGTTTACATAAAATCAATAAAATAATAAAAATAAATATTTTATTTTAAAGTTTTGTTATTAAATGTATTAATATGTGATCAATAATGTTTATTATATAAGCATAAAATATTATTTTTTAAGAGGGTTATATACATATATATGAGGAAGATTCGAAGGAAACATACATGGTGTATTACATGTACATATTTTATTATTTTTGAAATTTATTAAATTAAAAGGCAAGTAAATATAAAGTGTTTTAATTACAATATTGTAATAATTTACATTTTGATGGTGACAAGACTTACTGAATATCAGGGCAGTAAATTTACAATTAACCCGCTACAAGAACATAAAATATAAATATTATGAGAAAACAAAAATGGCAATAAAAGTTGCTAGAAAGTAAGATGTTATCTTCCTCCATTCTACATAAATCATAGCGTGGTACCTTTCTTGATTTTATTTGTTATGTATGACATAATGTTTACATGCCGCCTAAAATTAAAATATAAATAGATAAATAAAAACCTACATATTTAGTTATAATTTAAAAATCACCAGTGTTAGCTGCACAGCTTAAAAATTTAGTTCCCTCCACTTTCTGTACACAACGTATCCAATCGAACTGTTATCATTATGATTCACTCTATGTATGCTCTATAAACAATGGTTTTATTACTTTTAAATAACTTCTTCAAGAAAAAAAAATCTCACCTTGACATTTTAATTTCTTTATATCAGCACTTAACTATTTTAAATTGTCTATATAAAAACTGTCCACCACATACTCCGTCACCTTTCGAAAATGATCCGAAAAACTTTTTTCATAATTTTGAGCCACTTAGATAAAATTAAAAGTTATAACCAAGAAAATTTACCGCTGAACTGAAAAGCACGAAGAAAAATAATAACCATGCCCTAGACACTCAATGGTAATTTTATAGAACTCCAAATTTAGTTTCTTCCGCATCGCCAGACGGCGCAAAAGACATTAAAGTACAGGTTTCTAATTTATATATGAAGATGACATGACAGTCCCTATGTTGACATGTTGACAAAATGTTGGTGATCCGTCAAGTTATTTTTAAATCATTATTTTGATCATTATTTAAATAATCATTAATTCAGATATTCCTGATTTATCGGAAAGTTCAGTGATTTCAGTGATTTGTGATTTTATTAGTTTGTGCATTCTGATATTTAGAGTCGATCATCATTTTCGTGTTAGATACTAAACTTTTTTATTAAAGTCATTCTGACATTTTAGAAATTATAAATTTATGAACCAAATAAAAAAAATAGTTTAATCATAAATAAGTAAGTACATAGTTGGTAATATATAGTATTTTTTGTAACAGTTAATTAGTAGTCTATAATATTTTTGCTATATAATTTATTTGTTAAATCAAAAAATAGGCGCTATGTGCTCTATTGTTGGTGTTTAAAATGTATGTATATATTTTAATTTTGTTTTAATTATGTTACACTTCTAATGATCTAATAAAACATAAAATGGGCAACAAAAAAGTCTATATTTATTATTTTATATTTTACAAGGAATCATTTTGAGCTTGAATAACGTTACCGTTTTAGTTAGCGTTAATAAGTAACGGAACGCTAAAATTATGTTATGCCAAAACTCTCCATTAGTTTCTTCCGGATCACCAGGTGGCTCTAAATGACGGACCCATTTGTTTTATATCAGTGTCCAATCTATCTCTAGTACATGACATTAGTCTATGATAATAACAAAACAAAATACAAAATGGCTGCGCCCCATCTGCGCCTGATACGCATGAGCCAGGCAATCGGTCATACCAACGATCTGAAACGTGATTGGTGAAGGCTATGTACGTCACAACTCAACCGGGAATGTTCAAGTTTGAATATATAATTTAATTTCTAATGTGATATCATGGAATTTTTCCTAATTATTGTAAGTAATGAAGACGTGAATGTAATGTCCGTGCAATACAATGATTTATTTGCGAATTTATATTTTTTGGAACATGCCCATTATATCATTAGGAAAGTTTTATTTTAAAAATTTGTATCTTTGAAAAAGGTAATAGATTTAATTAAGAGGTGAAAAAATAAATAAAAATCGGCAAAATGTTAACAGAGCTGGTACAAATGTAACTTGACAACGCTGTTTCCGATACGCTTCAGTCCGTTCGCCAAAAAAATGTATGGAAGGGAAACTGAACGGATAGTGTGCATTGTCCTATTCCTTTACATGATATAATATTTTATGTAAACGGAAGGGAGCTGATATGGAAGGTATAGTGAGAATCAACCTTTATAAATAAACACCTGATAAGATAAATTTGGAATGTGGCGAAAAATGATGGTATTGCTAAAAGGAAATATGTTTAAAACAAACATTACTTCAAATACTGGAGGTTTTTAAAATCCGACGAGTTTTAAAAAGTTTCTCTACTTTTGTCTGATAGTGTATATGTTATGACCTATGTATAATTCTTACACAAAAATAAATTTACCTGGGATCAATATGATTATTATCAAGGTGGTATTGTAAACCGCCTCTTGTTTTATATTTGCTGTCACAATGCGCACAAGCAAACATCTGTCGTTCTTCCAATGCCAAGTGACTTTTCTTGTGGTTGGTAAGACAGAACTTACGTGCCGTTTTGTAGTTACACGTGGAACATCTATAGACTTTTTTCTGCGATTCGTTCGATGCCTTCGCCCTAATAAAATAACTTTTAAATATTACAGTCTTGTAACTCTATAGAATAGGGTTCCCCTAACATTTAACCTCGCATATCTATCCCTGTTATGATTAAAGTGACCAGATTTTGAGTCAATTAATGACGGACGCAAGAACGCTGGCAACAAAAAAAAGCGGGGCATTTTCATGAATAATACTAACGCATATTTAATTTTTACATAAAAAAGTCTGAATAAGGTCCAGAAAATATGAATTAGGGCTAAACTTAAAAAAATATACCCCTAGCAAAATTTATTAGTTAGTCATACTGAAATCCTTTCCTACTTCCTTAACCCCTACTACGTCCTTAGTCTTCTTATTTAATTCATAAAATATAATAAAGGTTTAGACTTCAGTTGTAAAAAAGATTTGGATTTGATTAACTTGCATTTACTGTTATGTAGAAATATTCATATAAAAGACAAAAGCAATATAATATAAATATATACACTTACATTTCTAAATTATCTTCAGATGCTACCATAGCTTGGATATGTTTTTCATGTTTATTGTCTTCGTAGTTGATAAACTCAAAAGTTTGGATATCACTGTAAATTAATAAAAATTAAATTTTAACATTAAATTCATCACTCACCTCTATCCTTTTCCATTAATTGTGACTCAGGACACTTCAACAACAACGCCGGCTTGAGAAGTGATGGTTTTTATAGATACTTTAAGTCTAAACAAAACATAAACATTTAGAAAAATATACTTACGGTTCTAACTTAATATCTGATGATATTCCATTTAAATTTTCTTCTAAAACATCATTTTCTTGCTTAACATGTTCCACACTGAATGATTCATTATTAAAAGCAGTATCTGTTGGACTGTAACAAAATTGTATTGTGTAATTTTTTTATTTTTTATATACATATAATAATTGTTTATTATTGTTTATAATTTTTAATATTTATATAAAAATTTTAACTGCCAACTAAAATTTAACTACATAATATTTTTTTTGTATTATATTAGTTTTTGTATTCTTTTAGTTCGTGTAATTTATGTCTAAGGAAGATACTATTATGTATTACCCTTGTATATATATTTTTAAAGTAGATCAACCTAAGACGTTTATGGACTAAGACTACTAGATGGCAGGATCGGTTTCCCTACAGAAAAATATTTTTTGTTACTCTGAATTTTGAAGCTACCAATAAAAACAGAGAAAATAAAAATCGATAATTTTTGGACTGTGCCAATTGGTTACTAATCGACCAGATACTTTTTATCTATTAGATATGCTATAAAAGCTGGCAATTATACAATTCGACCATTGTAAATACCCGACAAATTCTTCAAGGCCGACAAGGCCGATGCTTCTCACTGATAAGAAATAAAAATGTTTGTTTAGATAATTTTCGAGGTATTTTTTCTTTCTGAATGCACATTTTAAAGTATTTTATATTCTTTGTCCCCTTGACCTATTATCCTGGTCGCACGTATGGAAGTTCTGTTTCTTCTAGTTTTGGAAAATGTTCTTATTTCTTTTTTCTTTGTAGTTGTAGTGTAAAATTAGATTAATTTATTAAGTTTAATTATAGTGTTTAGTGTAGCATGATAGTGTAGTCTACCAAAAATAGTTTAGTAATGTTTTTATAGTCTATTTTGTGTTAAGTAGTAGGTGAAGGGATAATTTTGTTATTTTTTCTTTTTGTTTGATAAATTAGTAAGTTTGATAATTTGTTCAGTATAGAATACACGAATAAGTAGTTGTGTAGTGTTTTAAGAGATTATATTCGTTTATTTTGTAGTTGAGTGAGTAGTACGTGAAGGGGTATTTGGGTATTTCTTCTTTTTGTTTTTCATGTAATGATTGTAGTAGTTCTATTAAGTATTGTGATAGATACACTATATCTCCTTCAACTTCGTTGAAAAGTGCGTTATCATATAATCTTGGTTTTCTGGTAGCAGAATATACGAAAAAAAATCTGATCAAATTTATTTGAAATTAAATTAATCTAGCCTTATTAATCAAATTAAACTAGTCAAATAATAATAATAGTTAGTTTCAAAATACTATACAGGGTGAGTTTCCTACAATGTTCTCTATGGGTATCTCGGAAACTATTGGAGATAGAGTCGGTTAATGGGGAAAGAATTGCAGTTTTGTGGGGTCATAAATATGCGCCTTTCGGATTTTTGAAAACGTTTATCGCTTATCGCTTACTAGATATTTCGAAAAAAAATTTTGGCTATTTTAAAACTTGTCCCTAATTCCATTATAATCTATTTTAGACAAAAAGTTGTAGATAATCACATACCTAATGAGCTTGTGTTTTCTGATTTTTTCTAAAGCCTGTAATTTTTGACAATAGTTGGCCATGACTTCATAAAAATCGCCATTTTTAAGCTTTTCAGCGATATAGGTATATATGTTTTTTTTTTCGAAAAATTACAGTTAGATACAGAGTTATAGTTATAGCCAATTTTTTTCTTTCTTGGCTAATTTCACTTAGTTAGCATGGTATTCTTACTCTGTTATGATTTATAACATAAAAACATAGAATATATTATTAAACGGTTCTTTACGATTTACATTACGCAAACTAAAGCCGGAGTCTCATGCATCCGAAATCCGATGGTACGACATCCGAAATTTGAAGTTATCGTGTGAAATAAAAAAAGCCTGTCACATACATCCGAAAGTTCGTTCCGAAATTTGACAGTTTTAACATCTTTCTGCTGTGCTGAATAGAGATTCATGTCATGTTTTATTGGAGAAACACTTATAAAATAACTTCCTCGCCAAATATCCCGAAATTGCCCACTTCCCACTAAACTTGTTTTTAAAAACAAATGTTTTCAAAAAAAGTGAGGTTAAAAACACACGATATCGTACAAAAGTTAAACAAAATTTAACTTTATACGACGTCGGATGATTAGTTAAAATTATCGGATAAAAATTGTTGTCAAAATATTTCGACCAATAGGAGCACCGTCGGATCGTCGTGTCATCGGATTTCGGATGCATGAGACTCCGGCTTAAAACTTCATAATATCACTACCCCATACACTTAAGTTATTTTAGAAAATGTTCTCCCGTACCGCCTCTTCGAGGGGGCCCATGCAATTGGTCCACCTCTTCCGATCCCTGAGTTTGCATAATTGTGATATAAATAATTTTTAACATTTCTTTCATTATGGGGGGGGTCATAATGAAAGTCATGTTGGAACCACCCTATTGATGCGCGACTATCTAAATTTAACTTTTCATCATGTCTTGAAAACCGTTCTCTAAAAAACGTAAATACCGTTCACCGGTCAACGTATCCTGGAAAATGTATGGCCAAGAAAAGTTGAACCAATAATCCTACACGCTTTTCTTCATTTAAAAAATTCATATTTACAATTGTTGTTTAAGCAAGTTGCAATTTTTTGAATGTAAAAAGTTTTATGTTTTCAAAGAAAAAAATATCGTAAAATTCGTAAAACACTCAATTTAGAATAAAATAATCTAAGAATGAAATGATTCTTTTATAAACCTGCATTAAATCAAATTAAAGTAGGTATGTAACTTTTTCTAAATATTAATTAACAGTAATTAGCATTATCATAAATTATAAAAAATGTACCCCAACATATCGAAATAATAATTTCTTTGTTAATACGGTTTAGAATTTTTAAAATAACAGGCAAAAATAATCCACAATCTACATAAAATAAAAGTTTCGTTTAAATTTCTTAATCAGCTGATCACTATTAAAGATGCAGAAACCCGGGCTATATTATTACATTACTCTGAGGAAAATAACGAAAATAATCGATATTTTTGACTCCGCCTCGAAAGGTTCACGATTTGTCCTCCAGCTGGCAGCACATTTTGTCTAGCCGGTTGAGCAACTTAAAGAATATATAAACAAGGGTATTACAAGGGTATTACCAATGACGCCCAATAAACATGCTATTAAACTATTATTAAAGAAACGCTTTTTTCTTTGTGTGGCGTTAAAAAGCAAGCAATATACAGTTAAAATAAATAAATAAATAAATATTTAGAAAAATATACTTACGGTTCTAACTTAATATCTGACGATACTCCATTTAAATTTTCTTCTAAAACATTATTTTCTTGTTTAACATGTTCCACACTGAATGATTCATTATTAAAAGCAGTATCTGTTGGGCTGTAATAATATTGTATTGTGTAATTATTTTTATCTTTTATATACATATAATAATTGTTTGTAATTATTTTGTATTTTTAATAATATTTATACAAAAAATTTAACTGCCAACTAAAACTTAACTACATAATTTTTTTTTGTATTATATTAGTTTCTTTTGTTTATAATGTAAGATACTATTCATTGTGACGGTATTACCACAGATTAGGTATACTATATGTATACAGATAAAAATCTTATCCCTAATTCGTGGTACGAAAATTGTTTTTTATGACGATGAGTAAAGAGTAAAATTTCCTGTGCGCAAAAATAAACTCGCATTTAAACAGCGTAATAACTGGGCCGGTCAGACTGTGCACAATTTTAGAGGCCATAAGTGGGCGTGCTATGTGCGCAAACTAGTAACCTAACTAGTGCGCGACTTCGAAAATTGGAACAGCGAAAAACAATATGCTTTTGACGATAAGTTTATAATCTGTGGTATTACCAATGACGTCCAATAAACATGCTATTAAACTATTATTGAAGTAACAATTTTTTCTTTGTGACGCATTAAAAAGCAAGCAATATACTGTTAGAAATTAATCAAAACATAAATTAGAAAAATATACTTACAGTTCTAACTTAATATCTGATGATACATCATTTAAATTTTCTTCTAAAACATCATTTTCTTGTTTAACATGTTCCACACTGAATAATTCATTATTATAAGCAGTATCTATTGGGCTATAACAAAAAAATTCGCAATATATACTTTGTGCAATCAAATATCAATTTGATGAATATATTATTTACATTATATTAAAATTTTAAGTTCCACTGCCAGTGTTGAATAAATAGCCCTAAAGAGAAAGTATAAAATATACTAAGTATCTATATAGTTAGATATGTCAATATTGTACGAATCTTTTGAACAACAATATTGTACGAATCTTTTGAACAATAAATATTTATCTGGCGAAATATAATTTAGCAAGTCAATTGCTCCAAAGCAAGAGTAATAAATACATAAACGTATATAAGTATAAATAAAAGTAAATATTAAAAAAATATGTAATCAAATCTTACTACACACTATAAATAGACAAAATATGACAGTAAGACAACAGCATCACTTAGATGAGATTCTTCAAGGTGGCCATCTCGATAAAGGTCACCGAGCCAGTACAAAAATATCTCTAATTTCTATATGAACGGATATGTGGTTTAGGTATAATTCTTATGCTAACAATAATAAATTTACCTGGAATCAATATGATTATCCTTAAAGTGGTCTTTTAAGCCCACTTTTGTCAGATATTTTTTGTCACAGAGCACACAAGCAAACGACTGTCGTTCTTCCGGCGCCAAGTGAATTTTCTCGTGTCGCTTAAGACATGACTTATGTTCTGTTCGGTAGGAACATATGGCACATCTGTAGATCTTTTCCTGCGGTTTCTTCAATTCCTTTGTCCTAATAAAATAATTTTTAAGTATTAGTCTTGTAACTCTAGTCTCTAGAACTTCACCTATAAGTTTATTTTATAGATGGCAGGTTATGACAGCCTTATATCCACGAAAGTATATATTATGATCTATAGAAATTTTAAAACGTTTTCCGATGGACGTCATCAACTTTGAGTGACAAGCGATGGCGACAGCGTTGCCAAATTGTCATAGATTTATGAGATGAATCATAATTTAAAAGTGACAAACAATATATTTAGTATATAATTTTTATATAATTTTTTTTAAGGCAGCAACTACCCGCTACAAATTGAAATAAGTAGAAATAACTTGAAAGTGGTATAATGTGCTTACCAATCAATCTTACTTCTCTGACTGCATTCAACGGTAATAAAGGACCTTTTTGTCACGTTCGCGCTCAAAATATTTTATCAGGGAAGCTACAAGCGCTTTGCTTCGACTGTTTAAAGGCTTCGGCATATTTTCAATCCACAATTTCAAAAAATGAAGTAAAAAATCTCGAAAATTTAGTTCTTAAAAGAACTTTTTGTGGTTAGAAGTACAATTTAAGAAGAAAAAAAACTATGAAAAACGACAAAAAACGAGAATTACTCCCAAAAATTTAACAACACGATATTATACAAAATAATGGGCGCGTTCAGGGACAGTCAGCGGCTGAGTGGCTGAGTAAGCGATTTCCCTAAACCGTCTCTTTTTACACGCAAAAACAGTCAGCCGCTGAGTAAAATACTCAGCGGTCAGTCAGCCGCTGTGTTCCCTGAACGCGCACAATGACTGACACTGGGATAATTGTCAAATAATACACGACAACATTGCTGAACATGGCGCAATGTGACCAATAAGGCGATAATAAAAATCGGTTTAAACTAATTTTTGCAGCTTTAATCTAAATAAAATATCTGTTACAATCATTTGCTCTATAAAGTATAATGAAGAGCTGCTTGGTATTTTAATTTAGTCAACAAATTTAAACATTTTTGCTAAAATTTCATTTACTCAGGTTTATAGGCTTTAGTGTCAATTTCGATGTGATTGATGACGTGCATCGGAAACTGTTTTAAAATTTCTATATGTAGAATTCTTACACAAAAATAAATTTACCTAAAATCAATATGATTATTATCAAGGTGGTATTGTAAACCGCCTCTTGTTTTATATTTGTTGTCACAATGCGCACAAGCAAACATCTGTCGTTCTTCCAATGCCAAGTGACTTTTCTTGTGGTTGGTAAGACAGAACTTACGTGTCGTTCGGTAGCTACATATGGAGCATCTATAGACATTTTTCTCTGATTCATTCGATTCCTTCACCCTAATAAAATATAAGTTTTAAATATTACAGTCTTGTGACTCTATTGAATACGAAAAAACATAAACATAGTTGTAAAAAAGATTTGGATTTGATTAACTTGCATTTACTGTTATGCGGAAATACTGATATAAAAGAAAAAAGAATACTGAAAATATATACACTTACATTTCTAAATTTTCTTCAGATGCTACCATAGTTTGGATATGTTTTTCATGTTTATTGTCTTCGATGTTGATAAACTCAAAAATTTGGATATCACTGTAAATTAATAAAAATTAAATTTTAACATTAAATTTACTCTCTATCTGTCTGGCGAAAAATATGTAACAGTGACATTTGTCGAAATCATATATTCTCTTGCCGAACATACAATTGCTGTCCTCCATTCGCGAATTTCAAGTTCCAGAGCTTTACGCCCTGGGCTACTCGAGAACGGTTCTGAAAGGAGCTGTGCGCGATAGCCTGGTGCCTCCATATGGCGCGAAACAGTTCTGAACTGTATGACTTAATTGAATGGATTGAGAGTATCGCGTTCTTGAACAATTCAGAGCTGCACAACTGCATTGATGGAGGACAGTAAATAACTTATTAGAGAACAACGGCAAAGACTACAAACAGATAAACATTAACATACGAACGCGCATGTCTTATACTTTTACACGTACATTAAAATTAATCAAAACATAAATATTTAGAAAAATATACTTACGGTTCCAACTTAATATCTGATGATACTTCATTTAAATTTTCTTCTAAAACATTATTTTCTTGTTTAACATGCTCCACACTGAATAATTCATTATTAAAACCAGTATCTGTTGGGCTGTAACAAAAAATTTCACAATATATACTATCTGTGATCAAATATCAATTTGGTGAATATATTTATATTACATTACAATTTCCAGTTCCACTTCCAGTGTTGAATAAATAGCCCTAAAGAGAAAGTATAAAATATACTAACTATCTATATAGTTAGATATGCCAATATTGTACCTTGAATCTTTTAAACAATAAGTATTTATTTGGCGATATATAATTTAGCAAGTCAATTACTCAAAGCAAGAGTAATATATAAACATAAAAGTAAATATTAAAAAAATATGTAATAAAATCTTACTAGACACTATAAATAAACAGAATATAACAGTAATACAACAGCATCACTTAGATGAGATTCTTCAAGGTGGCTATCAACCTGTTCCAATGTGACCTTTTCAGATCTATCGTAGTCCGCTTCTGATTCTTAGATTACAATGCAAAGAACCCATAAAGAACCGCAGATTTGGCAGGCTGTCGCACTGACATGACATGTGTTCTGTTCTTTTTCTTTTCAGATCAACAAAACCTGTACGTGGTTTTGTCCATCAATCCTATCAGATTTAGATGACTATTTAGCTTATAATGCAATGTTATTAGATCTACAGTGACTGTCTTTGCTCATTTTCTCTAAGAGCTGTCCAGTTCTTGCAGCAAACCGAAAACAAGGTAGCTCCAATAACATTGCCGTAATATATTTTATTCTGTAAACTTTGCCGTAATACTGTTATATGAAAACACCTGATGGCCTATTTTTAAATAAAGGGTAACTAAGTCAAATCTTATTTTCATAAAAAAGTGGAGCGCCACCCCTTCAGTTATACAGATGTGAGAGGTTTCGTATAACTTATTTAGGTTCCATTTAGGTTATGGACAGTAAAAACGTAAAATTTTCAATGCAGATTAAGTAAAAACATCAAATATATATAGCACAATAGATATAACAGCTGGATCTAAATACTATAACTGAATCTACAGGATTCCATTTATCATTTTTAACAAATTATTATAGACCAAATCTTGGATACAAAATATACATCAATATCATTGTCTCCTCCCAAAACAATACCTCAACGTATTATCAAAATTTCTACATAATATAAAGATTAATACTTACGGTTTTAAATCTACTTCGTCTATGTTATCCATAGTTCCTAATAAAAAAAGGGGCAGTACCAGAAAGAGAAAAAGTTCAGTTCAGCTATAAGGAGTTATCTTGAAGAACACCAGAAGAACACCAAATACCAAATACAGATCAGTTATCACCATAGACTTAAAATAAAATTATCACCTATTGAACTTAATTCGTTTTATTAACATATATTCAGACACGTGTTGTCATTTATATTTTATATTAAGCTATAAGAAATTGTTTAACGTTTAGTATTATTTACAATATTTCTCATAAAGATTAGAAATAAAGAGAAACTTTTAACGCTTTTAACCTTCTTTTACTAATCACAACACGAATCACAACAAAGAATCACAACAATGTTTGACAGCTTTGACCTTAGTAGCAAAAAAAAGAACAGCGGTAAGTTAAAACTTGGTTAAAACCATACACTAATAGATATAAGGGTTAAACGCTTCTTCCACGATGCTTACAGAATGTGAGCTCAAACTCACTGACAACCAGGTCTCAGCGACCAGTATTTGATTTAATAATTTTTAACTCTATAAATTTAAGGGTCGACCACGACGACCACTTGATTAATTTTTTTTATCATTTGATTTTCAAGGGATTTAATCTTGATTTAATGGTCTAACCGGACCGTTGGTGGTCGCTGAGACCTGCGGTGTATTCTAGATTCTTGACTTTGTTCGCACTTTGCGCATACGCATTTACATGTATTGTTATATCGGCATAAATCCAGATAATTTGGCTGTATGAACGCATGTACGGTATCCCATATAACCAACTTTCTTATTTTATTTTATTTTATTCTTATTTTATTTTATTTGGCTGTATGAACCCACCAATAAACGGTCGAAGAAGCGTTTCAACCTATATCTCTGGTTTCAACCTGGCTTCAACTTCCGCTGTTCTTTTTTTTGTTTACTTAAAAAGGTAATTCCCAGGCTGTTAAATATATGTCAAACTTCAAACTCAAAACATATGATCTTTGAAAATTGTTTTATTTGGTATTTGCTGGTATTTGGTAGTTTTATTATTATTTGTATATCAGATAAAAAAATGTTTGTGTTAAAAATTGTGTGTAATGACTAATGGACCAACAATTCCGCACACTGGATATAGCTAAACTGAACCCGGATTATTTTTCCCTTTGCTATTGAACTTTTTTATTAGGAACTATGGATAATATAGATGAAGTAGTAATAGATTTAAAACCGTAAGTATCTTTATATTATGTAGAATTTAGGACTTCTGAGTCATGCATTGTCTTCAGAGAAGACAAGAAGACAATGATATTGATTTATATTCTCTAGCAAAACCAGATTTTGTCGATTTTAATTTGTTAAAAGTGAAAAATATCTATACTGCAGAATCAACCATAGATATGGTTTAAAAGATAGAAATGTATGCTTTGCCGCTAGGTATATCTGTAACTAAAGACTTATTATATTTCATAGTATCTCTTTAGGGTTTTTACATAATATTGATAGTGGAATTACAAATTTTATTATAAAATAATACAAGCTGATATTTGCAGAAAGTATATACTGTGAAATTTAATGTTACAGCCCAAAAGATGCTGCCTTCAATAACGAATCAATTAGTTTGGAACATGTTAAACAAGAAATTAATATTTCTGAAGAAAATATAAATGGATTATCAGATGATAAGTTTGAACTGTGAGTATATTTTTCTAAATGTTTGTGTTTTGATTAATTGTATGTGGATGGTATTGGCTCTACAACACTGCATAAAGAAAGAAAATGTTTCGTTTAATAATATGTCTATTAGATGTCTGGTGTTAGTGAAAACAAATAAGAAGATAAAAAACATTTATTATGTAAGCAAAAAGATATTTAGCATCTGATGATAAATATTTTGATATAAATAATGTCAATACCTTTGTGGCATTTTGGGTTTTTCGCTATTAGATGAAAATCTAAAAAATAAAAAAAATATTTTTTTGTAAAAACCACTTCATTGATCCAACAGAGACTAATTTGTCAGTTGTATATTACTAATAAAATAAATTTGCTTAACAGACAAAAAATGTTTAATGTTTCAGATATATTTCCACCTATCTCTTGGCGAAAAACCCAAATATGCTTTTCAATATATTTTGATATAGGTAGTCGCATTTAATAAAGCATGTCCGAATAAAGCTTGATTTTCATGCATCCGTTATCCGACGATACGTTGATACGATATTAATTTTATTGGTTGAATTTAATGATTTTGATTGGTTAGAAACGGTTAACCAATCGAAGCCTTTAAATTCAACCAATAAAATTAATATCGTATCATCGTATCGTCCGACAACGGATGCATGAAAATCAAGCTTAACTATAATAAATTATAGTATGTTCAGTAAGAGAACTTATAATGTAACAATATGATTTCGACAGATGGCATTTAAAGAATGAGAGAAAAAAAACAATCTTCTCATTAACTAAAAAATAAAATGACTGAGGAGCTTTTATACAGGGTGGCATACCTCATTCACCTCGGTTGATTATACGAAAACGGAAAGATGTAGAAAATGGTAAAGATGTAGAAACGGAAAGATGTAAATGTGCACAATTTAAAATTATTTTGAAATATAGAGGGTGTTTCAGTTACCAAAGTTATATTTTTTCTTAACAAACACGCGGTATTTTATTTCACTTTTGGATTCTTGGGCCCAAAAAAAGGCATTTATTATAAGGGTTATGTTTAAAATATTTTTTTCGAATATTGCATGCTGCAATATAATAAATTATCAGCATCCTGTACATTACTTTTCCGAATTAATTCTTGTGCTGAGTTTAAAGGTAGAGAAATAAACTTTACTGAAAAATTTTATTGTTTCCTTAAATTTATACTGGGGTACCAAAAATTGCTGATCTATTTTAAATATTTATTTTACATAAAAACTTTGTTATTTCAAATGCAACGCCCTGTATTTTTTAAAATAAATCGAAACAGATTTAAATGCTCTTTCAAACTATATTAGGGTATCTTATACCAATCTAGCTCAGATTTTGAATAAAAAGAGATTTTTCAATAAAATGGGCATCAAGATGGCTGGTGTCGCCATGGCAATTTTCTAGTGACAGTAACTATTTTCAAAATCGACATTACTTTATGGACATTATAGAAACAACCTTTTCTATAGGAGATAGACAAAAACTAATATCGGTGTCCGGAGCTCAATTTTTGTCAAAAACATGATGGTGAAAACCGCATATCGATATCTGTTACCGTTTCGGAGTTACGGGGTGTTTTTCAAAAATATGCATTTTTAACAAATCGCTGTAACTTTTTTGCTATGGAAAATTTTGTATTTTTATGCAAACATTTCCAAAGCACCTTTACGTAGAATTTAATGGTTTAAGTATAATTTTTTAAAATTAATAATTTAAGAATTATCAACAGAAAATTTGATTTTTTATATGGGACACCCTGTATATTTTTAATTAGCTGAAAATAATTTAAAATTACCTTTCTAAAAATATAGCACACTTGATATTTTGTTATAATCCCCTTCGAAATACAGATTTTTTAAAAGTTCGCCACTTTTAACTAGTAGGCTTTGGACCCCTCATTGATGATATGCCCTTAATGGAACTCGAAAACATATTTTTCCAGCAAGAAGACGCACCGCCTCTGAACGCTGAAGTTATCAGCAAATTTCTGCAGCCAATTTCAAGAATAATTGAATAGCTGACCAAGAATCCAGCCGTTGGCCGTCGAGGCCGCCTGACTTAGTGCCCATGGATCTAATCCTATGGATATATTTGCGCAAGAATAAAGGTTCCTTATTCTTCTGTATAATCTAGACAAGAATTAGAAATACTTGGCAGTTATGAGAGGGTATCTTTCACCCCCACTGAGTTAATGAATTCCGCAAGAAATGTTCAAAAACTGCCCCGTCTGTCCATAACAGAAGACGGTCGATATGTCGAACACCTGTAGCAAAATCTCATGTCCTGGTTTGCTATTTATTTTTATTGTTATGAGATATAGTTTAAATGTGTTGATGTTGGTTAAATATATTTTAAATTGTTACAAAATTCTGCATCTCTCATAGCAAATATTATTTTCGTTTTAAATGATGCTCACAGCTAGAATTTTTTTGCATTACTGCCGGTGCCGTTCAAAGCCTACTTATTTAAAGCGGGCGAATTTTTATATACTCTATATCTCGAAGAGGAATCGAGCAAAATATCAAGTGTGTTATATTTTTGGAAAAGTAATTTTAAATTCTTTTCAATAAATTAAAAATATACAGGGTGTCCCATATAAAAAATTAATTTTTCTGTTGATAACTCTTAAATTATTAATTTTAAAAAAATTATACTTAAACAATTAAATTCTACGTAAAAAGATGCTTTGGAAATGTTTTCATAGAAATACAAAATTTTCCATAGCAAAAAAGTTACAGTGATTTGTTAAAAATGCATATTTTTGAAAAACACCCCCCGTAACTCCGAAACGGTAACAGATATTGATGTGCGGTATTCACCATCATGTTTTTGATGAAAATTGAGCTCCAGACACCCATATTAGTTTTCGTCTATCTCCTATAGAAAAGGGTGTTTCCATTTAAAAGCGTCGAATTTGACCCACCCTGTACAGGGGGTTGATAATTTTTTTTTATTATAGCATGCATATTTAAATATCTCAAAAACCGAAGCTTGTAAACATATTTAACCCTTATTTTGTCTCCAAGGATCCAAACATGAAATAAAATACCGGGTGATTACTTACTAAACTGATTTATTCCCTTTACGTGGTATAGGAAATAAATCAGTTTAAGTGAAAATTTTCAGTTCGTTCAAAACGAAAGAATACTACTAATTTTAAATTGTGCACATTGCCTTCCCACATATACCCATAAAGTATTTTGTTTCTGCATCTTTCCTTTTTCGTATAATCAACCGAGGCGAATGCGGTGCGCCACCCTGTATATTTTTTTTGACTGCACGGCATAAAGTATCTAAAATAATTTTATATTTCTCTATGCTGCACAGGCTTCAATCAAAATTTAATTAAATTTTTAATTTTAATCAAATTGCAGTGATACCCAGGCTGTTAAACTTACCAACGAAGAAAGCCATCAACATGGAAAATATATTCAAACCAGGGTATCATCTAATGATAAATTAAAGATGTAAGTATAATTTCACAGTTTGCAGATTCTTTTATATCATTATTTCTATTCATAAATGTTCCATTTGTGGCTACCAATCACGATATATGTCATTCGTTAGACGACACGAGGAAGTTCACTTGGCACAGGAAGAACGACAGATGTTTCCTTGTGTGCACTGTGGCAAGAAATATGCAAGAAAACAAACCTTAAAATATCACCTCGAGGATAGTCATGCTGATTCCAGGTAAATTTATTGTTAGCATAAGAATTACTTCTAAATCATACTATATACTTCTTGTATAATTACCCTAACCCTGCTATACAAGGCTCTGAAGCGTAGTGTTGAGTGAAAATATATCGATATTGTCAATGTCCTAAGATGAATTATGGTAAACAAAGGATCTGTTGAAACTTTGATTTTGAGGTTAAATTGATAATATTGATCGGATGAAAACTCAAACTTGTATTCATTTACCCCGTGCATACACCGCGTTGAGGAAAATGGAAACACATGTTTGGGATAAGACAGTTGTTTCCTTTTATCTCAAGTCAGTACAGGGGTGCCAGATCTCACGATTTATCGTTAGATCTCACGGATTTGTATCACATCTCACGATCTCGCCATACATGCATAATTTTTTTATTATAGCATGCATATTTAAATATCTCAAAACGCGAAGCTTGTAAACAAATTTAACCCTTATTTTGTGTACAAGGATCCAAACATGAAATCAAATGCCGGGGTTTTACAAGATTATTTAACTATAAACGAATTATAGGGAGTTTTTACATTAATAATTTAACGGCCTTGGCACTATATACCAGTCAATCGTACATCGCACAATTCAAGCATTTTAGTTATTTCTTTTATATCTTCATTAATCTCATATATCATTTGATAAAGCTTCACTTTAACTCTATATTCGGGGCAGATTCTTCCGTGTACGTAACATATTTATTATCCCTCATTACTTGTATAGGGTTTGTATAGGGCAACGGCCCAGCTACGTCGAAACACCGGTTCCCATTAGAACACCGAAGTTAAGCGACGTAAGGCGATGCTAGTGGAGGGACGGGTGACCGGTTCGAAACCTGCTGTTGTCAAAAAAAAGGCAAAAGTGTAAAATCTATTGACACACACTGCTCATTCACGCCGGTTCGAGGCCGGATGAGATCGGATATCTCGTTAGTAAGAGTCGATTTAAACACTTGCCAAGTCGGTAGGCCATTGACCATGATATGGCCGAGGACCGCGGTTCGGATTCCGCGTAAAACAAAGTAGGCCCCGTCCAGATTAGCCCTGGCAGCAAAAAGGAGACCTTAACTGAAATCTTTACTTTGTACTTTTTTCATTACTTGTATATACAACAATCGCAGAATCTCCATAAGATTCTCTTCCAGACCTAAAGAAAACCACTTTTAAGCAACACGAAAATCGTTTTCGTATTCTAATCATCTTAATAATAAATTATAGTTTAAAAACTAAAAAAACAGGCTTTTGTCAATAACGCATTGAAAAGTACAACATAATGCTTTTTACTATACAGGGTGTCAAAAAAATTGTATATCTAACTTTGGTGGGTGATTCTACAGATAAAAATAAAACTAAAAAGTTTCTCTTAATATATGCCCTATAATGCTTCCCAAAGAAGTTACAGCTCTCGAAAGTGTAAATAAAAGTATGATATTTTGTTTATTTTTAAAGATATTTGTAAACCGTTTTTCCTGAAATTTGATACTCTTACACACATTTTAATGCCAAAGCGAATGGCGATAGTATAAAATTCCGTAACAGCCCTGAAACGGTACTTGCCATTATGGTAGCGAGTACCACTGGTGCGAGAAACCACAGAGCCTGTCTCTTGCGAAATTTTTTGGAACGCTAAGTGTCGGTTGTGAACCCACGAATGGCGAACCTTTACCTCTTTTGGCGAGGGAGTCAGCACGTTTGTTTCCCTCTAGACACTTTGTTCCTATCTCCTAATAAATTGAGTATTTTTCTACAATGAAAAATCGTCATAGTCTTTTCGTTGCCTCAAGCTATAGGTGTGTAGTTCGTGAACGAACTATTCCGACCCCGGAATGAAGGGAACTAGTGGTTTCTCAAAGAACTAGTTCCTCAGAACCTATTCCGGGATCGAGACTGTGACCGATATACAGGGTTGTTCACCACATACGACACGGAATATTTTAGCTAAACGATTAGATTTTTGCAAATTGTAAGGTTTGGGTTCCTTGAAGGACTATTAGAGCTACAATTTAAAAATATTTTTACAAGATATAGTGTCCCAAATAGATAAAAAATATCAAAGTCGTATTTTTTTAAATGGAATACCCTGTATATTATTACATTTTTAATTTCTACGATTAAAATAAAGGTAAATTTAATTAAGGTTTATTGCACTTAAACCTTACCGTTTTTGAAATATTTTCAATTTTGTGAAATTGCAGTAGAAATTTTAAGGCTTCATTTCTCCGAGGGTATCAAAGTTTTTAATATTAAATATTTACTGAAGTTTATTTATTGATCAGTTATTGTGTTGCCATAATAAAAAATTTACTCCCTTATTTTAAATAATTATTAGCTTTAAACGGCAATAACTTGTTTAATTTAAATGGAACACCCTGTATATTTTATAAGAATCAGATGCACAATTTAATTGACTATCAAATTGTATTATACCATTTTTTACCTATCTCTTCAAGTTTCCGTAGAAAATGCATTTTCTTGTAATTTAGAACTCATTTATCAATATACCCATGAAATACTGACATTTTAAATTATTTTTAAAGATGTACCAAATTTTTAAAGAGTACAGATACTAATATTGTCGATATAGATCGTTTATTTCATTAAAAAATAAAAAAAAAACTGTTTAAACATTTGCTAAAGAGGACCAATTAATATGATTCCAGTATTCAAACTACATTAATTGACTGTTTCCGTTGATTAATAATAATTGCTTCAAATACTAAAAAACTGAATTATGTATGTGTATTAGACAGTGTGGTAAAAAAACTAACACTTTAAAAATGTTATTTCATTTTTTGACAAACGCTTATTTATAACAACAGAGACGTTCATTTTCATAACTTATTATTACATTGATTTCTGATTCAAATCCGCATTTATTTAGAATAATTTATTAACGAACACAATTAAGTATGTAATTAATTAGTATTTGGACGGAAATACTGGTGGTATATTTAATTAAAGGTATTTTTAGAATGAATTTAGAATGAGTGGGAGGGGGGTTAATCACTGAGACCTTACAGATCCATTGTGTCTCCCTTTCTTGAGTCATAACTCATCATACAGTCCCAGGGCTTTGACAAAAGCCAGTATCTGGGACGGTTTTATAGAGGGTAGTTCTCCATCTCCAATATCAGTCGTACCAAAATTCATGGCACGAATGGTTGTCGTCTCGGCGCACTCAGTGATGAGGTGTACTGGTGTTTCCCCATCTTCCCCACAGAATCTGCATTCGCCGTTTCTTCTTAGTTTCAATCTACTGAGGTGTTCATTGAGATTGAGACAGTGTCTTCAATTGAGACAGTGTCCTGTTAAAAACCCCGTGACAATCCGAAGATTGTTCTTACTTAAACCCAGGAAGATCTGTGATTTTTCTTGATCATTAATTAAAGGTATACTCTTTTATAAAGATTTAAATAGTTTTCTTTTTTTTGCATACAAATGGGCTAGTAATATTATCGTTTTACTAAAAACGATAATATTACTAGACTGTACATTTTGTACATTTGTTGTTTTAAAAACAATCTAAAATGTCAATATTCCATGGGTATATTGATAAATGAGGTCTAAATTATAAGAAAATGCATTTTCTATGAAAACTTGAAGGAATAGGTAAAAAGTGGTATAATACAATTTGATAGACAATTAAATTGTGCATCTGATTCTCATAAAATATACAGGGTGTTCCATTTAGATTAAACAAGTTATTGCCGTTTAAAGCTAGTAATTATTTAAAATAAATTTTTAGACACTCTGTATAAGGTAGTATAATTTTTATTAATGCAACACAATAACTATCAATAAATAAACTTCAGTAAATATTTAAGAAGAAAACTTTTTATTATGCAAAAAAGATAAGATATTCTGGAATAACGTTCAGTGGCACAGTTACAACGTTTTACGACTAACAAAATTAATGCATTCTTAAAGTAATATACATATTTGTTTTTAAAAACTAAACTAAATTAACTCATAAACGTAAAATAGAATCAAAATTTTAATACGATTTGCTTTTTTTACTTTTCTTCACTTGGCAAAGTTAGGAAAAAATCTCTTGCTTCTGCATCTTCTATATACTTGCACATATCAACTAAATTTGCTTTTTTCTCAGCCTTAACGGGAATTGGTGTTGAGTATAATACTGACAAGTTTTTAACTCTAGTAAGTGGAAGTATTGTTCTTCTTAATGTAAAAGTTTTCCACGGCATAAGCACAGAATGCGATTGTCTTACCGAAACACATTTTGGATCATCTCTTTTAAATAACAACCACATTGATTCTGTTACTTTAAATTCTTTTGGTCGGGAGGTTCTCTTTTCAAGTATACTAATATCCAAAAAGTCTGACTGCTGCATGAGCTTTACAAAAAATGGTTTTGATGGCCGCGCATTAGCTATTAGTTCGATCCATTGAAAAGGGTGAAGTATTCTTGCAACTTTTTTTTGCCTCTCGATAAGAGCGAAATTACGATCGCAAGGCAAAAAACTGTGACCACTGCAAAGAAACTTTTGTTCTACTTGAGAAAAATAGTTCCACAAAACTAAATGGTGTAATAGCGTAACAATTTTAAAGTTGTTATTTTGGCCGACACATCTGTCGGACCAAATGATTAAAGACCTCGATTCACATCTCCCAAGCGGCTTAAAATGTGAAACTATAAGGACAGTAAGCAGGAGACGATTTCCGCAGATCCACGTTTAGCGGTCGTTTCATGCCAGACATGCATAACAGAGTCTTTGGTAGCAGGATTATGTATACAAAAGTTATAGGTTGAAAACTGACGTTGGTAAAAGACATTACTGTGCGTTAATGTAGGAGAAAAAAGTACCTGTTGTAAATCCATACATATCACTACTATTGATGGATCATTTTTTGAACGCTCTGTATCTTCTTTTAACGTCTGGTAACTTTTCTCGGCTTTTCTATGATGCACTTCGCTTTCTGCTTTAATCCGTCTTCTTTCCTGTTCGTTTTCCGCGTTCACCAACTTAGTATATAATAAGTCGCATCTTGCACAAGTGTCAGACCGGGGTACACCAAAACGAAGATTAAAATCTTCATTAAAGACGTCTCTGTATAAATGAAGCTTTACTTTAGACTCCTTAAATTTTCCTGGAATAATTCAAACATTTCTTTTCTGCACATTCAGATCAGAAGATAAGCACATTTTTTACATTTTTGCCGGCTATAATGGCTTTGCTCGGTTGGAAAAGATGTAATATGTTCTTTTTATATTATTTCTTAAATTTTTCTTGAATTTTGTGGGGCCGATTCAAGTGTTTGCCTCTTTTATCCTCAATGAGTGCCCATTTTTAAGTTTTTCCTGAAGTAGTTGAATTCTTCTTGAGTAACACAGTAAATTGCACATATAGTTTTTTGGCACACATCATATCTTTTTCCATTAAATGTTAGATTATACTTAAAAGAACAATGTCGTTTACTTATATTTTCTGGCGTTACGTGTCTTTTTATATCACATAACTCCATGCAGGCAACTAAAATTGAATTTTGTTCTGAATGGTTCACTTTATAAAACTGTCTATAAAGGTATTCCTTTGCAGCGTCACTTAATTCGCCGCATTTGTACTGACATTTACACTGTCGCTCCTAAAATAACAAAAACTAGAATAAAGTAAACAATCACATACAACTTTTTTCCACTTACCAGCAATGGTCCTTGTTTTCCCGGTTTTTCTTGGCCTTTCCTTGTTACATAACCTTTTCCTGTTTGTCTTAATATGCGTCTTTTGTTGTCCTTCCATTCTGTGATATTAGCTTTTCGTTTTTTGCCCTTATTTAGCGATTTTAAGCCGGCCGGTGACAACACAACACCTACTGCGTTGTCCATTTTTAAACAGTTACAACGTTATTCCACTAACGAGCAAACTTGTCAACTCACCCCACCCCTTAATATTCAAAATACCGCGACAGAAAATACTATCAGCCACGTGATAAGTTAGATATAACGTTATTCCACTGAAATCGTCGATATGGCGAAAATGTCGGTTACAACGTTTTTCCAGGGAGGTCTTCAATTAAATTGTGCATCTGATTCTCATAAAATATACAGGGTGTTCCATTTAGATTAAACAAGTTATTGCCGTTTAAAGCTAGTAATTATTTAAAATAAATTTTTAGACACTCTGTATAAGGTAGTATAATTTTTATTAATGCAACACAATAACTGATCAATAAATAAACTTCAGTAAATATTTAGTATTAAAAACTTTGATACCCTCGGGGAAATGAAGCCTTAAAATTGATACTGCAATTTCACAAAATTGGAAATATTTCAAAAACGGTAAGGTTTAAGTGTAATAAACCTTAATCAAATTTACCTTTATTTTAATCGTAGAAACTAAAAATGCAATAATATACAGGGTGTTTCATTTAAAAAAAATACAACTTTGATATTTTTTATTTATTTGGGACACTCTGTATCTTGCAAAAATATTTTTAAATTGTAGCTCTAATAGTCCTTCAACGAATTCAAAACTTACAATTTGTAAAAATCTAATCGTTTGGCTACAATACTCCGTGTCGTATGTGGTGAACAACCCTGTATAATAATATGCGACGACGACGGATCGGCTAGCGCGTGTAGCCCGATGGTAGGCAGGAGTGGGGAGTGCCAGCCGTATGTTATCGGATCCGGACCTAGAGGAACTAAATAAAAGACTAGTTTACGTACGTATGGATCGGGCCAGCGCGATCGATGCTAGGCAGGAGTGGGGAGTGCCAGCCGTATGTTATCGGATCCGGACCTAAAAGAACTAGAGGAACTAAATAAAAGACTAGTTTACGTATGGATCAGCCAGCGCGACTGATGCTAGGCAGGCGTGGGGAGTGCCAACCGTATGTTATCGGATCCGGACATAGAGGAACTAATTAAAAGACTAGTTCACGGGAATCTATTATTTCGGCAGATCCGAGATATAATACAAGGCGACGCCCATGGATTCGGCATTGTCTATTGCCACGGCCGGCGTAATTACCACAGAAAATTGTCGTGGATACTGTTTTTGATTTTTAGTTTGTTTTTTAAATATTTTATGGGAATGTTTCACTTTAGGTCCTTAAAATTAAGAAATATCTTATAAAACGCGAAGTAGATATTCTGAATTTTTCGACAAAAACAAAAAGCTTGAAGTGAGGAAAAATGCAATTTTTCGTAAAATTTTTGTAATATTTGCTCCAATTGATTTGTGATATAGTTTTTTAAACTCTGACTTGAGTTTCTTTTTTATTTATTTTTTATCTGAAATAAAACTTACTTATATGTTTTTAACATACACAATTACACGTCTCGTTATATCTCCGTACATTATAAAAATTGTACAGATCATACAGTGAATAGTTCTGACTGACAACGAAACGCATTAGCAAGGGGGATGTCAATGTTAGTCGGGAACTATTGTGAACTAAAGACCTAGTTCAAGGAACTATTCCTCTGGAGGAACTAGAACTTAGGAACTAGTTCCTCCCAAGAAACTAGAATTCCCACCTCTACCTCAAGCGCTTTCAACGCGGCTTAACTATCCGAAAATATGTTTATTGTTTCCCGGTGTTTTGCTGTTCTTTTAGCAGACGCACACAGATTTCAGTAGCATGTACTCAGCCGGGAAAGTTGTAATGTTTTCCAAGACTGTGGTAGACCTCAGTCTTTGGACTGCTGCAATAAATTCCTGCGCCAGATCCTTTTTCGTTCTTGGATCCGTCCGTGTACCAACACATTTCTGCATGTAATAAACCGTTTCTCAGCTTACCCATTCGTCCCTATTCGGAAACAGGACGTAGTAGATGCGTATCAAGAGTAGGACCGGTGCCGGTCGGTGGTGTGAGATCTGAGACCAGGTTTAATCCTAGATACGTACTTTACTCCTTTAACTACTTACTACTGGAAGTTAACTACATTTATCTTTGGCTTACTTGTTAAAATACAGACCTCCAATTTTTAGAATCGTTCTGTGCGAACTGCAAGACCTACGTTAAAAATGATTTTAGGTCAAAGTATGCGTCGAAAAAATTCCATAAATGTTCCATTTGTGGCTACCAATCACGATATATGTCATTCGTTAAACGACACGAGGAAGTTCACTTGGCACCGGAAGAACGACAGATGTTTCCTTGTGTGCACTGTGGCAAGAAATATGCAAGAAAACAATCCTTAGAACATCACCTTGAGGATAATCATGTTGATTCCAGGTAAATTTATTGTTAGCATAAGAATTACTCCTAAATCATACTATATACTTCTGTACTTCTTGTATAATTATCCTAACCCTGCTATATACAAGGCTCTGAAGCGTAGTGTGCCGAAAATTTTTTATATCAGTTTGGTTGGTCAATATTTTCTTTATTTGATATTCTTCTTCCAATACCTTTATAAAATGCGCGGGCGATAGTAGTGCACATTTCAGAAATATTTTCACACGTATATAGGGTGATTGAAATGTATTTAACGCATTGAGTCCCCTCTATTGGAATTACAGGAGGAAAAGAGCACAGGATCTTTCGCCGAACGACTTCTTCCTGTGGAGACACTCAAAACCCGTCTTTATGGGCATATCAAATACAGAAATTTAGATGAACTGAAACCGACATTTCTGTGGAATGCTAAAAATTCTCCCCTTAACAGCTTTGCATTGTGAGGCGTGAATTTCACAACCTGTGACAAAAAATGTCACAGCAAATTTGACAATAACAAAATACGATTTTGCTGGTATTTTAGTAGCTTTCTCTGGGCCGTATTATAAATTTTTAGTAATTTGAAGGTAAATTTTTGCAAATAACTTTTACATCCTTATTTCAAATAAAACGAAATTCTAGACGAACAACTACGTACAACTTTAACACCTCTTCAACAAAAGTCAAATACAATTTTTCCATAAAATCATCTGGGGACAAATAATATTTGACCTTTTCAAAATTTACATGGGATTTCCTATGTCCCTTTGTTCAGATGCACCATACGGTATAATAACTTAAAAGTTGTTATTGCTTTTTATATTATCTTATGTTATATTATATCGCATAATCGAAAAAAATGGCGTCCAGAAGAGTTAGAAATGACGAGCGATGACATTTTCCATATAGTTTGACAGATAAAATAACAGCGATCGTAATTTCCAAACCATCTCTAGTACCTACTTACAACGCAAGTCAGCTACATTTACTTTGTCTTGTTAAAATACTGCTACCAATTTAGAATTATTTTACGCCAATTGCAAAACTAATGTTTAAGACTTATTTTAGGTCAAAGGAAGCGCGGAAAAATATGCAAAAATGTTCCATTTGTGGCTACCAAACACGGAATATGATACATTTTGGACAACACCAGCAAATTCACTTGGCACCAGAAGAACGACAGATGTTTGCTTGTGCGTATTGTGACAAGAAATATACAAGAAAATATAAATTAAAATGTCACCTTGCGGATAATCATATTGAGTCTAGGTAAATTTATTGTTAGCATAAGAGTTACTCTTAAATCATATATATGTAATTTTATACACTTCTTTGATAACTACCCTAACCATATATCGAGTTGATCATCGAAACTCTGCGGTCTGGATTTTAACGCATAAGACAGTGATGTAGACAGCTTAATGTAAAATAAAATGTATTAAAAAGAGACAAAATTTGGGTCGACACCTGGACGACACGGATTTTGCATAAAAATTTCAAACCACACAAGTAGACGTTTACGAAAAATGTTACATCTAGGGTTGGAACTTTATTATTCACTATTAGTGATTCATTTTACTACAGCTGTAATAGATTATACTTAGTTTAGATATATTATCATCATTTCAGTAGCATACATGAAAGTCTTTAAAATAGCTTTTTAAAACCGGCAACACTGTATGCCGCTTTTGATTTTGTCTCTCTGTCTGTCAACTGATCATTTATATTATTCTCTGTCACACTCATTAAATTCGATGACCAGCAGGGTATACAAGGTGACCCAGTGTCCTGAAAAAGTTCTATATCAGTTTTTCTTTATTTGATATTCCTCTTCCAATCTGTTTGTTGAAAATGATCAAAAAAATGTTGAAAATTTTTATATTTTTCTTCACATTTTCCGGAAAATATTGAAACTTTTGAGTGCCGCTTGTTCAGTTTCGGGAAATTTTTTTATAGTGCTTCGCGAGAATGCAGTCTTATATAGTACAACGTCTACTATTTTAAATACCTTTTTTTACCATTTAGTAAACTGAAATCATAGATTACACAGATTATAAACTTATCGTCAAAAGCATTGTTTTTCGTGGTTGCAATTTTTGGAGTCGCGCACTAGTTAGGTTACTAGTTTGCGCACAAGCACGCCCACTTATGGTCTCTAAAATTGTGCACAACGCTTGACCGGCCTTGTGACCGGCCCAGTTATTACGCTGTTTAAACAGGAGTTTATTTTTGCGCACAAGAAAATTTACTCGTTTGCTCATCGTCATAAAAAACAATTTTCGTACCACGAATTAGGGACAAGATTTTTATCTGTATACTTATAGGATACTTAATCTGTGCTGAAATAATGAAACTCTAAATATTGAATAATTATAGCAGCTATTTTTGGTCATATTACGAAATTTTTTCAATCGTTTCGGGTCGACCTATACTACCAGTTAAAATACTTGCACTTATTTCTGGGGTACCTTATGTGTAATATAACGGGTAGATATCGTGAAGGTATATGTTTGACGTATCCTGTTTTACAGTTACAAGACTATTAAGCCGAAAAAAATCAATCACAAAAAAAAGGAATCAAAGAAAAAGTTCTATAAATGTGCAATATGTGACTTTCAAACACTACATTCACCAAATCTTACACGACACAAGAAAGTTCACTTGCCACCGGAAGAACGACAGATGTTTGCCTGTATACAGTGTAACACGAATTATAGATCAAAAATGGGTTTACAACGTCACCTCAAGCGTGGTCATGTTGATTCCAGGTAAATTAATAGTTAATATAAGAAATATTGATTTTGATGATTCCAATTGAAGGGTCCAGGGGAAAAGCATGATAAGCGCCATTATTTCTTTTTTTATTAATTTGCCTTGGTCCAAGTCTAATAGCAACCTAAAAAAATTTAATATCATTAATTTGCGAAAAAAAAATTGTCATTAACTCATCAAAAAATATGAAAAAAGTTCCTATAAACATGGGTATAGAAATGCATAGTTTTAGAGTTACAGAATGTTAAAACGTTAAAACTTTTTAAAATTAGGTTTTTTGTAATTATCTTAAGTACCATTATATTGTTATTTGAAATTGCTGTAGGTTGGACTAATAGTAATAACAACTAATACTAATAATATTTAATAATAAATTAGGTATACATATATATAATTTATTAATTTTATTTTTATTTTAATAGTTTTAATTGTGATTAATAAAATTGCGTTTATCTCATCAAGAAGGCCGAATTCGACAAAATGTCAAGAGATAACTTTTAATTGGCATTAAACGGCCTACACAATTTTGATTTTTGATGATATTAAAATCTAAAAGTCAGTGGCGCACGTTTTTTTTTTGAAAAATATTCCAGTGATAATCCATATGCACGTCCCTGATGAATTTATCGACACTTTTTTAGCATTAAAATATGTAGCACTTATAGTAATTTTTACCCTCAAAATTTCATTCAAATCACTAAAAGCACTTGGGAGAAAATTATAATAAATCGAAAAATTATTAAGACTTTCACACCCTGTAGCTACGAAACAAATCAAGCAGAATCGGTCCTATGTTGATATGAAAAATAACTTGATTTTCATGCATCCGTTGTCCGACGATACGTTGATACGATATTAATTTTATTGGTAGAATTTAAAGACTTTGATTGGTTAGAAAATAACGTAGTTTTTAAATTTATTGCATTTTCATGCCTCCGTTTATCGGATATACGTTGGTGTTATTTTATATTTTCGTTTCCATAACGATTTTGTTATTTTACTTATATTTTTAGTAAGGTTAGATTAAATTTGTTAAAAAAGTGTCAAAACGTTATCGTATGAACGGATCCGTTGACGGGCTGAAGTAAAATATTTACGGATGAAAAGTGACGCGAAAACGCTATGACCAATCAGAGCACCGACGGACCATCGTATCAACGTATAACGGATGCATGAAAATCAAGCTTAAATCTTATTTTTACGTCAGGAATCTCTCCACGAGAGATGGCACATGTTTTTTGAAACACTCTGTATATTTTGTAGGGACCAGTTAGATCTCCTATAATCTATGGTAAAACCCTAAAATTACGAAATTGGCGTTTATTATGTTTTACTCCTGGATCCTTCAATTCTGGTTAATTAAATTTAAGGTCACTGTTTTAAAACTTCAAACTTTAAACTATTCAAAATAATACCAATTATGAAAAAAGCTTATTGAAATATTGCTATTGGAACAGATATAATCAGGCACATATTTTGTCATTTTAATTGTTTATTGTTTCCAGAAATGCTGAATTTCCAGAAAAATCTCCAACTGATGAAGTGATATTAGATTCTTTAAAAATTGAACTTGATGACCACGCTCTGCTTTTGGATGACTCTAAGTATGTCTTTTTTTACTAATGGATTGGTCATAATGTAATTCAATCATCAATTTCAGAAATTCTGAATGTCTACCAGTGAGTAATGAAGTAAAATCAGAAGATTTTTTAAAAACAGAACCTGAATATGTCGCCTTGAGTCTGAATAGAGACATGCATGATGACTTTAGGTATGTGTTTTTAATGTATTTTAACTATTAGATATAGTGTTGAAACTAAAAGAATTTCGGACTTCCATTGTCTTTATTTATTTTGCTTACACAACGTTTTGATGAGAAGTACCACTGACCCTTATCAAGTGTGAACTATAGTCTGTCCAACGAGAAGATCCTTGACAGTGATATATGTCTCTGTCATTTTAATTTCAAAGTAGTTTATTTTATTTTACAAAGAAATAAATTGGTAAAACTGGAACGCATAGCAGGACTGACAAGTAACTTCAAAATATTGTGAAAAAAACTGTATAAAACTGAAAAAATGTAATCGAGTTATTTTATTTAATAAAAAACGGTATGTGTTAATACAAAACAAACAAAAACAAGACACCACATACCAAAAAATATAAAAAAGAACTATTTCTTACTTTCAAGCTTTATGAAACTTCCCGCATTTATGATTATATTTGTCAATATAACTTATGTACAAATACAAATTTGTAATATTCCGCAGGAATAAATAAAACAACATAAATAAAACAAACTATTTTATTAATAATAACACTTACCAAATTTTATATACCTCACAGGTTGATTAATTAACTTTAATCTTAATTTTTTTAAACCAGTACCTTTTGACATTATTTTTCTGCAGTACTAAAATCCATTATTTACCTATCGTGTGATGTCGATATTTTTCAGCTACGCCAGTTTTTAGTATGTGTTTAGTATGGTTCTTCTACCATATTCGAGATGCACTTATCTACGACGAGATGGTATACGAACTTTATTGATAGTAACTTTATTGGTGTATCTGTATAAGACTTTCTCCCTGGGCAGCAAGTATTAACCATAAACTGTGCTCTGGGTTCTACAGTTAATTTTCACTCGATTTTTCCTACACTTGACTTCAAAAGACACAAAACACTCGTAATAACACGAATCAAAATGCATCATCTTCCAAAACGCAGGGTATTGACAAAAGTTGTCACAAAATTATAACCTATAATTTGGCAAGACTTTGACAAACGTCAAAAATCTAAAGGCGAGTTCATACGCATCGGCGTCCGTTTGTCGTTCATCGTTCCGTCAAACCAATAAAATTGAAATACGATCTGTCATTTTTTAAATAAACCAATAAAACTGGTTAAAAACAACAAGTGACGACGCATGACGAATTTATATTTAAACCCATCCATAGTTAACTTAAAGATTATTAGAAACTTTTTTTACTAAAATAAATAGATTGGTATGGGACGTCATCTGCTTTTCTTCTGTCATCGTCTGTCGAAATCTTACCTGAGAAAAAAAAAAGAGTATAATCTAAATCCTAAAACTACTGAGCTTATACCGGGTGCGTCTCAAAAGTGGCTCACCCCTATAACTTTTTATTTCTTCATTTAACAAAATCGAGATTTGTTATGTTAGTATATGACAAATTAGGATTGATTGACGTATTCAATTGTTTTTGGTCACTTCCTGTTTCACCGGAAATGACTACAACTTTTGATTTTTAAATAGCACCCTCGGTATTTTTTTACTTTATTCGATAGAAAATGACATTCTGAATAGAAATAACATATCATATGTCAACTTTTGACATTCTCGCTTAATAAAAAATTGTATTTTAAAATCCAATCTAGAGTGCCATGGCTATGTTAAAAACACTAATTCTTAATCAAGGAGCATTGGCAAAATAGATTTGATCGTCTAATGTTTTTATTGTCTTGTCCTGGCCAGTTAGAAAATGCTCAAATCGTATTTTTAATCATATATCATTTTTTTCAGATGGAACGAGGGTGGCTCATTAGCATATTTGGAAAAAGCATTTTTTTACGAATAATTTGATACCACACACTTGGTATTTCGAGTCAAATTTTCGTTACGAACCGCAAGTTATAATTTCAAATAAATCATATGCGAAAATGTCAAAAGTTGACATATGATATGTCATTCTATTCAGAGTGTTATTTTCTTTGGCATAAAGTAAAAAAATACCGAGGGTGCCATTTAAAAATCAAAAGTTGTAGTCAGTTCCGGAGAAAAAGCAAGTGACCGAAAACAATTGAATGCATCAATCAATCCTAATTCATGTCATATACTAACATACCAAATTTCGTTTTTTTAACTGAAAAAATAAAAAAGTTATAGGGGTGAGCCACTTTTGAGACGCCCCCGGTATACTAGAGCCGAGCGTTAACTTGAAAGCCGTGCAGTCAAGCATGAGGTAGCCCATTGAGAATACCTCATATATTTATAAAGTAACCATATTGACTCCAAACTGCATTCTGTGAAGCCAAGCCGGTATGAGATGTATATGGACTACCTACGTTGGAACGTTTAATGAGTGGTTGCCTATTGTTGAAATTTCCATACTTGGATTGCTAAAGATTTTATTATTGCTATATATGAATACGGCCTCTTGAATGGGGTTCTTTGTGGATAATTTGACCTGGATAATAACTGACCATTTTATGTTGTGGTGCTTGGACAACACATGATCTGCAATGCCCGATTTCATTGTTTCACCACTTTGCGTATGTTTTTTTTTATGTTCGTCAAGTCGTACATGTAGAGGACGTTTTTGATTTAGATTCGTTTACACTTGATAACGGTCAGTGATACTTCTGATTGAATGTTGTATAAATAAAGATAATGGCAGTCCGAAATTCAACACTGAATCATTGTCAACCACATTTAAAGTAACATTAGATACAATATTGTGTTTTAAATACTCTTTTAGCGTTTCCAGTCATGCTGATTGCATATCTGTAACTGATAAAGTGATATTAGATTCTGTAAAAATTGAAATCGACGATCCGCTTTTGGATGACTCTAAGTATGTTATTTAAGTGTATTTTTACTAATATAATAATAATAATTTAATTAATTAATTCCAGAAATTCAGATTGTATATCTGTGACTAATGAAGTAAAATCAGAACCTGAAGATGTCGCTCTGTTTCTGGATAGAGACATGCACGATAACTTTAAGTATGTTTTTTAATGTATTTTTACTATCGGATACAGTATCATGTTTTAAATATTTTTTATTATTTCCAGAAATAACGACAATTTATCAGATTTTATAAAAACAGAACCTGAAGATGATGCTTTGATTCTGGATAGACATGCACGATAACTTTAAGTGTTTTTTAATGTATTTTTACTATCGGATACAGTATTGTTTTAAATATAGCGCGTTTTTAAACGACAATATTCATAACATAATTTTACAAATCTTGAATTAACTGATTTGTTTAATTTTCACATGTAAACATTTTCAGGCTGTGATAATTCTAATAAAAGTTTTACAAATTATATTTACAAGTAATTTTTGTTTAAGTTGCATTGCGCGATGATAAATGCGGAAATAAAATTATATTGTTTAAACTAATAGCGAGTAGTAAAAATTTCCTTTCGGAATATTAAACCTTAATAAATAATGCATGTAACTAAAAAACAAAAATTATTTTTTCAAAGAAATCAGTATACTTTTCATTTCTTTATTTAAAATTTAATTAATAATATGAAATGGATTATTAGATGGATGGATTATTAGGTCATTAGTATATTTTCCGAATATTTTAATGAGCCACCATCGTTCAAATTCGCATTTTACAATTTCAAATAAAACCATATGCGAAAATGTCAAAAATTGACATGTGATATGTCATTCTATTCAGAGTTTCATTTTCTATCAAATAAAGTAAAAAAATACCGAGGGTGCCATTTAAAAATCAAAAGTTCTAGTCATTTCTGGTGAAACAGGAAGTAACCAAAAACAATTTCTTTTTAATAATTTACAGTCGGACTCATTTTTCTCAATCCGACCATATTCTGGAACGGAACGCTCGAATCTCGCAGCCCGACTGAGAAATCCCAACTGAAGCGCTCTGCATGCTGCCAACAATCTGCAGAATTTTGTCGGCAGGAAGAAAATATTTAGGAGAGTGGAACTACTCTTTTCCTTCTACCATCATACGGCTGTGTTCGTGATTAAAACAATTAGTGGCTATAATAAGATTTACTGTTCATTTATATTTATAATAATATAACAAAAAAAAAAGGAATAACAGGAAGACTTTAAAAATAAATTATTAGGAAATATAATAGTTAATAAAATAATTTTTAAACCAATATTATACAATATAAACAATAATTATAGTACAGGATCTGGCTGCAGGATTATTACACTCATCATATTTTAAATCAAAACCTAATTTTTACGTTTATTTATGAATTAGGGGAATACACTTTTAACAGGGTGCCAATCAAAAAGTTGCCACAAACAAGGTATATGGGCCCGGCAATCATGCGTCGGGCGTCGGGCATCCTATAATAAAAAACTTAAGAATTTTGGATAAGTGTAAACCTAAAGTATGTTTTAGGATGTATTTCAGAAAAATATTTTACATAACTTCTACAGGATGGCTCGAAAATTCGTTGTGAGTTGATCGTGATGATTTTTTTTAACGAAACACCCTGCATATTATTGCATTTTTGGCTTCCTTTCTGATGACTTTACATAATCCTAAGATATTATTAAATATGTTTTGATAGTTTCAGAAATATTAATTAAAAATATATTTTTCAGCCTTTTTTAAAAGAAATATTAAAAATACAACTACAGTAAATACCTAACGTGAAATGTGCTCGAGAAAATTTCGCAATTATTTCCAATGTTTTAATTAATAATCAGGCGGTTTATTCGCCCCATGATACGCCATAATGTGGTTGACTGGTCAGTGATGATTTTACTGTGGAGTCTTCAATGTATCCTTAAAGCCTATTTTTAATGTAGTTTTTAGAGAAGCTTTTTTACCACGTTGAATAAGTTCATGCTACTTGACTTTTATAGCTTTTTCTGTAACATGTATTTCCATTTCAGTGTCCTGAGGATGGAATAAATAAATTCCGAAAGCTTGACCGTTAACAAAGTATATTAATTTTAGTCCAAACCCTTCTGACTGCAACCCCACTAGTTCCTAGATTTTATTTATCACTAGTCAGTCGATACTACTGTCTGCGTAAATACCTAGTAGTTTTAATTTCAGGACATTTCTTGTGTATTTTTAATATTTTTTTTTAAAAGGATGAAAAACATTTTTTTACTTATTAATACATATTTCCGAAACTAGCAAAACATTATTTAATAATATAATAATATCTTAGGAATATATAAAGTGATAAGAAAGGAAGCCGAAAATGCAGAATATACAGGGTATTCCATTTAAAAAATCATCCCGATCCACTCACAATTTTTTGAGCCACCCTGTAGAAGTTAAAGTATTTTCCCGAAATACATCCTAATACATACTTTAGGTTTGCTAATACATACTTTAGGTTGCCAAACCAAACCAAACAGGAAAAACTTTGAACCGTGACAACACCTATTTGCGGCGACTTTTTGATTGGCAGCCTGTTAAAAGTGTATTCCCCTATTCATAAATATACGTAAATAGGGGTTTTCATTAAAAACATGATGAGCGTAATAATCCTGCAGCCGGATCTTGACTATTAGGATTATACAGCCTTCATTCTCACAATATTTTCACTACTTATCCTTCGATACTTCTCGCATTCTATTAGGAAATAATCGTTTAGTAGTGCGAATTGATTATAATAAAAATAAGGTTATACCTTAGATAAAAAAATAATTAAAATTTTTCACGAAAAACTATTACGTGTCTTCTCGGTCTTTTTGTCTCTTGTATTTGCCCATGTACTCTAGCTGTTGCCGTCTGTGAGCTTCCATCAGAGCATTTAGTTCGGCTTTCTGTCGGTTGAGCATTTCTTCGAATGTTTCCTCCTAAGCAAAAAAAATATTCATTTAGGTAATTTCTATAAAGAGCAAAAAAGCTGCACTTACTGTAACTTGAGACTTTTCTTCCCCATCTTCCGATGCTATTTCACCTACAAAACAATAAAATATTTTATTCAAAAATCATACTGCTAGATATTTTACAGGCTAATAATATCATCTGAATGTGACAACAAAATTTCAAAAAAGTTCAATGGGTATTTCGTCACTTCTACTGCAAGAAAAAACTACAAAATAAGAGACAACAAATTTGCCTAACGGACAAAACGTTTCGGGAAGTATATCTCTTCCCGTCGTCGGAAGCAAAAAGAAGCAAAAAACACAAAAAACAAAGAAAAAAACTACTTAATATCTAAATACAACTATTCAAGAACACTTTAGCTTTTTTTTTCAACAGATACGTCTATAAAAACCGTTGGCGTTCGGTTAAAATTACATTTGGTTTGTTCCACCCAGCATTTCGGGATCGTTTCGAAATCGTACTCTTGCACTTTGTTAGCATGCGCGGACTTCGAATAGTTTCGTGACGGTGCAAAAAGTATCAACGTTGGAACGCTTTGTGGATTGTTTTCGGAACTGTCAAAAGTGTCAAGCGTGCGTGTATCGATCGGTTTTTTGTTTTTGTTTAGAATTTCATAACATATCCCTATTATTTCTATTTGCAATTTGCAATAATAATAATTATTATTCTTGAAATGGAGAATCAGAATCCAGTAATTATTGGTAAGTGTTGTTTCAACTGTATACTCACTAACTCATTTACCTATCCTCTCTTTTATGCTCCTGTTATGCGTAGTTTCCTGTTATTTCATTGCAGTGGTAGAATCTTTGAACATTATTTTATAAATAAAAAATTAATTAAAATTTCCGAACGATTTAAGTACTCCACACAAACTCACAAGCCAAAGTACTGTATGATCGAAAATAGACGGCGTCAGCGATGGCTCATTTCATGAAGATCGCTGTCATTTTATATGTAAATTTAATGGGAAATGTCATCGATCGTCATTTCCCAGCCAACTGGACGCCGTTTTTTTTTTTCGATCATACGGTATAACGCACACGTATTTGAATTCATAAAAAATAACCAATGCAGAAGCATCAGCCGGACGCCGGACCAGAATCAGCTGTTATAAATCGATAATCCCTGCCAATATGCTTTAATGCGCAAGTCGACCCAAACAGTTCTCAATTTGGACCATGTACCGAAATTACCGTTCTGAAATCGTAACTAAACGATCCCAAGGTAGGTTAGTACGCAAATAGTCCGATAACCGTCAAATCTCGGTTGGAACACATCTGAATTAGTGCGCACGAGCGTGATCGTTTGGTGACGGTTTGGCGGCGGGTTAGAACAAACCTATTATATCGATATAATAATCGATTCCCGAAACGTTGAGCATTTTTTTGTCCGTTAGGCAAATTTGTTTATTAGTAAATCACTGCTGACAGCAGTGTTTACTAAAAAAACTATATCATTTTATAGATTTTCTTCCACTACAAGTGGCGAAATACCCACTGGACTTTTTTGAAGAGATGAATCCGCCACAGAGGTATAGACTTTTTTATAACAGAATGTTTGCAACTACAGTAATAGGAAAAATAGTGTATTGTTTTATTGGTAGGAGAAAAAAAGATACTTTTTGTGGCGAGGCAGAAAAAGTAATTTTTACTCCGAATAACTTTATTTGAAAGAATAAAAAAAATGTAAGGATCAGCCACTTTTGAAAAACACCCGGTATACACGAAATAATTCACTTACCTCCCGTATTTGGTAACGATTTAACCAGCGTCGTTTTCAAGCAATCAAACGTCGTATTGATAACAGTGGTAAAATCTGGTCCTTGTGGAGACTCAAATGCGTGTCCTTCTTGAGACACATTTATCGGTTCACGATTGGTATTCAATGGAAGTCCTTGGGCTGACGACACTGTTTGAATTTGAGGTTTACTCACTACAGTACTATTTACTTGGCCAGCGTCTGGAATTTGACCACTTGTTTGTTCAAAAAATGCATTTGCATTAGTTGCAGTGGTAGTAAAAATGGTTTGATCTATTGCAGGAGACTCGGGAGAAATCTGATTTAATCCTGTAGCATCTACGAGCGTTTGATTAATACGTTCATTCTCTATTGGAAAAGATTTTGACGAATCTTGCAGAGCCTGTAATAAAGAAAATCAGGGGTTATATTATGTAAAGACTTTGAATAAAAAGATTAAGGGAAGGAGATATATTAAACATATCAAAGATTGTACTGTTCAATTCGTGAGGTTTGGAACTTTCGTCACAGATTGTCATTCTCTCTCTTATCCATGTTTATCACATGAAATGGAAATTTTGTGTCAAAAACGTAAGTCCATTATATTGATTACATCGTACGATTATTTTATTCTTTTTATATACTGATCACATGCTGATCACTATTATTACGGCTACATAGGTAGTAGATTAAATTTACAAGAAAGAAAACCCAGAAAAGACCCAGCGGTTCTCAAAATGTAAGTGAAAAATCTTTTACTTTTACTTTTTAAAGTAAAATATCTCGGTTATTTCGAACTTATTTAAAAAAACGGTAAAGAGAAAATATGTTTCTTTTATCGAGATCTACCCTGAAAATATTTGCACTTATTTAAGATTCACCCTGTATATATACCTGGTTAACACTATGTCCAGCATCATGTATTACTTGATTTTTAATTTCATCAGTGTCTGTGGTTTTCTGAAGCATTTGCAACTGAGCAGCATTGTCAATGATCTAAAAAAAGAGTACATCATTTCAGGAATTGGTCAAAATTGTAAAAACATCTCAAATATTTAAGTAATACTTGATAAGTTACCTGTTGTTTTTCGTTAATATTTTTTAGTTGGCCGTTTAAGTCCCATAGGTCATTATTTGTTGATTCGGGAGCCTCAGAAATGATACCCATTGGAATACTATTCATATTTTGTTGGCCCAACTCCCGGACAGGGGAAAGAACATCTGAAGAGGCGGTAGTACTACTTATTTCTACTCCAAGCTAAAAAATATTTTCTGTAAGTACTATCTACTAGGGTTGGGTTACAGATCAATATACATATCAAAGGGGACATGGAGAACTCTTAACACGCTGTGTCTATGTGTACTAAATATATGATTTAAGTACACGGAATATGGGGCTACAGTATACGTTAAATTTTTACTAGTAATAAATTCTTCTTAGGTCGCCGTCTCCCTTCGGAGATTGAGCAAGAGAGATCAATCTTCGGAGATTGAGTTTCAGAGAGTGTCCAACTCTCAGAGCCGTAGAGAAATATTGGAGAGATGTAGCAAAGCAGCATACGTATGCGTAATTCGAGGCTTAAATCTCGGCTGGAGAAGAGGGTTTTCATGGAAGCAAAAGTATGTCTGGCCTGTTCGACCTTCGTAAGAATCCCAGTTTTGGGGTCGCAAGCGTCGTTAGCGAGAGCTCCTAGATATATTATGGACTATACTTGTTCTACCGCCTTGTTGTTAATTCTGAGGACTGCATTTTCCGATGTTTTGAAAAATAAAAGTGGCTTTTAAGTGTAAAAGCCGCAGCGATAAGACAGAGCAAGGAGTTACGTTTCATAGGTAAATAAACAGTCCAATCCACCTTTTTAGCGTTTTTTTGTTGAAATCGATAATTATTTTTCTGATATTATATGTAGTTGATATGTGTCGATTCTAGTTTTGTACCTTTGTTAACATTTTAATACGTTTTTCGTAATTAATTAGTATGGTACCACCGCATACACCATAGGCGTAGTCAAAAGATTAGATGTCAAAGAATTTAGATACGTTAATTTGACTTACCTGCTTCAGTAGCGTATCGGATGTTTGTGTTAATAAATACTTATTATAACTTATCTATTTTTATTAGAATTATATATTTTTATAACAATTTTAATAACTACCAACATTTATTCACAACGTAAAATAAAACAACAAATTATTGAGTACCCCACGTCTACCCTGCATCATAGGTTACATTTTTTAAATAAAATTAGAACGACACTGATAAACCGGAATTTAAGTCGGCCATATTTGAGGCCCATCGCGGTGTACCTAAGATTTTTGATATGCTCCTTCCTTAGTCTTCTTATTCAAAGGTTAGACCATTTCTAGTTATTAATTAAATTTAAAATCTTGTGTATTTGCAAGAGCATTTTGGGAAATATTATGAATTTTATGCGTGATTCGTTCTTTGACATTTTGGAACTCCTTGACATTTTGGAATTTCCGAAAATTTCAATAGATGTTCTTCCGAACCAACGACGCAGATCTTTAAGCCAGGAATTATGTCTTCTTCCCACTGATCTCCTGCCCTACTGTAGCTTTCTTTCCGTAACTGTTGATAAGAGCTCTTTATCTTTGCCCAAACGCCTGAACACCTCCACATTCGTTACTCTATCTATCCAGGGTACACACAGTACACAACAAGTACTATGTCTGATCCAACTCTCAGAGCCGTAGAGAAAAATTGGAAAGACGTAGCAACGCGGCATACATACAGCAACGTAGTATGCGCAGTTCGAGGTTTAGAATCTCGGCTGGAGAAGAGGATTTTCATGAAAACAAAAGTACGTCATGTCTGTTCGATCTTCGTAAAAATCCAAATTTTTGGGGTCGCAAGCGTCGTTAGCGAGGGCTCCTAGATATATTATGGACTATAGTTGTACCACCTTGTTAATTCTGAGGACCGCATTTTCCGATGTTTTGAAAAATAAAAGTGGCTTTCAAGTGTAAAAGCCGCAGCGATAAGACAGAGCAAGGAGTTACGTTTCATAGGTAAATAAACAGTCCACTCCACCTTTTTAGCGTTTTTTTTTGTTGAAATCGATAATTATTTTTCTGATATTATATGTAGTTGATATGTGTCGATTCTAGTTTTGTACCTTTTGTTAACATTTTAATACGTTCTTTTCGTAATTAATTAGTATGGTACCACCGCATACACCATAGGCGTAGTCAAAACATTGGTCAAAAATATAAATATCTCCTGTTGTTAAGAAAAATATGTGCCATGGCACTGCTTGGAGGTATGATAACAATTTGGTCGAAGGTATTATGCGTTCTTGTATTCTTTAGTCATTGATAAAAATATATAATAGGTTTATGACAAATGACAATAAAGTAATTGAATTGTGATAATTTAGAATCATTAAGTTTTATTTACCGTTAAATTCTGTACAGCTGGAGCTGGTGTTGTTACTGGTTTATTTTGAACATCATTATAGAAACTTGCATCATCCTTAACTTCTTGTTGAGGAGTGGACGGTTGACTAGTTCTAAAAACAATTTCAATAATTTAAAAAGTGTTAAGCAAGGTATATTTAAAATTATTTTTGAGTATACAGTGTTACATAAAATTGTGGCAGATATACAGACCGGACCACCGTAGTAGTAACATAGGCAGAACCGGACGAATTAGCGTATACCCGTCCGCCGGATAAAAAGCAGGCGAAAAAATGCGATAAAATAAAAATAGGTATTATTAGTATATGTGATAAGAATGTTACAGAATTTGTATTTATTTGTGTTTTAATAGCCAAAACGAATACATAGATTGTCGCTACGCTCTCGTGTAAAATTTATTTTTTAAGTAAAATAATGGATGTTTACGAAGTTCGTGAGAAAATTCAAATTGTAAATTGTAAAATGGTATTTTCAAAATAGGTCATATCGGGATATACAAACAATTTTTCCACAAACTTTTGTAAACAGGCCAATTCCATCTTTACCTACTATATCAAGAGTTATTAATAATTTTGAAACACATGGGTGCGTGTCCGCACAAAAACACAAAATGCCTGATGTGTTGATTAATGAAGAACAGGAGTTAAAGCAAGTGTTTGGGGTGGTCATAATAGGGCTAATAATCTGGATGAGCTTCAAGTAAAAATATGAGAGGCTTTCCAAACTATTAGCCCTAATATGTTAGCCAATGTCAGACGGGGATTTTACGACCGCATCATTTTTTCTGATAGATTTTATAAAATTCTTTCATATACCATATTAAATGCAATATTTAATAATGTACTTTACCTTTCAATGTGCGTTAGAGAATCTTTTAAAACACAGTGGCCAGTAACAATGTCTTGGTTTGAAATGGAGGATTGATCAATTAATTCCTGAGGTACAAATTGTTGCTGTTGGGATATTTGAATTACATTCTGTCCATTCTCCAAATTTTGTAATGATTCTGATGCAGGTAACTGTTGAGAAGTCTGACCAAACGTCTATAAATATCAAATTATAAGTCAGGACCACATATGTGGCTTGGGGAATCTAGCTAATTTAGTACTGTAGAGAGCTGTCAAAAGATAGTGGTTGAAAAAAAAAGTTAATTAACCAACTTTTAAGGTATAAAATTCAGTAAGTATTTGTAAAATATTCAAATTATTATTATAAACTACATTGAAATTAATATGACAGACAATCGCTGTCAAGGATTTATTAAGGTAACATCGAGGGTAACATATTATCTTTAACTTACAGAAATTGCCTGCTCGTAGGACGGTACTTGTGCTTGGGAAATATCCACTGACATTTGGGAAGATAAATTAGCTTGCAACGGTTGCTGAGATACTATAGTTTGTTGTTGCTGAGGCATAGGAAGCGGCACAGACGGAATAAACTCAGCCATTTCTTGAGGTTCCGGTGTTTGTAGTATAGAGGGTATGGAAGTAGTCTGAGGTTCAGATTCTGAAGGGTTTACCATTGGAACCTAAAAATACAGCATTTTAGAACATAACTTTAAATATACTAAGGGCTGACAAAGGTTAGTCTTGGGTCGAGATTTCCGTATGTAAGAAGAGTACAATGCGTTTATAATGTACTGAACAAAGAGAGAACAGAAACTGTGCACATTGCTAAGAGACGTGGAAGGGGATATAGCAGATTTGTCGCAGTTGACCGGTCGACCCAATCAGTACCTCTGTCAGTACTTAGAGTTCTAGGGGAAGGTGTACGTCATGCGTTCAGTTTCACGATTTAATTACGTCTCGTGATACTTTATTTGTTTATTTATTAACGAGTCGTTGTAATTTTCTCTATAGCTTGAAAATTTTTAAGTGCAAGCTAGAAATACTTGCATTTTTGGTAAAAATAAGTGGAATTGAGTTGGTTTTCGACAGTGGTCGGGCTATTAGAACTCTGAATTCAAAAATCGATATCTCTAGTTTTTTCAAAAACTTTCTTAATATTCCTGCTGTACTTTCTTCGTAGACAGTAAGTGAAAATCTTTATCAATAAAAAAATTACACGACTGCTGAAAATTGCTATGCTCTAAAAGTAAATAGATGGGTTGTTTACAATTTTTGAATGGCAAAAACAACCTTATCGAATTTTTCTTATTTAAATATATTGTAAAAGATCCTACCTCCAAAATAAAAAAAAGTTTCAATATCTAAAGTGTTTCTTGAGTTATGGCGTGTTATGTGTTAAAAAGTTGAGTTTTTAAATTATCGCGATTACTGACGTTTTCTCGTTATAAAAAATGATACCTTAAAGATATCCTTATAATTCCATTTCAGATGCTCAGAAACATTTCTAATGATTTTATCTAGTTATCTATTCGAAAAAAAGTCTATTAAAAATAAGCGGTTTGCGATCGTGATTTTACTTTAGTTGATAGGGAAAGGCGTACCGGCAACGCCGCAACAGCACTCCGTCTCATTTCTCTCACTCCGACTTAATAAGATCCCTATGCGGTTTACTTCCACACATGTAAATACCGACCCAAGAGTAACAGTTGCCAGCTACAGGATGAGTCAACGACAGAATAACGTTCAATATTTATTTTTTTAAAGTTATGAAAAAAGTTAAATAGAAAAGTCAGAACCTTAAAATTAGCGGTATAGATTAGTGGATTCAATTTAGCGTAGAAGTTTGTTCTTCTAATTTCAATGTATAGATCATATAAAATAAACTTTTAGGCACGTGATTAAGTTTGATCGGCACAGCGTTGAATCGCCCTGTACAAAACGCCAACTTACCTCAACAGTACTGGACACTATTTTTGTCTCACTTTCTTCTTTCTTCGGATGATTACTGTTCTTTAAATGTTCCAAACTAATTTTCAGTTGTTCAATAGTGTTGATCAATTCAGGACCGCATACTATAATAATAACAACCAAATTATAGTTTTATAAACGTTTTATAACTATAGGGAAATTAATAAAAAAGTAAAATTAAATTTAAGGCGCACATTTTCCTTTTTCTTATAATGTAATATCCTGATTAAAAAAAAGAGAAGCTAATTATACTCTCTAAATGAACTACCATCAGTTATTATTGTTTCTACGACTAGAATCGGCTGCTAATGGAAAAAAAAATTATAAAATTCTCTTTTTCATGTACACTCAGATGCAAAAAAACGCAACGGAAAAATGTTTGCTCAGGTTTAAAATGTTATACATATTTTTTTTTATTTTTAGACCTATTTCCACAATTTTTTTAGCAAACTGTATATAAATATATCAACTTTAATTCCTAAACTTAGTTTATTATAAACTTTAGTATTTAACTCATTATACTACAGGGTTAATTGAAGATTTGTTTTTTATCAAGTGATTAAGAGAGTTCCAGGATATATGACGTGACGTTAAATGATGGCTGAACATTCTATACATACCAAGTTCTCCCTTTGACATGGTACTATCCTCCTTTAAACTGCACACGCTAATTTTCTGTTCCATAGCCTTCTCTCCGTCTAATCGGATACATTCCAGTGGCGCCGAATTTTTTCTTGTTGGTATATTAACATTGTGTACCGTCTGCTCGGGTGGCTGCATTGTATGTGACTGAAAAACCACCTGTTCTGTAGTACTAGTAGCTTGAGTTGGTAGCTGATCGTTTGGAGACAACGTAGAAGAATCAATCTGGTTATATTCCACTATAGTCGGAGATAAAATGACTTTCTCGGAAGCATTTTTCTCCAAAGTTTGTGCTTCTAATTCAATTTTTAATGCATTGCCTTTATCTTGGCTATTGTAACCGGCGTTCTCTACATATTTTGGTACGTCTAACTGTCCACTCAAGACTGGACTAACCAAGAATCTAGAGATTTTTCGTTTAGGAGATCTAACTGATAGATTTTCATCTTTATTTTCGGTAGTTTTTTCTCCTTTTTCAACGATAACTTGAATAATTTTTTCGACTGGTTTATTATCTTGTTTAGTCGGTAATGTTTCTGCAAAATAAAATTGAAAATTAATTCTTCTTTAAGTAATTGAAACGATTTAAAAAAAAATGTTTGTGTACTATGTGCGCATATTTGAAGTGAAACTTCTTACTAACAGCTATTAAATTGAAGACATGGAACAACCTTTGAATAAGAAGACTTAGGAAGGAGCATAATGCTATCCATGTATTCATGCATGGTGGGCGGAAAAGGCACCATAAAAGCTCTCTAGGGTGGGGATCCTTGACAGTTCTGTTTGACCATTCATTTGACACATTTGAATTTGATTTGAAATTTTGTGGATTTGTCAGTCTTTACGGAGCTGATTTTATGTTATTTATTATTTATTCTACTACTGATAGTTGTATAAAGGTAGTAAATCTAGATGGAATTTGTGGCCGAACTTAAATTAACAGTGACACTATCGCGATTTATCGAAAAAGACTCTAAAATAGTTGGTTGTGTAGCGTACGGTAGATCTCTGCAAAAATTGAGTGAAATAATGGAACAACTTTTCGCTAGTAAGTGACTATATAATATACATACGTGTAGTAAACCGATCATTTATGAAATTCACTTAAATTAACTAAATTATATATTTTTCTTGCATTTTAGCTTTTATTTATTACTTGTCAAAATTTAGATGTCAAAGAATTTAGATTTTGATTTAGATACGTTAATTTGACTTACCTGCTGCAGTAGCGTATCGGATGTTTGTGTTAATAAATACTTATTATAACTTATCTATTTTTATTAGAATTATATATTTTTATAACAATTTTAATAACTACCAACATTTATTCACAACGTAAAATAAAACAACAAATTATTGAGTCTACCCCACGTCTACTCTACATCATAGTTTTACATTTTTAAATAAAATTAGAGCGACACTGATAAACCGGAATTTAAGTCGGCCATATTTGAGGCCCATCGCGGTGTACCTAAGATTTTTGATATGCTCCTTCCTTAGTCTTCTTATTCAAAGTCCACCAAAATCTATACCCACATTTGTGAATGATCGAGCGACTTGAAGTCTTTCTTTGGGAAGATCTGCCATTAACTGGAAACTGGTCGAGCACTAAATCTGTAGCAGATGTGACAATTGTGGATGATTCGTTTTACTTCTCTAAGACCATTTAATGGCCAGAAACGCAGTCTAATGTTAGATAGTGTATTTTGAGAGCCAGCATGTAAAAGCCTTAAGTGTTCTTTTTTAAGCAATAATTGTACTACGTGATTCTTTGATGGCAAAAGGCTTAGAAATTTTTGTTCGTAAGAGACATTTGCATTGGAGAGTCTTCCACCGACTCTTAGGGTACGAACATAGTGGAGGCAGGTTTGCCGCTTACCGGTAGTCGGCGTCAATCTGGGTACCTATTCTTGACATCGTTCGCAACTTTGCGTATACGCATCACGAGTATTGTTATAAACAGGGTATCCCAGAAATAAGTGCAAGTATTTTAAGGAGCGGTAGATCTCGATAATCTCGATAAAAGAAACATATTTTCTCATTATCGTTTTTCAAATAAGTCCAAAATAACGGAGTTATTTTACTTTGAAAATTTCCAAAAAATATTTTTTGATAAAATTTTGAGAACCACTGGATCTTTTCTGCATTTTCTTTCTTGTAACTTTAATCTACTACCTATGTTGCCATATTATCAAGAAATTATTTTCTTTAAATAAAAACTAAAAAATTTCAAAAAATTTTCAAAAATTCCGAATTTTCAAAAAAATTATTTAGAAAAAAGCCTCATTGGCGTGTTTCTGGGGTTGAACTATACTACCAGTTAAGTTAAAATACTTGCACTTATTTCTGGGACACCCTGTATATGGGTACATCGTAGCGCCGCGCCGCGCCGCCTCGCGCTTATAACCTTGAAAAATTTAAAGCGTGTTATCAAATCGGCTAGTTCACAGTGAAAGCAGGCAGATGGCAGGCAGGCACCGTCAACCAGCGTTCATCGGCGTTCTCGCTTTTACCGGAACGAAAATTTATTTATTTCTGCTTTTAACGCGCCGACGGCGCACAGAGGGTATAAAGAACTAAAAGTTGGCCAAAATTATGTTTTATGATTTTTTTGCTTTTTTGCTAGTAATATTAATTATTAGAGGAGAGGTTGCTAATAAAGGGACTAATATGGAACCCCATTTTGTTTTTCCTACACAATATTTTTTCCACTACTCTGAAACCCTTTCCACCGATCAAATAGGGGCATTCTGTGCAAAACCAAGCAATTAGATGAGGATGCCAGAACAAGAAAGTAATTTGTATATTATAGACGATAATTGAGCGAGGATGGGCGTTATAGGGTAAATACTATTTCCTTTAAGAATCTATTTAAATCAATGTTTTTTTGGCAGTGGCAAATATTGGCAAGATTTTTGTACATATTCCAAAGCTGGAGACTTTAAGCATTGAACGGATACTAATTTCCATGCGGAATATTGCCGAATAGTCTTACACCTTATAAAAATGCCACTGATTTTTAAATACAAAACATTATAAAGAAATAGAATAGAAGAAAAACGTTTCAAAATAAAAATATGGCATAAAACAGGACTTGCCAGCTGGCTCTGTATCCATGATGACAGTTATTATAAACAATTTGCAAAAAAGCACTACAAACAATTCCACTATTTTATAATCTTAGAAATATTCAGAATACACTCAAGATAATTCATACTTATAATTGAAATATATTATTTATTTGATAGTCAACTTACGACTTAAAAAAGCTAATAAACGCGCTTATATTTAGTATTTATAGATTTGTATTCAGTTAAGATAAAAAATGAAAATAAAAATATTTCACTTTTGGCCAGGTTTATAGACCAAACACCCCTATGTGCGGCGCCGGCGCGGCGGCAGCGGCGTTTGAATATGGTTAGGTTAGGTTAGGTTAGTTAATCAGGTAAATTTCCTCTTAATTAACTACTTCCGAACCCTGCTCGCATCTCCGAAAAAGCCTTATAACAATACACGGCATATACGCAAAGTTACGCATCACGTGTATTGTTATATGGCTTTTCGAAGATGCGAGATGTGGTCAAGAATAGGTCCCCAGAGACGGCGCTGGTAGCCGGATAAAACAACAAATTATTGAGTCTACCCCACGTCTACCCTACATCATAGTTTTACATTTTTTAAATAAAATTAGAACGACACTGATAAACCGGAATTTAAGTCGGCCATATTTGAGGCCCATCGCGGTGTACCTAAGATTTTTGATATGCTCCTTCCTTAGTCTTCTTATTCAAAGGGAACAACTATTAAATTGAAAGACATGTTTAAAAAAGTGTAGTTTGAAATGTTGAAAAAGTAATAATAACGTGTAACAAATAGTTTTTTGCGTGTAACAAATAGTTTTTTACGCCTAACAAATATTTTATTATACGTAAAAAATAGTTTTTACGTGTAACAAATAGTTTTATACCCGTAAAATAAAAAAAATATAAATAATTTAAAGTACTAAAATATGAATATTTTTGATAAACACGTGGACTGTTTACAAATACACGTCGCGTCACTACGTATTTCTAAAGCCGGACTCTATTTCTAAAGCGTCACTACGGTATTTCTAAAGACGACTCGTGTACTTGGCAAGTACAGAATGTCCCATTTTGGTTGAAATCATAGGGTATCTCCATTATGAAGTTAGAAGGGTGCGGTTTGCACAAACCTGTCCCACTTTTTTGTCAAACGGAAGATGCTGTAAACAAAATTTTCATAGCGCTCTTCGTTTCTGAGCTACAGGGTCTTTTCGAAAATTTTGCAGTTTAGGACAGCCCCCCTATCTCCGTTATTGTGGATGATATCGAGAAGGTGAAAACTGATTCTTGTAGAACTTTTTACGTAGAACACAGTGGCGTAGTCTGTTTTTCTACAGAAAAAATATTTTTGAAAATATGAACTAAAGTTATATTTTTTCAAACGGAACATCCTGTATATTTATAAATCATATGATGCGTCTTGCTATGAGCTTCTCAAAAATATATATCACTCTATATTTATTTTCACTTTTTACTTCAATATTTAAAATATATCATTTTTTTTATTAGTAGGCAGTGATAAATAACAAAAAATCAAAAAGGTATTTACAAAAATAGTCATACACACATTAAAATTTTATTTGGAATTGATATATTTTACTTTTGAACTGTTACCACTGAATCTCTGAATATATTTTTCTTTCTTTATAACGGAATTTATTATAACGGGATGAGTTTGCAAATATCTAAAAGCTTGCATTATTAAAGCATTTTCTTCAAAGTTCGACATTGTTGTAGTTGCCACAATATATTATTTCATATTTTAAAAATCCCCAAAATCAGAAATCAAGAACGGCCAAATCCGGGAATCAGGGAGGCTATCATATGGATCCATTAGTAATTCATTGATTTGAGAAATAATAATTTAACAAAATTCTAACATTTTCAAAGTTGTTTGGTTTGGTTTGGAAGAGAAAAGCCCCATCTTGCTGAAAGTACCTATATTTTACATAAATTAGCTAAAGGAATATCTAAAAGTTCCGATAGCCAAAGAGACAGATAGCAGTATACTTTTAATAATTCTTTATTTTTTTTATTATCAATCATGGCCTACTAATAAATATGAACTTTTAATAAAAACTTTTAAATATTGCAGTAAATAGTGATAGAGTGATATATATTTTTGAGAAGCTTATGACAAACCAAATCATATAATTTATAAATATACAATCATATAATTTATAAATATACAATCATATAATTTATAAATATACAATCATATAATTTATAAATATACAATCATATAATTTATAAATATACCATTTAAAAAAACATAACTTTAGTTCATATCTTCGAAAATATTATTTTAGTAGAATAACAGACTACGTCACTGTAGTCTCCGTAAAAAGTTCTACAATAAACGGTTTTCACCTTCTCTCGATATCTTTCGCAGTAACAGAGATACAGGGGGTGTCCCAAATTGCAAAATTTTCAAAAAGCACCCTGTACCTCAGAAACAAAGACAGTCATGAAAATTTTGTTTACAGTAGCTTTCGTTTAACAAAAGTGGGACAGGTTCACATCCTTTTATCTTCACTAATAACGGACATACCGTATGATTTCAACCAAAATGGGACACCCTCTACACCAATATTTGCGTACTTGGCAAGTATACCATCTTTCATCTTTGTAAACATTTTTTTCATTTGTAATCAACAAGCTTAGCGCTCACGCGGCGCGACGAGTGACGAACAATTGCTCAAGTAAACCACTCTCACAACATGGCAAAAATACCCCAATAACAAATGTTTGTCAAGTAACCTAATCTAATAATAATAGAAGTCTAAAATACCATACCTTGAGATGTTGTTCCTAAAAATTCAGGAGGATTAGAATCAACTGGCGCAGATAGCTGATCATTTTTCATTTCTATTTTTGGTTCTGTTAATTCATTTTTAGCTTCGTCTTTCCCAACCGACATAACAAAAACTTTTAGATTCACTTTCTGTCCAGGAACCAGCTGAAGCGATTCTTTTTGTTTTAAACTCTCCGTTAATTCATTCTTTAGAGTATCAGCATGATCAGGAATATCTTCTTTGAATCCTTTGCATATATTTTTCTTACTGGGTGCCTAATATTATAAATAAACAGATTAGATCAACCTATTATTATAATCTTATACACTGACAATCTTAAAATTTTCATGTACAGGGTGTCCCATTTTCGGGTGATTTAGTACAGAGTTTCTCGTTTAAGAGTAGAGATACAAAGATGCGGTTTTCATACTACTGTGGTACTTTTTATGAAACTAAAGATGCTACATACAGATTTGTTCTAGGCTTCTTAGTTCCTGAAATACAAAGCGAATTTGAAAATGTTGCAAGGTGAAAACAGTTCCGCAGAGTTTTTCACGTATAATCCAGTGGCATTGGCTGATTAGTGGCTGTTAGTTGTCATTTTCGAAATTTGACTCAAATTTATGTTTTTTTTAATGGGACACCCTGTATATTATTTGTTTTATTTCATTTGCCTTGTTATGAGCTTTCTAAAAATATAATATAATCTATAGAATGTTTAGCCATCGTTCAATGTCACGTCATGTATTGTCGAACTCTCTCGACCAATGTCAAAATTAAAAATTGATTTTTGCTGCCAAACAAAATTCATTTTTTTATTGCAAAAATGTCTCAAAGATTTAACTAAAATGAACAAGAGCTAAGCTTATTAATTATTTTTCTCGAGAAAGAGACGCCGAATATAAATGTTTCTAAGACAAAGTTCATGGTCTTCAGCCGTCAGCCATACCTCAACGCGTCACTACAGATAAATGGACAAAACGTTGAAAGAGTATCCAATTTTAAATACCTGGGATGCTACATCACATCCTTGGATGCTACATCATCAGGGAAATTACATGCAGGATTGAATCAGTCCGTACAATATTTCAGAAGATGAGATCACTGTTTTGTAACGATAGTGTAAACTTAAAGCTGAGACAGAATGATTAAATGTTACATCTGGTCTGTGCTGTTATACGGAACTGAAATCTGGACACTCAAAGCCGCCACAATCAACCGGAAGCATTTGAAATGTGGTAACATAGACGAATGCTTAGAATACCATGGGTGGCTATGCAAAGAAATGAAGCAGTCTTAAACAGGGCAAAGGCAGTTCGTAAACTTTTGACAACAGTTAAATGCCGAAAGCTGTCATACCTTGGCCATGTTCTTAGAGGACATCGTTACTGGATTCTACAACTTATTATGAAGGGAAAAATAGAGGGCCGCAGGGGCGGAGGAAGAAAACAAATCTCCTGGTTGAGGAACATCCGAGAATGGAGAGGCATACATAGCGCCTAACAATTGTTTAAAGTGGCTGAAAACAGGGATCAGCTCGCCATAGTGATTATCAACGTCAGGAGGACCTGACAAGGCACAGTAAGAACACAGATTAGGTATACCATAAGTATACAGATAAAAATCTTGTCCCTAATTCGTGGTACAAAAATTGTTTTTATGACGATGAGCAAACGAGTAAAATTTCCTGTGCGCAAAAATAAACTCGCGTTTAAACAGCGTAATAACTGGGCCGGTCAGGCGCTGTGCACAATTTTAGAGGCCATAAGTGGGCGTGCTATATGCGCAAACTAGTAACCTAACTAGTGCGCGACTCCGAAAATTGGAACCACGAAAAACAATGCTTTTGGCGATAAGTTTATAATCTGTGGTAAGAAGAAGAAGAAGAATTTAAACCGCCCGCCTATGTTAAAAAGTTAAATAACGCATTTTTTACCTTATTGTTTATGAAAATAATTATAGGGTATATTATATTTTTAGAAAGCTCATAATACGGCAAATAAATAAAAAAAAATATACAGGGTAATCTATTTAAAAAAAAAAGTTTGGATCATATTTAAAGAACGGCAACTTCTAGTGAAAATCTAGTTACGCCACTGAATTCTACGTGAAAAACTCTATGGGTCTCAATTTTCACCTTTTCGATAAGTTATAAGATAACCGAGATACGAAGGGGGTCAAAAATACAACTATTTCAAATTCACCCTGTATTTCAAGAACAAAGGGCTAGGATAAACATGCGTGTAGCTTCTTTAGTTTCTTCTTTGTACTCATAAACGAGAAACGCTGAAAAACACGAAAACGGGACACCCTGTACATGAAAATTTTGTGTCGGTCAGCGTATAATAAATAAAAAAAAACATAAAAATAAATCAAAATACATACCGAAGAAAGGTCCGTCGTAGCGATCAGGTAATCGTCGCTGTTTGAACTGACATTCGACAGTTCTAAGGGATTCTGGTTATTATTGTTGTTCGAATTCGTTATGTACGTATGTTCGGGGGTATATTCGGATGCGGTACTTGTTTTTCTTGACACGGTACCACTCGAGTTTAAACTTTCTCGACATCTAAGAAACAAGCACGAATTACAATGAAATGTTCAGACTCGTAGCGCTATAGCAATACCTTAAATTCTGATAGATAGTATCAGTCAATGTAGTTTTGATAGACTGGAAGTCCTCTTGATTCACTTCTAAATAGGCCTGTTTGTTCTCGAGCAGTCGGGTACTAGATTCGTCCTTCTAGAAAAGGAAAGTTCAATCAATTATAGTTACTTTACTACTATAACCACTACCATTATTGCCTATAAAGGGTGTCACAATAATCTGTAGACTCGTTAAGAATATGCTATAAATAGTGATGGGAAAAACCGATTAATTTCAATAATCGAGTACTCGAGTTTCAAGCGATTGCAATAACCGAGTGATCGCTCGATCGAAATATCACTCGTATTTAAAAATACGGTGTTTCATCCGTCGCTTGTTGTAAGTACTCTTTAACCCCAAGCGCCAAGCAGTAAGTTGCGTGCGCAGTGATGAATGGCAAGTAGCAAGTGGCGAGCGATTCCCTTGTCGCATGTCGCTTGATTTAGTTTATTTCAAAGCATTGTCGATGTAGGTCGTAAAATTTTGTCCCTCAGATACGCAACGGATAAATATATATCCCGCTGGCAAGCGAACCTTTGGGTCGGCGTTTACATGTATAGGAATGAGTCGTTATGGCAATCTAGTAAGTCGGAGTGAGCAAAAATACGAAGTATTTATTACATAACTACTTTAATCTGACGCTAGATTCCATGCGCTTGGGAAAATACTCGCCTTCTGTCTTTATTCAGTACATCCTATTTTACTAAGCGTGTTGACCGTACTCTTCTTACACATGAAAACCGGCACGCAAGACCAGAAATGCCGACCCTTAGTATACGGCGTCGTATAAATTTGCTACCTGCAATGTATGTAGAAAATTCGCTCGGCTTATTATCGAGTATGTCACATTAAAAGCGGATTTCAATTTATTTCATGCTAGGATCGCTTGCGTTCGTCGCTTTGTACTCGTCACTTGCATCGCTCGTTCATAATCGAGCGATGTGGGTTATTTCAACAATCGAGTACTCGAGCGAATTTTCGCTTAAGTTATCCCATCACTAGTTATAAATATCTGGCTGAATGCACGTCGCAAAGTTTCGCCTTAAACCCTGTCAAACCTTAAAGAATCTTATGCTGAACATCCTATTTTCAGATGGTATCTTAACGTAAACTTTATGGAAAACAACTTAAAGTTTTTTGTCTCGAAAGTTTTTGTCATCTGTTTTAAAAATTTGCGCAAACATAATATAATAACTTGAATATAGTAAACTTACAGATTTATGTCTCCGGTGTGTCTTTTTATGAGAGTGCCTTGTCAATGAGCCATGTCTAACCTTTATCTTTAGCCAGCATGTAATAATAAATACTAGATTAATATATTAAATTTAAATTATTACAACACTTTGCAAACCACAAAATGTTTTATTAATATAATTAATCACGTGTTTTTCATCTTTTCGTTGTAATTTATGCATTATAATAAACATAGAAAACAACTGTCCCCAAAACATTTATAGAGACTACTCAGATGCAAAAAAAGCAATGGAAAATTTCAAGTGTTATATTTTTTTTACTTTTAGCCCTATTTTCATGTTTTTAGCAAACTAAACTCAGTTTTTTATAAACTGTTATAATTTGTCTTATTATAAGGGTTAATTGGAGGGTTGTTTTTTAAAAACACCCTGTGCAATAATTTTGTGAGTAACTTTTCTTAAAACAATATTTTTCGATCAGAACCATGTCTCCTGATCATTTTCTTTTTTGACTAATCTACACATGCCTTGGTTAATTTTTAAGAGCAAAATGAACTTGCCACCAACAATTGGCAATTTTTTTCAACTATCATTACTTTATGATGTTATTTTTTAATATCAATCACAAAGTGGCTTTTGTGACTATTGTCGTAATGTCATATCGACACTGATTAGAACTTTATATTAAAATTTAAAAAAAAAAAGTCACGAGACAGACTTGGTTTTCATAAATATTAGTAAAACTAACAGAACTAAGGATATTAAAAAAAAATAACTATAATAACTAAGTGTACAAACAAACAAAAAACTTGTAAAAATACTCTAAACTTTATATTGCCTCTCCCAACTGCTATAACTGTCTGTAGACTGGTTCATACTGTTAATGAGAATGAGACCGCATATATATTGTTTTTCCATTCCTCTTCAGAAACCAAGCGAATATTCAAAATTTCGGCCATCTTCAACAAGATCAAAAACTTTTACACCAATCTTCGACACTAAGAACTACCGTACGATCGAATAAAAATGGCGTTAGCGGTGGCTATGAAATGAAGATCGCTGTCATTTTATATGTAAAATTATATGGGAAATGTCATCGATCGTCATTTCCAAGCAAACCGTACACAACAATAATCACCAAAGCTACCTTGTCATTATGAAGAATAACCTCAAAAAGTAACGATAATTGAAAAAATTGCAAAATGTTTGTGGCAAGTTCATTTTCCTCTTAAAAATTAACCAAGGCACGTGTTCACATGACTCAAAAAACAAAATATTCAGGATACATGGTTCTGACCGAAAAATAATGTTTTAGGAAAATTTGCCCACGAAATTATTGCACAGGGTGTTTTAAAGATATGGCAAAAAACAATTTATCTCGATTAACCCTGTATAAGTCAAATACTAAAGTTTATAATAAAAAAGTTGAGACAATTATACAGTTCACAAAAAAATCAAGGAAATACGGCTAAAGAAAAAAAAATAACATTTTAAAATAGACGAAAAATTTTTCCTTTGCCCCAAAACAAAAAACACTTACTTTGATTGTTTTTTATAACATTTTAGCTTCCGGGACTGAAGATGGGATTGTTACTCCCGAAACATGTTGCCTAGATTTTTTTTAAATAGTAGAAATTTTAAATAAAATTTTTTATACAAGACTGTATGTTTCAGTCTCCTGCCTCTCAGTAGAGGATTTCAATTAATTATTTATTATACGATTATTAAATCGAAATTAAAATACACTCTAAAAATATTAAATTGGTAGTAAGAAGTCTTTAATAAATAGTATATATAAATTGGATTGATAATTTGATATTATTGGTAATTAATCCAATTATGCCAGTACCATAAAGTGTTGAAAAAAAATGAAAGAACTGTATATTTCTTTTTCTGGCCCCTTAAGTAATTGTCCGACCAAATTATCGCCGGTAGTGCCAGTTACGATTCTTGTTTTTATGAAAGGTAAATTATGCATGTGGTTCGTTCAAATGAACGAATCGTAGGAGTCGGTTCAACATGAGAAATTGAATCGTTCGATTCGATTCACTAAAAAGAATCGCAATGCCCATTACTACTACTTTCTTTTTAATTTGATCCAACTCACCTTTTGCCCGTCGCCATTACACGACCCCTCTCTAGCGCACTCGGGTATTTTATTAGGCTTTAACTTCAGCTCGTTCATAACGTCCTGAAGGTGAACGCGCAACTTTTCCAGCTGATCCGATTTCAACAGATCCTGTTTGGTCAAGCCGTTGATGATATCGTTCGACGTAGTGTCCAAACGATTGAACTTAAAGCTTATAGTGCGTTGTTTCGATAACAGGCGGCATTCTACGGTGCCGTCTGAGAATACCGAGTCGACTATGAGTCGGTGACGTAGTGACGAGCGTTTTGTTCGACGTTTGGGTAATGTGTCTGGGTCGATCCCTGTCGAGGAGGACTGGTCCTTTTTTATATAAAACGGGGAATTGAGCAGCACGTGATTGAAATGATTAGTATTGGTTAGTAATACGACAAAAATTAAAACAGTAAGTATTCAGGGTGGGTCAACAATAGAGAAAAGTTTACTATTGTTACTAATTGTTTTGAGAATTAAAAAAATTGACTAGAAATGTATTAGGAAAAGTTATAAAGATACAAGATTTAAAATTATTTTTGGGTATAGCGGGTGCATCCCAAGAGTGGACCTCTACAAGTTTTTTATTTTTTTTTTCAGATAAAAAAACGAGATTTGGTATGTTAGTATATGCCATAAATTAGGATTGATTGACGTATTCAATTATTTTCGGCCACTTCTTGTTTCACCGGAAATGACAATTTAATTTTTAAATGGCACCCTCGGAATTTTTTTTACGTTATTCGATAGAAAATGACACTCTGAATAGAATGACATATCATATGTCAACTTTTGACATTTTCGCTTTAAAAAATCGTATTTTAAATTTCAATCTAGAGTGCCATGGCTGTGTTAAAAACACTAATTTTTAATCGAAGAGCCTTGGAAAAATAGATTTGATCATCTATGTATTTAGTGTCTTATCCTGGTCGGTTAAAAGATGCCCAAATTGTATTTTTAATTGTATCTCATTTTTTTTTCAAATGGAACGAAAGTGGCTCATTAGCGTATTTAGAAAAAGCATTTTTTTACGAATAATTTGGTACTACACACTTGGTATGTCAAATCAAATTGTTGTTAGAACCGTATGTTACAATTTCAAATAAAGCATATGCGAAAATCTCAAAAGTTGACATATGATATATCATTCAAATCGACACCCCTTCACCAATTTTTTTCCAAATATCTCCATTCGTTCAGAAATTATTTGGAAAAAATCGAAACAAAAATGAATATCTCCGAAACGAAGCATTCATAAAGTTATACGAACTTTTTTACTTATTTTTATCTGCAGAATATGCTGCCGAAGGTTCCCGGACCACCCTGTAGATTTTACAAAGACCTCAGATAATTTTACAAATAATCTAAAAATATACATTATATCTAACATATTTTCGTAATTCTCAAAACAAATGAGATAATAAATTTTACTCTATCGTTGACTAACCCTGTACAGAAAAAATATTACTTACCATGATGTAAGTAATAATAAGAACCTACCTGTTCTGAAAGCTCGAAATCTTCAATAACTGGTTGAATCTGGTTCGGGGAGATAGTATCTTGTGACAGTTCTTTAGCGGGCAACTGATCTACAGTTGGAACCATCACTGTACCTTGTTCTATAACTGCTTCCAACTGCTCATTTGAAATCTTGAAAAAGAAATAAACGTTATAAAAAATAGAGTAATGAGAGGAATTGAGGGTCAATTAATCAAACATGTCTCAAATTACAGGCAATTAGATGCACATCAGTGAATCAAAAGAAATAAATGTCAAGAAACCATAAACAGAGATTATGGTCCAGTTCTCAGCTCTTTTGCACTAGACTTGGTAATTTATTGTTACACTCTATTGATTTTGTTTCGCTTCGCGGATGTCACGCTTGGTCAATACCAATTGAGTGCCTATATAAACGTCCAATTTGTAATTCTTAGTCATCTATCTGCTGATGCTAACATAGCAGTTAGCAAAACGCGCGTCCAGTGTTAAAAGTCAAGTATTTTAGTATATTTTGCTATTGTAACATTAAAGGTACTTCCTCTAGGAGATGTGAGACCATGTCTTTGGCGGGGAAGCTCCTAGTCAGCTGCTAGGGGTTCCCCTCTGGCACTCTGGCTGGGTATAAGGAGCATCTCATTGTCTTTTCCCTGGCTGTAGTGTCGTAGCCAGGGAATTACACCAAGACGTGTAACGATGCCAGTTGGGACTACCCTGTCCATCATACCAGGCACACTGTACTGTCTGTGGTCATGTATCACGGGCAGAGAATGTGGGGGTCTTAGCTTAACCGCCTAAATCTTATGATGGCAGACCCAAAGGGATGCCGTGGCTAGACAGAAGACTTACTAGCCTCTACTGGTCTTAACCAGTATTCTCGCTTACTTCTACATGCGGGGCTCTGTAGAGGTGGACCGACTAACCCTTGCGGTGTAAATGACCTCAATTCCAAGGAGGCAATAGAGAAAGAGGGATATATTCTCTATTATAAATTCGGGACAACACCGGTATCAAGGTAAGATCAAGTTAAAAAGAGAAGAAAGAAAGACCAAGTTAAAGAGTTGGAGAAAATGGGGACAGATTCTCCAGCTTCCACGTCGCGGGTACCCCATCCGGAGACAAACTCCTCAGCTGTGAAGGGCACGGAGGGCTAACCTCCAACCGTGGAAGGGTGTATACCTTCATAGGAGGTAGATTCCCACTTCTCGGAGGATGAACATCTGTTGTCAGAGGAGTATGGAAAATACCCTGTCCTCCCTACAACAGCAAGATCCCCATGATGAGCTATAACTCAAGAAAGGGGGAAACAATAGATCTTTAAGGTGGCGGTGATTAACCCCCTCCTCCTCTTACTCATTCTACATTCTACAACATTAAAGGTATTAAGATAAGTATTAAAAGAAAAATTATGCAAACCTGTTTAGCACTTGACAGTTGGCTGAAGTCTTGTACCTGCCCTTCAGGAATGATTTGTTGGTGTAAATTATTGTATTCTTGGGGACATGCTGGTTGCGAAACAGTTGAATGTCGCCTGTGATCTTGGGCAGATGAATCAAAAGTAGTCATCGGAGGTAAAGAAGTAGTAGAGGCTCTGTGCTGGTCCTTTAAATGTTGAGCTGCTAATTTCTGCTGCAACTGTTCTAGGTTCATCGGAGGAATGTCTGTGGTAGATAACCTGCAAATAAAGGTAGGTTCTCACATTTCAGTCTCACTGAAGCAGTAAGTGATTCAGTGTTATTGAAAGACGGAAAACGGCGCATGTGTTCACATGTTGAATTTTGATATTTGAATATAGACGAAAATGAAAACGCTGAAGTCTTCTGATCAATCTGATCAATCTGTTTCATCTGGTTGTCAAGTGAAAGAAAGAGTTCGACAATATAGGACATGACGTTGAACGATAACTGAACAAACTATGTCACTCAATGCACATACTACATTATCCCATAAAAGAAAATAAGTAAGGATTTCATAACCATAAAATGTCTACAAAATTACAACCAGTTGTTCGAGAAGTATGATTGCAATTAGCATATGAGTAGCTATGAAATATTCTGATGTAACAAAAAATTACGAAAATGTCGTAGATGGTGGATTACAGGCGTGAATATTAAGCAACAATGAGGTGCTAGTGAAACTATATCGAAAGAATTAGTTTTACATTAAGAAGTTTGTACATCGGCCATATTTCGCAAGCACAAAACTATTTAACAAGTAACGATCTAAATTTAGACACACATACAAAGAATAAAAAAATATAATTACCTATGACCTATAGGCTGGCATTGCTGTTGTTCATGCACCTCTTGAGCACTATATAATATTCTAATTTTAGAACTGATATTAATAAAATAAGCAATACTTACCTATTATCTATTTGCTGACATTGCTGTTGATTGACATCTTGAGCAGCGCTCTCATTTGGCTGCTGTTGTGGCTGTGGAGGCTGGACAAATTGATGCTGAGGCTGCTGATAGACTGGCTAAAATTATAATGTTTATATTAATAAACAATATTTTCCTTAAAACGTATGAAAATATTAAAGTTAGTGATGGGAAAAACCGATGAATTTTGCTAATCGAGTATTACATAAAAAATTAAATCATTTATATAAGGGAACTATTGCAAAGGTAAAAAAATATCAAAAGTACCCCTAAAAAATCAGTATGCATACCATACGATCATCAAAAAAAGCGGGTCAAAGACGGCTAGGGGAATGACAATCCATGATAATTTTGGCGAGATCAATCTCTACAGACGTCATTTCTATTTCCCTATTCTTCAAATTTTTTAATGGCGCTTACTGCCAGCTGGTCTTAAGAAGGTTCTAATTTATTTTTATATTGAGTAAAAATGATTTTTAAATTGTGTAGTTTCGAGAAAAATATTTTTTAGTAATAGATTTGTGTGTCTGGAAACGTTCTGTCCTTTTTTAATCTTCCTATAATTAGTGTTAATTTTTGACAAGTTTTATGTAAATTTTTAGTGAATGACATCTAGGGATTGACCTCGCCAAAATCATCGATTATCAAGCCCCAGCCGTCTTCGACGCCGTTTTTTTTTCGATCATACATATGTATATAAGACAGTCATAAAATGCATGTTTATCGTTTATATTAAATGCTGGAGTAAATATGCGACTAGAAGGATAAAAATTAGACATAGTAATTTTTTTGTTTCCTCCTCCCATACAATCTAATCTACAACACTGACCTGATCAATGCTTTGTTGTGGCATAAACTTAGGTGGTTCCTGTTGATGATCGATAGGGGTTACGTACTGTGGTTCACTGTAACTATGTTGACCTTCGGGCGGCTGGGTAAAACTAGCTTGCGAAAGGGATGGAGTACTAAAGGCTGCTTGAGGTTGCTGCTGATTAGGTAATATATCTTGTTGACTTGGTTGCTGATAAGTTTGTTGTTCGCTATTCTGGTGCTGAGAGCTGTCAAAGGTAATAAAAAAATATATTGCTAATGGCCGTTTGCACCAATTTGCATTTAAACAGCGTTTATGTAAACATTATTTTTGTTACATTTGCAACATGTACAATGAAAGCTTGTTTAGTTAATCAGCGAATATTCTTGGCAACAACGTAATCTTTGCTAAGTAGCGAACTTCATATTCGTATTTGTAACTCTTCCATTGCTCCAAACAATGTTTATTCGTTTTTTAAAACGTCAGTTAGTTTTTTTAGTTTTAAGGGTATCTTCATTTTTTGCTATAGCCTTAGTGCATTCTCCGATGGTACTGCCACCATCGGAGAATACTGTAAACAACGGGCTAAACAAATAGACGGGTTTAAATAGCGAATACACGAAAAATTTGTGATAAAATTATTCTAAAAATCTTAGGAAGTATTATTTGTGAAAATTCTAAAAAAAATAAAAATGTTAATATTTTGATATATTCAGAAGGTCTAACTTGGTATTATAATTTATTATTCAAGCTAAAAAAACCTTATAGATGAGTTCAACTACGGTAGCGAGCATAGTTTTGTGCACCGGTTTAGCTAGTGGGACATAACGGGGCTATTTGGTCTATAACGAAATTTTTTAAACATACAAAAAAGACTGCTTTGACGGATGGAGTTTTGTCATTACCTTGGAGGTTGTTGCTGATGCGGATATGGCTGCTGAATAAATTGCTGCTGCGCCTGCAAGTCTGGCTGAGTCTCAATTTGCTGATACTGCTGATAAGGTTGGGAATGTTGCGGTGCATACCCCTATTAAAATGGGGTATATAAAATTTATAAAAAGAAATATGTCGTCTTTACTACCTGTTGCTGATGAACATAGTTTTCTTGTTGAAGATTTGGGTTGATTTGTGGCACTTCTATTCGACCGTCCATGTTTAACCTTATGTATAATTATGTCAATTAGTCACATGTGTTGCAGCCTTTGAATAAAAAGAATAAGGAAGGAGTATAATGCTATCCATGCATTCTTGCATGATAGACGGACAAAGCGCCCCAAGGAGGGGATTCTTGACAGTTCTGTTTTACGGTTCATTTGACACATTTGAATTTGATTTGAAATTTTGTGGATCTGTCAGTCTTTACTAAGCTTATTTTATGTTATTTGTTATTTATTCTATTACTGATAGTTGTTTAGAGATAGTAAATCTAGAAGGAAATTTTGTGGCAGAACTTTTTATCAAGAAAGATTGTAAAATAGTTGGTTGTGTAGCGTGCCGTAGATCTCGGTCAAAAATCGAGGGAAATAATGGAATAACTTTTCGCTAGTAAGTGACTATACATATAATATACATACGTGTAGTAAACAGATCATTTATAAAATTCACTTAAAATTAACTAATTATATTTTTACTTGCATTTACTATTTGTCAAAGAATTCAGATACGTCAATTTGACTTACCTGCTTCAGTAGCGTATCGGATGTTTGTGTTAATAAATAATTATTAAAACTTATCTGTTTTTATTAAAATTATATATTTTATAACAATTTCAATAATTACCAACATTTATTGACAACGTAAAATAAAACAACAAATTATTGAGTCTACCCTACTTCATATTTTTACACGTTTGGAATAAAATTAGGCACTGATAAACCGGATTAAAGTCGGCCATTTTAGGTTACTATCGCCTTCGATCTAAGTGTTTTGATATGCTCCTTCCTTAATCATTTTATTCAAAGGTTACAGCTTAAAATGCTTACTTGACTAGTTATAAAACTAGTAAATGCGCTGTTAACGAAAGTATATTACTATAGAAACGCGTTTTGACTTTTTTGGGAAAAAAATCAACTATATTTTAATATTTTTTAATAATTTTTCTCTAAAACGGTATGAAATATTGAAAATTGTAAAGGGGATTAAACATATAAGAAGAACAAAAACTTTTAAGAAAAATACATTGGTCTCAAAAAGGTAATAATAAAAAAGTTTTCCCCCTTCCCTCCAAAATTCGGGGACATACTGTAGAGTCTACAGCAATAATATTACCTATTCGAATCGTTGGAGCTTGTTACAGGATGAAACAAATCAGTCTGTGAAATAGGTTGGGTTTCGGGTACATCTGGCTCAGTTTCTCCCTGTAAATTTTGCAATTGTATATTGTATTAGTTGTTGTACTACTAATTGTAAAGATGCATTCTCACGACTCGTGTACTTGACAAACATTTGTTATTGGAATATACTCGCCATGTCGTGAGAACGGTTTCCTCGGTCACTCGTCGCGTCCCGGTCTGTCGGTAAATATAGCCCGAGTCAAAGGATCACAATAATTATTCGTACACTTGCCAAGTGTACTTGGCCAGCCTTGTCTATACTTGCCGAGACGCAAAAAAACCACTGCGCAAATAATTGTACTGTTATAGAGTATGTCTCATTTATTTCCGGATTGTAGTATTTTTCGAGTTAATTGCGGATAATTTAAAACGTTAAAACAATAATAGATTATATAATATAAAGTTTACATTAATAACTTCAATATTGGCGACATACCTAAATCGTTCTCACAGCAATAAATGGAGTGGACAAATGAAGACTACACGGGAAAAACTAGACATGTCACATTTTCATAGAAATTAAGGTAGCGATACAACTTTATAGACAAATGTTAACGTCATTCGAGAAAAAAGAAAACAATAATACGCTTAGTCCCAGAGATATTACAGCTCGGTTATTTTGCCGTACAAAGGAAAAACCAGAGTAGCCCACGCGTAAATGGCAAAAACCAGAGATGTATTTACGCATGGGCGACAAGCATGCCTCTTGCAATTAGTATTATATGTTATAAATTTATGTATTGTAATAAAAACCTACTTAAATATTAATTTTCTTCCTCCAACAAAAAAATAATAGTTTAGATTTAGCTTTTATACAACCTTTAATTGGACATCCCTGGTTTTCCCCTGTTTTGTTTTGCATTTTGACATTTTTATTTCGGTATTTCAGAATATGGCGATAATTCACAATATTGATAATTCAGAATTGGTAGTAATATATATTTTTCTAATTATTCTACCGAAAATAACATATTTCTTTAAAAACACTAACTTGCATTTTTCTCGGCTCCAATTAAAATGGAAAAAACTGGGTTTTCCCGTGTAGTCTTCAAATGATGTTGTTTTGGAATTTATGGATTTATACGAAATGAGCCCTTCATATGGATGGCCAATCATAAAGAACATAGAAATGGTATTACAGTGTACAGTAAAAGAACTTAAAAAGAAAAAAGAATCACTAGCAACGACAATTTCGGGACGATCGATATCCATCGATGCGACTATACTATTTACTTGCCAAGGATTTAAACAATGTTTGTGCTGGCGTCTCGAGCCTCTCATAAATGGACACGTCATGCGAGCGCCACATGTTGTTTACAAAGTGGGAACTGGTGGAGATACTTGCCAAGTACACAAATATTGGCGTACTTGCCAAGTAGACGAGTCGTGAGAGTGCGCCTTAATACTGCTAGATATAGTACTATTTCATACCTGCAAAATTTCTCCATGCTGAACTACATCTTCCTGAACAACATTCTGATGCATAAACTGAGCAGACGCACTTTCTTTATGGACAATTGTTTGCGATTGCATATCAGGATCAACTGAAGTTTGACGCTGAAGAATAGCCGAACAAGACTGGACTTGATTGGTACCTTGCAACGGATCAACAAACTGAGAAGGCGGTTCTTGTGGTTGGACAGAAGGTACTTGCGACGGTTGTTGTGGAGGCTCGGGAAATTGTGGCTGTGTGCTCGGTTGTGAATACATCATATCTTTATTCTACCGAGTAAAGGAAGTAGGTATATTGTTTTTTAATTTATCCAAAATTGTTCAAGATACAAAAATCAATTGTTAATATAATCAAAGCCAATGTACAGGGTGTCCCATTTTCGTGCGTTTTACAAGGTTTCTCGTTTATGAGTATAGATACAAAGATGCTGTTTTCACATTACTGTGCTACTTTTTTATGTACCTAAAGATGCTACAGACATATTTGTCCTGCTTAGTTACCCCGTCGTTGGGAACAAAAAAAAAAAAGAACAAACAAAAAACGATTTAAATTATCTAAATGCAACTATTCAAAAACACTTTGGTTTCTTTCAACACATACGTCTATAAAAACCGTTGACATTCTGTTAAAATTACGTTACTACCTGATAACAATTACTTAATGAGGTAAAAGCAAAAAGCCTGAAACTTTCTGTATATGGCTTATTTTTAATGTTTTACTTATCTTATGTTTGTTTATGTTATGTTCATTAAAATCAAACAAGTGAATATATATAAAATCAAATAAGCGATACCAATTAAACTTTTAGTTACAAAATCGTGGGCGCGATTTTGAAATTCATTGTTGCCAACCATGGACATATTCGGCGCCGCGCCGGGCTGACAAACTAGAATTTAAATTTCCCGCTCGGGATTCAGGTGGTAGTTCAGCTGTAAAAAATGTCAAGTTGCCACATTTATTTATTTCCTGACCTTGTCATTTGTTTTGACACTTTAGTTTTGTATTGTTTGGTTTAAATGTAGGTAAAGGTATATTTTTGGTTTAAATGAATTGTATTGTAATACTTTAAGCTTAAACATTTTTACTAGCAGACCTTGCAGTCGAACATTGTTCTTTTTAGAACCTCTTTTAGTGCGAAGTGTACAAGATAGCTTAATAGCCGCTGTAAAAAACTCGTCGCAACCTTGTTAGAATATTTTGAACGGGAAAGCGGTAGTAATGGCTCTTTATGTCCCTTAAGTGCTGTTAAGAAGGTGAGTTGTTTTGTTGATATTTTATATAACATTTTTTTTTAACTGTTTATATTTTTGTAATTTATTTTTGTTTCTTAAAATATTTTGATTAAAAGAAAATATGTAAAAGTGGGCAACGCTGTGCCAGTCAAGCTTAATCACGTGACTAAAAGTTTATTTGGTATGACCTATACATTACTAACTTCTACAGATGCCTGAGCAATACGTTTATTTATATTAGACTAGAAAAAAACATTTCATGGGAGTGTTTAAAAAACACTTCCACTTATAAAATAAGTATAATTTATAGTAAGTAGGTTTTTGACTTTGATTCATTTCACAATTAATTTTTTACAGTACTTATACTTAGTAAAAATACCTCTTGTTGATTATCTTGTGGTATTAACGACGATACAGACTGAGCGGATTGATGTAAATCAGAAGTAAGACTTTTTGATTGATATGCAGGCGGGTCCTGTTGAATTATACCAGGTTGTTGATACTGAGAGGCAGGCTGAAGCTAAAATGTATTAGTTATCAATAAAATCATTAAGTGCGTAATATGAAACAATTACTGGCTGTTGAGACTGTGTATTCTGTTGACTTTGGTTGATTTGTGGCGGTTGTTGTTGAGTAATTTGGTCAACTGTAAATAAAAAGTATCGAAGATTATTTCTAAACACTTATTTCTAAGACAGGCAAGAAAAATGAACGACTTAAAATTTTCTGCCCGATTTTGATGATTTTTTAAGCAATTTGTAGCTAAATTGTAAAATTCATGGAGAATAGACTTGCCTTGTTGTAAGTATTGTTGATATTGCTGTGCCAAGACTTCGTTTTCTTTGTTCTGCTTTTCACGCTCTTTATTGATCTGAACTATTTGAGTTTTCAGTAACTGAGAAACCATTTTGGCATCTTCTTCAAATATTATTCCCGATTTTGCCTAAAACAGGAACTTTCTTAACTCAAATATAACCGGATGTTTAAAGCTTCATTCATAACCCCGAAATTAGTAGAATAAATTAGGGATTTTAATTATACCTTATGGTTATGAGTTTACAATCATTCACAATGTCTAAAAAAACAATTAAAATTACTAGAATATTCTAGCAACAGCTTGCAATACTCAGTTGTATCCATATAGAGAAAGCCTAATAATTAGCTTATAAAACAATAAACTTTTCACTTCTAACAACAATTTCTCTTGACAGATAATAATAAAATGCAATGGCATTGTTCGCTAATTTTGAAATATATTTAGTGGAATATACAGGGTGTCCCAGGCTGAGCGTGCATTAGAAGTTTCTAGAGAACTACAACATCTAGCTCGGAGATTTTTTGCATTTTTTTATTATGTACTTAAATTCTCTGTAAAATTTTATGAATTTTGATATTAAACACTCTATATCTAACATTAACAGCTTTTGAGAAAAAAAATATTTAAAATTTTTCAACGAAAAAAACTGCCTGTCAAAAATATGAGTATAGCCTAAACGTCAAATTTAGTGATTACCACAGCCACTGTGCATGTGGCTATCTATTTCGAACATTAAATTGTTCGAATGTCATATAACAATGGCCGCAGCTGTCACAGAATTGAGCGATTAAATTATTTTTTCAAATGGAAACCCACTTTTTTTATTTATTATTTTTTTTATTTTATTAATTCGTTACTTTTTAAACGGTTTTATTTAGCTCGACCCGTACGGTATTTATTTATTTGGGTCAAAATTAGAAATTGAAATTTAAGTACCTTCCTGTTGTCAGATTGATCTGAAATTTGGTACACACCTTTAGTTCCGATGACAATACAATATAGTAATATCAATAACATTGTAAATCTAAGATGGCCGCCGGTACAAAATGGCGGATTTCATATTTTTCCACAACCCCCTCAATATGGGTATCAAATGAAAGGGCTACACAAGTAGAATACTGTGATTATGACAAAATTTAAAATCCAAGATGGACGTCGTTACAAAATGGCGTATTAGGTGAGGGCATGAGCAGTCGTGTCCAGAACAGTTGTGTCCAAGATTGTGTGACGTTAGAAGGACAGATAAAAAAAATAGGTGATTAGATGTATCTACGTAGTTAGCGGTAGCTTTACCACCCAAGTTAAGGTAATAGGTTAAAATGTGCTGAGGACTGTATGGCATTAGGGTGGCTAAAAATGTAATGTCGCAAGCGTTTCCCCTCAAGATTGGGCGCCTCTTGTTGTATATTATAGCTTTGCCCCTCTACTGGACCTCTGGGGTCGACCGTTAAAATGTCCATTACTCGTGGGAACAACATGGAAACAATAAATAAAAACACAAACAAAAATAAAAACGAAACTGCTACACAACGAAAAAGAAGGCTCGAAAAGGCGAAAGAAAAGTATAGAACGAAACGTGCAAAAGAAAGTGAAAATGAAACTTATAGTCGACTACAGAAACGAAGAGAACGGTTAGCAACAGAAACACCTGAGCAACATGATGCCAGGTTAATAGCACAACGTGAGAGACAAAGGCAGCTGGTAGAGTCAGAAACACCTGAGCGTCATGAGTCCAGGCTAGCATCACAACGTGATAGACAGAGAGAGTTGTTAGCGGCAGAAACACCTAAGCGTCATGAGTCTAGGCTGGCATCACAACGAGAGAGACAAAGAGAGTTGTTAGCGTCAGAAACACCTGAGCGTCATGAGTCTAGGCTGGCATCACAACGAGAGAGACAAAGAGAGTTGTTAGCGTCAGAAACACCTGAGCGTCATGAGTCTAGGCTAGCATCAGAACGCGACAGACAAAGAGAGTTGTTAGCGTCAGAAACACCTGAGCGTCAGATTGTCTAAATTATCAGCATCAGAACGCGACAGACAGAGAGAGTTGTTAGCGTCAGAAACACCTGAGCGTCAGATTGTAATAAATTATCAGGTAAAAAACCATGCAATAATGATGCACTAAATGAATTAAATAGAGAATATTCGGTAGGCATTTCCGTTAAATACTAAAAACTAGAAAATAAAAAATCGGTAAAAAAACTTTTAAGTTAAACGGTTTTATCTTATGTGCACTGAAAACTAGAAAATAATAATAACAATTAGGTATTTTGAACTTCTAGTTCAGAAATATTTTAGTACTAGGCAGAATAGTTTTTAAGCATATTAGACTAAAATAAAAACGTGGGGCCCATTAACTATTGCTGTAATACTTTCTTCTATATAAATATATAGCGAACGCCGAGTTCATGATCTACCAAAGTATAAAGATATGCTTTGCCATAGGTAGGATTTCAGAGGGGCCCCACGTTTTTATTTTAGTCTAATATGCCTAAAAGCTATTCTGCCTAGTACTAAAATATTTCTGAACTAGAAGTTCAAAATAGCTAATTGTTATTATTATTTTCTACTTTTCAGTGCACATAAGATAAAACCGTTTAACTTAAAAGTTTTTTTACCGATTTTTTATTAACTATACATGTTCCTATACCTCAAATAAATCGTTTTTGAGTTATTTAAGATTTAGTTTTAAAGAGTATATTTTTCTTGATTTTAACCAGTTACTTTAAACGTCAAATAATGTAAAACAATAGATCTGACCATGTCATATTGTGACGCTTTGTACAAAAAGCAGAATCAGTTTCGAGCCAACTTTGCGCTGTTTTTTTACGATTATACGGAATATTATTAATAATATCAACTAAAATTACAAATTATTATTTATTATTAATTTTTTACAAAAAATAACTATTTTATTTTGTAGATTTTTCTTGCAGTGCAATGGCGAAAAACCGATAAGGATTTTTTTGGATAGATGAATCCGCCACATAGGTATAGACATTTTTTATCAACTAAAATATCACTAAAGAGCGAAAATACGAGATATATTTTTATAAATACACTTTTTAAACTCTTAAGCAGGCAGTATTTATACTATAGGAAATTCAAATAATTCGTTTTCTGACAGACGGAAATAAATTGTCTGACCGTTTGACACTTAATGTCAAAGGAAGCTAGATAAAATCAAGAAAAATATATGTTTTCAAACTCAACCTTAAATAACTTAAAAACGATTTATTTTAGGTATAGGAAAATGTATAGTTAAAAAGTAATGAATTGAAAACCCGTTTCATTAGTGAAATAAATAAGTGAGTTTCCATTTGAAAAAAATGATTTATGATAATTTTTAATCACTCAATTCCATGACAGCTACCGCCATTATTATATGATATTTGAACAATTTAATTTTTGAAATAGATAGCCACGTCTTCTCTTTATGGCACAGGGGCTGTGGTAATCACTAAATTTGACATTTAGGCTATATAAATTTTTTGACTATATAGTTTTTTTCGTCCAACAATTTTAAATATTTTTTTTTCTCAAAAACGGTTAATGTTAGATATAGACTGTTTGACATCAATATTCATAGAATTTTACAGATAATTTAAGTATATAATAAAAAATGGGGGCACCCATTTAAAATAAGAAAGTTGCTGTCAATTTCCGATATTTTCAGAAATGCCGCCATATTGAAAATATTTTTAATCAATAGATCTCGTTGTAAAACAATAATGTGCAAAAAATCTAGATCTAGATATTGTGGTTCTCTAGAAACTTATAATGCACGCTCAGCCTGGGACACCCTGTATATTTGCTGTTTTTTCTACTAATTGAAAATTACTATCACTAATTTTGACATTCTGTAAGTTAGTTTATTTATTATAATAAATTATTTTCTCTTTACCATCTTTCACATAAGTCCACAATAACAGAGTTAGTTTACTTTGAAAATTAAATGAATTATTTGTTGTTGCTTTCAAAGCATGATTTATCAAAAACTTGACAATAAATTGATGGTTTATTAATTGTTATATTTACCATTTCTTCGGCAATTGCATCGTATTTGTCGGTTTGGGTATCAAACTCGAATTGTATAGCTTCATTTTCCTTATGTTTGTGGGTTCTCTTTTTTGGATCGATAACCCTCAGCCTAAACACGATTTTTTTATCTTCTTGAGACACAACTTCCACCTAAAATTAATAAACAATTTTCAAATCAATAAAAGTATAAAAAACAAGAATTTCACCTTTAAGCCCACATCTTCTTCAAAGAAGACATGTTGTAAAAGATCCTTAATCTTGGGCCGATCTTCTTTTCTAGGCCTGATACAACTTTCTATCACGTCTTTTATCTCAGGGTTCTGGACTTTCTCAAAACTTGCCGGTTTAACGCCCTGAAAAAATCGTTATACAGTATGTTGCATCGCCCCCGATGTGTACAGGGTGTCACATTTTCGTGTGTTTTATCGGGTTTCTCATAGCAAAGCTCATAATCCCATTTAAAATGACATAAGTTTGGGTAATATTTTAAGAATGGCAGTTCCCATCAAAAAACTTGTTAACACACTGAATTCTACATGAAAAACTAAAAAATAGTAGAGCAATGTAAAAATCGCATCTTTGTAGCTCTACTCATAAACGAGAAACCCTGTAAAACACACGAAAATGGGATACCCTGTACAAATCAATAATACTAAAATCCGCCGACACTGTATTTGCTGTCCTCCGTTCACGCAGTTGAGCAGCTCTGAACTATTCAAGAACGCGATACTCTCACTCCATTCAATTGAGTCATAAAGCTCCAGAACTGTTCCGCGCCATATGGAGGCACCAGGCTATCGCGCACCGCTCCTTTCAGAACCGTTCTCGAGTAGCCCCAGGGCGTAAAGCCCGGAACTCTAAGTTCGCGAATGGAGGACAGCAATTGCGAACAATTTCAATTATTGTGGATCGCTAGTGTTAGTCAATTTTATTCGTGCTCAGGGTTGGGTATGTAGAAAATTTTATATTTTCTACCGTATTTTCTACACGTAGAAAATTAGTTTTGTATATTGTAAGCTTTTTTTTGAGTTTATATTTATTTCAAATACTTCAATCACAACGATTAGTACAAGAAATAAACTAATAACAATATGTCTAATTGTTATTTATTATTTAACAAATGGATAGTATATAGTATGTTAAAAAAAGCTCAACTATTAACTTCCGTATTATTTTAAATTGATATGTACAACGGGAGGATGCGTTACAGTGACAGTTGTGTCATTATAATTCACGGCATATCGTATTTTCTGTCATCTTATGGATATCATCTGTCGAAATCTTCCTTGATTTCTTCCACACTACAGTCGAAGTTTACATATATCTTAAAAGTTTTCAAAAGTGTCAGAAGATCAAAGTTTACAGAATAATTCTATGAAATTCTATGAACTTAGATAAGACTCAAACAGAACAACAAAAAAATAACATCTAACATAATGAAAGTAAGAACTACAAACTACAATAATTATTATATAGGTACACAGAGAAGACCGGGGCTACTAGTAACATAGTAGGTTACGTTCGTACTCGAGATTCACTGCCGGCTGGTCAGGCAGTAAGCAGTTACAGTTGTGCTTGGACGGGTCGGCCGTGACAGACTAGGAATACGACGCGAGGAGTGCCGAGTATTTATTATTTTTATTTTAAGTTTTTACCTTTACTTAAGGTAACCTTTAAAATAAAAATACTTAAATATTTATTATTTGAGTGTTTTTACAAGCCAAAACTTAAAATAAATAAATTCTCTAAACCCAAAACTCATTTCCAAAATTAAAAAATACATCAATAAAATAAAAAAAACTAAAATATTACTCTAAATAAAAAAAATTATAACAAGTGTTCAAAAAAACCACCTTCTTGTGCTAGACAGAAGCCTAGGCGGTCGTAACATCCCCGTCTGACATTGGCTAACATATTAGGCTAATAGTTTGGAAAGCCTCTCGTATTTTTACTTGAAGCTCATCCAGATTATTAGCCCTATTATGACCATACAGTTTGGATTTTACATAACCCCACAAAGAGAAATCATTAGGAGAAAGATCTGGTGATCTAGCGGGCCACAAAATAGTTCCATATCCACTAATTAAACGGTGGGAAAAAGTATTGTTGAAATATTCTTGAACAATACGGGCATTGTGAGCGCAGGGCAACAATCTTGTTGAAACCAGACATTATGGAATCTTTCTCCCAATAACTCACGAATTCTAGGGACAATGTGCTGCTGTAACAAGTCCAAATACTTTTCAACAGTTAAATTACCCTTTATAAAAAATGGACCAATCATATGCTCCCCTACAAAATCACCCCAAACGTTTAGCTTTTGAGGATATTGCGTGCGTACCCCAAAATATCTGTGCAAATTTTCCCGAGACCAATATCGTACTTGTTTAGGGTTATGACGACTTAATAAAAGAAAACTTGATTCGTCGGTGAAATCTATACACCACACATTTTGGAAACACCATTTTACAATTTGAAACATCCATTATTTTACATAAAAAATAAATTTTACACGAGAGCTGTCGCGAGAATCTATGTATACGTTGTGGCTATTAAAACACGAATAAATACAAATTCTGAAACATTCTTATCACATATTTACCTATTTTTATTTTATCGCATTTTTTCGCCTGCTTTTTATCCGGCGGACGGGTATACGCTAATTCGTCCGAGATCTGCCTATGTTACTAGTACGGTGGTCCAGTCTGTATAGTTTATGAAACTAGAGGCTTTCTATGGTAATATTAAAAAAGGAACAACGAAAAATTTTAAAGAAAAAAATCAAACCTTTCAGTACAGTTTTCATATTAAACAGAAAAAATATTCTAATAGTCTTTAGATCGATTACTGTCTCTTATCTTCAGGGAGTTAGTACCGTTACAGAATAGAGACACAGCGCGCGCACATATTACAGTTTTAAAAAAGAAAAAAACGGCTTTAAATATACAAAATTAATTTTGTACTTGTCGTCAGATTTTATACACTTTCCAATATTCTAAGCACTTTTCTACATACACGTAAAAAAATAATTTTCTACGCGTCGCGTCGTTGCCCACCCCTGCATGCTTACTCTATATGGCTATAATGAATTACTACAATAACAATGATAGAAAACTACTTACCGATATAACTTTCTTGTAAATTTGACCAGGTCCAGTGCACTCTGAATAAGGATATTCGCTGGTGGCCATTTCAAGCATGCACATACCAAACGCATAGACATCAACACCTTCGTCGTAATGTTCTTCATACATTTCCGGCGCCATAAATTCTGGAGTACCAATAACCTAAATTAAAAAACAATATTTTAGCAAGTGCAAAATCCGTAGCTAATTATAAAATGTATACTACATAAAACAGATTTTTTTAAAATTGTAAACCATAAATTTTTGGGACTACAAATATACTTTGTGCAGTAACATACAAACCATTTTTCCAAAATAAAACAGAAAATCCATTAAAACACAAAATTTTTCAAAGTTTAGGCTTTCAAAATCCGTCACAATTTTATTGTATCTTCATTATATTATGTATGATAATTTATCTAAAAGCTTGATTGTGGATAAAAAACAATAAAATTTTGGCTGAAAATAACTTTTCTTATCAAAATAAAAATGGAAAACTGTCATCAAAAAAGACAAATTCAAAACGTGACATATCATATGTCTATCTTCCCCTCACCCATTCATTGAGAGAGTAAAATATAATCCTTGAATCCACTTAATTTGCTACGATGCCAAGTCTTGTACTTTCTCGCTTGGTTAGATATTTTTATTAGAATAAGTTTATACTTTAATCTTAGATCTTATAAAATTCGTGGATAAGTAAATTCGCTTCATTTTTGTTGAGGACACGTCAGTGACATTCGACTATCTGATTAATATTTTTAAATACCTTCTACTGAAAAATATTGTAGCAGGAGATGTCAAATGAAACTGTCCTCTTGTAAATTTACTATATGACATTGATGTAAATAAATTATAACAGTAATTAGCTTAAGCGGAGTTCTTACTCTTTTATTAAGAGTAAGAACATCTCTAGAAGTTACCGAAATAAATTTATTTAGAGGTCATTGATATTTACTATAAACTAACTGACTATTTTTGAATATTATTTTTATTTTTTTTTATTCTTTGACATTGTAAACATTTATATAAATGTTTATTTTAAACAATAAGACTGACAATATTATTTGTATAATGTTTTGTATTATCTTTTGTTTGTTTGTTTGTGTACCTTGTTTGTTTACTTTGTTTGTTTACTTTACCTTTGTCTACAAATTGTAAAATTTTTTGACAATAAAAGCATTTATTTATTTAAGTTCAAAAATCAGAATGTACCAAACAACGATACGACCAATAGTGCTGTATGCATGTAAAACGTGGACGTTCAATGCAACGGAAAGTTCGAGGCTAGAGATTTGGAAGGTTTTTGGAGGAAAGAAGATAGACAACATATGGACCAGAAGAACAAACGAAGAATTAAAGCAACTCTATCGGGCACCGAGTATAACGGAAGTAGCAAGAGCACAAAGATCAAGTCACTTTCATTCTTTCCCGCATTTCGCAAAGCTCTGAAATCATACTTACTGGAGAGAGCCCTATATGCGGTAAACGACTTTTTTGTTGATGTTTAATCATGAACAATTTTGAATTTTAAAATTTTGATCATCTCACACACTGGTTAAAGGTCTAGTATTTAATATTTTATAACTCTTGATTTTATGATATATAACATGATTTTATCCATTTACAGTTTTCCTTTTGTAAAATTTTCTAGATACGCCTGTGTTCTGCAATGTCCATGTATGTTTTATTTGTAATTTTAATGACGTAAATTTTTTTGAATTGATTTGTATTGTATGACATTTTTTTATTATTTGCATATTTGTTTTTGTGCTTTTTTGTTTTGTGAATGCTTTGTCGATGAAGCTGTTTTGGCTTTTTGTACAATAAAGCGTTTTTTTAAGACTGAGATGGCTGGGACACATTGAAAGAATGGCTGAAGCAAGAATTCCTAGTATGATAATGAAAGTGAAATAGATGGAAAAAGGAGGGGTAGACCGAAAACCAGATGAAGAAAGGATGTTAAAGAGGAGTTGAGAAGGAGAAGAGTGGATGGGTGGAGAATAAAGGCGAAAGACAGAAACAAATGGAGAAAGATAACCAGTCAAGCCATGAGCCTTTTAGGCTTTTAGAGCTATTATATATATATAATGCCACTTACCGATTTTGCGAAACTCCTGTTTTTCAAAGTAGCTAATCCTAAATCCCCAATTTTAACCGATCCAGTCGTTCCAGTAATAAATATGTTATCGCATTTCAGATCTCGATGTATTATAGGTGGCGATCGAGAGTGTAGAAACGCTAAACCCTTCAGGATTTGACGGCACCACGATTTCAGTACTTTGGGATTGATTTTCTTGAAGCGACGCAAATACCTTAAAACAGTAATGCAATCTTTAAAATGAAAATAAATATTTATTTACCATCCATTATCATTACCATTTTAATCCACTGAATAAGAAGACTTAAAGAAGAAGTCTCATACACTGAACAATTTTGGACAAGCCTTTGAATAAAAAGATTAAGGAAGGAGTATAATGCTATCCACGTATTCATGCAGTGGGGTGGGCATCCTTGACAGTTCTGTTTGACGACTCATTTGAATTTGATTTGAAATTTTGTAGACTTGTCAGTCTTTACTGAGCTTATTTTATGATATATGTTATTTATTCTACTACTGATAGTTGTTTAGAGGTAGTAAATCTAGAAGGAAAGTTTTTTATGGCAAAATTTAAATTAACAGTGACACTATTGCGATTTATTGAAAAAGACTGTAAAATAGTTAGTTTTGTAGGTGGTTGTGTAGCGTGCGGTAGATCTCGGTCAAAAATCGAGGGAAATAATGGAATAACTTTTCGCTAGTAAGTGACTATACAGGGTGTCCCAGAAATAAGTGCAAGTATTTTAAGGGGTGGTAGATCTCGATAAAAGAAACATATTTTCTCTTTATCGTTTTTCAAATATGTAAGTCCAAAATAACGGAGTTAAACCAAACCAAACCAAAAAAAGGTTTTTTGCTAAAATTTTCAGAACCACTGAATATTTTCTGGATTTTTTTTCTTGTAAATTTAATCTAATATAGGGAAATTGGAACAACTTTCGTTGCACGTCATCAATGACGCTATGCGTCGTCTTATGGAGTTTGCTGGTGGTCATATTATAATGTGCAACAAAAGTTATTTTAATTTTCCTATACCTATGTTGCCATATTATCAAGAAATTATGTTTTTTAACTAAAAACTAAAAAAAATTCCAAAAAATTTTTCAAAAAATTTCGAATTTTCCAAAATTTTTTTTCGCAAAAAAAACCTCATATAGTAAACGCCACGAATGTTTGGGAGTGATTCATCGGTCGCTACCATGTGAACTAATCTGTTCAAGGTTACATAAAACTTAATTCCAGTGCCGTGGTGTTTCAAGTCATATAATAATCAATATATAATCTGTTGTAATTTGTTGTTTTAACTGTCAAAGTCTTCTCAAAACATATATTTGGTTATAAATATAAAATGGAATGCCCCATTGGTCGCACTGCAAGCACACCAATGGACTGACGCACAAAAACGAATCAATCAAAGAAACGCGATATAGTATTGTCTTTGTCAATCACGCTAACATTTTAGAATAAGTAGTACGTAGTATAGTATAATTACTCTAGGCATGTTTCTGGGGTTGAACTATGCTACCAGTTAAAATACTTGCACTTATTTCTGGGACACCCTGTATAATATACACATGTGTAGTAAACGGATCTTTTTTGAAATTCATTTAAAATTAACTAATTATATATTTTTCTTGCATTTTTGCTTTTATTTACTACTTGTCAAAGATTAGACATTAAAGAATTTAGATACGTCAATTTAAATTAACTGCTTCAGTAGCGTATCGGATGTTTGTGTTAATAAATAATTATCATAACTTATCTATTTTTATTAGAATTATATATACTTATAACAATCTTAATAACTACCAACATTTATTGACAACTTAAAATAAAACAACAAATTATTGGATCTACTCTACATCATATTTTTACACGTTTTGAAAAAAATTAGAACGCCACTGATAAACCGGAAGTCGGTCATTAAAGGACCCCATCGCGTTCGATCTAAGATTTTTGATATGCTCCTTCCTTAATCTTTTTATTAAAAGGGACGAGCCGATCTTAAATAATTTAAGAAAGATTACATCTATTTTTAAATTAAAATTGAACTGGTAACAATACAAAACCAGGCAAATGCCAAGGCAACATACCTTCAGTTGTCAACTTATGATTTTATAAATGTCAAATTGTATTTTCCAAATGTAAAGCTTAATTCAGAACCTCCAAATTAGTGAAGTTACTAATTATACTTCAAAATTTGCGAGTAATGTCATTTTCGTCTTTGATTGTCATCCGCCAAGAAAAGAAGCGGTTAGAAATTGAGAAGTTTATTGTTTTATAAGCTAATTATTAGGTTTTCTCTATAGATACAACTGACTAACGCAAACTGTTGCTAAGATATTCTATTAATTTTAATTGTATGTTTTAAACATTGTGAATGATCGTAAACTCAAAAGTATAAAGTATAATTTGAAACCACTAACTTATTCTACTAAGTTCGAGGTTCTAAATGAAGCTTAACATTTCGTTAGTCTTTTATACAAAGTCCCAACTCTTAATTTTTAAATACCTACGTTTTCAATGTTCCGCTCAGCATCAGTTCAGTAACTAAGACAATATTCTTCTTCTTTGTACCGGGGCTTTCCCAGTAATTATAAAATCGCACGATGTTGGGATGTTGTAGTTTTTTAAGCATCTCTGCTTCCTCCCGAAACCTTTGCCGCTCCGCCTTGTTTAGTTTCTTTTCCTGTAATTCGCACCAAGCAACTGCTACACCGGTTTGCGTATCCAGTCCTCGATAAACTGTCTTAAACGAACCACGCCCGATTTCTTCTTCATATTTGAAAAATCTACAAATAAAGAAGTTTAGCTAGAGAAGCTGAACAAATTAGGCAAAGAAAGTAGAGTCATTTTACTCTGGGTGGTAGCCAACTAAGGAATAGAAGGTAATGAAAAAGCAAACGATGTAGGTAATGATAAAGCAAACAATGTACTAACCTAACAGTGGACAACCAAGTGGAAATCAACTTAAAGCGGAACTCAAGAAGCTAGAAGACTCAATCCGTGACCTGGAATGTAGGGTTTCCGAAACTGGAGCTGGTTTTCGGAACCGGGAATTTCCCGGTTTTTTTTCGGTACTTTCGGTACTGACTAAATTTTGTTCAATGGTAGTGCAATTCATCAATCAGAAAGCAAGTGATGGTTTTTCAAAGCAAAATGGATAAAAAATTAAATTTTTAATGAAAATAATATCAAATTATTAAGTAATCAGTCATGAAAAAATTAACATGAACACAAGTAAAGGAAAAAGTATAGGTAACTTAAATTTCACATCAAACAACATAAACCAACTTAACTGAATTTGAGACTAAAGTCCTAAAATATTGAATTAAAAATGCAAACATATTAAAACATAACATAATAAATATTATAGGAACTTCAAAAGAGAAAAGAAGCAAGAAAAATAAGAAATAGCATCATTACTTATTTAGAAGAGTTTGATTTCGACCGCTAGAAAGTATCAAAGGACTTTCTCACATAACAAAAAAATATTTTTTTTATTATTGTTACCGAGGCCCGGTTCTGTGATGGCCAAAAAAATCTGAACCCTAATTGGTAGTATTAATTAGAGTTTCCAGAACCGTACTAAAATATTTTTATTCAACGATGGTGGAGTTCGTCAATTAGCAAGCAAGGGATAGTTCTCAAATGTAAAACCGATAAAAATTGAGTTTCAAATGAAAATAATACCAAATTAATAAGTCACGCAAAAGTAAAAATGAACCCAAATAATAAACACAAGCGAAAAAAAAAACAAGAAAACACATACGTAGTTTAAAAATTACATCAAACATCAACCAATCTCGAAACCAACTTAACTAAATTAGAAAAAAAAACTTAACATATACAATTAAAGATGCAAATGACATACATTATAAAACATAACACAATTGTAATGATTCTTTGATGTCTTAAAAGAACCGAGAATTCCCGGATTTCCCGGTTCTGAATCCTACTGGAATGGGAATCCTTCAATGGTCTAAGACACTCGGAGACATTTCTCAGAACTTACGGCCGAGAAAAATCAAAGATTTTCCTTGATTTAAGTAAGAATTTTAGTTGTAGAATCGATTGGTCAAATACAAAAAAAAAAGTGAAACCAAGCCTATTATATACAGTGTTTTAACACAATCACAAATTTTTATTATATTTACCTTCCATCCGGACTGACAGCTATCGGCCTATAAACATCGTCATCGTCATCTTCAGTTCTAGCCCTTCTTTCAGCTAAATTGACCACAAGCGGTTGCTCAACATCCAAATTATTCTCCGCGTTCTGATCATGCCGATCTATTGTTTGTTCAGTGATCTCAGTCATTTCGGCACTTTGAAACAGATTCTTAGGAATGTTGTACATTGGACCAATCTTAAATATCAATAAAAATAAAAGATTGCTATATATTTACACTATTTTAAATCAAAGAATTCTTACTTCTAAGAGCATCATGTTGTTTTGTTGTAGATCAATATCGTCTTCGGCGTTTGAATCGGTCTCGATGGCTATCATTGTGGTAACGCCGCCGTGTTTGACAAATTTATCTTTCTTTTTCTGGTGACGTTGCCTTTCTGTTATCTCCTTTTCGAAGTTTTCACTAAGGTCCTTGATAATCTGCAATAATTAACAAAATATTTTATAATAAATACACTTACCAATTCCATATTTTATTACAATTTAATTGAGCCTGAAGTATTATAATAATTACTGTATTATACAGGGTGCTACAATTTCAAATTCGCCATGTATTTTAGAAACTAAAAAGGCTAGGACAAATATGTGTGTAGCATCTTTGTAGCTATACTCATAAACGAGAAACCCCATACAACACACGAAATCGAGACACCCTGTATATAGTTAAAAAAAACAACTGCTACTAACCTGATTCACAGCTACTTGGGAATCTGCCATTTCACAACAGGAATCGTGATATTCCTCGTAATCCTCAACGAAATTCTTCGCATCTATTAAATTATCGCTAGATGGCGCTTTCGTTGGTTTTTGATAGAGGTTAGGTAAAATATTTCCTGTGTTACAACGAATTCTCGACTATAAAAGAGAAAAGAAACGATATATTAAATAAAATTTAATCAAACAATGTCTAATACAACCTTATATCCGAAATCGGAAAATGTTTCTTTTGGAATTTCTCCTTCATTTGATTTAGGCTTATTTTTAGGTTCATTATTGTCCTTTGCTTTCAGTAACAATTGGTTCTTTTCAATTATATCTACTGCCATATCCAAAATATAATTCAACACCGACTCAACGATTTGACGTACGTCTGAATCCGATCCTATCCACGGAAAATCTATAAACAATAGAGGTTTGTATTCCACAATCGCACTACGATATTCTTAATTATAATAAGCACATTTTTTTTGTAAAAAAATGTGAATGGGTGGCATTTTATTTTTTCGTATGCCGGGTGTTTCTGAAAAGTCGCTCACCCCTATAACTTTTTTTATTTTTTCAGATAAAAAAAACGATATTTGGTGTGATAGTATATCACATAAATTAGGATCGATTGACGTATTCAATTGTTTTCGATCACTTTCTGTTTCGCCTTGGTAAAATAGATTTGATCGTCTAATGTTGTTCGTGTCTTGTCCCGGCCAGTTAAAAAATGCCCAAATCGTATTTTTAATAATATCTCAATTTTTTCAAATTGAACTAAGATGGCTCATTAATATATTGGAATTAGGCATTTTTTACGAATAATTTGGTACCACACACTTGGAATTTCGAGTCAAATTGTCGTTAAATTGTAGTTGCAATTTCAATTAAACCATATGCAAAAGTACTCCGACTGTCCGTTGTGATGAAGACTTCCAGATGCCGTACTGGTGGAACGAAGATATCCAAATAAACATTTTAGAAGTAAAAAAAAGAGAAGAAGGTTTTAACGAGAAACAAGAAACGATGATCTTCGCGAGCTCTATAAACGTACCTACAAAGAAGCAAAGCAGGATCTGTCTCAAAAGATCAGAATTGCAAAAATAAGTTCATGGGAAAAACTCTGCGATGACTTACAAGAAAATGTTTACGGTCAAGCATACAAGATAGTAAGATCCCAGCTGAAAAAAATGCCACCCAGAGTTCAAATGGACCCAGAAGAAAAAATCAAACAGTTTAAGGCTCTATTTGTATATGAGAGAGAAACCTGGACTCAACCAAATAATATACAAACTGTGATAAGAGAATGTGATATTTTTTGTGATTCAGATATACTTAATAAATGCTGCCAAAGATATAAAAATTAACAAATCTCCGGGCTGTGATAATTTGCCACCAAATGTGATAAAAACGCTAATATTGGACAATGTAGAATATTTTAGAACATTTTTCAATAACTTTCTTCAGAGAAATGAATTCCCTAAAGAATGGAAGAGATCCAAATTAACCCTAACAGAGAAACCCCGGAAGCACCTAAATGATCCACCAAAATATCGTCCGATTTGCCTCATTGATGTAATCGGGAAAGTCTATGAGAAACTCATCAATACGCGACTCTTGGAAGAAATTAGAAAGAAACGAAATGGTATGCATCCAAACCAGTATGGATTTGTAAAGGGGAAATCTACCACACATGCAATGAAGAAAATATCGGATATCGTGAAAAGAAAAGCCACTTGGCATAATGCTTTGATTTTAGTCGACGTTAAAAATGCATTTAATTGCGCGTCATGGGAAATAATTATTAAAGAACTTAGAAGATGGGGCATAAGTGGCTATTTGGTGAACATAATAAGAAGCTATCTTGATAATAGATTTATAGTTCTCAATAGAGAAGATGAAAGAGAGGTATTCGGTGGCGTCCCACAGGGCTCGGTGCTGGGGCCAACTCTGTGGAACATATTATACGACAGTGTCATGGAGCTTACTGTACCAGGTGGGACAGAGTTGATCTGTTACGCCGATGACCTTGCTGTGATAATAACAAAAAAAACTAAAAGAAACAAAAAAATAAACGACCTCGACCTAATGCAGACTGTAGATGATACACTAAAGATCATAGCTAGATGGATGCGTGAGCAAAGACTCGAAATAGCTGTGGAAAAAACAGAGGCGATTTTACTGAGCCGCAAGAGAAAAGTTGATCCAGTAAAGCGAGTAAAGCAAGTCAACTATCTTGGATTCCACATAGACCGTACACTCACGATGGGCCTGCACATCAAGGAGGTGTGTCTGAAATCACAACGAACTGCTAAAGCGTTGTCCGCAATACTGCCAAACGTTCGGGGCCCAACACCAGCAAAGAGAAGAGTGTTAGCATATGCGTGCCAGAATATTATTATGTATGGAGCACCTGTGTGGAACGAAGCAACCAATATGCACGTAAATAAAAAAAGACTTGAAGGTGCACAGAGAGTCATGGCTTTGAGCTCGGCGTATCGAACAACTTCAACTGAGGCAGCCTTGGTGATATCGGGTCTGGTGCCCTTGCATCTTCTCTCAAGAGAAAGAGAACGACTCTCAAGTGTGAAGTACAAACCAGGGCAAGCAGAGAGATGAAGAGAAACTGCACAGTGCAGCAGTGGCAGGCAGAATGGGAAGTATCACAAAAAGGAAGATGGACATATAAGCTCATCCCAAATATAAATATGTGGATTAAAAGAAAGCATGGAGAGGTAAACTTCAATCTTACTCAAATATTGAGTGGCCACGGAAATTTTGGGAGTTACCTGTGTAAAATTGGAAAGAGGGAAGTCAGCGGAATGCCGATACTGTGCTGAACCCAATGATACTCCAGAACACACAATGTTTGCTTGTCCAAGATGGGAACAGAAAAGATGTGAGGCACGCATGACGATTGGTGGCAACATATCCGCAGATACCTTCTTAAAATCGGTAACAGAAAGAAGAGAAAACTTTGAAGCCATCTCAAAACTGGCCCAAAATATACTAGAGGCAAAATACAGCGAAGAGCAGGGGTAATGACAAAAAAGGAACAGTCCGACGCTACTTGTCGTTAAATTGTAGGCAGCTTAAGGAGAGATTGAGTCCCACACTCCGTACATAAAGGTATTTTACACCTCAAAAAAAAAAAAAAAAAAAAAAAAAAGTGTCAAAAGGTGACATATGATAATGATAAAAATCAAAAGTTGTAGTCATTTTCAGTAAAACAGGAAGTGACCGAAAACAATTGAATACGTCAATCAATCCTGATTTATGTCATATTCTAACGCACCAAATCTCGTTTTTATCTGAAAAAATAAAACAGTTATAGGGGGTGAGTTACTTTTGAGAAACACCTGGTATATCTTTAAGACTTTTATCATCCCGGTATACGAGCAAAACGCGTGTCATCTAGTTACGTTTAATATAAATGTATGAGATCAAGACTTTGACTCTTTTTTGTTTTGTATCTTTTTCTTCCTTCTTAATTTACAAATCAGTCTCTTTGAAATTTATTTTATTTATAAAGATTTAAAAGACTTACCGTTCTCATTAGACCTCCCAAACAACTGAACGTTACAAAACCTTTTCCTGAACGGTGCCAGGTTATCGATGATGTTGTCATAGGGTATACTGCTACAGCTGTGAGTCCTGTTCTTTTTCTCCGAGTGAAAATCTATAGCGTTCTGTTCGTCCATCAGTTTCATGAAAGTGTAGCGATTTAAGCTAGTAGTTGTCGTCACAATTTTCGTGGTTTCGATGTCCGTTGTAACCGTTTCTATGGTGGTAACTTGTTCTCCCGAAGTCGCTTTTTTGTGAGAGGTTTCTGGATTTGGCGTATCGGATCTTAAATCTAAAAAAAAATATATGATATTGCTGATATAAAAGTAAAGTAAAGATTTCAGTTAACGTCTCCTTTTTGCTGCCAGGGCTAATCTGAACGGGGCCTACTTTGTTTTACGCGGAATCCGAACCGCGGTCCTCGGCCATATCATGGTCAATGGCCTACCGACTTGGCAAGTGTTTAAATCGACTCTTACTAACGAGATATCCGATCTCATCCGGCCTCGAACCGGCGTGAATGAGCAGTGTGTGTCAATAGATTTTACACTTTTGCCTTTATTGGACAACAGCACGATACAGAGTTTCGAACCGGTCACCCGTACATCCACTAGTATCTCCTTACGTCGCTTAACTTCGGTGTTCTAATGGGAACCGGTGTTTCGACGTAGCTGGGCCGTTGCCCTATTGCTGATATAGCGATAAAAAAAGAAAGATATCAAAGATGTTTATACTCACTTTTATTCTTTTTGGTTTTCTTCTTACTGCTCGAAGTTTTCGCTTTAACTTTACTTTTTTGTAGCTTATTAGTAGGCGTTTTAAACACATCATCTTCGTTAAAATCGGCATCAGCATCCAGCGTGTGATAACCTTTATTTAATTTAGATACATCTTGGGATGCGGACTGATCGATAAATTCTATATTATCGATTTTGTCAAAGAGAGTTGTCGAGGGTCCTTGATGAACTTTTTGTTCGCTACTGCCAATATTTGCCTAAAATAAATCGTATTTAAGTTATCGAAGTACCTCGAAGTTCTTTAATTTAATATATTTTCTAACTCAAATATTTTTTTGGGAATATTGTGCAATTTTTCCTCTATTTAACCGACCTTCTAACCCTTCTAGTTTCCGAGATTTGCGATACTTGCTTATTATTACTCTTAATTTTGAGAAGAACTCTATAAAATATTTTTAATTTAAAATTTTTTAACAAAAATCTTACAGAAAAATATAAAAATCAATACAGCTTTCAGCTGCGCTGAATACCCTGTACAACCAAAAGGTTTTCTTTAGTGACGACAACCATTCGTGCCATAAACTTTGGCAACGACTGATATCAGAGATGGAGAACTAACCTCTGTAAAACCGTCTCCAATACTGGCTTATGTTAAAGCCCAGAGACTGTATAATGAGTTACAACTCAAAAAAGGGGACACAGAAGATCTACCTACACTCACCGGTTCGAAAAACGGGCACCTTAAAATTTTGATGTATTTTAAAGTTTAATATATTTTCGAGTTAGACTTGATTATATAAATATTCGAGTTGTAGAGATAAATAAATTCGACTTATGCTGATAAAAATACATACGGTAGTCGAAAAACTTTTTCCGATGCACGTCATCAATCATATCGAAATTGACACTAAAGCCTATAAACCTGACTGAATGAAATTTTGGGAAAAATGTCTAAATTTGTTGTATAATTTAAGATACCGAGCAGCTCTTCATTTTACTTCATAAAGCAAATGCAGCATATTTTATTTAGATTAAAGCTGCAAAAATTAGTTTAAAGCGATTTTCACTATCGCCATGTTGGTTACATTACCCCGGGATCAGCAACGTTGTTGTTTATTATTTGGCAATTATCATATCAGTCATTATTTTGCATAATATCATGTATACATGTTCACTAATTTCTAATTTCAATGAATTTCGATAGTTACCATATGAGTAAAAAAACATGGCACTCAAAATTTTTCTTAAAAACTATAATTTTCTCACATAAGCGCAAAACAAAATTGAGAAATGCAGCAAGGCTAGAAAACGTACCCGGCTCGAGGCTACCTGTTTTTGACGTCACTGCTTTGATCGATCGACGGCGTCCGTACGATCGTGCACTTGCCGCATTGTTTTTGCAGACGTTCGCGACGGTGCATTGTTTAATTTCATTGTTTTGGTGGTTTGAAGAAGTAAAATGAGTTCAAATAAGTGGTGTTTTATCCCTGGGTGTATTAATACTTCAAAAAAGCTTGTTTTTAAAAAGTTTTTTTATCAATTTTTTCACTTGTAAATTTTTCGCTTAATATGGGTCCTATAGGGTGTCCCATTTAAAATGAGGCCCAAAAATAATCTATGTCTATTTTATTTTAAATCCATACCGTTACGAAGATACAAGGTGAAAAAGAAAAAAATAACATTTTCGAAAAACCACCATATATTTTCTTTATTATTGGAGCTAAGGTAATCAAAATTTCAACATATGGGCAAGGCAACATTGCAATTTTAAAAATGATATCAAAAAAAACCTAGGCCTTCTATGTTGCGCACGGCCGAGGTCAGCTTTTATTCTTCTTAAGAGCGCCATATTTTGCATTTTAAAAATCCTTATTAAAAATGGTTTCAACCATGTATTTCAATATGGCGCCCACAGGAAAAGCAAAAGTGCACTTCAGCCATGCGCAACGTAGTACTCCTAGACTTTTGTACATAATTTTTAAAATTTCCATATTCCCTTACCCCTATTTTTTTATTACTTAGACCTAGATTATTTTTGGACACACAAAAACGCCACTTTTCTTCTATTTAACCGATATTGTAACTTTAACGGTCTTCAGGATCCCCATTATTCCCCATGTACCTCATTTTTAACTGGACACCCTGTATACGTGTGCGAATTTTCAGGTCAATACAATTAAAATTTGGCTCCTTCTCCTTAATACGGCCCTGTATCACATCAACAATACGATAATTTTACATTGTCTTGGCTTCTATATACACATGCAAATTTTCAGTTTAATATGATAATTAAAATTCACAATTTGGCTCCCTCCGCCTAAATACGGGCCTCTGACAGCTCAAAAACTCAATAATTTTGTATTGTTAAAAACCAAGTGTTGTTTGTTATCGCTTTCAAGTAGGTAGTCTAGCCTTCGCGCCACTGGTATGAGGTTGACTGAAGTTGTTGCATTGTATTAAAAAATCGGGCACCATAATAACATCTGTAGGCAAATTATGAGAATCTGCCTTCTGAAACCCGTCCTCCATCTCACTAAGGAGCTTTGTTTTTAAACTAGTAATAAACTCCAAATATTAATCACAATAAACCAAATTTAATATACAAACTACATCCGAGCACAACGCGATATGTCGTATTCTAGCTTGTTCTGTTAGAAATTTCACAGCGTGCAAACAGCACCGTTTACTCACGAGGAAATACCGATCGAAGCAGTGACGTCAGGCCAATAGGTGAGCGTTTAGCGGATTCAAACGATTACGATAATTTCGCACGGATTTTTGAGGAATAAGCCTTTTACGGAATCTTACGAAACTTTGCATACTGAGTTTTAATGTCATAATGAATGCTTTTATGAGAAGTAGGCACGTTTTAATTTTTTTGTGAACATTTCTATTCTCGTTTTTTTGGCGATTTTCATAGTGTTTCTTTAAAAATTGTACTTTTAAGCACAAACAGTTCTTTTAAGAACTAAATTTCCGAGTTTTTGTATTGCATTTCTTGAAATTGTGTCGAAAATATGCCGACGCATTTAAACAGTCGAAGCAAAGAGCTTGTAGCTTTTCTGATAAAGTATTTTGAACTGGAACGTGACAATAAAGTCCTTTATTACCCTTGACTGTAGTCCTAAAAGTAAGTTTGATTGGTAAGCACATTATACCACTTTCAAAGTTATTTCTACTTATTTAGATTTGTAGCGAGTAGCTGCTGCCTTAAATGTAAGTATTGTTACTGTGAGTGTTAGTAACTACTGTTAATAAATAAATTAATTACTGAAATACTAATCATTAAGTTAAAAATAAAAGGTAAAAATCTTTAAAAAATAATATAATAAATATGTTGTTTCCAATTTCACATTAAGATTCATCTCATAAATACATCACAATCTGGCAGTGCTGTCGCCATCGCTTGTCACTCAAAGTTGATCACGTGCATCGCAAATTGTTTTGCGATTACTTTAGTAAAATTGTAAAAACCAAATTACTCCCAAAAAATATCCGACTTAGAGACTATTTTGAGTTTAAGAACTTCAAAACAAAGTAATTTCACCGCCTTACCTTTTCATTTGCTTTATCCTTGAGGGAGGAGACGGCGCCCGTCTGCACCAGCGCCGCCTCCTCACCTACTTCGACTGCAGCGACGGACGCAGCCCGCTTGTGTTTATGAAGATCCCCCTTCCGGCAAGCGCTAGAGGTGAGCGACCGGGTCCAAGCCAGCGGGCCTTTGCCTCCTCCTCGAGAGGCCGCTGCGGCAGCGGGTCCGGCACCGGCTGTGCCCGCCTCTACGGAGGAGGATTTTTTACGTGGAATGGTCGCTAAGGTTGTCCTAATATGGAAGGAAAAAATAACAGTTAGATTGCTCGAATATTTTTTTTTTATAACAAGGGGCCATCCTCTGCCGGAAACACTGCGACCTGTGAGGCCTACTGTGTTTGTCCCCTTTCTATATCTGCACCCATTCTTCTATCCCTGTGCCCTGCACTAGCTTATGCAAGTCCTTGATGGATGGGAGCATAGTTCCTCCGATTCTAGCCTAGCTTTCCCAAATAAAAAGATTGCTCGAAAAAAAAAGACTTAAAGAAACAGCGTATGCACTATGTGCGCATATTTGAAGTGAAACTTCTTACTAACAGCTATTAAATTGAAGGATTTGAAAGATATATATTTTTATGAATGCTTTTTATAAACTTCAAAAAATTAGAGTTAATATAAAATCGTATACTATTATAGCTTTATAATTTTATGTTTCTTTAATTTTTATTAAAAAACGATAATCCTGTCACTCGGCCGGATATCCTGGCAGTTGTGGCTATTAAACCAAAATACTACTACATCTATATCTCTGACTACTGCTAACTGCTACTAATGTGCCCATAAGGACAATGTAAATCTTTGAATGTAAATACTATTTGGCGCTATTCTTACAACGGTCGCGACCCGAAGCTTTTGATAAATTCAGAGCGGTTCGGCTTTTTCCGGAATTATGTCGCCAAATATTATTTATCCAAATTTATTACTATTCTCTTTTAATTTTATAAATAAAATACGGTGTGTTGCTAATAAGAAACTTTATTTTATATAAGGACATGTATGAAATACCATATGGTCGAGAAAAAAACGACGTCAACGATAGCTATGAAATGAAGATCGCTGTCATTTTATATGTAAATTTATATGAGAAATGTCATCGATCGTCATTTCCCAGCCAACTGGACGCCGTTTTTTTTCGATCTTACGGTACCTGAATGTAATATTGGAAAAACCACCGTTATGCCACGATGGTTTTTGCAGTTCACAATTCACACAGCTTTTTATTTTTAAGACTTTTAATGCCACTTTTTTACAATTATCAATAATTAACCTTAAATTTAAATTAAACTCACAAGATAGCAATAATTATTTTGAAAAACACTTTTCGGTATTTTTTCAATGGGGGCGGTTTAAATTTTGAAAGATTTTATAATTTTTGGAGATTCTGACTTTGCCATGAGAAAATTATTTCTGTTCTTGTTTATAGTTGTTCTTTTTTTTTTTAGAATTTAGAATGAGTGGGAGGGGGGTTAATCACTTCGACCTTACAGATCCATTGTGTCCCCCTTTCTTGAATCATAACTCATCATACAGTCCCAGGGCTTTGACAAAAGCCAGTATCTGGGACGGTTTTATAGAGGGTAGTTCTCCATCTCCAATATCAGTCGTACCAAAGTTCATGGCACGAATGGTTGTAGTTGTTCTTAGCAACCGCTATAGCAGCGCCAGATCGCGTATAACGTATGCGACCCAAAACAATTTTACGTTTTGGCGAGCTTTCCAATCTAAATTTATTTCCTTTATCTATGCTGCTACTAACCAACAATTTTTTTTGTGGTCTGTAGTCTGTTTATGTTTAAATGTTTTGTTAATTATTCATGTTGGGGCTTTATTTTTAAATTAATGTTAATCGTTACGCAAACTCATAGAATATGTATTTCTTTTGCATAATCAAAATTGTCACTGTAAATTTTACATAACCAAATTGTCTCTAAAAAAAAATTAATAAATTCGCTGTCTTTTTTAGACTGATGTCACTTGTCTTCTCATTATTCAATTCATTATTCGAATTCTCAGAATGTTGTTAACAAAAGTTTCATCTTAAAATAAAATTTTAATCAATCACAATAATTGTTTATCTTTATCATTTACCGGATTAATAATACAGAAACTGCAGTTCAATTACAAACAGTTCATTATTTTTATAGTGATTTACAGTAATTTTAATAAATTATACGAGTATTCTCGCTGATTATTCGTTTAAAATAAATATGACAATGTCCTCCAATGAAAATACGAGTTACTAACTCTAAATTTTAATTCTGAACTGACAAATAAACTAGATGCTTTACCTAGACCGTAATTCAAAAGCTACAAACCTATCGATCAAAATATGCATGAAAATTTACTTCCTAGCACACTCTCTCTTCAGTCCTAACCCCCATTAGGGAGTGTAGTGGTCAGCGTAACATCATGGATGATTTTTCTCCATGCGCCTCTGTCTTTTGTCATCTCGATGACATCGTGAATTGGCTTGCTACAGCTAGTCGTGATCTCGTCTATCCATCGAGTTGGAGAGCGGCCACGTGGTCTACGTCCCTCCACCTTGCCTTGAATTATGAGCCTTTCCATATTGTCCGTACTTATCCTCATTATATGTCCAAAATATTTTAGTTGTTTTAGTCGGATTTTACAGGAAAGCCTGTTAGTAATATTAAGTTCATTTATAATGAAAACGTTTGTACGGCGTTCAGTCCATGGGATACGGAGCATACGTCTATAACAATACATCTCGGTAGCATCGATCTTCTTACGTTCCGCCTGCCTGAGAGTCCACGATTCGCAGCCATACGTCAATATTGGGAGTACCAAACAGTTGACTAGCCGGTTTTTAGTGGCTCTTGAAATCTGACGGTCTTTCCAGATCTTGGTCAGTCTCCCAACAGCTACCTTTGCCATGTTGCACCTACGCTTCACCTCTTCTTCCGATGTGCCTGTATTTGTTAATAGTGATCCCAGGTATACGTATGACTTAACGACTTCAAAGCGGTCGATATGACTTATATTTGGATGGTTGTTATGTTGCCTATCAACTATCATAATTTTGGTTTTTTGCGTATTTAGTTCCAGTCCGAGCCGATTGCTTTCGTTTTCTACCCTATTTACTAAATTGATTAACTCTTCTTGACTGTTAGCGAGTAGTGCTGTATCATCTGCAAAGCGTAGATTATTTATTTTTTGGCCATTTATTGAAATGTCTCCTTCCCATGTTTCTAGCGACCTTCTCATTATGTATTCTCCGTATATGTTAAATAGTTGAGGAGACAATATACACCCCTGTCTGACTCCTTGTTCGAGGGAAAATTCCTTTGAAGCTGAATCCAGTATTCTAACTGATCCTGTAGTGTGCTGATACAACTGAATGATAAGTGAAATAAGGTGTTGCGGTACCCCCACTTCCTTTAAGATTTTCCACAGGTGATGCCATCTGACTTTATCGAAAGCTTTTTTATAGTCTACGAAACAAATATAAAGAGGGATGTTGAATTCTGTTGCTTTCTCTATGATTTGGCGCATATTCAGAAGATGTTCCCGAGTGCCTCTGTCCTTGGTGAAACCTGCTTGTTCTGCTGGAATTTCTCTTTCTAGAAAAGCTTTCAGTCTTTCATTTATAATTTGCAACATTACTTTACTGGCATGTGAGATGAGGGAAATTGTACGATAGTTGCTGCACTTATATGTATGCTCCCTTTCTTGTGGAGAGTGACAATGGTGGAGTGTGTCCAGTCGTCGGGCCATTCTCCTGTGTGCCATATTTTATTACAGATCAGATGAAGCATTTCTAATCCAGGTTCTTTAACGGCTTTTATTATTTCTGCTGTCATTATACTCTGTTTTTTTTCTCAGGTAAGATTTCGACAGACGATGACAGAAGAAAAGCAGATGACGTCCCATACCAATCTATTTATTTTACTAAAAAAGTTTCTAATAATTTTTAAGTTATCTATGGATGGGTTTAAATATAAATCCGTCATGCGTCGTGTCTTGTTGTTTTTAACCAGTTTTATTGGTTTATTTAAAAAATGACAGATCGTATTTCAATTTTATTGGTTTGACGGAACGATGAACGATAAACGGACGCCGATGCGTATGAATTCGCCTTTAGATTTTTGTTATTTTTGACGCTTGTCAAAGTCTTGCCAAATTATAGGTTATAATTTTGTGTCAACTTTTGTTAAATACCCTGCGTTTTGGAAGATGATGCATTTTGATTCGTATTATTACGTGTGTTTTGTGTCTTTTGAAGTCAAGTGGAGGAAAAATCGAGTGAAAATTAACTGTAGACCAAGAGCACCAGTTTATGGTTAATAATCGCTACCCAGGCAGAAAGTCTTATACACCAATGAAGTTGCCATCGTTAAAGTTTGTATCTCGTCGTAGATAAGTGCATCTCATATATGGTAGAAGGATCAAACTAAACACATACTAAAAACTGGAGTAGCTGTAAAATATCGACATCACACGATAGGTAAATAATGGATTTTAGTACTGCAGAAAAATAATGTCAAAAGGTACTGGTTTAAAAAAATTAAGATTAAAGTTAATTAATCAACCTTTAAGGTATAAAATTTGGTAGGTGTTATTATTAATAAAATAGTTTGTTTTATTTACCTATGTTGTTTTATTTCTTCCTGTGGAATATTACAAATTATTATTATATACATAAGTTATATTGATAAATATAATCATAAATGCGGGTAGTTTCATAAAGCTTGAAAGTAAAAATTAGTTCTTTTTTATATTTTTTTGGTATGTAGTGTCTTGTTCTTGTTTGTTTTGTATTAACACATACCGGTTTTATTAAATAAAATAACTCGATTACATTTTTTCAGTTTTATACAGTTTTTTTCACAATATTTTGAAGTAATCACTTGTCACCTTCTCAATCAAATTTTAAATATTTCCTGCTATGCGTTCCAGTTGTACCAACTTATTTCTTTGTAAAATAAAATAAACTACTTTGAAATTAAAATGACAGACACATCTATCACTGTCAAGGATCTTCTCGTTGGACAGACTATAGGTCTGAACCTGGTACTTTATGGTATTTTAATTTGTTTATGGCCAATTCAACTTCACTTTTAAGGATGTCCGGTTCTTTCTCTGAATTTTCGTGATGGTCGACATAGTTATATTGTTCACTGTCTTTGTATAAATCTTCGCAATATGATCTCCACACCTCAATAATGTCTTCTTTTTTGGTTCTTAAAGTTCCATTTTGATCTTCGATTGCCTAATTTCTGGCTTTAAAGTCCCTGGTAATATATTTTATTTTTTTGAAGAGGTCTCTTGGTTGGTTATTTAGACTGTGTCCCTCGATTTCTTTGCATATATCAGAGTAAAATTGTTGTTTGTCTCTTCTTGCTCCTTGCTTTACTGCCTTATTCAGGTATTTTAGTTCTTCTTTCTCTTCTTTCTCTCGTTCGATAACCAGTGTTTTCGTTTTATCGGTTGATCTTCTTTTTCTGACCCTGTTGCAGTTGTTGTGCATTTTTAGAAAAGCTTCCCATATTTCTTGGGCTGTTGTATTTTCTGTTGAGGTAGTCAGGAAAGCCTGGGTTCCTTGGAGAATTTCTTCGCTGTTTCTTTTTATTAATCTTGTTGGTGTTATGTGGTTGAAGGGTGTTTTGAGTTTGAGTTTTATTTTGGCAGCACACAACAAGAGGATATTGGTACACATGAAGGTTGGTACAGTATCAAGTTTATTATAGTGATTTTCCTAGCACACAACAAGAGGATATTGGTACACATGAAGGTTGGTACAGTATCAAGTTTATTATAGTGATTTTCTTAGCCGCGCATGGCACAGATCGTTACCCAGTGTTGCCCTCAAGGGTGCAATTTAAAAAAAAACTTAAAACTTTATCATGTTTTTTTTTGCAGACCCTGTATATCAAAAAATATTTTAAGTACAATATGCCATACCAAACGCAATATCTGTATAAAACGACTTTTTTCATATATTCGACAAATACTATGATATTGGACTTCCTTGCACTAATGGGCCACCCTGTAAGTGCACGTTCATATTGGCACTACTCGAGCGGTGAGCTTTGCGCGTCGAGCTCATCGTCAAATGTTTATATTGAACAAGCATGTGCTTTGATTTGTCTAAGTTTTGGCTAAAAGTACCACACAATTTTTACCCACAAAATGTCATTTGTATCGCTAAAGGCACTTGGAGGGAATTACTACTAGTACTACCTTACTTAGGGGAGTTACTCTAACCTTACTAAAATGTTTAAAAATATGTACTTACGATGCTTGATGTAGCTTGGGGCAGGTTTGCCCCGTGATTCCTGTCTTTGCAGGATAACAAGTGCTACCGCTTACGGGCTTAATAGCTCAGAGGATTTTCTCTTTTTTCTTGAGTCATAACAAAAACACTTTGACTATAATACTATCTTCGAATCCCAGTGCGAAAATTAGTCTAGTCAATTTATTAGTATCCCCAGTTAAATTTGATCTAAAACAATACAAGATACTTAAGAAATTTAATGTCACGTTAAAAAACAGCGTCAAAGACGGCTAGGGAATGACAATCAATGATTCGAGGTCAAGTCCTAGACGTCATTTACTTGGCCCATGGCCCATACTTAGTTGTAGTATCTTACTTGGCCGGTACTCAGTACCACATGGCCTTAAGAAGGTTGAAATTTATTTTTATATTGAGTAATAAAGATTTTTGAATTGTGCAGTTTAAAATTCAAGATTTTTTTTTCAAAATAAAATCAGAGTAAGTCTGATAAAATAGTGTGTCGGGAAACGTTCTATCCTTTTTTAATCTATCTATAATTAGTGTAAATTAGTGTTAAGTTTCATGTCAATTTTTAATAATTGATGGCTAGAGATTGACTAATTGGTTTGTTTTAGGAATTAGTTTAATTCATTCTGCTGAAACGTTGTGTTAATCAAAATAAATAAACACAATGGAAGTCCAAAATTCCTTTAGTTTCACTATAGGGACTATTACGTTATGGTCTCTGGACTAGTGACTCTAGTAATGAAAAAGATGAGGACAGTCGGACAGTGACTCTACTCGTAGTAATGATGGTTAGAAGCAACCTTAGGCAAATAAACTAAAAAATAGAGTCACACTCTGTATGGGAATAGTTTGATGAAACTGACGAGCATAAAAATCCGAATAGTGAGCCGTGCACAATTATAGGATTAGAAGTGTTAGATGTGTACACAAAAGTATACAATGTTCAGCCATCATTCACCTTCACGTCATATATTTTCAAACTCTCTCAGGGTGCATCCACACTATCCTAAAAACGGCGTATCGGCTTAACGGCGTAACGACCTTAAATCAATTTCCAGTTATTCTATTGGCTGAAAAATTCATCTGTCAGAAATTTTATCTGTCAAAAATTTCAGCCAATAAAATTACTAGAAATCCATTCAAGGTCATTACGCCGTTACGCCCTTGTTACGCCGATACGCCATTTTTAGGATAGTATGGATGCACCCTCAAACGCTTGATAACCAGATGAAAAAGATTGGTGACGTCATTGCGGCATTTTGTAAATTATTGCATATTATTCTTCTTAGTAATTGTAATTGTCATTATTATTTGACATTTGATTTGGGGTTATAATTTTTTAATAACAGTCAGACCAGTCAGTGATACTTATGACCAAAAAGTTGAAAGTATAATCAAAAGAAGTCTGAATTTCTTTTAATAATACTGAATCATTGTCTACCACATTCAAACCAAGATATATTTCAGTTTAAAATACAAATTTGAAAGTATCAATCCAAAGTGTTATACAAGTCTCAACCACACTAATATAATCACTGTTCTGCAGAAATTCAGTTACTGAATAAAATGCACGTGTTCAGATAGTCTTTAAATTAAATGTATCAAGACACTGTGTTTGTATCAAGAAAATGTTATATTTTTACGTCGCTGGCCCTCTTGATCATATAACGAACTTAATATTTAAAAAGGGAACAGTACCTGATACCTTCAAGGTAAGCATAGTAACTCCTATATATAAAGGGGATAATAAAGAAGAAGTAAGTAATTATAGACCTTGTATTATATTGTACCTTGCTAAAGTATTTGAAAAGTGTTTTAAAGAACGACAAATAAATTTTTTTTACTGCCCATAATTTGCTTTCTCCCAACCAATACGGTTTCGTGCAGGGTTCGAGTACGGTAGATGCGATGTTCCAGTTAGTTAATGCAGTAACTCAGCATTTGGAGGGTGGGAGGAAGTGTCTTGCTATGTTTCTTGACCTAGCTAAGGCGTTCGACACGGTGTCCCATTCTATTTTATTCCAGATGCTTGAGTCCTATGGGGTAAGGGGCATAGTTTTGGACGTGTTTAAAAGCTATCTTTCCGATAGAACTCAGTGTGTCAGAATTGGTAATATCTACAGTTCTCAACTGAAAATTGAATGTTGGGTGCCGCAGGGTACGGTGTTGGGCCCAATTTTGTTTAATATATACATTAACGCTTTGTGTGAACTTAATGTGGACGGACAAATAATTGCATATGCCGATGACACGGTCTTAATATCTGCTGGCGACATATGGGAAATGGCTGAGCGAAATTTAAAGTCCGGATTTGCTGAGATTAAAAATATGTTAGGTGCTTGTAAATTGACATTGAACTTTCAGAAAACTACATATTTAGCATTTTCTATTACATCGGCAAATAGGCCTAATTTTCATGAAATTAAAATGGAGGACTTGGATGTGTCATTTAGAGAGGTAGATTCGATGAAATATCTTGGAGTGGTAATAGATAAACATTTAAAGTGGAACCTACATGTGTCATATTTGAGCAAAAAAATTAGATATCTAATACACAAATTTTTCATCTTACGACAATTTTTAAATAAAAAACTACTCATAATTATAATAATTTATATAGTATATAAATCTCTTGTAGAACAATTGCTTAGATATAGTATTCTAGTCTGGGGTGGTATGTACAGTGTTAATTTCCAGCAGCTTAGAGTTGCACAAAACTATTTTGTTAGAATAAACAAAAGGAAATCAAAATTGGCTTCAACTCAAGATCTATACTGTGCCGAAGTGTGAAGTGTTAAAACCTTATATGTCTTGGCCGTATGCAATTTCATGCAGAGCCAAAATGTGCCTAAACTATCTCACCAGTACAGCACTAAAAGTAAAGTTAATATGAATATCGCCATTCCTCATTGTAAAAAAAATCTTTTACATCGTTTTGTTACATACATTGGACCTAAACTTTACAACTGCATTCCTTCAGAAATAAAGAACCTTAAAACTAAATACAAATTTAACACAGAATTAAAACAATATTTATTATATTTTTGTAAACCCCAGGATATTTCACGATATCTTTTAATTTCACGATGTCTTTGAATCCACAAAATTTCTTAATTTCACGTTGTCTTTTAATTATGTATCCTCCGGGTATTGTCTGTATGACATTTGGATTGTTGGCGGAATTATTGTGGTTTGTAGATTTATTTATTTTAGATTTGTGTATGCCATGAACATTAGATTGTTATAGTGTTATGATGTATTATTGTTTGGGATTAATTTATACACACGTATATTATTATTAATAATTGCGTTATTATATGTTGTTATTAGTATTAATGTGCAACTTACGCAAATACATTTATTATTATACACATACAGGTGCTTTTTGCACCTAGGTGTATTTAGAAATTTTGAATTTATAGTAATAGGTTAAGATTATTGTTAAGTAAAATTGAACATAGATGTATCAATGTAAAATAAACAAATAAATATAAAAAAAAACAACTTCTTTTGCAGAAGTTGCACCTGTCTAGGTAATCTATTGTAAAATAATATATAATATTCACTTCAAAACAATTAAACATTAGAAGAAAATTGGCTATATTTACCATAGAGTGTGTTTTGTATTATGGATATGTATGTCCCTGTGTTTACTGTAACCTTATATATACATATAATTGTTTTTTTTACCATATTTGAGGCATTCATAAATGAAGGGTAAGGGAAAAACAACGATGTCCATTTTATAGGAATTTTTAAGAAGTCCCAAACATATGCAAAATTGAAATTGAATATAACAAACAATGTCCAAATAATAAGGCATACAGTATTAAATTGTTGTACTTTTAACATAGTTTGGCAAATCAACAGCAATCATGGTTTTCTCTGTAAGTCAGTTTTGTGACATTGTCTGTTTTTCTCCTTACCCTTCAAATGTATACGGATTTTATTATTATTATGTTTGTATTATTACCAACCTGTAACTGGATTGCTTCTATAAACGGCAATTGACAACTATACCCTGCCTCTACCAGATATTACAACCTACTAAGCACCAATAATACAACTAACAGCTAGATATATCAGAATTGCTGATATGATAGTCTTGGACTCTACTTACATGTCTTCTTTGATAATGGTTTTATCATTCTTTGATAATGATTTAACTCAATCTGAATAAGGTTTGAATTTTAAGGGTCCTAAAATGATTAATAGAAGTTAGTAAATAATTATGTCCTCCGATGAAAATATAAATAATAAAACATTTAATAATAACTTGTCTAATGATAATAATATAACCTATCAAACGGACCGCCCACGACTATTAAGTACTAAATATAGACCTGCATAAAGGTACTACAGATTACAATAAACGCTGACAATAAATAAGTATGAATAAAAGCTGAAATAAGCATATTAAACTTTATATACTCACAAATTTAGACCCCTCCGATTTGTAACTATTCTTAAAATTCTTGCAGTTCTTGTCATTTGTGATTTGTGACACATTTGTGACATTTGTTTAAGGGTTGGCCATAGATAAGGGTTAGATGCATTTATCAAAAAGTAGATTTACATCCGTGGGTAGATTTAATTTATTTAATCTATGGGTAAGTGGACCCTCGGTGACGTAAGCACATACGTGCTAATGTTACTATTTGATGTGATCGAACAGTTTTATAAATATAATACACAGCCTTTGAGAAATCTTTGAGACTTTTGCAAAAATCAGAGATATAGAGGTGGAGAAATAATATAAAAAAAATGTTTGGAGAAACAATTATTAATTAATTAATAATGCAGAAAACTATTTCAAATAGGAAATACAGTTAGATCTACTAAAATTCCAAGGGGTTCCCAACGGGAACCGCTTACTCAGCCATTCAGCCGCTGTCCCATAGACAAACTCACAAAAGCGCTGTCCGTCCCTGAACGCGCACAGTTATTCCACAAGTTATTCTATGGTTGCTCAGATGTCAGCGAAATCCTGTGTTTAGTGTTTGGTAATGTGTTGGTAATCTGTGGCGAATCATAGAAAACCACAAAAACCATGTGTATGTGTTTTGTGGAAAATAACATAACGTGAACATAACTATAACATAACTAATATAAATTGATATTTTTCTATTTTTGTTAGTTGATAACGTTGATAATGAGATGATATTATGATATAGCTAGCAATATTTATGATTATTTTATGGCGCTAGCACGTTTATAAATCAAGCAATAGTGATACCGCAATAGTTTTATAATAAACAATCCTTGATTTCTTTAAAATTGTGGTAGAATGATGGATTTTGTTATTGATACAATTGGAGATAGAGAAGATGAGATCGCTCAACTTCCACGTTCAAGTAGGTTTATAACAATAGGTAATCATATTTTACATATACATATTTGTTTCTAGAAGCATCGCCAGCAATTTCTGAATTTTTGCAATTTAAGCAACAATTAATTAACAGTAGCGACTCCTCAACAAATAAGAGCATATTAGATCCACAAGTTACATTAAGAGACATATTATTTAGTGATGGGACATTGAAAAATATTAGAAGCGGCTGTCGATTACCCAAGAGTTTTCAAAAAAGAACTGAAAAATTTATTGGTAAGTTAAATAATATTTTTTTTTAAAAAATATTAACATGTATTTTAGAGCAAGATCTTATATCTAATGAAGTTAAGGAAACTCTTGAGAAATCTGTAATAACACCAGATTTCGAGAACTTACATACTGTTCCTCCATATGAACTGGCAAAGAAGAAACTCCAGCGAGATAGGAGAGTAAGTACCTACTGTGTATTATTTTAATCTTCTTATCCGTAAAATCATAATTTATAGAACGAAAAAGAAAAGACCAAAGGGGAAAAATGGTATGGAATGCCTAAAACAGAGATGACTGATGAAGTTAAGAGGGATCTGGAAATATTGCAGATGAGATCAGTACTAGATCCCAAGCATTTCTATAAAAAGAACGATCTAAAAGTCTTGCCAAAATACTTCCAAGTAATATGCTGTTTGTGAAAATGATTTTTCAATCAAATAATCATATACTTTGTTTTTATTAGGTGGGAAAGGTTTTGGATTCGCCCATAGATTTTTATAACAACCGGTTAACACAGAAAGAGCGCAAAAAGACTCTAGTAGATGAGCTTCTGGCCGATGCCGAATTCCAAAAGTATAACAAAAGAAAATATAAGGAAATCTTAGAAGAAAAACAAAAAACCCATTACAAAGCTTGGAGGCAAGCTAAGAAATTAAAAAAGAAAAAGTAGTACCAAATATTTGTGTAATATTGTTATGCATTAAAGTTATATCATATCATAGGCAAATAGTTTAAATGGTAATTACCGTTTAAATTTTTATATTAATAAAAATCTATGATTAAACTTTCTCTCTGTTAAAACCAAAATTAATACCTGAAAACAGAGTAAACTGTTATATGAAGGGTAAGGGGGGTCAATCGACGATATCCATTTCATAGGTATTTTCTTGGTATTTTAGGCAATCTGTAAAATCTACCAAATTCTACACGTACTCGCCGAAGTACATTCTCATTCTACCATATTCTACCTCTATATCTTTGCATCGTTTTTTTAAAATTGAGGCCATAGAATAAAAATATCTCTCCTGTCTCTGTCAAAACCGTCATATGTCAATCCAGACGATCATAAAATATTTTGAATTTTGATTTGAAGTAAAGAGGCTCGTTTTTCTTATCGTTTAAATACTTCCCATCTGTTATTTTATGTTTTAAAGTACCTATTATCTTCTATTATATTATCTTTGATAAGCAAAGAACGGGACGTTTGTCAAGTATGCCTATTTAACGTGTTTGGACAGAAAAGATATAGGAGGTCCATGTTTCTAGGTCTTTAAATACAACTTCCATCACTGCGTTTATAGATTTCTCAGCGAATTACCGCAAGATCTTTTATGAGGTGGCATTTTACATTGCATAATGGTGGAAACGAAAACAATTTTAGTAACAGGCGGTACCGGTTTAATCGGTAGTGCCATTCAATCTGTCGTAAAACTTGAAGAGAAAGAGAATGAAAAGTGGATTTTTATTTCCAGCAAAGATGGTAACCTGTGGTAAATATATCTACAATATTTATGTTTATAAATCGAAAAAGGATCTTGCTTAATTTTTATAATTGTTCTTTAGTGATTATAGTGCAACGAAAAAAATATTTGAGAAGTTTAAACCGACACATGTAATTCACTTGGCTGCAATGGTTGGAGGTTTGTTTCATAATATTTCGCACAATTTAGACTTCCTGGTAAGAATAAATACTCCTACTACTTAATATACCGTGTGTTGCACTGCCGACTTGAATGTAGGAAACTCAAAAGTCCAGGTAAATTTAATAAATGATCGGTGATGCAACAGACGATATATAAAAAGAGTGTGGTTTAAATAATTGTTGATATATAACAAGTCTTTCTCCATATTTGTAGAGGAAAAATTTGCATATGAATGATAACGTTTTGCAAGTCAGTTATGAATTGGGTGTGAAAAAGGTGGTTTCGTGTCTATCAACATGTATATTTCCAGATAAAACTGAATATCCTATAGATGAAACAATGGTAAATTCAAACAAGTCTAATTTAATAATAATAATCATAATATTCCTTATTGCCATCTAAATCACAAAATGAATTATTATTATTAATTTAATGATCTAATTAAAATATTGCAAGGTTCATAATGGTCCACCTCATCCATCAAACTTCGGTTATAGTTATGCCAAACGTATGATCGATGTTATGAACAAGGCTTATCACGAGCAGCACAAATGTATTTTTACATCGGTCATACCTTGCAATGTGTTTGGGCCCCATGATAATTACAATTCAGAGTCGAGTCATGTTATTCCTGGCCTTATTAAGAAATTATTTGATGTTATGGAGCAAAGTATGAGAAAAAATTTAAGTGCTTAGGTAACATTTATAATTTTATTTATTAATTCTTCAGATAAAGATACATTTACTGTAATGGGTACAGGCAAGCCTTTAAGACAATTTATTTATTCGCTCGATTTAGCTAAACTGTTTATTTGGGTTTTAAGAGAGTATGATGAGATAGATCCAATAATTTTGTCAGGTCAGTAGGAAATTCATACAATTAAAATTAATATATATTATTTTAACTATTTTTTAATTAGTGGATGAAGAAGCAGAGGTTTCCATTAAGGATTTAGCAGAAGAATTAGTAAAAGCATTTAATTTTCAAGGCAATATAGTTTTTGATACGAGCAAAGCTGATGGGCAATATAAGAAAACTGCGAGTAATAGAAAGTTAAGGAAATACTTACCGGATTTTCAGTTTACACCGTTTCCACAAGCAATAAAGGAAAGCGTGGATTGGTATAAGGAAAATCATACGACTGCTAGAAATTGAAAACTGTAATGTTTTAACAGAAATTTTAATACATAATTAATTTGTTGTGGTATTTAAGATGTACAATGCATATAAAATGAAATAATAAAATTGTTTATATTAATTAATTTATAATTAAATTGAAGGGCTTATTATAATAACATGATATGCCACAAATCCATAATTCTGAATTATTAGACTTCGCAGTTTTGAAAAAATGTGTCGATTTAACTATTAATAAAATATTTGGAACGTACTTAAAATTTTCTAATCGATATGAACTAGGGTTCAGAGCCGAGAAACCCCGGTTCCTAAGAGGCGCGGTACCGAAATTCCCGGTTCCGAAAAACAGCTCCGATACCGGAAACCCTACTATGGACTGATCTGACACACCCTATATCGGATATTCGATAAATAATGATGACATGGAAATATAATTGAGTAAACTATGTATGATCTGGGATTTAGGTTTGTAATGTGTGTACATTTACCAGTCTTTGGATATAAGAGACACAATAATTACATTAATACTGTATATCTTTATTGTCATACTTATATAAATATAAAATATTTTATAAACCCCATATTGATATAAAAATAATCATTCATATTTTTTTATAAAAGTTCAATAATTATAGTAAGAATATCTTCCAAAAATCTTCTATTTATATTATATTCATATAAAAATTGACAGACTTCAGCTCTCAAACACTCTGAAATATATAAGCATTTACATTTTAAAAGTTTGATTATCTAGGAAGCACCAATAAATTACATAGTACCATTTCTGCATACACTTCCAGTACACATCATTTAGTTGAGTTAAAACAATCATGGGAACAAAACAATTTCTCATTTCTTAACAGCAACTTCATCCCCATGAGAGGCTTACGACATACAATACAACAAAAACACTTATCCTCAGCGTGAAAATGCACCTCCCCCAATTGACAGCCCACTTCATCCGGTTTAATCACGTTCATACAAGTACTACATTTGGCCGCTTTAGATGTTTCAAAGCACGGCAAACAGTACGGCTTCTCCTCGTCCAGCGTATAATCCTTGCCAGCCAAAGGTACGTCGCATTGGAAACAACAGAAATGTTTCAAATGAAACGTGGAATTTTCAGCCAGGCAGTATTCTTTAGTGAAAATCAGTTCGTCGCAACCGGCACAGCGTGGGTACCCTTTGATCTTGGCGTAATCTCGTCCGCAGTAGATGTTATTCGTCTCTTTGTCGTAAAAGTAAATATTGTCGGCCAAACTTTGGTTGCACCCGGTACATTTGAAACAGTCCGCGTGAAACAGGATATTTGCTCGGTTTATAGAGACGGCAAATTCGTGTTGTTTAAAAGACTTTTTGCAATGATGGCATTCGGGCAGTTTGACGTTGCTTAAACTGCCTCCTATTTCGTTAGAATTACATTCAAAGCCTGGAAAATCGTCACTATTATATCCTGGATTTATTTCTCTTGTAGCCTCCTGAATTTGGCGATCTATATCATGAATTGCTCCTATTTTAACCGTTTGAGGTTCTACATAATCATTGAAAGCCAATAATTCGTTAGGACATAAGTTAGGTAAAGGTTGTTTGTTCATACCTTTCCCTCTAGTATTTGAACTATTATTCAAACCGCTATTTTCAGGATTTAAAGTAGATAAACTTGGCAACGATGCAGGAATGTATTGACCTGATGTAGGATCAAAAATACCAAGCTGGGGAACGTATTTTCCAGTGTTTGGATTGATATATCCCAAGTAAGGTACACTTCCAATAACATTTTTATTTTTATCCTTTTGAGTAATGTCCTTGGGGCTGGTTTCATTAAAGTTGCTAGGAAGTGGAATATATTCTCCAATTTTTTCGTCGATATATCCAGGATTAAATAGTAAATGTCCTGTTTCCGGATCAATACTTCTATGAGCTGGAAGAGGTTTACTATATAATGGATCAGAATAAGCAACATTTTCGATATTTTCCGACATATAGAGTTTTTCTGGGTCATGTAATGTTTTGACAAAAGCGGGAATAAATTTGCCTGTGATTGGATGAAAACTACCTAGTTCGTGAATATGATTACCAGTGTTTGCATCAAAGAATCCCACATAAGGCACATCAATATACTCTTCTTTATATGGCGTATTATTAGACTTCAGTTTACATTTAGAATCTAATCCGCCATCATGAGTACCATATACTAATTTAGTATCCCTAGGATAAACCGGATTCTGATAATTGGTACTCATATCGCGAGGTAACTTATAATTCTCTAGTTTATTTCGATTAAATAAAGGATTCTCAAAACCATATCTGTCATCCTGGTGAATTACAGTTGGTTCTTGATTGTAATTTGATTTATAAGGCATATGAGTTTCTAAATACTGACTTGGTACTTTAGGTATTCTTCTATCACCTATATTTCCTAACGATCCCTTATTTTGTACATACTGAGGGTCTTCTAAATTTGTCTTAATATTATTTTCATATAACGGATGAATAATGTCTCTATATTTACTTTCAGCAATTGGATATTGCCGACTCTCATCTTGAGAGCCTATGGATAAATTATATTTATTTTCCGGCAATTTTTTTGGCGTTAAACTGAGTTTTTCTAAAGGCCTTGACAAGTCGGGCGTCTGTAGTTTTTGTATCTCGTTATATGGTACGCTTTTTGTGTATCTGCTAGCTATTATGTTGGCTGTTTTTTGTGGGCTGATAGTGGTAGTACCTCTTATAATACTTGATAGATCGATAATCTGACCGACTCCGATAGAACACTGTTTGACGTGGGCTACATATTCCTCCATTTTCTTTGTTTCTTCTTCGTTTAGGTCGTGACACAGTGATGGGTCGATGTCGTGGACGGGTATTTGTTTTTGGAGCATCTGTTTGCGCTCCTGGGCTGCTAGCGAACCTTTAAGTAAATAATAAAAATATATTATAGAGTATGGTTATTGTATTTTTCCGAGTAATCAATATGTTGAAATGTCTTTGGGTATTGGGAAGGCTATGTAAAACAAATAAATATTAAAAAAAATATGTGTGCACTATGTGCGCATATTTGAAGTGGAACTTCTTACTAACAGCTATTAAATTGAAGCATTTGAAGGACATGTTTGAAAAAGATTAAAAATCAAAAAATAGTTTGATTTGGTTTGGTTTGATTGCCGCCATTTATTTATTTACTTCCTGACATTGTCACATAGATAAATGAAACAAGTTTAGATTGGAAAGTGCCCATAAGGACAATGTAAACACTATTTGGCGCTATTCTTGCAACGGTCGCGACCCAAAACTTTTGAAAATTTCGGAGCGGTTCGGCTTTTTCCGGAATTATATCGCCAAATATTGTTTATTCAAATTTATTATTTTCGTTTAATTTTATAAATAAAATACAGTGTGTTGCATACAAGAAACTTTATTTTCTATAAGGAGGCATGTATGAAATACCTATGAAACATTGGAAACCGATGTTATGCCACGATCCACGATGGTTTTTGCAGTTCACAGTTCACAGCACAGCTTTTTAAGTTTTTAATGCCACTTTTTCACAATTATCACCGGTTGGAGTAAATAAAACTTGAATTAAACTCACAAGATAGCAATAATTACTTTGAAAATGGACGCTATAAACTTTTCAGAATTTCTTTAATTGAGAGCGCTTTAGATTTTGAAAGATTATTATGATTTTTGAAGATTCTGACTTTGACAAGAGAAAATTATTTCTGTTTTTGTTTGCCGTTGTTCTTAGCGACCGCAGCCGTTGTTATAGCAGCGCCAGATCGCGTATAACGGTCGCGACCCAAAATAATTTCGCGATCCAAAATTTTTACGGGCTTTCCAATCTAAACTTGTTGCATTTATCTATGCATTGTCATTCGTTTTGACACTTTAGTTTTGAAGGTATTACGAGTTTTTGGTTTAAATAAATAGTGTTGTGATACTTTAAGCTTAAAAATGTTTAGTAGCAGACCTTGCAGTCGAACATTGTTCTTTTTAGAACCAATTTTAATGCGAAATGTACAAGATAGCTTAAAATAGCCGTAAAAAACTCATCGAAACTATTAGAATATTTTGGACGGGAAAGCGGTAGTAATGGCCTTTTATGTCCCTTAATTGTCGTTAAGAAGGTGAGTTTTGTTGATGTAAATAATAACTGATTAAAAGATTAAAATAAATTTGATTTAAATTGATTAAAAGAAAATATATAAAAGTGGGCAATGCTGTGCCGGTTAAGCTTAATCATGTGACTAAAAGTTTATTTGGTATGAACTTGTATTAAAAAAATGAAAGGCTTTCTCATGCAAAACATGCCAATTCTTGCAGCAAGACCAAGACCAAGGGAGTCTTGGCCTTAGTCTTGCATTTGCTTATGACTAGTGATATAGTTTATAAATACCTTTGACTGGTAAGGACGCTTGTGGTACCGTCTTAAGATAGTTATCGACGATTTCCTGTTGCCCTTTAGGCGTCCATTCCAATTCAATTTCAGTATTTCCATTTAAAACTGAAACGAACAAAAGAAAAAACATTTTATTTAGATATTATATGTATAAGAATAAAAATATATCTTTTTACCGATTTTAGTGTTGACCTTATTTGGTCTGCTGCCAAGTAACTTAAACTGCGCCCAGCTTGATATATCATCGTCATGAACATCGTGCTCCTCTTTAGGACATCTGCAAATTTTACAGGTCTTACGCCAAAAATGTAAGTCCAAACCTAGAATTGAATTTAATAAAAAATTAAGGAGGTCCCAAAATTAGTTTTAAGATTTTTGGGTATCCTAAAAATAAAAATTAAACTAAAAATCGGTGTTTAAAAAAAATGGATTAATTTATGATAGTTGAGCTATCAGCTATAGATAGAATCATTTGGGTATTATCCTCTAAAAAGATTAAAAAAAAAATCTATAGGTCACACAAGTCCATTACCTGAGTCTTGTGTCTTATCCACGCTTGGTTATTCCAAGTAGAGATGGTAAAAACGACGATTTTTTTAAATAACGTTTCTGCTACGTTTCTGTTCCTTTCCTGGAACAGTTCCAAAACGAACTTAAATTAAAAAGATGTTATAAACTATGGCAATACATGTTTTCCTAATTGCCGTATGTGTCTCTTGTTTGTGTGGTTTCTTCTAAATTGAAGAGTATTGGAATAAAGAGGGAATTGTAACTGCTACCGAGTTTTATTTACTGTTTTTTAAGTTTACTTTTGCTAGGGTTTCCATAAAGGCTTTTGAAAATTCCGGACAAGTGAACTCAGAAATCCGCACAAATGAACTATTTATGAACTTTTATAGGAGGCAAATAATAGCCCCGGAATCAACAAAATATAAACCAAAAAAATTAATTTTCATTCACTTTCCAGGAGTTCACCAAAAGCGAAAAATTTGAGCGCCAAAGTATAGAAATGGGTACTTTCGAACATGCGTCGATTAAGTAGAGCTATCATCGTAGCTCTAAAAATAATCAACGAGACTAAAAATAATCAATGAAGTAATTGAAATTTTAATTCTACTGTAACTGTAAAATATTTTCCTAAGTTAAATTGTTTTTGCAGTCAGGTTTCCCGGACGCTTTTCCAAATTCGGGTCGGACCACTCTGGACACTTTAAAAATCCGGATATGTCCGGGTAAATCCGGACTTATGGAAATGGAAATCATAACTTTCGCGAAACCGTAACCGCATTCGAAATTATTTTGTATTATTTGAAATTTGTGTCTAGTGTTGTTACATTATTGGTAAATGTGGAATATGTTAAGATGTCAAGAAAATATGGAATATGTTATGATTAATAATAATAATAATTTATTCATGTCAAAAAAATCACTGAGAATGATTGCACAGAGTTCTTCAAAGAAACCCGCAGACGAGGCCTAGGTTCAAATTTAGTTTTTTTTTTGATAAAAAAGGATTCCGTTTTATTTCTTAAGAATATTATCTGTTAAATGCCGATCATTTTGCTTCTATGGGGCAGTTTTGCTGGAAGGCTGTAATTGTGTCTCGACTATCTTTTACTGTAAAGTTCATGCAAAACAAAATTTAAATTAAAGTAGGACTGGAACCTGGACGTAGTTCCCTGAAGCTTGATGGAACTCCAGACCTGACTCGTTCAAATCAGCCAATCGTCGCGTTTATATCCGCCTTAAAATAACGAAAACCTTGAACTGAAGAAAAATCTTACCAGGACAATCTTCTACACATTTTAAACAAGGGGCCCCAGCACCAGCTTCATGTCCCAATTTGGCTTTAAGACGCTTCTCTCTTTTTTCCTCTAGTTCTTTTAACCAATTTGGCGTTTCGGAAATTACAATCTCTCCATTCATTGTCCTAGTTTGTAAAGAAAAAAAACTGATTAGTATATTTTATATAAATTTGTTTAAAAGACTAATATGGATTTGCAATATTATATTATTTCAATTCAGTACGAAAAAAAATGTCACCTTATCTAGGTATATATCTCCTGTTACGATTTGGTGGTTACCCGACTTGTATTATACACTGTTTGTTTTAGAGGTGATAAGGGGCTACACAATATTCTATATATATCCTAAAAGAATACGTCCATGTATAATCAGTGAATAAAACGACTACGCCCTATTTTAGTCATAGATTTTGGTGTCAACAAATTTGTTTTGTTTTCGTTCCCAAAATAGGTTAGGTAAAGTTTGTCCAAAGAGCAAATATATGACACATGTCAATGACAAAAACGAGGGTTGTTCGTAATTTTAATTCACAGTCATGGTCATTGGTACCACTCACTTGAATACACGGAATGGTGTCATTATTGAAAATTATCGTGGATACTGGATACGATAAATTTTAATATGGCCACACTCCATAATTTGAATAATATAACTTGTCCAGTGCGCTGAAGTACGATAAAAATTGACTTTCATAGTAATTTTATTCAAGTTCTTCCTATCTTTATATCTCTGATTTAACCACAAATCGAGCTGACAGTTGTCACTTGACATTTTTAGGTTATTTATTCCATGGTTGACGCGCGCTTTAAAAAACCGAAATTCGTACCGCAAACTTTATTTATTTCTAAAAGATAAGTTTATTAAATATTATATGGACCTGACACTAGATCTTATACTGAAATATCCATTAATTCGGTCTTACCAAACTGATCAGGATACATTATTTGAAGGAATAATATTGCTTTGTGTAAGTAAATTATTTAAAAATTAAAATTAGGTTTGAGATGTTTTTCATTACAATTTATTCTAGAATAAGGATTTCAATATATCTATAAGAAAGAGACCTGATTGTAGCTACAAGCTAAACTACTTGGATACGAAAAATTCGAAAATTCTACAAGATATTCATGATTATCTAAAATGCAATAAGAACAGTACGATAATTGAGGTGTTGGATAAAATTAAAACATTTTTAACATTAAATGAGCCAAACGCAAACATAATAGATGTTAGTGATGCCCATTTAAGGGTTTTACATGAATACTCCGAATTTACAAACTTTTTCTTAAATTTAGAAACATGTTCTTTAAGCAAAGATTTAACAGAAATTAATGTATCTATTTTAGGTAAGTTTGATACATGTATTTTTTTTATCTCTTTTCCTCAATAAGAACATGATTTTAGATGAAAAATCTAGAACTCACTGCACTAAGATACTAGTTAATTACTCTACAGACTTAGCACATACATTTTATTTTAAGTCAATCGATTTGCCTGGAAAGGACCCAGGTAATAGATCTAATGAAAATGTATTTTTTTAGATATTTAAAAATAACTTTTGTAGATATTTTAAGATCAAGTGATAGTTTGACAGCTTTATTTGATGGATTTCTTGGTAAAATTGATTTATTGCAACCATTTTTTGATATAATGGATGAACTTGATGAACACTGTACGATTCTAGATCCAGAAAGACCTGTTAGGAAAGATTATTATAGGAGGATTTGGTTAGGTATTTAGTATAATTAATTTTTTATGACAATTTTATTTTATATCACATTTGATCTTTTTTATAAATTTCTTTCTGGGAGGTGTAATTACTTTGGTAATTACCACTATCCCATTGCCACTACCCACAGAATCTTGGGCTTACAGGAAAACTTATTTCTTGTTCTATGCCAGGTTTTGCTCTCAATTTGTGTGCTTATCTATAGTACATATTCAATTTATTTAATAGATATCTATTAAATTATAACGCTGGTATTTTAGGAGAAAATGTATCAGCTACAATAACTGTAGATCCTTATAATGTACACTTAAGACCAGATGTACGTTTCTTAGGACCCAGCAGACTTGTAAAAAATTATGGTATAAAGTTAAATGAAAATTTTTCTAAGTGGGATTGCCAGCAAGGGTTTTTGTATGCAGTGCAACTATTATTAGGTAATTAGTTAATTTATATTTATATTATTAATACATGCTATTATATTTAGTAAATTTTCACTCAGATGCAAAAAAAAACGCAATGGAAAAAATTTTGGTCAAGTTTAAAATGTTATATTTTTTTATTTTTAGCCCTATTTTTATGATTTTTTAACAAACTGTTTATAAATATATCAACTTTAATTTACAAACTCACTTATTATAAAATTTAGTATTTGACTTATTATACAGGGCTAATCGAAGAGTTGTTTTTATCCTATCTTTAAAACACCCTGTGCAATCATTTCGTGAGCAAATTTTGCCACAAACATTTTGTAATTTTTTCAATTACCTATCGTTACTTTTTGATGTTATTCTTCATAATAACGAGGTGGCTTTGGTGATTATTGTTATGTACGATTGAATATGGTTCTTACTGTCGAAGATTGTGCAAAAGTCATTGATCTTGTTGAAGATGGCCGAAATTATGAATATTCGCTTGGTCAATTGGTCAATTTAAATGTTAAAATCTTTCGAATTGGGGACTATTTGGCAGTAACATTGCTTTAAATTAAAGTATCCTTAATTAAACGCCGTTAAAGTGAAAAAATAGATGTAGGAAAAACAATAAATACTCCTACATATTTTTTCAATTTTGATTGTGCAAATCTACCAGAAACCTCCATATTGTCTTCTTTTTAGATAAAAATCGACCAAAATTTGGCTGTAAAATCCAATGACTAAAGAATACAAGGACAAATAACACCCGAGTGTGCCGTGGCCACATATTTTTCTTAACTTAGCTGCTTGAAGGGATATTTATATTTTTGATAATTGTTTTGACTACGCCTATGGTGTATGCGGTGGTATCATACTAATTAATTACCAAAAAAAACGTATTAAAATGTTAACAAAAGGTACAAAACTAGTATCGACGTATAGCACATATCAAGTACCGTATGATCGAATAAAAACGGCGTCCAGTTGGCTTGGAAATGACGATCGATGACATTTCCCATATAAATTTACATATAAAATGACAGCGATCTTCATTTCATAGCCATCGCTGACGCCGTTTTTATTCGATCATAAGGTACACTTAATATCAGAAAAATATTTATCATATTCAATAAGAAAACGCTAAAAAGGTAGAGTGGACTGTTTATTTCCCTATGAAACGTAACTCCTGGCTCTTTCTTGTCGTTACGACTTTTACACTTGAAAGCTGAACGCATCACCATTGTAATAAAGTTTATACAAAGTTCACTACACACAACAAACTATTAAAATCGCTAAAATTGTCGCTCTTGACGAGTTGTGACTCATCCGTAGGCTCCAAAATGAGGGCGTCTAAGAGCATAAATTCTGCTCCAGTCAGTATATGGGCGTTACGCGTCCTGGTATTCTTTAGTCATTTGTAAAATCCGTCATTTCTGGAGCGGTGACAAATTCCTAGCTAGCGTAGCGACATCTCGTTAATATGAGAAAACATTGAAAACAACTAAAGACTGTTTAGAGATCCTTCAACGTTACGTCACCATCATTTGCCAAATATATGTTTTAGGGTGCGTCTGAGAGGGAGAGTTCGACAATATATGACGTGACGTTGAACGACCGCTGGACAAAGGTTTCTTTTCTATGTTTTAGGTTTAGAGTCATTTCCAAAGCGTTTAGAGAAAAAGAAATCTGTAGGAATATTAGTAGAGTATGGAGAATGCAGCATATGCTTCAGTTTGCGCTTGGATAACAAACCGCCAGACATAATTTGTCCTAATAAAAGTTGCGAAAAATTTTACCATAACAGATGTATATACGAGGTAAGAATTATACCTTAACTTGTAGAACCTACATTCAATAATAATGTACAGGATGTCCCATTTTCGTGTGTTTTATGGGGTTTTCACATCACTGTGCTACTTTTTTAAGAAAGTAAAGATGCTACACACCGATTATCCTAGCCTTTAGTTCCTAAAACACAGGGTGAATTTGAAAATTTTCCATTTTCCGATTCCCCTCGTATCTCGGTTATCCTATAATTTATCGAAAAGGTGAAAACAGAGTTCCGTTGAATTTTTCACGTAGATCCAATGTTTTTTTCACGTAGCATAGTTTTTCGCTAAGAGTAGTCTTTTCAAAATATGACTCAAACTTTTTGTTTTGTTTCTCTTATGACATTTCTAAGGTCTTTTTTCCAGGTCTTATTATTTGTTCTTATTTAGCATTATGGCCATTATCTTTATACATTTATATATTTTTATTATTATTTTATGAACGATACCAATTAAACTTTTAGTTACGTAATCGAGGGGGCGATTTTTAAATTCATTGTTGCCAACTATTGACCTATACAGCGCCAGACTGACTAACTAGAATTTAAATTTCCCGCTGGGGATTCAGATGGTAGCTCTCCTGTAAAAAATATCAAGTTGCCATATTTATTTATTTATTTCCTGACATTGTCATTCGTTTTGACACTTTAGTTTTGTATTTACGCGTTTTTGGTTTAAATAGTGTTGTGATACTCATAGATAAATGCAACAAGTTTAGATTGGAAAGCCCGTAAAAATTTTGGGTCGCGAAATTATTTTGGGTCGCGACCGTTATACGCGATTTGGCGCTGCTATAGCGGTCGCTAAGAACAACGGCAAACAAAAACAGAAATAATTTTCTCTTGTCAAAGTCAGAATCTTCAAAAATCATAATAATCTTTCAAAATCTAAACCGCTCTCATTAAAGAAATTCCGAAAAGTGTTTATAGCGTTCATTTTCAAAGTAATTATTGCTATCTTGTGAGTTTAATTCAAGTTTTATTTACTCCAACCGGTAATAATTGTGAAAAAGTGGCATTCAAAACTTAAAAAGCTGTGCTGTGAACTGTGAACTGCAAAAACCATCGTGGATCGTGGCATAACGTCGGTTTCCAATGTTTCATAGGTATTTCATACATGCGTCCTTATATAAAATAAAGTTTCTTGTATGCAACACACTGTAGTTTATTTATAAAATTAAACGAAAATAATAATAAATTTGAATAAACAATATTTGGCGATATAATTCCGGAAAAAGCCGAACCGCTCTGAAATTTTCAAAAGTTTTGGGTCGCGACCGTTGCAAGAACAGCGCCAAATAGTGTTTACATTGTCTTTATGGGCACTTTCCAATCTAAACTTGGTGATACTTTAAGCTTGAAAATGTTTACTAGCAGACCTTGCAGTCGAACATTGTCCTTTTTAGAACCTCTTTTAATGCGAAGTGTACAGGATAGCTTAATAGCTGTTCTTGTATTCTTCTTCTTCTGTTCTTGTTAATAGCTTAACTTATCGCAACCTAGAATATTTTGAAGGGGAAAGCGGTAGTAATAGCCCGTATGCTATTAAAGAGGTGAGTTTTGTTGATGTAAATAATAACTGTTTATATATTTATAACGAATTAATTTTTGTTTCCTAAAATATTTTGATTAAAAGAAGGCAACGCTGTGCCGGTCAAGCTTAATCACGTGACTAAAAAGTTTATTTGGTATGATGTATACCTTGTTATTATACATTATTCTCAATTATTGTACTAATTGGTTATTGATATTATTGATTATTATTTAGATTAGAGGCATTAGCCGATTAACCATATATTTCGGCCAGATAATCTTTTTATTCAAAGGGCCGGATTAATTACCTTGAGTTGAAAATATAATATCATTCAACTTTAAATGACACACTTATAGGGCGTTAGGAATAATTGCTTTTTATTTTAAAAATGGCGTTAGAGGTACTTTTCATGAATTTAATCCAGATTTCATGTTCGTTTTTTCTTTTTTGCAGTGGTTAGTTTCACTTGATAGCAAGAAGGTTTTCAACAATATATCAGGGAGTTGTCCTAGCTGTGAGAAGATTATAAGTTGTCCAGTGTTAGAATAAGAAAAAAAAGGCTTAAGAATTTTAAATAAAGTGTATTTATTTTTTCTATTTTTGTAATATAACCTTATAACAATGATAAGCGCCAATTTCTTAATTTTAGGGTTTTATCATCATCCAAGTAAGTTGGCTACCAGCCTACTTACTTGGATGTTACAAAGCCTTCCAACTTGACTTGGATAAAATTTGGTTAATACGATACAAGCACCGCACAAGTGAGACGCGCGCAGCATTATTATAAGTACAGTTATATGGTAGCATCCAAGTAAGCTTTGGTCCAAATAAGTTTTGCTGCTAAGTTGCCAGACGGTCACCCGTCCATCCACTCGCATCGTCTAACGTCGCTTAACTTTGGTGATCTATTGGGAGCCGGTGTTTCGACGTAGCTGGGCCGTTACCCGATATGCAACAGGTGAAAAGATTCTATATCTGGAAGCAAAAAACAAAAGTAGAGTAGAAGGAGGGAAGGGGGTATCTATTAAAGAGTGAAATCGAAAATATATTAACATATAGAAACGCCTCTTGATTTTTAGGACTTATACCGAGTGGTTTTATTGGTAAATTCAACCATATTTTAATTTTTTTTTTATTTTCTTTAAAACAGTATGGAAATTTCGAAAGTATAAACGGGGTTAACCATTTTAGAACAAGCAAGAATTTTTATGAAGAATGTATTTTTTTCAAAATGGTAATAATAAAAAAGCTTTTCCTCTTGTACAGACAATACGGGGATTATTACAGGCATCAATATATCGATAGTTCTAAAGTCACCTATTGTTATTCGATAATCGGTAGTTATCCATACATCGGAAAAACATTCCATCCCTAGTTTGTACAATTTTCTCATTGGGCAGACTATAGAAACCTACCTATGCATTTATAGTAGAGGCAAGAATTCAAGTTGTGGATGTTTTTCTTTGACATATTGGAGTTATTCTTGGTTGGAAGAAATAAGCAGGTACCATAAACGTAACACTCTGGAGAACCAAACTTTCCTTCTTCTCAATAGAATCCGGTAGGTTTTACTCTTCTTTCGTGGGTCACCACCTAAAATATGGTGAAACATTAATTATTACCTGAGAACTGAAACATATCTATTCACATCGCTGTAGTAATATCAGATAACTTCACTTCCTTTAAATCCAGCACATAATCATTATCATCATTGTCAGCTTATTCAGCCATTTCCAGTTATGGTGTAGCACATTTCGATAATATCTTAGTAATTGGGCCTATTGTTGTCTGTTGTTGGCTATGCGGGCCCAAGTTTTCCCTGCTAATTTCTTAATATAATGGTCCCATCTCAAATTTGGCCTTCTTCTAGGTTTCTTAATTCCTCGTGGGTACCATGATGTAATTTTTGTAATCCATCTGTTGTCGGTCCTTGCCACATTGCCACTTGAGGGATTTGATTCTGCGGATGACATCTATTACCTAGATCTTTTGTCGTATCCAATCTATTCTTTTACGGTCTTTCTTGGTTATTCCCAGTACATTCCGTGTGCGTTCCATGTGACCTGCAGTTTCTTTATGATGTCCGTTTTAAGTGTCCAGGTTTCGCATGCATAGGTCATGAATGGTAGTACACATTGGTTGAATGTTTTCTTCTTTAGATAAAGTGGCATTCTAGATTTGAATATGATTGAGTTTCTTTCATAAGAACTCCATGCTAACTTAATTCTTTGGTTGATTTCTGGTAGTAGAGATCCCGAACTATGTATTAGTTGTTCCAAATATGTATATTCATCGACTATTTCCAGTGTTGTGTTATCTCTCAGAATGTCTTCTTTCTACTAGTTCGTTGTAGATTACTTTAGTTTTTACTAAATTCATTTTGAGACCCACTTTATTGCTGGCTGTATTTAGTTCGTTAATTTGTGTTTGCAATTCTTCAGGACTATTGGCAATGTCATCGGTGAATCTTAGATGGTTAAGATATTCTCCATCTATTCTATTTTTAATACTTTGTTGGTCCACTCCAGTTGACGGAAGATTTCTTCTCGTGTTGCTGTAAACAGTTTTGAGGATATAGCCTCTCCCTGTCGTACTCCTTTGCCAGTTGGGAACTCTGGCGGTGTTTTATATATCATTACTCTTGCTTTGGCTTTTTTGTATATATTGGCGAGAGTTTCTATATAAGGCCTGTAATTACCTTGTTTCGCAAGGGTTTCTATTTTTGCCTTAGAATATATCGTGTCGAAAGCCTTCCCAAAGTCTATAAAGGCTATGGCTAGTGGAAGTTCGTATTCTTCAATCCAGCGCATACCGAAGAATATTGAAGGTATAATCACGAGGAAGAAATGGTCCAAGAATGGCTTTAAAATGAAATCCATGGTAGATTTGCAGCATCACTTGGTAATGACCATGTGGATAATCATCCTGCAACCTATTTACAATCAATAAAAAAATAAACAATTAACATAAATATTTATTATACAACCTAACTAAAATAACTGGTTAGTACTGAAACAGTAGTATGAAATTACTTTGATGTGGTAAACAATGGGATTCAATATTGAAACTAAAAGAATTTCGAACTTCAATGTCTCTATTTATTTTTCCATTACCACAACGTTTCGATCAGAAGGATCACTGACCGTTATCAAGTGTAAAATAATCTTATTCCTAAAACTACTGAGCTTTTTTACTACACACAACCAAACTTATATGGAATCACTCTTTATTTCTGACTAAATTTCTTGCAAGGATAAAAATTGGTATACAACTTTAAGATAAGGCTTTTTGTTGTAAATAAACATGACAATAAAGAATAAACGACTGCCTTTATTTTCTTTTGAATTTTGTGTTCAGTAGTAAAATCATGATTGTCCGGTAATTTTTATTTATTCCAAAAAAAATTTAAAATGCCTTATATTGGATTAACAGATGTACAGAGGGGAAGGATTATTGCTCTCACCGAACAAGAAATACTCCAGAGAGACGTAGCAGAGATAGTAGGCGTTACCGAAGGTGTTGTATCGAAAACATATGCAAGATACTTGGAATTAGGAACACACAAGGATAGGCCCATACAAAGTCGTCAAAGAGTCACAACTGAACAACAAGACCGCCTTGTGTGCTAAATTGCTAGAATAAATCCCAATGTTTCTCATCCAGAGCTACAAAGACAACTTCTGGCAGCTAAAAGTGTGAACATTTCAGTTGAATAAAAAAGAAAAAGAAAGATAAGAAAAAGGCTTCGTGCACGAGGGTTTTACAAGTGATCCTTCTGACCGAAACGTTGTGTTAATCAAAATAATTAAAGACAATGAAAGTCCGAAATTCTTTTAGTTTCGGTAGTTTGAAATTATACAGGGCGAGTTTTAAATAAGTGCAAATATTTTCTGCTAGTATAGATCACGATAAAAGAAACATATTTTCTCTTTGCCGTTTTTTAAATAAATCCAAAATAACCGAGTTATTCCAACCTGAAAATCAAAAAAAAAAAGATTTCTTTGATATGGTAATATCAGAGATTGACAATTATACCTCGGGAAAATTTGCGGTGAACAGGCAGTTCTAAAAAGTTTTCTAAAGTATACAGGGAAATTTAAAAGAAAATGCACGTTTTTCAATATTTTTTTTTGCAAAAAAAAAAACTCATAGAGGTGTTTCTGGCGTCGAAATATACCACCACGGAAAATATTTACACGTATTTGAGACCCACCCTGTATATTAAACAATACGAATATACATTTACAAACTTACCAGCTATAACTTTGCAAACTAGCTGGTTACTGTTTACAAAATTAAATTTATTTATAATTATACCGGGTCTGGCAATATGCGTCGGGCATCTGTAGCTCCTATAATAAAAAGTTAGGAGTTTGGTTTAAGTACAGATCTAGAGTATGCACTAGGATGTATTTCAGGAAAATATTTTAACTTCGACAGGGTGGCTCAAAAAAGTGAGTGGATCAGGAGGATTTTTTTAAAACGGAACACCCTGTATATTACTGCATTTTTCGCTTCCTTTCAGATCACTTTACATAATCCTAAGATATGAGTAAATATGTTTCGATAGTTTCAACAAATTTCCCAAGTTTTTTGTACAGATGCCCGACGCACTATTTCCGAGCCCTGTATTTCTAGCATATAAATGTTTCTTTCTTGTTTCTTGCATATAAATACGCATTGGAATAAAATAATAGAATATATGATTATGTCGAGTTGAAAGTATCCAGCAATGTGCTCAATTCTGTCGCTTTTTAAACACCCAATCCCGAGATTCAAACTTGTGAGTGTACAACTGACGTCACAAGCTAGGGTCTCAGGGAGTCGGTGGTTAAAATATAGGCAACCACCGGAATTTCCTGTAATAAGAGAAAAAATACATTGTGTACAGGTTGTCCCATTTTCGTACGTTTAATGCATACAGCTACAAAGATGCGGTTTTAAACTAAAGATGCTACACATAGGTCTGCCCTAGCCTTCTGAGTTCCTGAAATACAGGGAAAGTTTGCAAATTTTGCATTTCTATACTCCCCTCGTATCTCGGTTATCCTTTAACTTCTCGAAAGGTGAAAACTGTGAGTTCCGTGGAGTTTTTCATGTAGAATCCAGTGGCGTAGCTAGTTTTTAGCTGTAATATTCGAAATATGAGTCAAACTTAACTTTTTTTTAAATGGGACATCCTGTATATTATTTTTTTTATTTTGTCTTGTACTGAGCTTTCTAAACGTACAATATATTCTATACTTATTTTCACAAACAAGGCATTTTTTAACTTTTCAGCATAAAGAAACCTACTTTAAAAGGGTATTATTATTTTATTTAATTTAATTGAATCAGATAATTTTGGTTTCCGTCGTGTTTTCTTAATAAACTGCGTCGAAAATGAACTTTTGCACCTTTTAGGGCTCGAACTCACTGACGACCAGGTCGCAACGACGGCCGTCGGCTGGCCAGATGTATTGCGTTTATAGCTGCGGCCAGATGAACGACCAGTTTCAACAGAGTTGTCAGATCTAACGATTTTTTACGTTTTACCAATTAGAAAATATTGTTTCAGAAAGAATTAAGTTTCAGAAATGTTAAAATATCCGATTTAACTAAAAAGCGAAGTTGCTATGAGCTT